GGTTCTGCCCGAAGGATTTTCCTATCTTCCGTAGCACCACTTACGAAACATGTCTCAGCAGTCTGTATGTTCCTGTGCATCCATCGCGTTCGCAAGGCGGGTCGACCTCCTTCTCACTCTTGAAACTCTTGAAGCATGTCGGCCGGGGACACTGAGGGCTATCACACTGGTAGATTTTGGCGTTGGCGTAGCCCAGCTTGATGGTAATGTTTCGCTCCTGCTCGTTTTTGAAGCGGACGGTCTGCACCTCAGAGATGGCCTTGACGACGGTCGACTTGCCGTGAGCGACGTGCCCGATGGTACCGATGTTGATCGTGGCCTGGCGCGCAATAATCTCAGGCGACAGTGGTGTCAATTTTGACCAGTCGAGCGTGGCCGGGTCTGGCTGTTCGGGCAGCTCCGGGCGCTTGGCCTGGGGCAGAGGCGGCACCGAGTTCTTCTTCATCGCCGACTTGAGGGGCTTCTCGTCCTGGTCGAGGGGTTCCTGGTCGTCAAAGTCATCGTGTCCGTTGGCGTCGAGCACGGGGGAGCCGGGCAGGGAGTCCTCGTCGGAAAAATCGCCGTTGGTAGCCATGATTGCGAGCTGATGGGCTCCTGCAGCAACGGTCGGATGGTGGGACGGTGGTGAGGGGTATAGAGCGGGTAGAAGGTGAGGTAGGCGGTGGTTTGGTTCTGGTGGTTTGAAATTTGTCGCTTGGGACGGAGGCGATATGATACCGCTCTGCCCAGTGGGGTTCTGATTTGTGCAGTGGAGTGTGGCCTGGTGGGCGAGGAGCCCTGAACAACTACTCGTTCCCTTTTGTATTGCTTCCCTATACGAAGTAAATTTTATTGTTGAAATACCGGTTTTTACCATGAACTAGCTTCTGTCTATCAGTCGGCATTGAAAAAATACTTTTTTTTTTCTCAATGTGCGGAAGATACAGCTGTCACCGCTCTGCTGGTTGATTAGGCGTAAATAATGAGTCATGAGCCGCGGGCAATGGTGAGAACCTCAAGATTATGACTGCAGCTCTTGAAATAAGTTTGGCCAATATCTTGCGAGTCTGAGGGGGACTTGTGTCTAAGGGGTTGTGGTGTACAGTAGGGCAACGAGGGGATAATAGTTCTATATCTGGCGGGGAGATCTCGACCATGTTACAAGACATAGGGGACAGATTGCTTGTTTAGTACGATGTACTTGATGGCAAGTTAGAGGAGGTCATCGGGTATATGAAAGGTGTATAAGTTATCAAAAAGTCCGAACATTTACTCGTCATCGCTCTCCTCGCTGGCGGATTCCTCAGCCTCGTCGCTCTCCAGCTCATCCTCAGAGAAATCCAGCGCCGATGGATCTTCAGGCGCCAGCATAACAAATGCCTTGAGGCAAGTAATCCGATTTCCCGTCTCATAAGAGTTCAGAAGCTTCCCGACCTGGGGTGTTTTGGTGGAGGCCTTCTTATCATGGAGTTCAGCTCCATCAAGCAACCACAGGCGAACAGTCCCATCGCTGCCTCCAGTGACGACGACGAACTCGTCCTTGTTAGATTCGGAAGGACTGTCAAGCTTGAGGATTTCGAAGTCTTTCACTCTTCCAGGAAGATCAGCCTGCTTGCCCCCAAGTGAGGCCACAGCTTCCGCGTAGGGAATAGGGGATTCGTCATCGTCTGCGGCTTTTTGCACTTTCTTTGTAGAGTAGAAGATGACGCGGCCATCTTCTGTAGAAACGGCAAGGAATCCAACTTTGTTTTCGGTGGACTGGCCAATATCAACGTATTTGATCTGGTGAATCTTGCTCCGAGGGCTTGGCAGGGCCCTACAGATGGGGATCGAGTCCTGGGGCGAGAGGTCAGACACCCGATCTCTTAATTGGTTTCACCTAAAACAAAAGGATACTTACTGTTCCAAATATCACGGCTCCCCACTCGAATGCCACGGCGAACTCATCACCCTCCGAATTCCACTCGATCTTCCTCCCTTCACCGGGGCTCCATTTCCCTTCTTTGACACTCTGCAGGATTTCTTTGCTGAAGTTCAGTACACCGGCTTTCTTTCCTGTCACCAAGTTCCAGAGTCTCATGCATTTCTCTCCTCGACCGACGGTTAGCATGAGCTTCATGCTAGGATGCACTGCAAAGTCGTTGACGCCAGCTGGGGAACCGCCAGGAGGCGCAGTGTCTCCGCTGGGTCTCCCCTGGACCTTTGGACGAGGTGCCTTGATGGTGGACACCACGGTCCAGTCGCGCGTTTTCGTGACTGAGATGGTATTGTCCTCTGCCGCTGCCAACAGCTTTGACCGCGAAGGAAAGTGCAGGGCGCAGATGTTCGCGGAATGATGCAGCAAGGAGCCTAGCTCCCGATTCTTAGGGTTCTCGAGGATCTTATTCCCTGCCAGGGTTGGCACAGTGGGATAGCTGTCGTTCGTTGCCACAGGCGAGGCGGACAGGGAGTATAAGTTGATGCGTTCGTCCGTACCACCGCTGGCTAGAATCACCTTCTGCGGTTCTGATGTCTCGGTCTTGGACAGCGGGGACACCGCAAGACAACGGATTGCAGAGGCATGGGCTTCGAATAGGAAGGTATCAACGAATTGCACAGAAGATGGCAGTTCCTTGGCATTGGATGGGATCGCCGCCGTGAAGCCGTGAAGCACTCGTTCGTAAGAGCCAGTCACGATCTGAACTGTTGTTTCGGGGCCATCATTGGGAGGTAATTCTACCTTTGCCGCAGTCTTGACAACCTTGGTCGGTACGCCCGCCTTCTGCGCCTCCTTGGAAGCGTCGTCTCGCTTGCGTTTCGCCATTCTGCTACTGTGCTGCTTGAAAGGCTCGTTCTTCCAGAACCTGCTCCATCAGGGAACTTTTTTTCCGTACGGCGAAGCCTGTTATCGTCACATGACCTCTCCCGATAGGCTATAGCTACTCCCGGCTCCGTATTAGCGTCACGTCTTGTTTCTGCCTTTCTGCCTGAGGCGCGCGATGACCATTCCTAACTGGGACGCATTCCACGGTTCCCGCTGCGTCAGGCAAGGGGAAGCAGGAATTTTTTTCTGGCCTGAGGCGCCGTTCATTCCCTGCCCTAACACTCCTGGCCGTGGCTGTAGACTCGCTGTGCTGCCCTGCTCCCTATCTGACTCTGGCTGAACCCCCCTCTAACACTGCGCGCGCTGCACCCGGCGTCTCCCACCCCCATCACCAACGCCGTAACCCGTGCTACCCGCGAAAAGTCTCAACCCAAATCCCTTCAAGAGAAATCCTCGCGTCTCGCCTTCTACGTATCAGAACACCGCAACCCTCATCCTTTTCATCACTTCTGAGCGATTTTTTCCATCTGGATGACTTCGCTCCAACCACTCGCCTCATTTTTAGCGCGTTAATCGGATGTTGTGTTCTTTAAATAGACTCAATGCTCCGCGACGAGCTACTCCGATTCAAGAACGATGAGATCGTGTAAGTTATTATTTATTTTTTGCAGTTAATTTTATAATGCAGCAATAGGCGATATGAAATTATCGCTGACCATAATTTTTTAGCCGTTGTTTGCAGTCGCGAAAGCGCAAATTGAGCGAGCTTTACTTTGCGACCGTAGGCTTCGCCGCGGGCGCGACCGATGATGCTGCAGCGGATTCCCTGTATCGACAAAAAGAACAGGACTTCCTCAACGCCAACGATCTCTCCAAGTAGGTTATGCTTTGATAATTTGCCTTGCAGTGTCATTATTATTTTCTTATTTAATCCATTCATTTAATATGTATCTTCTAATATCATGGAACTATCAGAGGTCGTCTTTTCAACGAAGCGACCCTCCCGCCTTTACCAAACTATGTCGCCCTTATCCCTCACCCCCCAAGAAATGATGCAGTCATCAAAGCACCTGACCAAGGATTTGAGAAGAGCGTCGCTGCTATTGATTCTATCTCTCAGCCTGACCTTACCGTCTCTGCTCCACCGATCACGACCGCAGCTTTGATCCAGGATGGGACGCCAGACAAAGAAACAGTTCGTGATGGAATCTCTGAAACGTCAAAGATCAAGCCTTCGCCTCAAGCCCCCGCGCCTTTGAGCTCCCAGGAGGTGTCGCCAGACTTGCCCAAAGGAGTCCCATCTGTTGTCCAGCCCGTTCGCTCACCGAGCCCTGTGCCAAAGGCAAATATCGGCGCACCAGGTACTCCCCGCAGCAGCCAGGATCAAGAACCTGCGACAGTTACCGTATCCCCGAGCCGTGCGAGATCGAAGGCTATCGCCGCTATTCCTCCGCTCGACACTGGCGAGCTGGTGCCTTCCCAAAAGAAGCATGATAAGCGCCCGTCTCTCGTTGTTGGGGCCCACAACTTTTCCGAGCAGCCTCTCTCTCCTGCCTCGTCTGTTGGACCTTATTCCAACAATACGCCTGGCCCGATCGCGGCATCTCCGGACACAAGCCTGGCCGAGGAAGCAAGCGAATCGGTGGGAAAAATTGAGCCTCCTAGTCCGCAGACTCGTCGGCCGGTACCTCCTTCACAAAGCTTGGCTCCCTCGACACCTGATGAACAGCTTCGATTGGAGGAAGCACAGTCTTTGCAGCAGAACGGTGTCTTAGCATCGGCACAGGAGCTGAGTGACATTACTTATGATGCTCCTCCTGCTGCTTCTCCAAGGAGAGCATCTATCAGCCCTACAGCAGTCGTCGATGATGGCAAAATGGGTGTTGTTGAGGAACCTGCTATCTCACCCACAACTTCTGCCGTCAAGGAACCAGAGCAAAATCACACGGCCGAACCGACTCCGTTAGTTGCTCCGGTCCAAGCTGCGCCTACTCCAGAGGTTCCTTCATCCTTGCCACCTAGCGGGGTCACCAGAAAATCTCAGCCAACCTTACCAACTCAACCTGAAAGGATGACAACGAGAGTGTCATCTGGTGCTATCCGCCACAAGTCTGTGTCCGAGATTCTCGGGGAAGCGCCGAAAACGCCAACAATCCATGTTGATAAAAGCCTCGCGGACAGGTCGACAAACTTGACTCGTAATGGCTCTTTGGACTTACTTTCACCGCAAGCTACAAGCCCATCACCCGACTCGGCTGTCAAGCTACGGCTAAAAGATGGGAAGGGCCGAGACAAGGACAGAAGCAAGCTTTCAGCCGTTGTTTTCCCTCGGCAGCCTACTGAGAAGCCTGACAACATGGACTTGGTCCGTCAGAATGCCGGAGATGTAGTGTTACGGCTGAATGAGGAGCAGGACTATCTCTTCACTCTGTTCCAGAACAAGGCTTATACCCCTCCTCGAGGCACAAGTCTCAGTACGCTTCTTGCCTCAGCTCACAAGACACTTACTTCGAGTAATCACTTGCTTGAATATCAGGAGCAAATGGACTGTCGAACGCTCCGACGAATATATGCCCTTCAAAATGCCAATCGATGGCCCTTGCGCCAATTGAAGCGTTCAGCTGAGCCATCCCGGCAAGGTTCACATTGGGATGTCCTTTTGGACCACATGAAATGGATGCGCACAGACTTCCGCGAAGAGCGCAAATGGAAATATGCAGCAGCAAAAAGTTGCGCAGACTGGTGTGCTGAATACGTCAATAGTGATCCCCAACACCGAACATCGCTTCGCGTACGGGTCCGCCGGATAACGGAGCTGAAACCCCAGCAGAGCGACAGCAATGAATCGAGCATGTATACCCCTGAGGAGTTGAGCGATGAGGTTATTGTGGTCTCTCATCCCACGCCGGACCTTGTACCTTCTGGGGAAACCGACTCGGTCAGCGACGGGTTCAATGACGAACCTCATGTCATTCATGACACAGTTGCGCCCGCCGCTATCTTCTCACTAGGATCAGATGAGTTCACATTCTCTCTTGATCTAACTCCTGCAGCTGAGAAGCTCTTGGATGAACTCCCCATTTATGCTCCGGTTCAAATCGAACCAGCAACCCAACTGCCCTTGTTCAAAACGCTCCCGGACTTCCATTGGAAGGCAGAAGTGCTACCCGTGTCAAAGTATGCCTTCGGCAGAATTCGTTTCCACGATGACGAGCCTGTTCGGAAACGTAGCAGATACGACTACTCCCAGTATGAACCCGAGCGGGAACATCGCTTGGTCGAACTTGAACCCGAACAAACAAACGTGGCCTTGTTCCGACCTGAAAACAAGCCCATACGGGATCGAATTCATCCGGGACACACGTTCAGGCCACCGACAGAACACCCGATGCCCTCAGTGGGATTCTTCGAATCGCGTCAGTCATCGCAGTGGACGTATTCTGAAGATGATGAACTTCGTCGCCTTGTCAAGGAGTACTCATACAACTGGTCTCTAATCTCCAGTTGCCTTACACCATCTTCACTGTTCACCTCCGGAGCAGAGAGGCGTACTCCCTGGGAATGTTTTGAGCGATGGATCGGGTTGGAAGGACTTCCAGCGGACATGTCGAAGACACAGTATTTCCGGGCTTACAGCCAGAGGCTTGAAACGGCCCAGAGGACTGTTTTGGCGCAACAACAGGCTGCCCAGCAGCAACAGCAGCAGCAGCAGCAACAACAACAACAACAGCAACAGCAACAGTCGCAGCAAGGGAACAACTCACAGGTCCAGCCTCCAGTGCGTCGCAGAACGACGCAACCGGTTCGCGTCGACCGGCGAAGATCATCCAAACACTTGGCATTGCTGGATGCTATGCGTAAGCTGGCAAAAAAGCGCGAGACTATTTTGCAAAAGCAGCAGCACGGTAAGTGTCGCTACTGCATAACAATTATTTTAGTCTGCCATGAATGAATTGAAGGCTAATCCTCATAGCGTCGCACCTAGCTTCCCTGAGGAAGGTGAACGAGGCTAATCAGCCAAAACCACCTATCTCATCTCCAGCCGAATTCAGTCGCCTTAAGTATGACCGGGAATTGAAGCTGCAGGAGAGGCAAGAACAGTACCGACAGCAGATGATCGCCCAGCAAAGAGTACTATCTACCCATGACGAGTTGAACCCAGTCTTCTAGCTAACAAATTTCATAGGCCAACTTGGCAGCACAACGCGCCGGTCAAATACCGAACCAACAGCCAATGATGAATGCTCAACCTGGGCGGGCTCCGAATGGCTTGCCTCACAATCCTGCAAACCCGGGCATGCCCAGTGGTAACTCAAATGGTATCCAAGCTGCAGTGCCTCCGAATGTCGGCGTTGCCCAGGGCCGGCCACAGTCCATGCAAGGCATGCCCACGAGTGGTCCTGTTAACGGGCCGATGCCCTCGAATGCAATGGCCATGAAGATGATGCCCCAGGCCGCTGTCCAACAAGCCGCTGGGGTGAGGCCGGGAGTACCGATGCAAGCATCTCCTGATAATGCGCGTGTCATTCGGGAAGCAAATCGCCTCCAAGAGCAACAGCGCATGTTACAATCGCGTCAGCAGCAACAACAGCAACACCCATCGCAGCAGCAGCAGCAGCAGCAGCAGCAGCAGCAGCAGCAACCTCATCCGCAGCCATCTCAAAACGCACAGCAGCAGTTCCACGGCCAACAGCAATTTGCTGCGCAGGGATCTCATTCGCCGAATGTCAACAACATCCCCAATGTCAACGGGGCGGCGAACAACCCTGCGATGATGACCGCTCTTCAGGCAGCTGGGGGCATGCAGAGCCCGTCTTTCCATAACACAACTCCGCAGGGTGTCTCGACGCCTTCACCAAGGATGGCTCAACCCAACGGCCTTCCGAGCAGCGTGACGCCGACGATCAACAGCCTCCAGGCCCAGCTTCAACGCGCGAACCCCAACATGCCTCCAGAACAAGTGACGAAGCTGGCTGCTGACCGATACCATCAACTCCAGCAGCAACGCATGACCCAAGCAGCCATGAATGCTGCGGCGGGCAACATCAATGCTGTCCAAGCGAACTACCAGGTACCCCATGACGCAAACTTCCAGGCTTCCACCCAACCTGCTATGGCCAACAGCCCTCCGTCGATGCAAGTCCCGCAAGCTCAGGGGTTCTCGCCCATGATGCGTGTCCCGCAAAACGTCCAGCAGAACCGGGTGGTCGTCACGAGCTCCCCTGCCATGAACGGCGCAGTCCCTCAGCAGTCCCGGAGTGCAACTCCCCAGGCACAGAGAAGCGGCGGTTCCCAAACAGGGCCGGGTTCCAGCAAGAGCCCTCGTCCTCCACAGGCGCAAACCGCTGGCAGTTAAGCTGAAAGTCTCGAAACCTATCGAGCCCATTGGACCTAATATCATTTACCTCATCCAGCCCCTTTTTCTCCCCTTTAGCGCTCCTCCCTTCGTTTGTACATAATTATCCCCAAACAACCTTTCTATTATCTGTTTTATTGACCTTTACCAGTTCCCCTGCTGATGAGATGCAATGTAACGCCACCCAAACCTACGCATCTAACACGTCTTTTCTTTCCCCCCTTTGCCTACCCTCCGCACCTCTTATCGCCGTTTCCTTCTTCTCTCCCCACCCGCAACCTACACACACACACACACACACCATACACACGTTTCCTGACTATGCTTCTGGAGTGCTATTGCCTTTGCGAATGATTTTCGCCTACATCTCTATGCGAGTTTCGAGCAGCGGTTGTTTGTCCTGTACTATTAGTTTCGATGAAGATGAATGGGGGGGGGACCTAGGATGGATTGTATTCGATAGCTATTACTCTTGAAAGGCCCAAGGAATAAAACACAGAGTGCGAACTCACAACACTTTTGAATTCTCTTCTGTGTATACTTATAAAGTACAATAATAATAGTAGTTATTTAAGAAATAATAGCCTAGTCGATTGATAAATAGAAGCAATAGCTACCCAGAACAACCTTATCAACTGTTAGTTAGACGCGCGCTTATCAACTTTCTTTGCCACCTGCCCTGCCCGCCTCTGCTTTTATAGCTACAATAGATTTCATCCTCTGAAAAGCACAGTTATCATTTAACCTGATGTACTTATTATAGTTTATTTATTTCTCAAAACCTGCCCTCGATACTCATATGCAGATGTTGACAAGCGATGTCTTCATCTAAGAACTCCTTCTCGACGAAGAAAACGACATTCAATTTCCAGTCGTCTGCAAAAGGGTCGGATCTCAGCCGTCAAACTCTCCCACGACGACCACACGAACTGCACCATGGCGATGAATCAGACGAAGAGGAAACAGAGCCTACCCACGAGGCTGTGACGGGGTTCGATTCCCTTGCTGGCGGTGCCATTCCTGCCAACGGGATCGAGGAGAAGCGCGAGCTGGTTATCCCCGTGACGAGCACCAATAATTGGCGGAACCGGGCTGGAGCGAATGTCCGCAACAGGCCGAGAGGGAAGAATCTCCTCCCGAAAGAGGTGCAGGCCCAGCAGGAAGCAGAGAGGAACGGGGCAGTTGCCGGTGGCGCCAAAGAGAACGAAATAGATCGGCCGGGTTTATCATACGGACTGGTATTTGCGCAGCCATCGGACCCAACGGCTGGGGAGCATGAGAAGGACGTGGACCAGCCGATGGGAGGAAGAGATGAGGAGAGACAACCGATCCCGCCGACAAGCGAAGAGCGCAAGCCACTCACTGAAGACGAGATCGCGCTGAAAGCTCTCATCAGGGAAAGCAAAGGAGAAACAGAGGGCCGATCCGATCTGGTGATCGAGTCTGTGGCTACGAAGGAGATCCACGGCGAAGAGGAAGACAGCAATCACACCGGCCGCTATGATGAGACGAATTCGTTCCGGGCAGATGTGGCTTCTCGCCCGGAATCGGCCAGTCTGGACGCTTACAATGCCATTCCGGTGGAGGAATTTGGCGCGGCGTTGCTTCGGGGTATGGGATGGAAGGAAGGGCAAGCCATCGGACGGGGTCAGTACAGCGCTGGAGCCCCCTCGGACCGGGCGAACAAGCCGCGTATTCCGGAGCGACGGCCAGGGTTTCTGGGCATAGGAGCCAAAGATATCTCTGGAGGGAAGGGGGCGGAAGCCGAGATCGGTGCGTGGGGGAAGGCCGCCATGCGCAAGTCGTCGAGGAAAAACGGCCAGCAAGATGGTCAGCCAAGTACAGAAGGCGTCTACATGCCTGTGATGATGAGGAACAAGAAGACAGGCGAGTTTCTCACAGAGGAGGAGCTTGCGGCACGCCGGAAGGAAGCTACAGAAAAGAAGAAAGATGACGATAGCTGGAAGGAGAGACGCGATCGCAATTTAGAGAGGAGTGGCCGCGACCACGACCGCGACAGAGATCGGGATCGGGATCGCGAATCTCGCCGGCGCGAGCACGATGGTGACGATAATAGAGAGTCCCGGAGGAATGGCTCTTCTCGGCGCGAGCGCAGTCTATCCTCGAGCAGCCGGCATCGACGGAGGAGATATGATGACGACGAGAAAGGGAAAGATAACCGTCACTACCGAGACCGAGATCGTGATTATGATCGTCGCGATCGGGACCGAGAACGTGACCGAGACCGTGACCGAGAGAGGGACAAGAGCAACAAGTACCGAGATGACGAACGTTACAGCTCACGCCATGCATCCTCTTCTTCAAGACATGGCCGTGACCGTGACCGGGACAGTGACCGTGATTCACACCGGAGGCGGAGAGAACAAGATAGATAGAAAATCTTAGAACTGTCCTGCCGTGTCGACGATGTTTAATTTGGGATGTTGCATCATGATACCCTGGTTCAAAAGTTGATAGAACGAAGTAGGATGAATGAATTGTATGGCACTGTTTAGTCAAATATATATATGGTGCTTCGACCCGAATAAGAGTAAATATTGGGTAGTTACTAGTTAAGTAGTCTTTTGAGACTATACAGTGGATGGAAAATTTGCTTTTTAGATTCCTTCTACCCAGCGACGATGGTAATCGGTATTCCTCACGAAAAGCGCCAGTATATCAAAAAGTACAACAATAGCATTATCCTGTACACAAGCATTTATACTTTCTCTTCCCTTGCACCGAGCATGAGGACATCCTGGTCGGCATCAGAGCCCAGGTTCAACCCTCCCAGACCGACTCCACCGTCCATTTCGGCTAGAACCCATTCCACAAGGTAGCTCTCGTCCACAAGCTCCTCGACCCGACGGTAGTGTCTCTGTGTGTAAGATGCTAGTGCGTGCAGGATGTCTTTCATAGCGGCAGCGCTGTGGGCGTCTCTGGCCCGCTTCTTCAGACCCGAGGATGCGAGCTCGACAAACGTCGATGCAGGGTACATTCGGAATAATGCGAAGAGGATGCGCTGTGACACGCGTGAGGTGCGCGCATTGGTGTTCCAGTCACGGAGTCGAACGAGCAAAGCTCTGAGATTCTCTTGATCCAAGCTTTGGAGTACCTGGTCAATAGATGCGTTGCCGGTGAGACTAGCTTCCTTCAGAGGAGAATCTTCGGATGCTGCTTCATCAGCGCTGTCGATCGCAGATGTGAAGAGCGTCAGCAGGCGTCTCGGGTGGTTGAGCTGGAGGGCCAACGTGATGGCTTCGCGGTAGGCTCCCGCTCGAATATAGTTCTCCAGCTGTTGGTCTTGCTCGATGCGCTCAGCGTTGGCAGTGACGGTGGCAGTGTGTGTTGCTGAGGTAGTGTCGGTCCAGAAGGTGACCGTAGAGTCTGCGGACCCAGATGCCAAGGCGAACGGGCATGGTGAAGTTCGAGAAGATGAGGGTTTCACATCTCCGCGGGAGCCGGACGGCGTAGGACTGGCGAGGGCCCAAACTCGATCCTCATGGTTATCGAGTGTGGTTTCAAGCTCACCAGTATACGGTGACCAAATTTTCACCAGGCCATCGGCAGCAGCAGATGCAACAAGGGGTCGAGCTTGAGATGTCGCGGTTTGAGTCACTGCTCCCTCCATATCATCATCCTCGTTCGCATTGCTTGACAGCTCAGAAGGTGGCAGCCAGAGCACTTTAAGCACACTGTTACTGTGGCCTTCAAACGTGAGGAGACAACTGTAGTCCATCAAACTCCATATTTTAACTGTTTTATCACCTGAGCCAGTTACAATCAATCCTCTGCTGGTACTTGTACCGGAGTTCGAGGTGATGATGGGAGTGTCTTTCGGTGCGAACCGTACCGACCACACGCCTCTCTTGTGGCCGCGAAGAATGCCAGCCACGGAGCCGTCCTCTGTAGACCAGATCTTAACTGTACGATCTTGAGAAGCAGATGCAAAGAGGGTAGACGCAGGATTGACGTCAAGGGCGTTAATATCTTTTTCGTGAGCTTTTCGGGTGAAAATCGCCTTGGGTGTGTGTGGTTCAGATGACTTGAGGGATGTCAATTTGCCACAATCCCATCGTTTGATGGTACGATCTTGAGACCCGGTCAACATAAATGATGGGGGATGGCTCAAGGGATCTTTATATGCCGGAGTGCTCGGTGCCGGGGGTACCCGTGGAAGACTAATTGCTCCCAAAGACTCGGCATGGCCCTTGAAGATGGCGAAACAAGTATATGAGGCGTTCTGGGGATCAAGGCGCCATAGCCGTGCTGTATTATCCTTTGCACCTGTCGCCAGCCAATGACCGGACCAGTCTACATCAATGCAGATGATGATGTCGTCGTGGCCTTCTAGATGTGTCACATCCGCTCCGAAGAATCTATCTTTTCCTTGATCAGATGGTCCGTCTTCCGACTGGCCGATAGACACGACTCTAATGCTCTCAGTATTTGTTGCCAGAGCGAGCATTGACCGGTCAGGCCCGACGTATGCCAAATCAATAATTTCATCGTCGTTGCCGGATATCCTTCTGATGATTTCCAAAGGTTTGATCTTTAACCCAGGCTGTAATTGGGACAGAGTGTCCAGGTTGTGGACGCGGATAGTCTGATCAGCGTGAACGCTTAGTGCAAATGGCAGACCATGGGAGTATTGAATGGCTACAACAGCCTCAAACTCCGGGCCAGGTTCTTGGTCTTCGGTAACTTCGCTACCTCTGTTGCAATCCCACACTCGTAACTTGCCGTTCTCGCCACCGATCATGCAGAACCCGCTATCGGCGACGAAAGCAGCGGCTTCAACACTTTCCAAAACAGGGATGATCCTGCGCGTCTTCCAAGTCCGGACGTCCCAGACGATCACAGTCTTATCACGACTCGCAGAAAGCAGAGCATTTTCGGCTGCGGAGAAGGACAATGCTCTCACAACAGAGACATGCGAGTCCAGCGATGCGATGGATTTTCTCTTGGTCAGATCCCACACGCGAACCTTGCCTTCTTCGCTACCAGATGCTAATCGAAGACCGATGGTCGAAGAAGAAACGACAACGATATCATCGGCCATATCTTCATCCTCATCATCCAAGACTTTGCCCTTTGCCTTCTTCTTTTTCTTCTTGGGGTCGGCCTGGTCAAAGTCCTCCTGCGTATGGGTCTCAAAGAAGCAGAGTGCTGTCACCACGCCACCATGTCCATAGAATGTGTGCGTGGCATATCCACCTCTGATATCCCAGACTTTAATGGACCCATCTGCGCCTCCTGTTGCTAGAAGAGTCCCTGACGGATCGACTGCGGCTGTGACAACAGGCGCTGTATGGGGCTTGAGCGTTCGAACAAGTTCGGCTTCAACAGACTGCGCAAGGTCGTCAAAAGGCGGCAGAGTATAAATTCGCATAGACATGGACCGCGAACATATTATGGCGTGTGAGCCGGACGGCGTAACTAGGAGTTGATTTTAGTATGAGAAAAGAAAAAATGTAGAAACAACCAGGAAACCGTACTCGCTACAGTGGTGATCACCTCTCCATCCTTGAGATTTCAGATTAGCAACCTGAAGGAGGATATGCACGAGACAAGCTTACTCCGTCTAGCTGAGCCAGCTGGTCACCGGTCTCTAAATCAACGACCAAGGCATTTTCGCCCACAGAAGTCACCAGCAATCGGCCGCTGGCGTCAAGCGCAGTGCTACCTCCAGTGTAGATAGGACGAAGAGTTCGCGACGCCTCGAAGGTCGTCTTCACAATAGCTTTCGACATTTTTGGGATCAGGTCAATTTGCGCTATCACGGCAAGTCTATCGCGCCATTTCCCCCCCGGGCAAAAGTAATATCCAGAGTATCCCGATAAATAAAATCGCAGCGCTTCTCCCAGACGGCAACTTTTCGTTCATTTTTTTTTGAGATGTTTGTCTTGTTTGTCAAATTTGCGATAAAGCATGGTCCGTGCGTCCTAGCGCGACAAACGCGGTAAAGTGCGACTACTAAACCGTAAAGAGTATAGCTATAGACGAGCGCATGTCACGTGAGCAGATACTTGCCGCTTTCCCGCTTTCGCTGCCTTGAGAGGTACTCCGTAGGCCGTATAATTCATCAACATGCCATGTTAAGATGATCTGCGCTTTTCTGAATGCAAATCATTTACCTCTCGATAGCACCGATGGTTCAATAAACTCCGGATTCTGCCTTATCACTTGCCATATCGATGGTTCTCGGCCATAAGCTGACATAATGGGCCGGCAAGCTTATATGAATCGACTCGCTCTGGTAGGCACCATGTTCTTCTCGCTTCTTTTTCGGCTCCTGCCCCTTGAGGTTATGAATATGCCTCATAAATTTAGTAGATGCCATGTTTTTTTCTTTTTCTTGCCCTGATGTTTCCTCCTCGTGCAAGGTGCACTGGTATCAGGCGATGCCACGACACGGTATCAGACCGATGCCTGTAACTATGCGAATACTGTTATCTTCAGTTTACTACCTACACCCAATGGTTATCTGCTAGAATATAAAAAGCTGACCATATCTGAAGGGCCGGTCACCATATGAAGCCCCTGACCCTTCCGCAAGTCACTTGAACGCAGGCCAACGCGCTTGCAGTCTCCCTGCTGATGGCTATGTCCAGCAGTATGATGAGCGCGGTCACCCTGTAAATCCCGAGTCCAAGGGGTTTGGGAGAGAGCTCAGAAGAGCAAAAAATGACATCCTTTCCACTATGGGGATTGTAGTGAGCGGAGAGGATGGGAACTTGGGGGTGTCCAATGAGCAACAGAAGATCAATCAAATTGCTGCCGAAAATGACTATGGCCTCTTCATGGCGACTTTGGACCAGGTTCTAGTCTTTCTAGGGTCGTGGTGGACTTCTTCGCTCGCTGGTCGAGTTCAGGTAAGAAGGGCAGCGGCGATGATCTATTTAACAAGGCTAATTCTTCGTTTATTCAATACAGACGTTTAAAAGCTACACCAATGTGCCCATCATCAACATCATAAGATATGAGCGCACCGCTGTTGGAGTTCTGGGTTTTCATTTTGCCGGAATCCCAGCCTGGGCGATGTCGTCCTGCTTGTCGATATGCCGACATCATCCACTCGACAAACTAATCGTTACCACCCAGGACCAGCTTCTCCGCCATATAACCAACGAGTTCTTCTCTCGGATAATCAAATCGTCATTTTCGTTTGTACATTTCACGTATGACCCGGATGCGATTCGATCTTTCGAGGTATGAGCTGACTTGTTGTAGGACAAAGGGAGCCTTGTTACTCTTGTCGGTGCAGACATATATGCATTCTATCCTCCAGTCTATTCACCTAGTATCTCCGTATGCATTACCGGGCGTACGCTTCTTCCTTCCATTCAGCAGCACCTCCTTAATTCAGTTTCCGTCTATTCCACAAGTTCTCTCACTCGGCTCCCTAAGTGGGTTTGCGGCCAGCCTGTTGAGTTCTCCTGCTGCTTTGGTATATCTCTACTGCTATATACGACCGCTCATCGAAGTGCGGATCTACCGTCTAATACGTCGAAGACTGCCAAAACCAGATCGAGCTGATGATCTCTCATTACGTGTTGCATTCGAGAATGATCTCATCGATTGGATGGTGCCAACGTTGGGCCGTCGAGCAGAAGAAGAAAATCGTCGCACCCACCTCACATTAGCCGAGGATATTAAATATGAGCTCTGCACGTTTAAGAATTGGCTTCTCTCTTGGTTTGATCCGAAGGCTAGTTGGTCTTCAGGCTCTGATGACCGTTCCATCTCTAAACAGGAGAGAATAAAAATGCTACGGAACTGCATTGAGGAGTTGCAGGGTGAGATAATAGCCGCGCAAGCTAGGACTGAACTACTGGAGCAGCAACAAACTGGTGGCACAACTCTCCCCCAACAACAAGCTTCTTCATCTGGTCCAATCGAACAGATAGTCCCTACTTCGCCAGAATGGACACCTTCTACACCAACGCCAGCACCAGAGTCACTCTTCGACACACAAGTTCTATCAAACGAAGAAAATCGCATTTCTCAGTCCCCTGCTGAGATGAGCGGAGATTATTTTCAAGAAAGAGACTCACCAAGAAGAGCAAGATCTCATTCCTCTCCTGCTGCTCCAGTAGGACATTTGTCTAATATAGATACCCAACGAAATAACGAAGAGAATGAGCACTCACGAATCTCTCGCTCTAATACTCTGTTCTCTCAGCCTTCGTCTCCTGACACGTCTCCCCCAACATCGCCCCGAGTACGGGCATCATTGATCCACCAGAATTCAGATATCATCACGATGCAATTGGAATTGCTTTCAAACCGCAACCAGCAAAATCGAAACCAACAGAGCGAGCGACCTAGTGCTGCCGGTGAAGAACAAGGCCAGGTCTCGGTAACCACCGACCACGGTTCCATTACAGAATTACTGGATGCACTGCTTTCAACTCAGGAACAAAACCTCACACAACATCATTCTGATGTCGGCGACAGTGATGGCCTCTCCAGTCTGACAGCAGGGGTCTCTCCCACTTCAGCAGATCTTCCTCCGGTCCCCGTCCCTCAGCCCCAATCCCATACAATACCAGCTGAAGACACCATCTTTGAATCCCCAGTGGAAGTGCCGATTTCGAGTCTTGCAAACATACTTCCTGACGGAATCGAAGAACCACCGATTGACGACATAGAAAATCAAACTCCTGGCCCGACCTCTAGTCTTGAGAACCAACTCGATACCGAGTCTCGTCCTCCCATGTCCCACTCAAATGCTCATCGACGTTCTATCACCAGCCAGTCATCATCCCTTGCTCATCGAGTGACGATTCTCTCCTCCCACCCAGTTGACTCTCTCGCCTCGCATCTCGCATCCATGATTACAACAGCTCTGCTCTTTCCATTGGAATCTCTCTATCTTCGCTCGCTTGCACGGACTTACCTTTCATTAGCTGGGTCTTCTGTCGTTTTTCGCTCCGACGTTCGTGACCTAGGTGCTTGGTTCGGAGGTGGATCCCGGTCCGACATGGTGATGTACATGGGCAAGGTCTGCATGCTGGTTGGGATCCAAACTGCTGTAAATGCAGGCGTATGGGGTGTAGTTACCAGCCTAGCAATGAAGCTTGGTCGTGCACTATGTGGCTGGGGGACTTTTTGATTCCTCGTCTAGAATATAGTTAATTATATCATTTTCTTGTCATCCATCATATCTATAGTCTTCCTCTAGCTGTCTAAAATCGAAACAAAAAGTAAAAGAAATAATATACAGTATTGAGTTACTGGACTGGTCATTGCTACTATTGAAATACATGCAGATTTATAGTCCTCTACTTCTTCGCCCGAGCAGAACCTTTCCCCTTATTTGCGGTGCTGGGTACTTTCCGGCGTTCCCACACCATTAGGTAGCCTTCGCGCGTAAACAAGGTCTCGCTTTCTGCGCGCTTGACGAATAAATCCTGGATCTCAAGCCACTCGGGCCCCCTCTGCTGTTGCTCACCCGCACGATCGCGGCCCTGGTGTCGCGTATTCTCAGCAGCCATTGCTTTGTCGTTGAGCTGAACGAGCCAAGACACCTTCTCACTTCCTGCACCGGCACCGCTTGTGGGTGCCCCAGCTGCGGCGCTGACACCCTTGTCGGCAGCCTCGTCAGTTGCTCCTGGAACTGCGACAGTGGGGTCAAGAATGATATTTGCAACAAGGTCGTAGAGGATTGGTTCCCCGACAGGCCAAAGCTCGGGATTTGGCTCCACGTAGGGTGACATATCAAGGGACCGAGGTGAGGGAAACGTCACGATGGTGGGGTTACGTTCCGAGACGAAACGGTTCTTGCTGAACCGTTTGATATGGAACAGAAGATAGGGTGGGAGTGGATGAAGAAGCCGGTGTCGCACACGGTGGTCCAGCTTCTCTGACGCTGTGATGCCGTTATACTTGTTAAGGAGAGTTGTTAGAGGCACTTGAGGAATGATCGACTCCCTGTTGGCAGACTGAAAAAGAGGTGTAGACGGCAAATCCAGCGTCAGAATGAGGAAAGGGGTTTTTTGTGAATTAATGTCTCCGGATTCGGTGAAAACCAGGCGGGCATTTTGGGTATCTGAATGCGCTGTGATCGCCTGACTTTCAATTCGAAGGTGGCCTTGGAAGGCCGCCTGGATCACGCTGGTTGGACTCGCGGTCGGCCTTTTAGATCCGCCCAAAGAAAGATGAAGGTTGTTCAAAAACCAGGATAGGAACTCGACCGGGTCCGACTGTTGGGTGAGAGTAAATCGTTTGGATGACCGCAGTGCAATTTCCTGTAACAATTCGTGCGGCGATACATGAGATCGAAAAGCCTTGGGATTCCATAATTTCCGAACCAATGTACTGAATCGCAGGGCAAGCTGAGGGGTTCCGGGAGTGGGAAATTGATGTAGCAGGAAGAAGTTTCGAATCGGATGAACATGTGCCAAAACCTGGACAACAACGTTTAAGTAATCGTTGGCTTTGATGTTGTTCATACCCACAAATCCTAGGAGAATGGTAATCAGTCTGTAATGCACTTTGCGAGAAAATGAGTCATATCAATTGAAAATATTGCTTACCTGGTCTATACTTATTCCCAGAAAGATCCCAGGCATCGTGGACCTCCTTGTCAAGCTTCAAGACTTCCTCCTTTGCAAAATGCGGATCAACCACATACTTTATATCATCCAAGCTCTTGCTATTGACCTCATATCCTTCCGGTAACACGTAGACCTTCTTCGTTCCGATGTTGATAAAGACATGATGTCCCACCTCCAAGGCGTGGAAGTATGCGTGTGACTTGGGCCCCCTCCCTTGGAAGTATTTACCACAAACGAGGCAGGCATAAACATTGATGTTTGAAAGACTGACTGAACAAAGCTTCTCGAAGTCAAAGTCCAAGATCATCCGATTGATCGTATCGAGGTATAAGTCGCTGTAGCCTTCCATGGGCTCACTTTGCCGTTTGGGAGCTGTAAGGGTTTGAAGCTCATCATCGATATCTGAGGACTCCAGGCCATCCTGAGCTGCTTCTTCCAGCTCTTCTTGCTCTATATCAGCCGCAGCGAGCACATCCTGTCCGTTGCGCTCATCTTGCTCCCGCTCTTGGCCGGGTGCTCGTTGCGCGGGTACCGCGCCAATGCGAGGGTCATCCTCATCCTCCAAGCGAACTTTCTTCGAGAGAGGGGAGCCTACGGGAAGCTCCTCCTCAAGCGACAGCTCTGCTGGTCTCTTCGACATGTTGTAGATCGGTAAAGGGGAGTGAGTTCGTCGGCCAGAATGGAAAATCGTCGTTTGTCGCGCAACTCTTGTGGCAAGCTATGATGGAGAAATCCGCGGAGGGAATGCAAACATGTCAAACTCCAACCTACCGACCAACGCCCGCACTGAGTATACGGTTATTGTACACTGCTACACCAGACAATTCTATAGAGAAAGTTGCGAGTTTACTTTGCTTTATTTTGAATACTACGAAAATACTCTCTGTCAAGTCATGGAATTCCCGCCATGCATTCGATCTCGAGAAGATAGCCCTTTAAAAACCCGGACCTATGATACAGCAACCCATTAAGCAGACTTGACGATCTTGTCATTATCGTAATCGAGTATCTCGACGCCGTCCTTCGTAACAACCTTGACCAGAACCTAAAAGCGGCCGTATTAGAGTCCAACTCGGTAATAATCTTGGCGGCTTGATACGTACCCCTTTGAAGTCGATCGGTAGTCTCCGCTTCAGCTCGTCTGTGCACATCTCTAGAATCTTGAGACCTTGCTCCAAACTAATATCCGGGTGGTGGTGCTTGTCGAGAGTGGAGAGACAGTAGTACCTAGGGCAGATTAGCTTTCTTTGTCTGATCAAAGCTCCACAGCTTGTAGGGAAGGAAAGCAAAGCATACTGGGCATAGCCGTGGGCGGCATACGGCACTTGGGCTAGGGACGCCAAGTAGTCCACCCAGTAAAGCGACGGTTTGTTAGAAATGGGGTCCATCCCGCCCAGGAGCAGGTTAACTGTGTAGGGATTCCGTGATCTCAGGCTCCGCGCCAGCTCTCCCCGGACGAAGTTCGCAACAGCGGCAGGGCCCAGCTCCGTATCGTTCCGCATCGTGTATAGTTGGATGTTCGCTTGGATATACTCGGCAAATTGCACTAGAGTGAGAGCTGTTAGTGATGTGTTCTGTGCCTCCCTCTTCGCCCATCATCATCACTGAACGAACCTGTATCGCCCGCCTCGCCTGTGAAAGCCATGATTGTGCTCTTGTTCAACTGCCGTGTCTTATCATCGTCAGCTTTGAGGACAGTTGGCCCTCTCATCGCAGCCTTTGACGCAGCCACAATGACGAAGTCCTTGCCCGTGATGCCCAGTAAAACATCCCTTCAGGCTGTTAGCATGCTGTCACTAGCTGGCTTGGGACGAATCGCTCACATATTGGCAGCAGTAAAATATCAACAGTTATTTAACGAAATTCCACGCTCGATATTAGGCTGAGGAAAGGTTTAGAGGACTGTTGGCTGTTTGAGGTTCGATCTCTCTGACCTCATTCTGTGACCGCGCGGCACGCTCGACGCCTGGAGCTGGGCGGAGCTGTCCTGATGAGTAAGCATTTAGGCGTAATGGTTTCCCCGCCTCTCCGAAGGCGGCCAATATTTCTGAAGCACGGGCCAGCGACCAAAAAAAAAGTGAGCATGCGAGAGGAGCGGGCAAGATACAGAGCGCTGCTGCCACACTTCACCATTGAAACCGACTCACAGCCTTGTTACCGGTCTTGATAGTCGTGGATACACGCAATTTCTGATCCTGACAGTCTCTTGTGATGTCCTCATTTTTTACGCTTCCCGCCTCGCAGCGGAAGCGGAAGAGGGAGGACCGCGGCGCCGCTCCGGCAACCAAGAAGAGAGGTGTGACGGCTGCTAGACCATCTGGGGCAAGAGATGGAAAGCGGGCAAGAGAAAGAAGCCAATCGATATCCGGAAGTGACTCGGACGAGGGCGACGACCACGATGATGACGAAGAAATCCCAGAAGGTGGAGAATCAGACGAGGAATCTGGCTCCGAGTCAGACGAGGCAGAGACGGCTGCGGAGCGAAGATTGAGGCTGGCCGAGCGATACTTGGAGAACATCCGGGAAGAGGTGGATGAGGCCGGCTTTGATGCAGCAGAGATTGACCGCGATCTGATTGCGGAGAGGCTAAAGGAGGATGTGGTATGCTTCCCTGATTGCCGTTGCCCGACCGGTCTAAATACTCACTTTATACCACTCTAGGATGAATTCAAAGGGCGCACATATCGTCAAATAGCTTCGCAACTTTCTTTTTCGACAGCAGCGCACTCTTTCTTCCGCGCAGACACACAGTCTACCACTGCCATTGCTGTTCATTCTCCTTACGTCTACACCGTGTCGAAGGACAAAACTTTGATCAAGTGGGAACTGGCTACACCGACTGAGAGCGCAGAAAGTGTCAATGAGACCTCCAAGCGCGCACCGAGACCTCAGCGCAAAAAGCCTAAGAAGCTAAAGTCCGTCCGTGGGCTGCAAAAGGTCGCCGAGAGCGATGAAGAGCATGGTCACACCGGGAATATTCTGTCTGTTGCTATCTCACCGTCTGGAAAATATGTCGCAACAGGCGGTGCAGATAAGAAGCTGATTATCTGGGATGCGGACACTCTGACACCAATGAAGACCTTTACGCAACATCGGGACACTGTTAGTGCGCTTTCTTTCGCAAGGCATATCTCGACAATGAGCTCTGGCGAGCAGCTGTTTTCAGGATCTTTCGATAGAACCATCAAGACATGGTCTCTAAGCCCAGCGGGACATGCATACGTGGAAACACTCTTTGGTCATCAAGACAATGTTACATCTGTTGCTGCGATGACCATTGACCAATGCGTCAGTGTCGGCGCGCGGGACCGTACTGCAAGACTGTGGAAGGTGGTTGATGAAAGCCAGCTTGTCTTTCGCGGTGGATCTTCAAGGAATGCCTCGTATCATGAGAACAACCTTGACTGCATCGCACCTCTTCCTCCGAATCATTTCGTGACTGGCTCTGACTCGGGTGCTCTCTCGCTCTGGTCTGTACACAAAAAGAAACCTTTATACACAGTACAACTTGCCCATGGTCTGGACCCTCTGCCGCCGTTAAACGAACTTTCCTCCGAAATGGACGAGAAGGTGGCTGCAGAGCACTCCAAGCATCTGAGACGGACTCCCCGCTGGATCACAGCCTTGGCCACCGTTCCCGGGACTGACATTGTTCTCAGCGGGAGTTGGGATGGTTGGATTCGGGCGTGGAAAATTTCAGAGGATAAGAAGACGATCCACCCGCTTGGACCCGTTGGTGCCGGCGGATCACTGACAGCCAGTCCATCGCTGCAATTGAAACGAAACCTCGCATTTGATGCCAAAGCCGACCCAGAGAATATGGAGGTCGATCAGGCCGAGGACCAGCGATCCGAAGATCATATCGAACCGTTGATCAAGGGTATTGTGAACGATATTGCTGTCTTCGAGCGCCGTCCAGACACCATCAAACCTGGCCAGTCCGTCGAATCCAAGGGCCAATCCGAGTCGAGCTCGAAACCCCAACTCCCCCAAGCCCGCGGTCTCTGCATCGTCGCTGCAGTTGGCAAGGAACATCGACTGGCCCGCTGGAAATTTTATGCTAATAATTACCACGACGGGCCCACCTCCGATGGCCGGAATGGCGCTGTTGTATTCGAAGTACCGTTTGAATCGGAGCCACCGGCAGACTCATGATGGTCGTGAATGTTCTGTTCTATCTGTAAATTTCTTTTCCTTTCCTGATCTCTCATCATTTGCTTAGCACGAGATCTCAGACTAGACCATTGTCTTAAAGCCTTATGTCCATCTATAGAAACTTTCTCTTGTGTAAAGGTGGAACAAGATTCTCGACTTTGATTTTGTCACAGCTATCAATGTATAGGTCCTTCGTCAATGCACTCGGCCATAATGTAAACGAGTCCAGCCACCACTTGTAGAAATATGTCCGTAGGTAGAATTTTGGTCTTATTCGATATCAAAAAGCCTTTGTTTGATCTGTGGGCTTATTCTTAGAGCCATTTATGGCACAAGCCTCACGGAAAATCTAATCTAGTCTTTTGCTACTTCAGAGCAATGCATAAGCACTCCCTATATTGATCTAGCAACCTAGCTAAGGAGTTGAGTTGAGAAGGGTATAATTGTTTTCCTGTCTCTAGGTTGGGGGGGAAAATCACGGCGGAGGGTATTTTGCAAACGCCTTCCAAAAAAGATGCATATAATAGTGAGTTTAATATCAGCAATCGCTATCTCAGCATGAGCGAAGAGACCCCATTCCAAAACCAAAAAGATATTAAGGTAAAAAGAAGAGCTGATAGCCCCGTTGACAGTCATTTCCAAACGCCGCGCTATTGACCGCACCATTTCCCCTTGAATTTCAAGACCAGAAAAAAAATTGCAGAGGTATTGACCGTACAGCAACGGGGTCCATTGTTGTATCCTCGCGAGCTTAGCCATGCAGCTGAGGATGGCCGTTGGGTAATTTATATATGAATGCACATGTAGCAGGTAATCAATAAGGACGAGGGTCAGATGTCCTTCAGAAGGCAGGAAATACCGGGCGGTTATTGTTTTGATGACTGGGGTTCCGTCTATTCCGGCCCCTCCTGGATGGCGCGACTGGCCCTTCGTCTGAATCATCGTCGATGCTGATTGCGTTCAAAGCTGATGAACCTGAATTCGCGGAACGCGCCTGATTCTGCTGCATTTCACGACGAGGAAGTGATTCCTGACCAAGGCTGAAGTAATGAGACAGGTCTTGCCCAGCAGCGGTATCAACAGAGGAGTTGGATGGGCTGGACAAGACAACTCGGGACGTCCGATTGTGGTTTGTTCTTGTTCGAGGACGGACAGGACCTTCATCATCATCGTCCTCATCATCATTCTCTTCATCGTCCTCATCTCCTTCGGATGTCTCTTCTAGGGAGGCGTCGCTACCGGGTTCTCCATCTGCGGACATTGATACGTCCGAGTCTGTCCCTGCGTCATCATCATGATCATGAATATCATAATGATCTCCCACTACCGTTGACCGGTCTGATTCTGAGTCGTAATCCTCTTCATCATGCTCGTCATCATCAATGAATGAATCCATCTCTGTGTCGCCTTCATCTTCGTCCTCATCACTGTAGTCTCTCGATGATGCCGTGTCATGTGAGTGCAGATCGTGGTGGTGATGGCTGTGAAGAGCAAACCGTTCGAGTGGATGATGGCGATGCAACTCGTGGAAATGGTGATATTCCCATGGAAACGCTTCGAAGGGCACACCTTCGTATAGATCATTCCATTCGATATCGTCATCGAGATCACCAAATCCATCCTCGATTTCGTCGGCATAGTCCGTCATTTCTGAATTCTCGTCTGTATCTGTCAAACCAACCCCGGACTCGGTAGTACCGGTCACCGACTGGGCATCTTGCCGATATCCACATTGCGTGCAGCCCGAGTCCTCCTCCAGTTCGAACGCACAGATGGGACACCGTATCACATTGTCTTCGAGGTCGACGATCGGCCGGGGTATTCTGATTTTGTCTTTGAAGATTCCATGAAACAGGCCCCCTGTCTTTGAGTCGTTATTCGATTTGTCCCTTTCCAACTTTTCGGCTTCCTCCTGCTGGTGTTTTAGGTGTTCCGCGGTAGTCTCTCCCTTTTCCAAAAGCTCTGCGCGGCCGGTGAACATGTGGACGAGTGACCGTACCTAGCGAGGCGATTAGGAAAGTCCGTAGTCGGCACTTATTGCGGTCCATACAAGGAAACTTACCAGGTAAGCGGGCGACGGTTGTTGTTTGACAGGCGCTCGACAGTCAGGGCATGTTTTATTCGTTCGTCCACCAGAGAACCACGACGAGAGACACTGGCAAAGGTCAGCAGGAGAGACCAGGCCAGTACTGGCTCAGCAAGACCAAACTCACGCTGTAACAGAAGGTATGGCCACAGGAAATGGTAAACGGTTCGTAGAGAGGACGCATGCACACGCCACAGTTTAAGAGGACACGGAGATCGTCGACATGCCCTTGAACGGTCTGTAAGAGCTGCGGCAAGAAACTATCAGTAAAAAAAGAGCTTCCAGCGCTAGAGAACGGCCGCTTGCAATCTCTCACCCCCGACGCTTCCAGAGTAGTAGCTTGTCTGGCCATTTTTTCAGCGGTTGAACCTGTAGAGCCTGTAGAGGCCGAAGCCTGCGCTTTGTGGGATTTCGACATCTATTCGGTCGTCGCTGGCGATGAAAACGCGGCCGGCCTGGCTTTGCGGGGTCCTGTTCGAGCGATAACTAAAAGTTCCCGGCCTGGCGAGGGATGAACCATTAGAGACGCATCGATTAGGAAGCAGGCAGCTGTTTCTCCTTCCCTCCGGCGGTACGGCAAGTCAAACCAGCACCGAATGAAGATCTGGAGTGGTATGGAGCAGAGTACTGCAGGAGAAGGGAAACCCGAGAGATTTGAGGGAAACAAATTTGGGTGAATGGGTGACCGATACGTCGATGGAGGTTATCAGGTCAGCCTTCCCGACGGAGCAAACCGAACAAACACTTTGTCTCTCGGGCTGCCGAACACGACTTCGACACGCAGGAAACGCGATTCTCTCTTTCTCTCCCTGTCTCAGTCTCGCTTCTTTCCACTAAGCAGGATGGAGGTGTTGTGTTGTGTATTGCAATTGAGGCTGACTTTCCCGCGTCTTAGTCACTGATTAATGATATTTCGCTCAGTTGTTGACTACCTAGGTAGCAGGTACAGGCGAACTAAGGGTGAATGACTTGTCGAGGCCGAAATATTACGACATGCGAACAGCGTCGGGTGTCTCAGATCTTGCCACATAAAGGCACGGGTATTCATTCACCAACGGAAAGCAACTCGATTTCCATATTTGCCACGCTTCGATCAGATATTGCTACATGTCGTGCCACCGACGGCCGCATGAGACTACGGGGCAAAAACGCATCCAAACGACCATCTATGGAGTAGGATGATGAAAGATCCTCGGATTTGACCCCCTGCCATGCAGAAAACTGCAAGGTTTGGCTAGCTACAGAGTACTCCGCTCACTGGCCTGGCAATGATGATTCATCATCACCATGACGCCGATCGCGAGAGTGAGTCCGGGCTCATCTGCTGGCCGGCACGTGCCGTTCTCCCCCGCCTTTCAGGGCATGAAGAGCATTTAAACTGTTCCACTGGTCGCCTGCAAATGACCTGACAGAATAACACTCTGTCTCTCAGGGCGAAGTGTCTCCCAAGCGTCGCTACTTACACAGGTAGGGAGTACTTTTTCTCTCAGACAAGGTGAGACCTGGAAGCGGGAGTTAATCGATGATACAGATCTCCAAACCCAGACAAATAGCTACCCAGCGTGGCGGAGCGGTTGACAGTTATCAAGCAACAAACTCCGAGTGTCGTAATTTGATACGGCCTACGACAAGGTGGTGGCCTACTAGAGCAGATTTAGACATGCTTCCACTCTCACCAATTTGACTTCTTGATACTGTTGTGCATAAATCCATTATATTTGATCACAATCAGCTCAAACGCAATATCCACAAATAACCATATGCAACAAAACCAACATCTCGTCGATAAACAGAGGACAAGATGGTTGCTGCTCATCAGATTCGTTCCAAAAAAGACCGGTCCCAAAGCAAGATCAGAGCAAGAAATAAACGACTGCCCAGTATTACGCGTCGCTAAAGAACGGTTTTAGTAAAGAAGTGCGTCAGCAACACCCGAAGCAGAAAATCACCCATGTGCGCTATTCCAAGCCAAACGGACAGAAGAAAAAAAAAAGGAAGAAGCGAAATTGATAATGCTAAGAATTAAGACAATATCCTGGGGGTCCGAAAAGCAGCGTCATTCACGAGCCAGCCCGGGAGCAACACATCGAGAAGATGTATGAAGTATCGAGGGTCAATGTAAGTAGTCCGGTTCAGACTCTCGTCAGGGCTCTCAATGCTTAGCGAGCCGAGCGCGCTTCCTCGAACGCTGCTGCCTCAGATCCTCGGAGACCAGATGGCTGTCGTCGACCACGCCTTTCTTGACCTTGTCGTCTTGGACAATTTCCCGGTCCATATGCTCCAGGAATGCGATCTGCTCGCGGATGAACTGCTTGACTCCACGGGTATCGAATTGGCGTCTGGCTCGCTTTCGGTCGCGGATGATTCTGTTCATATCGCGAAGGCGTTCCTCGAGCATCTCGAACCGATATTCGGAGAACTGCAGGTACAGCTCTCCTAGATCAGAGATAGGACGAACGGTTGTGAGGACGGTGTCATCCTTGATAGCCGAGGAACGCGGTCGAAAAGAGGTCACCATGGAAATCCGCTCAGTAGTCCCCAGAGCGCGCAACGCCTGGTGTTCAATATATCGACCCTGGAGGATGACAGCCGATCCCTAAGGGAAAAGAGAGATCGTTGGTTGAGCTTTTTGTACCCGTCTTTTGGCATCTCCCTTTTGGGGGAGGGGCTGTACTCACCATTTGCGGACCTCTCACTTTGACCACCTCCCCATTTCCACATCTCAGGGCAGTCTCGCCTCCGATCATGTTCGTGCAGTCGGAGAGCATGGTCACACACACAAAAGGGTAGCTATCTGTGTGCCAGTCAACGATGGGATCGATATCCTCCCCTTCATCTGCGTCGCGGTTCATCCTCTCAACCACGGCTGCCATCGCCTTGTTCTTTTCTTCTTCCGTCTGCACCGAGATGTTGATGTGACCAATCTCGAAGTCCATGACGGGAACCAGGTCGACACCTGCGATCTTGGAGATGATAGAGAGGACCTCAGGGTTTCTCCAAGCATCGTAAACAAAGGGTGCACAACTTTTAGGAAGAGAGAAAGAAAAGAAAAAAATGTTAGCACACATGCTTTGGGAAGGCGTTGGCAAAAAGGGGATAACCGTTGACTTACTCTGGTGCGAACCCACGCAGCTGACACTGTGCAAGTTCGCTGGAATATTGATGTTTCTCCCACACCTCATCACCCAAGACTTCCGCTCGCATCTGCTGGATGGCGTCGGGAGAGAACAAGGGAAACGGTTCGGAGACGCCAATCGGGGAGACGCCACGGTTCTCGGCGTATCCCAGCTCGGCCATGGTGTGCACCTTGGACGGTTCCTTGAATCTCAGGTGCTTGGATGCATCGAAGGAAACCTTTTTGTTGGCCGTGCCCGCATTCTGGACCTGGATCAGAGGTTTCCCACCCGCTGCGGTCTGTCGCTTGGAGGCCGACAGGAGCGGTGGAGTTGGAACAGCAGAAGAGCTGAGCGTCTGTACGGCAGCCATTATCCTGAACGAGCATCAGTATTACACCAGCGACACATTGACGACATGAAGCATACCAGAGGGATATTCGGTTCAAGACGCACGTCGACTAAGAAGGTTAAAGATTCAAGACTAGTCAAGTGCTGGGAAACAAGAGAGTTCTGACTCCAGAAACTCACATCCCAGCGGGAAAAGATGCTTGATATTTATATCCGTCACAACCGCCTGTTCTTTTGCCTGTACAGGGAAAGGATATGGAGGCCCAGCGCCAGGTTCACAGGACTGGGACTACTAACTAGTTCTCGGCCTATTGCTAGATCATGATTGTCTGGTTCTTCCCTCGCCAGTTCCAGAGACAAAACCCGGATGCTGCAGATCGCCCGGCGCCAAACAAGACTCAACGGGGGGAAGGAAGAATCTGGTCAAAGCTTCTGATGGAGCTTGATCGTGCTTCGAACACATCAGCGGGCACGCTGATTACGGTGGGTCTCGGGATCATGGTTTGGATCATCCAGGAAATTGTTCCTCCGTTTGGTTTGGTATATGAAACTCCCAAAGCGCCACTGAATCAGCTGCCGGCTGCATCTCGCTCCGACCAGCCGACGAGGTTCTAGAAGCCTTTCTTGAAGCCCTTCTTGGAAGAAGGTAGGTACCTCCTCTCGCCGTTGCATCAAGGAACCCCCCGGGCGAGGAAAGACGGTTGTTATGTTATGGCTCAGCAGCTGAAAGGCAGACGATAATCGAAAACAATTCTTGTGGTAACTAATCGTATCGATTGTACGTTGAGTGCTATTCTTATCTTTGGCAATCCACGGGCTAGTTATGTCAGGCGATAACAAAAGTCTCCGTCCGAGCTCAGAGCGATCGATAATTGGGGCCAGCCAGATGGCAGACGTAGGTTGATGGCATGGATGGAATTTTTGACTGGATTTGGGATCTGGGTTGGAGCGGATTCTGGCCGACCTCCCAGCGCGGGGGGTGGGCTCTGATGGCAAACAGAGCAGAGCGCCCGCGTTTCCCTTCCCCTTCCCTCCCTTCCTTTTCTTTCCTTCTTTCCTTGTTTCGCTGGGATGGTTCTTTTTGTTGATCTGGGGCGATGTGCGATGAGAATCCAACTGAATCCTTCCCAGGCTGGACGAGTCACAAAAGCCAGCGGGGCCACCCCCAACTGGCTCAGACGGATGCCTCGGTCTTTTGTCCCATATGCTACCATGTTCATGCCCATGACTGGTGAGAAACCTCTAGACTGATTCGCTATTAGCAACGATGAAGATGGAACCGTCGGATCGGATGCAACAGTAGGTACGGAGTATCTATCGGAAGTGGGGTTTCCATCTACTCTATCTTTACCAGGTGTTTTGGTGCTTTACTCCTACTTTATCCACAGATACGTGTCTATTCATGGTCTACCATGCGACTGCCTATATTACTTGTCGGTCGCAAGAATAGCTGATTAGGATTAGTGAGGAAGAGAGTGGAAATAGTAGGGGAGAGCACTGCTAGTGTAGCAGTCATGTAGTACTATTTATTATTTACTATCCACTATACAGCAGGAGCAAAGCAGTGTTTAATATACTATAAAATAATTATATTATAGGCTTATAGATTAGTATCTAGTTATAGAGTATCTGAGTAAAATTATCTAAAACTAACTGACTAATTAGAAAAATGAGACATAATTATATATAACTTTTGTCTATAGAATAAGCCACTCTACTCTGGCACAGAAGAATATCTAATGAATATTGCCTAGATAGTGGCTGCTAGGTCCCATTTAGCAGTTATGGTTCATCCTACCTTAATAAATAACTTCAGTCTTCTGTTGTTGAAATATCTCCATGTGGTAGTTAGTTACTTACTGATTTGCTATAACTCTAACCATCAGGTCCAGATCTCCGCCCCGGTGGGCCTGTGCTTCCTCCATCCATTCCCGGCCTGCTCCAAGTCTTGCACCAGTCTTATTATTGATATTATCAACCCCTATGCCTGTCTAGTCCGATCATTCAGACTATAAGCCATCATATGTATTAATTACAGCCTATTTTCCTATTGGAATATACCTAACACTCCTTGTTCTTAGAGCTCGGCCCTAAGATAAGACATCATGGCTTCTGAGTCCGATCAGCAGCAGACGCCCAACACATGGGGGAAAGCAGAAAAGAAATTCACACAGTCAGTATTTATACTTGTTATTATGGATTGACTGTGTTTCTTTGTTTCTTTCTTCCAATTTTATTGTGTTATTCGTGTTGTACATACATCTTTAGAGGTTCTGAACTGATGGCAACCACCAGTAAACCCGCCAGCGAGTACTACGACCCCTGCCAAGATTTCGCCGATCGCAGTCTCAAGTGCATGAAGCGTAATGGCTTTGACAAGGAGATGTGTGGTGACTATTTTCAGTGAGCATCGAGCACCGGTCTTCTTCTTGACTCCAACTCCGTCAGGAGCGTTTCCCTTTCTCCATTTTCTCTCCGCTGACGATCGCACAGGGCCTATCGAGATTGCAAAAAGCAATGGGTACGTGGTTGCTTTCTTCGACTTAGTTGGCTAGTCATCGGGTGATCTATCACTAATCTCGTTCTCGCAGTTGATTCAAAAGAAACAGACCTCGTCTAGCTAGAGGAGAGAGGGAGAGTTTAAGTTATATTTTTCGATGCATCCTTTGCAGGCATAAGTTGCCTGTAGTACGCCACTCCTGATCTCGTCATTGATATCGGTCCCTTGTCTGATACGACCGTGTATTGCTCCGTCATTATTCGCTTTTGTCGCTGTTATCTCCGGCTTTTTCAAGCAAAATCGTACCCGTTTTGGCGTTGGCGCTTGCCTGGGTCTCTCTTGATTCAACTGGGACTCGGGGGTAGATCTTCTTATCGTCGTCGTGAGGGGGCTTTCTTTCTTCTTTGGGTTTGTTTTTGCCAGGACAATTAAACTATCAGGACGATCTCCGCTTATGAAATTAAAGTTTTATCTATGGCTTTGGTGAAGCTTGATGCTATGTATAATATTCAGAACAGCTAGTTAGCTAGTGGGCTTATACCTGACTGTATAATAGGATTCTATATTCTCTCATTCTACATCAATGAGCCTGCTTTCTATCAAGCCTGGAATTCCTTTTCAAAAGCATAGTGCCATGACTGAGAACAATTAACTAGCATATGGTTACTGAATAAATAAATGTCTCTAGATATTTAGATGACGGGAGATATCACGTGATATCACCGGTGCGGAGAAAATAATAATTCAACATGGTCATGATAATACTAATAATGAACTCGAGATAATCAAGGTAGATTGATCGCATGCGTGTGCTGTGCTTGATCGCGCAGCGTACGAAGACCATCCGAATATTTTTTCCAGATCCCCGCCTACTCATTAACACTATTGCGACTGCCAGGTGCAGTAAGTAGTAGTAGTGATTGCTACCCCTCCGCCATGGCCCCCGCCAACGACGTCGTTTTCCAGCGGCGGAACAAGCAGATTCAAGATGCCATTGATGGTCAGAACTTGAAGCAGGCGCTGCAGCTGATCGAGAAGCGTATGAAGAAAGGAGAAGATTCGAGGTTTCTGAAAGTGAGTCGTTTTTTTGGAGGCAGGAAAGCTTGGTTTCCTTCCCCCCCCAACAATTCTCGTTTAATCGATGAGACTCATGCCAACTCTTCTCATATTCTAGGCATGGAAAGCTCACATTCTCTTCAAACATACCGACGAAGCTCACCGTCAGCGCGGGATCGTCGAGACGTTGGATCTATGCAAGACCGACCCGCCAACCACGGACCTCGACACGCTCGATATCCTATACCAGACCCTAGAGAATCTAAGTGGCCATGAAGAGACAATGAGAAGCTTATGGGAGAAGGCATCCAAGGCAAAACCGCAGGATCTGGAGCTGCAGACGAGATGGTTCACGTACGCGTTTGAAGCCGAGGACTGGAAATCCGCACAAAAGGTGGGCTCGACCAAGGGAATAAACATGCTCTGTTCGAACGCCATGGCTCATCTATTTCTCTTTCTTCACAGGCTGCCATGAGCCTCCAGATCAATTTCCCTAAGACGAGGAAGTACTACTTCTGGGCTATTTTCTTGAGCTATCTCGTCTCCACTGATGCGAAAAGCTCCGAGGCGGACAAGAAACTCTTTGGGATGTTGGCTTATAGGATGGTCTCCAAAGCTGCTGATACGGTGCCTTCTGATCCGGTACGTTTTCCCGAATTCTTATCGCATGTCTTGTGAATGCGATGGGCAATACTAATGCCTGTCTCAGAAAGAGCTGTTGAGCCATCCCAAGGCAATTCAGAATGCAGAGGAGCTTCTTTTGCTTATCAAGATCTTTGATTCGCAAGGCCACCCTGCCGAGATCGTGAAGATCCTGGACACTGCGAATCTCGGTCTCAACTCAAAAATTGTCCAAAATGACTGGAATTTCATTCGAGAAAAGGTGCTCGGACTAGAGAAAGCAAAGATGTGGTCAGATGGATTGTCTTACGCAAAGAGCCTGCTTCCGATCCCCACGAACGAGGCGGACAGAAAGGCGCTTCAGGAGCATGACGACTGGACAGTGTGGAGCTTGATGGTCTCTGCCGTACGAGAGATCAATACGCCTGAGTATGAACCTCTATCACTCTCTCTTGCGGTGCATGGTTTGCTGATTCGTATTTTCATTCATCCAGGACCACCGCAGAGACTCAGCGGTACATTGAAGACTTCATTAAGGCTGAGCAAAAATCTCGAAATGCGCAACTGGCTCGGATAGACCTTATCCATTGGAGAGTGCAGTCGGGTAGTCTTGCGGTCACGGACTTGTTGTCGGCCAGTCAGGAGTATTTCAAATCTAACAAGCGGAAGCTTTACTGCTTCATGGATCTCCAGAAATACCTGTCAGCTCTGGACCAGCCCTCTGTGTCCAAGTTTGTGGAACACATATTTCAAAATCTGGGTGATGAAACCCCTAGCACCGATGTAAGTGAATAAAGTTTGATCTGATCTATCGATCTGAAGAAGAAGAAGGAGAAGGAGAAGAAGCTAACCTTCGCCACCAGAAAAACGATCCATTTAAAGGCGTTGCAACGATAAATGCTCTCAAGCTCGAGTATTGCTTCCAGATTTCGTCTCATAGTGGTGATTTATCAAAGGAGAAAGCTGAAGATTTCATCGCTCGTTGTCTCAAAGCCTATAAGGACATGGTACGCTCTGATAAAAGCTCGGAGCCATCCACGATCGAAAGTCGACCAAGTGACGATCTCTTCGTACTTGCAGCCATGTGCCTCATTCGCTTCGGTCAAGGCCAGGTCGATGGCCCCCAGGACCTCATCCCAAACACGGTTTTGATCCGTGCTGCTGGGATCCTTGAGCGATTGATTGTTGACTCGCCACATAACTACCAGGCATTGCTTTTTCTGGTCCGGATCTACCTCCGCCTTGGTGCTGGATCACTTGCCCTGAAGACATTCAGCAAGTTATCTGTGAAACAGATACAGTACGAAACTGTTGCACACAATCTCTTCACCCGGTTGGCATCTATTCATCCGCACTCCGCCCCACCGATCGAAGGGGCAGAATACAAGGACTTTAACCCCCAGTCAGCCTTTGTCCAGGCCCTCAACTTCTACCGGAATGCCAATATCACCACGGGCAGGCACCGGACTAACGGATTAGACTATGGGAGCTATGTAAATGTTGAAGGTAGCATCGAACTACAGAGACGCCTGAATCAGAGTATCTGTCGGAAAATCTATGCCTTTGAAGCAAGACGTACGCAGAGACTGACTGGCGGGGATCCCATGAGCCGCTATGATGAACTGGGTCAGTTTCTTTCAGCATATCATTCCTCCTTTCTTGCCACCTATTAATGATGTGAACAGCAAAGGAAGACACCCCTCTGGTTGACCAACGACAGTTTGATGCTTTCATGAACTGTGAAGTCCCCAACACAACGACATTCGAGGAGCTGATGCGTTTGGGGCCACTGCCTCGAGTAAGCATATTTCTAAATACCTGCTTTTCTTTTCTTTCCACAGTAAGAAGCTGACCAATTCTCAGGACCAATGGATCAAGTCCGCCAGGATCACTGATAGTCTTTTCGATATTCTCAGGTGTCTAGCTTTACAAAAGCCAACCACTCAGGAGCTTGCACCCCCTAGTCTAGAACATCTACTAGGATCAGACGCACAGAGCGAGATGACCTCGACTGAGATCGAAAATGTCAAGATCCATCTGCAGCTTCTAAAGGTAGCGACATTTATGGCCGGCAGTAAAGCCGTAGCGTCTGCGGATGTCGACTGCTGTCTCGCCGAGACAGAGAAATGGCTCAACTCCACACTCGGTTACGTATCCTCCAACGACGGCAAGCCCTCTACACTCACATCGAAAACCGGCATCTTACTGCGCTCGGGGACGCCATCCGCTCCTTCATGGACTTATTTCCATGAAGCTTTCTCTATCCTCGAGACCCTCATGGCCATCTCTTCTTTAGCGTCTATTTCGAACAAGAAGGCCGTCAAGTCAGTAAAACTGCCCAAAGATAAAGTGGAAATCCTCCTTTCTTTGGCCCGCGACATTCACGAAAAGATCAGAGCCGACGCCCGAGCCTTGAAGTCCCGCATCTCTGAATCAGGCATGCTAAGCACCCTGGTCGAGCTAATCCAAACCGGCAACGACGAGCACCAAGAGGAACAGCTACAGGCAGAGCTGGCAGACGCCCTCGACACGTCGGACCTGGAGATATTCTGCGGCACCTTGATGGAGAGTTGGGAGGAGGGACTCGATGGAGTGCTAGCAGTTACATTATGAGTTGGGTCCGTTTCATGAGCATGACTAGCAACTATTTGGGAAGAACGTTATACATCGAATCTGGAGACTAGAATTTCAATGAATGTATAGATATCGCCTCCTCAGCTGGAAAACTGAATTGCTTATATAGTACATGTCAGGGTCTGGTGCTCTTCTATTAAAATTCTCAGTAAATTCAGGCCTTGATGATCTCAGCATCTAAGTACCTGCAGACATGTCCTGTGAGCCTTAGCTATAAGGACATAAGCACAGGGCTCAAAATAACTATATACAATAAGAAGTCAAGAAAAAAAGAGGACCAGGAAGTACGATAATATTATTTATAGAAAACAAGTGGATTTAATCCCCTAAGATTAGAAGAACAAAGGTGAGTTATATAATTGTAATACTAATGTTCATTCTACTATAATACATTCTAACCTCCTCTTTATAACGAACCATCTCATATATAAAAAATTAATTATCCATATTAATAAACCAAGACAAGTATCTACATGCCCATAAAACGGTTACACAGCTATCTATCATATGTGCGATATAAAAAGGCCCTAGAAATCTCTAGTTATCCCCGAGAGATTTCTTTTCCTGCATCGAAGATACCTCCATATCTTTTACCACTGGGAAGGCTGAAGATAATACTACTAGGTACTTACGCAATATTTTCCAAAACACTGTCTAATGTTATACCGCTAACCTTGTGCATGTGGGACTTAAGTATGGGTTGTACAGGGTATACAGCCGGCTAGCTGAAGTGATACAGAACGCTGACGAGACGGAGACTTTTCCTGGCCCCTTATTTTCTTTTCTATCGGGTTATTTTATCCAGGCTTGCAGATTGTGTCTTTGACAATGAAAACATCCTGGCCAGATCATTATTCCGGGGAAGGGGAAAGGGAATCGGTACAACATCAGGCTGGGCTCTTGCCATTCCCTGAAGGACGTCCATGTCCGCCCTCCCTGGTTCTTCAAGGATGTGTCGTATGTTTCTCGGTGTCTAGACCCAACAGTTTTCCCATTAGTGATAATAAAAAGAAAGGTAGAAGGTGCGGAGCAGGTAACCTCACAGAGACAATGTATGACATGCAAGCATTTACGCCTGAGCTGGTAGTATCTTTGATTCTTGCCGTCTGTTCTGAGTTCCCTCCTTCCCCCGTCCTTAATGATCTTCTTGAGACAAAGAATAAGAATCTTTGGACTCAATCTAGTTTAAAGCCCTTCTATATCCTCTTTGCTCGATGGCCCCAACTGCGCCATTGTCTCTCTATGGCGTCACGCCGTTCAGCCTGGTCTCGCGTGTTTATCCATACCAGCATGGTGTGCGCCCCTGGGACGTCGTCACGCAGGTGACATGTCTTTTGGTCACCTCGATGTGTGTGCTAATGAGACTGTACTCTAAAATTGTTCTCACTCGGGCCCCAGGATGGGAAGACTGTAGGTTTTGCAAGTGTCGTTATCGTTCTATTTTGTCCCGGTCCTAATCAAACTGATCACATTAGACACTTGTTTAGTAGCTTGGGTGGGCTGATGTTTCTTTTCCTTTTTTTTTTATCCTTATTGATTGATCAAGGGTGCTGAATGTTCCTTAGCTGGGTCTTGGAGGATATGCCGTTCTCGCATTTCAGTCCGACAGATATGGCAGCGGCATACACCAGGACGAGGTATCAAAAGAGGATCTCCAAAAATATGCCCAGGTATGCACTGCAGCAATACTGCAATCTTGCTATGCCCAGCATCATAGTAACACTGAAACAGCTCGCAAACGCTACTCAGATCTACTATGGACCCTTGATCTTCATCACAAAGTTGTCGATTCTCCTTCTTTATCTGAGGGCATTCGCCCCTGCCCGCCGGAGCAAAACAGGTTTCTGCATACACTCCCTGCTATGGTTTAACCTGTTGTTTTATCTGGCCGATACATTTGTTAAGATCTTCGAATGCACGCCGAGGGAGAAGATCTGGAAGCCCGATATCCCCGGCCATTGCACTAACATTAAGATCACATTCTTTGTGGCCTCGGTGATCAATGTGTTCTCTGACGTGGTGATCCTGCTGCTACCAATGATCTGCGTATCACGTTTGCAGATGCGAAGAGCAAAAAAGGTGGGTATTTGTATTGTATTCGCGGCTGGCATTTTGTGAGTGTTCCTGCGGAGAAATATTGCGAGGCCAAGCTCTGACGAATACACTAAACGGAAGTGGTTGTGTGTCGAGTGTCATGCGCGTTGTTGTCAGCATCAAGAATAGCCATGCCGTAGACAAAACCTATGACTGGTTTCCAGAGTTCCTATGGACGTAAGTTATTCGGCCTCGGTTCATCCTGTCAAGATACGTTTTGGAATCTGATCCCTCATCTTTGCAGTACGGCAGAAGTAGCTTCGGGCATTGTGGCTAGTTGTCTTCCTGCTCTACCCTCCTTTCTTAGGCACTTCTTTCAGAAAGCAAGTTCCCGGTTTTCAAAGACTACTGCAAGGGGTGCAGGTGCGAAAGGAAACAACGCTGGGATCTTCCCGCGGGATAGCGTGGGAGTTCGTCGGCCTCTGCAACGCAGAACCTGGGAATTGGATGTCATTCGACAGACCACCAAGCCCAAATCTTCTGGGAACTGCTTCATAGAAAAGGAGGATCAGGGGGATAATACAAGGCTTTTTGGAAACGACACTAAACGAAATGAAATCGTGGACTTGGGAGCTGAGCTGGGACAGTCTCCCGATCAGAAGGGTATCTTGAAGACGGTCCGAGTAGATGTTGAGTCTTCTTCAGAGCATAAAAATTGAATTGAATTGTATTTGATCTAGATAGAATAATGATATCTGATATTAGCAGATGAAATTAAAAACACCACGTTCACAATATTGATGATCTTAATAGTGTCTCGTTTTCTTGGTTATATGGATGGTTGAAGATCCGTCCAAATCTGGAGCGGAACAGCCCTAGCCCTAAGCCCTACCCGCTCGCCTACGCAGCGCAGCCGCAACCAACCAAAACTCTGCAAGCTCCGCCGCGAATCTATCCGCACCGACGACAATTGCACCTCGACAACTCCTTCCCAGCAACCTCCGTCGACAACCCCAGCACCTACCGTCGAGATGGCCGCTGAACGTTCCGGAATCGTGGTTGGCCTTAACAAGGGTCACGTACGTTCAATCCTCCCTCTACCCTTTCGTTTTACACGGATTTCTATCGTTACGTCGAATTTGTTCGAGTCGAGCCGGGGAAAAGTCTAGGATGATGCGAATATTCAAGTGAAGAACGCCAGTCCCAAATTGGAGTATTAAGTACTGTCGGATGTGCATAATAAGGTCCAGCAAAAAAGGGACATGTTACAAGGTGTTTGACGGCCAAAAAAAAGAGAGGGAAACTTTGATCAACGGAAGAAGTTGAGAAATGGGAGGATTGAAATATCTCGCATCAACCAAGGCTTTTACTCCTGCTCGACTTGAACACCGACATGACATGGAAATTTCTTCCCTTACAGCATTCAAATGAGATGTTGAATTCCGGAATCTGCAAGCTAACATGCGAATTTATCTCTTTATAGAAAACCACCCCCCTCAACTCCCAGAAGACCAAGATCAGCCGTACCAAGGGCCACCTGTCCAAGCGTACTGCTTTCGTCCGGGACATCGCCCGTGAGGTTGCTGGCCTTGCCCCCTACGAGCGCCGTGTCATCGAACTTCTGAGAAACGCTCAGGACAAGCGCGCCCGCAAGCTCGCCAAGAAGAGGGTATGTTATTTTGTGCCCGCCTCACAATGTCTGCCTCGCTATGTGCGGCGGCTCTTGCAACGCTGGATTGCGAAGTTTGAATTGAGCCTGCCTAGCCAATTCTATCTTGCTTTCCCAATAAACTTGGTCAACCCTGGGGACGTGATATACCCTATGTTGAATCTAATCCGAGCAAACGCTGCAAGACGTCGTCGACAAGCAAGATATGGCTTTTTTAATATCAAGATTCACGTTCAGTATCCAGCTAACATCTTACTTCTCATAGCTCGGTACCTTCACCCGCGGCAAGCGCAAGGTCGAGGACATGCAGCGTGTCATCGCCGAGTCCCGTCGTGCTGCTGGTCACTAAATTCGGTATTCGTTCATATAATCAAATCAATTTAACAATACCACAAAATTTTTTTTATTACTATGGAACGAAGACTTGAATGGGTTTGAAGCGGGTTGCTTGTATGTAGGCTGGCTGAGGGAAGGAGGATAAGAGAAAAAAGCTGTTTCCTTATTTCTGGGACGTGAAAGGGATATTTCAATAGGCATGGACAACGAAAGAAAAATGGATTAATCCCCCTTTCTTTTATACCCTTTTCATGATCATCGGCCCGGTGGCGAGAGAGAGCTGGACCGTTGTTTCGAACCACCACGAACCGTTCCTGTCGTCGGGTCGTCGAGGGTGGGATGAAATAGATAAATGACTATCTCGGACATTTGTTACCCAGTCCGATTCTGACAATACATTGAAATGTTCAAATGGGGTGTCTATTGTAGGATCGTATGGAATCTAGAGTCTATGGCTGTATTCGCTAATACGATCGGGGCGAAATGTTCTATTCGTTAAAACTAGAGAGCTGCTTTGTTTCCTTCAAAGCCGTAAACAGACATGGGCAGTTAGGGGTCTACCATCTTGCCCGACAAGGAAGATCTCCTTCGTTCTCTACTTCTTCCCAGGCAATTTCAACCATTTGGGAACGCCGCCCTTTCGTAGCCCCGGTTTTTCCTTGTCCTGTTGGTCACCACCGCTTGCACCGAGACTCCTGCCTGAACCCGACTCGGGCTCGTCCCTCGGGTCTGGGACCGGATCCACCTTGAGTTTCTGGGCTTGACTGCGCAGCTCGAGTCTGAGCAGATTCTCCCTGCTTTCACGGACGGCCGGCGGCACGCTGGTATCCCATGTGAAATTCACCAGGACACGGCCCACCATGCCTAGATCTTGGATCAAGAGGGCCTCTGATGTGTCCGGGATGGCTGTTTGGATCTTGGCCCCGGTATGACCTGGCTTTAGCCCAGTTGGGAGCGAGGTAATAATGAACTTCTCGCTCGCCAACGGCTCAACCAGACAGCTTCTGACAAAATCATAAAGAGTCTTGGCTGTGTCATGTTGACCGAACTTCACAATAACTTGGCTCTGGTCAGGAAACCGGACCTTCACGTCCACGTCTTTGACAGCGGCGAGCTTTTCATGCTCGGCTGCCGCCTTGGAGGCTATTTCGGCATCGGTAGGAAGACGAGTCGGCCGGGAGGCCTGATTGAGACGTCTTTGATGGGCCTGTGCCTGGTCCATTGAGGGTACGTAATCTGTGTCATTGTATGTAGTTTGCGCAGATTGAGGAGTGCCCGAGGTTGGAGGAGAAAATACCATTACTGGACGTGATGAGATGTTAGGCACCGCTGATGGCGACCTCGTAGCGGTAGAGGTAGTGTCGATGGGTTGTGTCGGTCTACTGGGGGGATGAGGTGTAGATTCAACAACAGAGCTAGGAGGCTGTTGGGGAAGCTCTGAGTTAGCTGTGTTTTGATGAGCAGTTGTTGCTACCGTCACTTCTTCTGGTGGGGGCCCGGTGGTCGGTGTGCTGTTGGACATAACGTCGCTGAACGATTTGAAGTACTCTTCGATCTTCACCATCGCCTCTTCCAGAGGTTCATCCGTTTTTCGGAAGCTCAACCTCATCAGAACATTGCCACTGTTAAACCCTAGCTGCGCGAGAGACTTCTGCAGATCCGTAAATGTCGAGAGCTCTCGTCCTACAACCTGCAGCACTGGAATCTCGTAGTATAGTCTGCCAGAGCCGGTTTCCCCGGTACCAGTAGAAGGCACGCCCCGCGCTGTCAGGTTGCGAATGGACGCATTCCCAGCCACACCCGCCTCGAACTTCCGGAGAACGATCCATAGAGTAGTATTGCTCGGAAATTTATCTAATAGTCGTCCATTTGGTACGCCGTGGGCTTCCGATTCGGGTAGCTGGAGGGCAATGGTGACAACGGCGGGAGACCGGGAAAGCTGAACTAACTCAAGCTTCGCACCTGAACTCAGGCCAGATAGTCGGATGGAAAGAGAAAGATCCAGTTGTTTGCTCTTGTGTCTATATTGACTGCGTTAGACCACATGGTTTGCTCTAGGCGAAGAGCGAAGACTTCAAGCCGTTTACTTACTTTAGTCCATACTGGCCTGCATCGAGACCCAACTTGGTGCAAGATTCCTGGAGGATATCGGCGAGATACTTGGCTGGAGTGGTCTTAACTGTCGCTCGCCTAGCAGTGGTATCTATCACAACGACATGAGAACTCATGGCTAGATATGGAATGGCTGGGTGTTGAGGCTAGTTATTGCGGGGCAAGATTGGGAAAGAGGTAGATCTGAGCGAAGAGAAGAAATTCGGTGCTTAAAAAAAGGAATGAAAAGAAAATAAAAATGAGTGCTTCGACTCAGAGATATTATAAATGCAGTCGACAACCAGTCTCGATCAGCTCGTAGAGCCAGAAGTGTTCGATGTCCTTCCGTCAAGAGCTTCCCCGTCCCATTTGCTTGGCCGCAGGCAGCGGGCGAAGCGTCATCCGCACCAGCTGTCCGCCCTGAGCTTCTCCTACCAGTGCACGCGTAACTGACTGAGAGCTCCTCATCTTCTCACTCACCATCACTTCTCCCATTAAGAAACCCGACTACCTTATCCACTTTCTCTAGGTTCCTTTCTTTCTCTAGATTGCATCAGATTCAATTTGTTTTCATCATGGTACGTGAACAAACTCCTAGCCTGAAGTTGCTCGGCTGAGAACTAACCTTGGGTGCACCTGCAGAGCTCTCCCTTCGACATCAGTACGAATCGCACCTTACTACCCTTTTTATACCGATCGTCAGCCAGCTAATATATTTGCCGTATAGATGGCGGTGCCTGTGTCGCCATGGTGGGCAAGGACTGCGTCGCAATCGCCTGTGATCTCCGGCTCGGCATGCAAGCCCTGACGGTCTCCAACAACTTCCCTAAGATCTTCAACTACGCACCGTCGACCTATCTTGGCCTGACCGGCCTGGCCACCGATGTCGCAACCGTGTCGGATCTCTTACGCTACAAGGTCAACATGTACCGGCTCCGCGAGGAGCGGAACATCGCACCCCAGACGCTGGCCAACCTAGTCAGCTCGACACTGTACGAGAAGCGCTTCGGACCGTTCTTTGTCAGCCCCGTCCTAGGGGGGATCAATCAAACTACGGGAAAGCCTTTTATTTGCGGCTTTGATAGTATAGGTTGCATCGATTTTGCCAAGGATTTCATCGTCAGCGGTACTGCGAGCGAGCAGCTTTTCGGTACCTGCGAGGGTCTATGGGAGCCTGATCTGGTAATACCTCCTCGCTCTTTCTCTTAATCTTCTATCGAATCCTTTATCTAACTGTATTTGACTGCAGAGCCCTGAAGACCTGTTCGAGACCATTTCCCAAGCTCTTCTTAGCGCCGTGGACCGAGACGCCCTTTCTGGCTGGGGTGCCCAAGTGTACATCATAGAGAAGGACAAGGTGACCCAGCGGTTACTGAAGGGCAGGCAGGATTAGAAAGTTCATTATCGAGAGGGTAGAATCTTAATGGGAAACTGGTTTTTTATTACTTTTTCTCTTGTTTCTCCAAACCAGCCGAGAATAGTCGGTGTGGCGTCAAGGGTCTCGCTTGATCGTACATGATTCCGTGATATTTGACAGGGTAACACGCAGCTACTCAAAAAAAGCAACACAGTTGACTAAAGAGGATATACTTGATACCTAGGCTTTTTTCTACAATGGCCGGGACATTTCCTCTTACATACCAAACTAGGTAGGTAGTGCCTGGGAGGTGATCTGTGACTATCGTATTTGCAGGACTCATTGTAAAATATGCACTGCCACATCAATAGCCATCTCTTGCTGTCACAGACGCAAAGGCCTGACCTTCCCTGCCGAAGAAACTCTGGAGGTCCTGGGCCAAAAGCTCTGGAACCTCCCATGCAGCGAAATGCCCGCCGATGCCCAACTCGGTGTGCCTGGCAAGATTGCCAATCATCCGATACCAGGCTAGAGGGAGGACTATGATCTCCTTGCGGGTCTCAGCGATTGCAATTTTGACGCTCTTCGGGGCACAGATGGAGAAGGAATCAGCAATCGAGACAAACCGTCTCCCGTCCCCTGGATTATGCTGGGCCTCGTAGTAGATCCTCGTCGAAGCAGTTGGCCCAGCCCGGGAGAACTGATAGATACTCACCCAGGTGAGGATCTCTTCATCCGTCCACGGATAAACGTCCGACCAGACGTGGAGCTTATCCAGTATCCAAGCCAGCAACGCCACGGGACTATCCTGAAGCGCGTAGCCAAGAGTCTGGGGGAAGGTCTCCTGCTGACGCATGTACCCGTTTCCCTCGGCGGTAAAGGACCAGGAAGTGGCCAATTTGGCGCGCTCCTTGGCGGAGAACGGGATGGTCAGCAGCGAGCGGACAAATGACAGGGGGCTTATATTCCACGGAAGAACGGGAGCAAAGTTCAGGTGAATTGCTTTGACATGTTCGGGGTAGTGCTTGGCTAAGACCCGAGACAGCATGCTGCCCCAGTCGCCGCCTTGAGTGACTGTATGTGTGTGCGGGCGGGATGGTTAGATTGTAACCTAGTATGTCTCGATGGCAGGAGGTAAAAAGCTACCGTATTCTTCATATCCAAGAGAGGTCATCAAACTATCCAATGCTTCGGCATATTGAGCCAAACCGAACCCCCTCTACCGGTTTCGAAGCCATGGGTTAATCGTAACAGACAAGAATGCGTAGAGGCACCAGATACCTTTATCACACCCTCGGAGAACCCGTAGTTAGGCAGTGAAGGCGCCACGACATGGAAGGCAGGCTGGTTCTCATTCTGGGCACGCGTAAGCAGCGGCACCAACTTCTTGGCCTCGAGAAAGCTTCCTGGCCCTAAGGAGAAAGTATTGAGTGAGTGTTGAACAGAGCCTTGCGTGTGTTTTTCTCTTCTTCAAGACGATGACAAAAAATCAGTTACACTGACAGCCGTGGATGAACAGCAGAGGAATCGCGCCCGGTGTGGGACTCTTCTCGTGCACGAAATGAAGATCGAGCTCGCCGAATCCTGACACAGGTACGCTGGTGGTAAATTGTGCGAGCTGTTCATTCAGCTTCCTCTCCTGGTCGCGCCAGTCAAAGTCTTCTCGCCAGACTTTCACTAGCCGTTTCATCTCGTCCAGAGGCACTCCCATGTCCCAGCCCGCGTGGTCCAGCTCATCCGGAAACGTAGCCTCGTCAAGCTTCCTCTTCAACAACTTTAACTGAGACTCGGAAACCGAGATTTGGAACGGCTTGAAGGCTGCCATAATTGATCTTGATGCTACCCTCGATCGTAGATAAAGAAGGAGCAAATCCACGGCGACTCCATGGGTGGTCTCTGCCAGCTTATATCTGCTAAGCAGGCTCCGGGTATGTGCCATGTACGGTGAGAAGACCGCCTCGGTCGCATCTCCCACAGCTAGCATAAATTGCATGTCCCCTCCCCCCTCCCCCCGACCAGCCGCCCGCCTTGAGAAACGCAGGCTTGCTCTAGTGGACGTCTAAAACTTCATCCATGCTGGGCAGGGCGTTCGGAGATGTGGACGGAATACGGAGTACGGAGGCTACGGAGGCTTGTTCCCGACCCAGTGTTGCCTGATAGTTACTGACTGACTGACTGACTGACTGGGCTAGCGGATAACTATGGCTTGTGCTCTGCGGGTCCTTCATCCAGGCGTTCTAGATTCCTACCTTGTGTAGACAATAATAACAATACGACATGATCAGGGAAGGGCTTAGTAAGTTGGTAGTAGTGACTAGTAATTATATACTAGTTAGATAATTAAGAGACGGTGGCAGAACTCAAGTCGCTGAAGAGTAAGAAAAGAAAAGAAATTAGGCCCCCTCGGAATAATAATAATCGGTTTTATATGGAGGAGTTGTGGCCTGAGGCCTACTAAGGGCCAACCCCCTCCTGGCACTCCGTACAGTGGTGAAAGCCTCTCGCATTTCACCAGAACATATACGGAGTACATTAGACACTACGGAGTAGAAGATTTTCGATCGAAAGAGGGGGAAAAAAAAAACACGCTTCAGATTAACAGTGAGCGGATTGTCGCCACTGACGTGAGCAACAATAATATTTTCCCAGGGTTGCTTCTCGTGAGTGCAACAGCGTCTTCGGCGAACTGTGTCTAGACCTCGCGATCTTCCCTCTAGCCCCCTCTCCCCTGCCTCCAGTGGCCTGTTGGACCCCCTCCGTCCCGCCATATAACTAATACTTATTTATTACTGTGTCATGGCCACGAAGTGTTTCCTTCCCGGCTCCACGTCTCACTTGGGCGCTCAGACCTGGGGTTTGCTTCTGAGCTGATCGTGATCTTCTTCAACCACGGAGTCTGATCTTTCCTTAGCAGGACAGCATTCTTATTCGAAGAGTCGAGAGACACCGTTGGGACGAAAACCAATCGCTACGAAAAAAACAAAAAAAAAACGTCACGTTAAAATTGGTACTGGAAGAAGGGGATATTGATACGGAGTACCTGGGAAGGAGATCACCAGCTGCTGCTGCCAGTGATCGGGGGGCTCTGCAAAGAGATTACTCTGTTGGTGGTGTGATTCCTCCACTGGCTCAATGACCTCTGGTGAAGTGATGTATGTCATCCCATAGACGCTCTAGAATTTTGCGGATTTTGCGCTTTGTTGTTGCTAGCTCGACGCAGGTGTCATCGTTGTTACTAACTGGGAGTTCTCCTTTTCTATAGATCGGATACAATGCTTGACATCCTCTCAAGAGGGATTGTGTGTGTTCTTCGACCAAACCAGATTCAGATTCGGCATCGTCCCGTTCTATAGAGTCCTCAAACTGCCTTGGACGCTCTGGTGCCTCGCACGAACCCCTCAAGTGCCTCGTCTGTACGTCCTTTTTCCGATCGACTTAGGCTTCCTGACGATATGCCCAAGTCGATCGCTTCAGATACATCCAATACCTTAATCGACACCCTTCAAGGGCCGTTCTTCCCTCCCGGAGATCATCTTACCTGTGGACTGCATCATGGCGAGTCGAGTTTCGACTATTCTCCCAACAACTGTACCGGCGACGCTCACCACAGTGCGACCGAGCGACTGGTACTGCTGATGCAGGAGCTCAAGTATGCCGACACAGGTGCTTTCTGGGGCAGTTTCATGGAGGGCCTGACCTCCATCTGCAGTGCCCAGTATTGCTTTGTCGCTCAGTGGCTCCCGCAAAGCGACCAGAAAAGCAGTTCCCGTCTCCTAGCGCTCGCTTTCTACTACAATGACGGGCATCAACTCGTGGGCATAGAACATAACCGATATTTCGCTGGAGGCAACCCTGATTCTCATATGGACCACGAACGGCCATGTTTGATCACAAAGGATCTTGCTTCATTTATTTCACCAGATCTCGATAAACTCCCATTTGCCGCCGAAGCCTATCTGTCAATTCCCCTCTTTTCGGACCACAAATGCGTCGCTTATTTAGGCCTGATGTGGTCCGATAAAGGCTTGCAAAAGCGCGTACTTCCGTGGCCTGATCTAGAGAGGATATTGGGCTCCCTTGAGGATTTTCTCATCCCGCATGTTTTAAACAGCCTCAAATCGGCAGCTGAAAACGATCAGAATGGGGATATGGACAATACTACCGAGCCTCGTCGGGTCACGGAAGGCTCACAGGGACTACATGATTTTTCTACCCACACACTGAAAATGTACGCGAGAAGCCTATCCCATGAACTACGGACGCCGATGCAAGGTGTTGTTGGTATGTTGGATGTGATGCACGCAACAGTCTGTGATGCGATAGAGAATAAAAATGCAATTGAGAGAGATCAGGTCTTCCAGTCTCTAAAGGAAAGCATTGAGATGATACAAGACAGCGCGAGGCGAGCTGTGGAGGCTGCAGACAACGTTGTTCACGCGTATGAACTTAACATGCAAGTCCCAAAGACGCCGCAGATAGAGCTTGAGCACGAAATTCTCGGTACTTCTGGACCATCTTCTTTGACAGTGCCCGAGAACCGGCCTGATTTCCTCATCGAAGGAAGCAATATTCGAGTCAATTCGCATAAACGACGGCGGAGCAACGCTGCAGAATTGTCTGCTGGACCGGCGATGAAGCAACGAGTTCTTGAGCGCCTGTCTGAAAAGAACCTATCACGCAGAGGTGAAGAAGTCAAAAGCGCTGTTCACGAAAGCAAGAAGATCGTACATTCTGCGCCGGCGCAGGAGTTTGACGCAGTGATGGCCAAGATGACAGATGCTCGCCCGTCCCTAGCTGTGAGAAGATCTGCACCACATCTCGTCCTGGAGGGCATTGATCTTGTTAATCCTTCGTTGAGATTTACGAATCTTCGTGATCTGCTTCGTCTTGTGATCAATGAATCTCTCCATGTTGGCGGTCGACCGGATTTCGCAGCCAGCGAAACCACCGACTTGGGCGAGAAGATCGAGGTCCGCTCACGATCATTCAACGGAGAAACCTCGTCAAAGATCATCATCTGGTCTGTCGATCCTGCCTTACCCGAAACTCTCCTTGTGGACGACCGAGATTTTGCAAAGCTCGTTTCTTGCGTCTTCTTGAATGCGATTAAATTCACCAACAGCGGGTCCATCACGGTCTATGCCACAACAGGATCCAGACTCAATGAAGTCCTCATCACTGTTCAAGATACTGGTCCTGGTATTCCCGAAGCGTTCCTCCCAAATCTCTTCAAGCCCTTTGCTCGAGAGGATACCTCGACGACGCGCAGCAAAGAAGGACTGGGACTGGGACTTCTTGTGGCCAAAGGCCTCGCAAGGAAGATGGGCGGGGATTTAATCTGCCGGCGTTCGTCCACTTCAGGCCCTGAACGTGGTTCGGAGTTTGAGATCAGAGTCCCCGTCAGCCAACCTGAAGGATCTTATAAACCCGTGGCACCCACCGACCGAATTCTTTCCCCCAGTCATCTAAAAAATTCCTTCAATTCGAAGGGATCTCCTGGCTCTGTTTGTTATCCCCCGACGCCGTTTCAGCCAGCATCATCTTCTCAGCCCCAAGAGCACCTTGCACGGCCACCTTCACCGTACATCACCAGTCAGAATCCCTCCCAAAATTCAATGAAACTGCAATCAGCAAGCAAGGGAAAGAATGGCAGAACTCCGATAAATGGATATGAATACGATCGCCGTCTTGGAGAGAAGTATCCACTCACCTTTCTTATAGCGGAAGACAATCGAATCAATCGGCGGGTCTTGGTGCAAATGCTCCGGAAACTTGGTTATCGTGATGTATACGAGGCTTGCGATGGCAAGGAAGCAGTGCGAATCATGCAGAATATTCTAAAGTCTCATGATCCAGGATTCACTGAACCGCAAGATCACAGTGCCGACACACTCTCTGCCCCTCCAGCTCTAACCCAGAGGATGAAACCTATAGATGTTGTCTTGATGGACCTTTGGATGCCGGAAATGGATGGGTACCAAGCAGCCGCTCGGATATTTGAGATGCTTTCCGAACGCCAAATCTCGGATGATTTCTCTTTTAAGAAATCTGGGACCATTCACGACACCACTTCGCGTCCAGTCTCCCCACCACAATCACCCACCATCCTTGCTGTCAGTGCAGACGTCAGCGATGAGGCGCTTGAGCGTGCGTCCAAAGTTGGAATTAAAGGCTATATGACCAAGCCTTACAAACTTTCCGACCTGGAGCGCCTTATAGTCGAATTCTGCGGTCAGGTGACAGACTCATGCGAGACGCAATAGCCTTGGTTTCGAGAGCATTATGAGTCATCACCACTTCCACATTGCATGCTTTGGTTATAAGCCAATATCTGTATTTCATTTTCTTGCCTTGTTATGATTTGATGACCCCGGGAAAGGGAACATATGTGACTGTATAGATGATGAGGGCAAGTCACCCATGAATGATGCATTTAATGTCCGGTCATTTCTCCACTCTTTGCTTTTTTTTTTGGTTTAGATAGATATAATTTTAACGGGTATTTTGTTTGCTTTGGTCCATCCTGTACTCGTTGAGTTTTTATAGTAAATACGTGAGAGGTATAGATCTGCTGGGGATATATCTCTCTTGAGTGGAAATATAGCATTCAAGCAGCTTGAGCTAGATATAACAGAGGATAGATACAATAGCATGGCTCCAAAAATAGATAGATAATATAGAGCAAGGATACAAGAGTGGAAGAAAGGAGAAATAGTCATCACATCCATTATTGGCATTCAATTATAGGTGCAGCAGAAGCTCCATATTCCCGTCTTATAAGCCTGATGCTCAATGCTTATTGTTGTTTTCCTTCTGCTCCGACTCTGGCAGGCTTGCAGGAGCCACTGCTTTTTTTTCTTCTCTCTTTGAACCCAAGCCCAAAAACACGCCGCTAACTAAGCATATATTGACATCGATCCGGCCGCTCGAAAAAACACCTTAAGTAAGCTTCTGCTTGATGAAAAAGGACCTGAGATGAGATAGTTGCCAGGCACAAGTGATGGAGAGGACCACCAGTTGAATGAGGGTCCATCGCACGACGCGGCTGTTGGTGGCTTCGGACTGGTCACGGAACTCGGCTTCACGCTCCTAAAAGACAGCAAAGTTAGAGATCATCCAGCGTTTGAGAGATGATTCAAAAGAGAGAGAGAGAGGTAAAATAACATACCCGCTGGAAGACCTGTTCGCGACGAATATCCTGCAGCCGCCCGTTAAGATCCTTGACCTTCTGCACGATATCCTCCATCTTGCCCTTGTCTTCGCTCTCGATCTTGCTAGTCTCGCCAATCGCAAGGTCGACCGTCACCTTGACCGCACCGGCAGGGCCACCAGACAGCCAGCCACCTGTCGTCACGGTTGTGTCTGGGGTGAAGCAGATGCGGTGCTGACCAGCATCTGCAGCGGTCAAGGTGAAGCGGCCGGTATGTGTGCCGCGGTGGGTCATAACGCGGTGGTCGTTGTCAAAGGTCTCCTCGACGGTAATGAGCATGTTCAGACTCTGATCAACAGAGTACGTGTTGGAGTTCTGGTTGATCACTTCTGTCGAGTAGTGCCCTGTTTGTTGTATTCCGATCAGCTTTGTTTATCGGATTGATATATCACCCCGGGCACAACATCAGGGAGGGGGGTCCATAGGAAATTTATGAATATAAAGCGTAGCCTTACCAACAACTAATGTGTCCTTGGGCAGCTCCTCGAAGAAACACTTCTGTTGACGACCATCCATATAAAAGTACAGCGCATTCGTGGGAAGGGCCAGCGAGAGAATGGCAAACATCGCCAGGGCGGACGACAGCCATGACGAGGACGGCCGGGAGGAAACCATGGCGACAATATTTGTGAACAATTTGGTCAGCAAGAGGTTGGAAGAGTCAATGGCGGGAAAACTGTCGAGATTCCAGCCGGCGCGTGGTCGTCTCTGTTGACACGGAGAGGGTCTGGGGGGAAGATCTGGCTCGAACGGGAGGCCGAAATGGGCACGGGCTTGGCACGAAGTATCGGACGCGGGAGAGCATTGGGAGAAAGAGAATATTCCGACATCACCCCTCGCCACACCCATCGGTTTCCATCACGCAACTCGTGTTTTCGGGCTCGATTTAATAATTTTGATTTGGCTGCAATCCTAGATTCTCATATCTGGGTTGGTTGATCACGGAAAATCGCCATTATGGCGGCCGCCGACGTTCGCGACATGCTGGATCTGCCAGCGGAGGGACAGCCCAGACCTCACAAGAAGCAGAAGGTCGTTGAGAAGAGGCCAGGTAGGTAGCTTGAGTTTTTGTAACTATGACTATACACGGTCGCTGACGAAATACGGTTTTAAGAGGGCATCACACGCGAGCTTTTCGCCCTCCTAGGCGAACGAGCGCCACCGATCACGATCAACGAGAACAGATACAAGGGACGTCCAAAATGGATCAGCAAGTCGAGAGTTCGGCCATGGTATGTGTTTTGCAATGGGATTTGATCAAGCAGATATGGCTACTGACGCCGCGCAGGCAAATGGTGCCTTTTACAAACAATGCTCGGTCGGACGGCCTCGTGCTTAACCATTGGCAGCGGCGGCCAGAACCAGTCAATGCGCCCGCACCAGAGGGTTCGGAGATGGAGACAGACGAGAATAAAGACGAGGCGGCTCAGCCAACAGACCAGAAAGAATATGCGTTCGCAAAATACAACATCAAAGCTAATGTGCCGCGACGATATACCTCGGAGGAATACAACCGACACTTGAAGAGCGATGACTGGACCAAGGAGGAAACGAATTACTTGATGGATCTAGCGGAGGAATACGACCTGCGATGGGTAGTCATTGCTGACCGGTACGACTATCAACCGCAACCGTTGGACCCAGAAGCTAGCGCCAACGCCCTCGTGCCCGCCAAGCGGTACCGAACAATGGAGCAGATGAAATCACGATACTACTTCATTGCGGCGTCGATGCTTGCGCTAGAACATCCGCCGTCCGAGATGTCCGAGGCTGAGTTCGAGCTGCACGAGAAGATGATGAAGTTCGACCCTGAACGTGAGAGGGTCCGCAAAGAACTCGCGGCGTTGCAGCTGAATCGTACGGCGGATGAAGTCCGCGAGGAAGAGATCCTGTTGGAAGAGCTCAAACGTATCACCGCCAACGAACACAACTTCGTCACCGAGCGTCGCGAGCTTTACTCCCGACTCGAGGTGCCCATCAGTGTCGGCAACACCACCATGTATCAGTCCAGCCAGGGCCTATCCCAGCTCCTACAGACACTCCTCCAGGCAGACAAGAGCAAGAAACGGCGATCTCTACTCGGCCCCGAAGGCGCCGTCCCCAGCCCTGCCGGCCAGACGCCCGCGCAGACTGTCCCCGGCAGCACGCGCGACAGCCGCGCCGACACCCCCAGCACAGGACCTGCGGTCCCGGGCACCAAGAAGGGCAGTGTGGCTGCGGCTGCGGCTGCCGCCGCCGCTGCCGCCGCCGCGGCCGCGACCAAGGAGGTACCGCAGACGACGCGCACCCTCACTCCGGCCGAAGAAGCCAAGTACGGCGTGCAACATCACGACCGTCTCGCCCCAGGCGTGCAGTTCCGCAGTGACCGCGCCCAGAAGCTGACGCAGGCCAAGTCCAACGTTCAGTCGCAAAAACTAGCCGCCGCGCTCGCGGAGCTCGAGGTCCCGCCTCGGCTGGTCATGCCGACGGAGCGCGTGTGCAAGAACTTTGAGAAACTTATCCACTCCGTCAATCTCCTGCTCGACGCCCGCAAGGTCTCCGAAAAGGTTGACAGCGAAATCCGCGTCCTTGAGGCCGCCCGCGACGAACGCGAACGAAAGCTCCGTGAAGTAAAGGGCAAAGATGGCAAACAGTCGGAAAGCAAGACCAAGGCAGACGCTCCGAATGCAACGGCTTCTTCTTCTTCTTCCTCTTCCGCCACCAAGGACACCACTTTGCCCCGTCCGTCATCGTCCTCTTCGGCTGCCGGCAAACCTCAACCCTCTGCTGCACCGGTCACTACCTCCAATGAGGGTGCTACCCCTGCTGCCGCCACTTCTGGCGCAGAGGAAATACCGGCAGAAGAGGAAGACAAGGCGCAGCCACATAAACGCTCTGCCAGCGTTCTTAGTAACGCGAGTGATAAGAGTTCGAAACGGCAGAGAAGATAGAGATGGATGGATGGAAAGAAATATCGTTCATAGCGAGTATTTTTTTTTCTTCTTCTGCCTGATTGTATGAATATTATGACCGGAGAGCTTCTTCCCATAGCCCGATTTAATAAATACCTCCATTACCATTACCATTATGATTATAGACTGATCTGGTAAAAAGGCATAACTAACAATGCCCTCCACCTCCCGCAACTTGCATCAATTCCCCCAAGATACATTTCCTCCCAGTTCCATCACCATTGTATCCATTATTCGCTTTGACGATCCTTTGGCACTTTCAACCAAGTAGTACCGGCTGACCAGCGGCGAAGATTCTCTCGGACTGCGGACGCTGGACTGTTGTGCCCAGATGCAGACGAGGATCGAGAACGTGTCGGCTTCTTTCCCACAACTCGCTCTTCGGCCACCGCCTCACTCGGCGCATCGTCCATTTTGAGATTCACCAAAGGGATATTTTCTGCTCTAGAAGTCGATTCTCCGTCCGAGGGCTCAACCAGGCTGTACCCGTACCCAACACGTCGACCTTCAGACATCCAACCCACACTGACCTTCCGAGGTTTGCCAGCCGCGTCACCAGTGTTGTCAAATTCTGTGAAATTTTCGGTAAACTTACTCTTGATGGCCTCCGATTTTGGAAATGAGGTGGTTTCGATAGCAGTCGAACCCTTTCTCGATACAGTACAGTTCTGATCAGGCAAGGCACGAGGCGAATCCTTTTGTGGGAGAGGTTTACTTCTTGCTATCGCATCGATACATCTGGTTCCGAGACTCAGCTGACTCAAGAGCGTGCCCTCAGCGGACGATAAGCTGTTGTTGAGGGATAAATATGCAGAACTTCCATCTTGGCTCCGCTGCCGGTGCTCTGCATGCTCCAAGGGTAGACCCTTGACACTGTGCCACTTTCGACGCGGATGGCGATCATTGTCAGATAGACTCCGTGGACTTCCGCCCCCCAAGGACTCAGTCGGAGAGCCAGTCTCTGGTGACGTTGAGGATGATCTTAGTATTGCGGATATGTGCATGTTTTCAAGGTGAATCGATCTCTCAGTCGCAGTAGAAATCTCGCGGCGATGTCTTCTTTTGTGAACTGCAATACCAGGTGCCTTATCCATTAGGTCATCAGAGTATTCAGAAGCTGAGCTGATACTGATTGTTCGCTGAACAGGAGTCAAATTTGAGGCTGGCTTGATAGTGGGATCGTCGCAGGTCTTTGTGGTCATTATCGATTCTCGTCCCAGCCGCTCCTTAACAGGAGAATACGATGGATCATCTTCTCCGGTACTCTCAGCTGCTATATTGCCAGGCCGATGGGCGAATTTACCCTCGATGGTATTTTCAACCTTTGCAGAGGACGCATCCTTGGACCTAGCATCTGAGGTTACGGTGTGCTCCTCATGTGAAGTCTTGCCATCTGACTTTGCAGCTAGAAGTTGACCACTTCCCTCATCTCCGTCGTCTTCGTCGTCTTCGTCGTCTTCTATGTCCCGATACTCTTCGTCGAGGTCGTCTAATTCGCCTCGCCGGACGTATGAAAGAGGAGACAAGTACCTGTTATCAAAAGGCAAATCGAAGGCGATTTCGTTTGGACCAACATTGCTCGGTGTAGAAATATACTGCGCATCGCTGTCATAGCCTCCAACACTCATCAAACTACCATGGAAGTTGTTCGACTCTCTAGGAGCTGGGGTAATTTTGATCTTGGGGGGTTTGGAAGAGCGCCTGCGAGACCGAGAACGAGAGCGCGAGAAGGTCTTAGGTCGCTCAAACTCCCACGATGACGGTCTCGAGAACCGCCTGCGCAGCCGGTCAGACAGCGCTTTGGAGCCAGATCTTCCATGGCCAGATCCCTGTGGTCCATCGGGGGTAGAATTGTCGCCTATGGATGCCGACGTTGCTAGGCTCGTCAGATGAAAAGACGCCAACGAACCGGATCACCAAGCCCCCTACCTTCTGACGCGCTTTGCAAAGCTCCTGAGACACGCACCAAGGGTTCCGGAGAGGCCACCCGAGAGCTTTCCTGCGCCTTCTTGCGACGATAGCACGAAAAGAGACCCATGTTGGCGACTTCAGACGCATACACTGATGGAGTGGTGCAGCGAGTTGATAGACTGCGAGGAGATATTCATATCCAAGGCGTATGAGATAGGCAGAAGACTGGAGATAAGAAACGCGTCGTGGCAGATATTGGACAGCAGCAGGATAAAAGGCTGTATATCGATACTGCTTTATGTGTGGTGAGGCATCTTTAGCTGAAAAGGGAAGTCACCAGGAAGTTACTTGAGTAACTGCAACTATCTTATTTTATTAATAGAAAGATTTTCCTGTCTAGTCAAAGAATAAGATATTCTATCATTCTTAAAAAGTCTATCTATAGTATAGGACTATACTTCTCACATCCATGAGCACCAGGGCACCACTGCCCCCCGGCCGGCGACAGCCTTCTCCCCAAAACTTTGCACGTACCATTTCCTCCCCCATCTCGCATGCGGCAGCATGTTGGTCACGGCGTTGACGAAAAAGACCACTGCCGGGAGAGGGAGCCGAATGTTCAGCTTTTCCGCGAAAACCACTGCAGGAACCAGCCAGGGCGCGACTTTCAACGGCAGACTCGGTGTAGAGTTTGGAACAAACCCGCGCTGAGGCAGCACAGACGTGCCAACGAGGGCAAAACCAAGCCATTCGATCCATTCGAAGACATAGTGCGGGTAGAGGATGGATCGAAAGACGCCTTGCGTAGGCGGGATCACGTAGACCTTGTGGTATTTGTTTTTGCTATCCCCCTGGTTCTTCGACTGCTCTCGTTTGGCCAGACGTCGATCTGCTTCGTCTCTGCGGAGCTGGAAAAGTTGTCTCTCGGCGTGGATATTCCCGATCATACCCGTGAAAAAAAGCCCGAGGCCGATAAAGCTAAGAAACGTTGGAATCCCTCCAACCTCGTTGGCATCAAAATAACTGTCCCTATAACCGGCTACCGGAGCTGTATATCCAAAGATCCAAGCCGCCAGACATACGGAATTCATCCAGTTAAAGATCGCCGCCATCCCCACAACTAACAGATGGATAGGCGACATGCTCGGCGCCGAGAAGAACGGCGAGATCACAGCCCGGTTCACGTAATGGAGAACATACAGACCCGCACATAACTGGCTCGCAAGCGGCAAACTCCAGAAATCGCTACCCGTTCCTGTCGGGAGCCTCCAAAGCGTGTAGATGAGGTTCACCGGGCCGATGGCCTCCATCACGAACCAGCCGAAACGGCCCGGTATGTTGAGCAAAGAGTTCTTCAGAGACGTCTTTCCTGCTGGATGAAACGATAACAGCCATTGTAAGGTAGTAAACTGGACGGTCCGGTGTTAGCATATCGACTGGTTTGCAAGGGGGTAATAAATACTAGCAAACATACCAAGGGGAAATATTGAAAGATATTGAGCACGATGCAATAAGCCTCCGGAGTCGGTGGGAAGAAGTCTGTCAGAGGCGGCAAGGCGTTCATATACGAAGATAATGTAGAGCCCATTATGGCTGTTCAGGGGGGATGGTGTTGATGTCAAGTTTGAGGTGAGAAGCAAGTCCGCTTGATGTGAGGTTCTGAATTATAATACCCAAAAAAAGGGATTAAATACCACTTGATAATACAGTGGGTTTATTAAGATTAAATCAAGTCTACGTGACCAAAATATGAGATTGTTGGCGTTTGAGTTCAACGTGTGAGCTCAACTTTTTCGAAGCTCGCGATCCACGTGATCTAGCGATAGCAGAGTGCCAGAGACTAGAAAGCTGGAAACGATTACCAAGAACTGTTCTTGGGACGTACGGAGTGATTGTAGAGGATTTACTAGTTATGGAAATCATGAGCACACCTACAGCTAGCCGATGACGTATACATTGGTTGACTAATCCACGGACTTGATGAGCTTTTCCCAAAGGCAAGGAGCTGTCAGATGGGAATGCAGGTCCCAAATACTACACAGCCTCAACCGGAAGATGTGTCCATACCGTCCGGCGCAGAGTGGGCAAGTGGCTGTCGTTTGGCGGCTATCCTATCGGCCTTGAAGGCCTCGATCTTGGCTTTGAGTTCGGTGTCTAGGAAGCAGCGAGTTAATATCACGGTTGAACAACTGACTGTCGATTTTGCAGCGTACCTGGCTTCACATCCTCCATCTTGAGAGGGACACGGTTGAACGGATCATGAGGATCGCTGAGGAGATGAGACCGGATGGTCGAGCGGTCAATGGATATTTTAGAGCTCGGGAGAATGACGGGGTCTTCCATCAAGGTATAGATGAGAGGATCTAGACAAGACATTAGCATATAGGTAAGAGAGAACAACGGATGGGGGGGGTCAAACATACCCAGGAACTCATCCGGAATCTCTCCAAGATCCTCCTCGGCCTGGTCGTCGGCTTCCTTGGCCTCCTTAACTCTCTTCTGCAACACGTCCCACTTCTTCATTTCCTCAGGCGACTTCAGAGAATATTTGCGAAGGATGTCGGCCGCTCTCTCAAAGTTGGCTGGCTTATAAGAACGTCCGTCTCGGGCGACGGCATAGATGAAGTTCTCTTTCTCTAGGAGATTGAGATAGACATCAACAATCTCACTCAGCAGGGCCCGTGGATTGAACCCGTACTCCTGCAGGTTGTCGACACGGAGATTGGAACTCTTCGGCCCCACCATCGCGTCCAGGTTATAGTCCAGCATGTCCGCGAGTCGCTGCACGATCTCAGGCATGGTGAAAGAGTCTGCCAACGCCTCGGTGAAGAGTTTCAGCATGGACACCGTCTCATTCGTCAGCTGCATGTAGGATTTGGCCTTGTTCTGCGCCGCAGCCAGCGCCTCTTCTTTTTCCTGTCGGATGGCCTGGTCCATGGTGGTGCCATTCCGGGTGAGTTCCACCTGGGTGTCATGAATGGTGACGAATGCGCTGAAAGACTCGTCAAGAACATACGTCACGTCATTGAGAAGAAGGTTAACGAATCGAACGAAGAAGTCCAGGTTCTGCTTGGCCTGGTTCAAGAGCTTGGTTCGATAGAGAGGGTTGGGCCAGATGCATTTGATGACCTGAAAGATCTCGTAACGGATGTTGAACTTGTCGTAGAACTGGGTGTGGGCCCCCGTATGCTCGGCCTCGATGTAGAATTTCATCAGAGAGTGTAGGAGATATTCGTTGGCAAAGGGCATGGAATTCAACAAGTCTACCAGAGAGCCCCGGGCGCCACCAGGGCGCGGCCATGTCCCGCGGAAGAGAATCGAAACCAAACCCGCCTTCAGATATGGATTCTTGATGTAGTCTGAACTTTCCAAGAAAGCCACACAGAGCATGACAAGTTCATCGCCTTGCGTGGCAGTGATGATCTGGGGCATGCACCACATAATGAACTTGAAATTGCTGACAATGTCGTCCAAGAAGTACTCGGGAAGACACTGGAAAATTTCCGGCTGTTCTTCCGGCAGAGGCAACTGGATCTGTTCCTTGGGGAAGTTCTTGCCAGAGACGAGCCGTAGCAACCAGACTATAACATATCGCATGAACAACATCGAGCGTGCCTGCCATTGATCGTCAAAGAGTAAGCCCTGGAGGCTGTACTTCAAGGCCAGGCCAAGATCGAACTTGTCCTTGTATTTCTTTAGAGCCTGCTCAAACACCCGCAGCTGGGCGGGGTTGTTCAGCCATTTATGCCTTTCGAGCTCAAACTTGTTGATTGTTGATTCCATATGGCGGAGGTCCTTTTCCAGCTGCTCCAACTTTGACGTCAGCGATTCACTACCATAGTGGTGGGCAGCAACCGTCAAGAAGAAGATCTCAGTGATGAAGTTCGACGTGCCCTCAGCCGACTTGGAGTAGAATTTTTCAGAGGCATGCTGATCGGCGTTGATCTTCGTTTCATCTTTCATATTGACGCGAGGGTTGCGATGGAGATAGTTGGCATCGATTCGATCGATCTGGATCAGAGTAAGATGATGTTTCTTTGTCCATTTCACCCGATACTCGCAGAACTTACCTTGGTAAACGTAGCATCCATGAAAGGTTCGCAAAGTTGATCCATGCAGGTAGTGAGGTTAAACATAAACCCATCCGATGATACTGTAGTGGGATCGACTTGCATGGCTCTTCGCTTGTGATTGATGTTCAATGCCGCCGCAAACCAGTCCAGGACCCGGTCTCTCGCATCTTTCGACGCTCGAATCATATGGTTGATTATGTCGAGAAGGTCGGAGTTGAGGATTTGCTGCGTCATTCGAAGGGATCTCTGAGAGTTCAAAATATACGCCTGGTCTCGTGTTTTCGGGCTGGAAAAGTAGGACATGGTGACATCGCTCTGGAGGGGAGATAGTGCAAACCACGGACCCAACAGAGTTACTTTCTCAAAGGACGCAGGGTCCTTCGATGTGTTGAATATGGGCGACTCGGTAATAGCAGCTGCAATGGTAGCATGACGAACAAGGTTTCGCAGAGCCTGAGCCAAGTAAGTTGGAGGAATCGTCAAGGATGCTTGTAAATTATCACATACCAAAACATATGGTTTATAATCATCATTGACATTTTTCTTTGCAAGATCCCGACTAAGTCCCTCTACGGCAGCAATGAGAGCAGGCTTGATCGTGTCATCTTCTTCAAACCTCCGCACCGCCTCGGCCAGGAACTCAAAATCAACCCCCTTGTCATCCTCAGGGTCCAAAAGTAGATGTTGCTGAAGCGGGGACTTTGCAGATGAGTCGAGTCTGCAAGACGATTAATCTCTGGTGTCAGGGACGACGAAGGTAGTGATATGACATACCCAAACATCTCCGGCATAGTAATAGCAAAGATACAGTAGCTCAAACAGAGGCGCCTGGCCTCACAGATGACGCTGAACCTCGGATCATCGTCTCGCACTCGGCGGAAGCCCTTGTAGAGCCGCTGGATCCTCTTCCAGCACGGCAAGAGATAATCCAAAGGCTTCTGTCGATCCGCATTCGACGCGGCTTCCAGAAGAGCCTGGTCTAGCACTGAGGTGTCGACGCGCAGACCCCGACCCTCATCTTCCAGCTCGCTCCTTAAGCCCGGCAGATAGGTCAGCCTGTGCCCATGAATGTCCTGCTGCCGGCCCTCGTCCAAGGAGAGCTTGAACACCGCGCTCAGCGTGCGGTTCTCAAAGTCCTCCAGCGTCTCATCTGCTCGTATCGTCGGCGTCGCCGCGGGGCTGATCTTGATACGTTTTCCTTCGGACTGCTGCTGGACATCTGGTCGTGGAGAAGCCGACGGAGAGGGGGCGCCGCTGGCAGCAGCACTCGACGAACGGGATGGCTGGTTTATTTGAGGGGCGATGCCTAGCTGCGGTGTCGCCGGCCGGTCGGCTGCAGGCTCTGAGTCGTTGGGAGCTTGCGACGAGGCCTGTGAAGACGACGATGACGGATTTCCCAGCTTCGCGAGACGCTTATTGCGGATCTTCCCAAGAATAGTCAGTAAAAAGAGCTGAACACCGAGAACTTTCACAAGCAAACCTTATCCGCTTCGGAGAGCGCATCCGACATGTTGCTGATACCACGACACCTGGGTTAAGGGGAGATAGGTTCAGGCACCCTGGAGATAGGTACCAGCAGAGTAACTAATTAGTGACGACTGATCAATCAGTATCTCCCTCAGCGGGGCAGAATACTGCAGAGACACAAGACCGTATGGCCACAAGCCGGGAGTTGGATTCCCGACCGAGAGAGGCTTGCCCCGCCTGTAGTGACTGCGAAAAGATGCAGAACAGGTCCTGGAGAGCAGGAGAGAGGGGGAGGGAGCAGCTCTTGTTCTTTCACTATCTGCCAGACAGCGTATTCGGTCATGGTCAATCAGTTTCGCTCACTTTGACTAAGCAGATGGTTACCGCCTGAGAGTTCCATAGATTACTGGCTATCAGAAGGCGGGATAATAATACTGCCTGACAAATCATTATTTCTGTTAGTAAGCAAGTAGATGAGAGTCTTTCAATATGATCTAAACTTCACTTGAAAAGTCCTGGAAGGGTTCTTTAACATATAGGCATGAATATGTGTTGTATATTTATGACTTGTAAGTCCATAAGTTAGGTGGTTGGAGGGTTGCACAGGAACATTTACCTTCAACTACAGAGTATAATTGCGCAGTACCACCTCAGGTAGTTATATATATAGACTGTTTAGAAGTCAACCATAGTTTAAAACAATAATATGCCTAATGAAGACCAACATCCAGATAAAAAGGTAAGTAGAGTAGATTAGAATACCAATAGCAATATTGCTTTGAGAATTGCTGAGTTGGAGTGACGTAAAATAGATAAGAATAACACTATCTGTATACAGGTTGTCTTTCCTCGATTCATCACTCACCAAAGTAGACAAGAGAAAGAAAAAAAAAAAAAAACTATGGAAATGCAACCGAGGGGGACGCCGTCAAATCATCGTGCATTATGGACATCTAACAAGCAGAAGGAATTATAGTGACCGGAAGGTCATGAGAGAAGAAGAGGGGGGAGAGGATACAGCAGGAGAGGTCAAAGCCTCACATTCATCGACTTGAGCCGATTACAGCTCTTTAGCTCCATAGCACGAGCCTCCTTCATCTTCTCGACGTCCGGGAAGAACCAGCCCTGGGCGTCTTGGATCAGGCGGTCGCGGACCAGGACTTCGTGGTCGCATTCGTAGCGCAGCTTCTGGACGTACTCGACCTCGACGCGTTGGTCGAGCTTGTTGAATTCGCGCGAGCTGTAATCCTTTACATCGGACGGGTTGACAAAGTAGTTGATGTTCATTTTCGGGGTGGTACGATGCATGGTGTGCGGGGGCACGGCGGTGTCGACCCGGTAAGACGGGCTCACGGGGGTCGACGAGCCGGAGAAGAGCGACGAAAGCAGCGGCAGCACAAACAGGAGGATAAGCGGCAGGAGTTGTTGGACCATCGACCATGTCGACAGCGGCGCTTCCCGCGCCGCGTTGGCTTCTCGCGGCCTTCGACGCGGCCGCGAGCCGCCGAACTGGTGTACTCTGAACCCGGGGCCGCCACCCATATTAAACACAAACTGAGGACCACCTGAAATTATCAGTAAAAGGAATATAGAGGCAAATTAAACAGCATATCTCTTACCGAAAGCACTCCCGCCAAACGCACCCCCACCGAAGAACCGATTGAACAGCTCCTCCGGTGAGATCTCCTCCTCGAACATCGACCCTCCACCACCTGCCGGCCTCCGGGCATTGGCAAACCCGCTGAAGGGCGATGGACCTGCGCCCGAAGGCCCTGCCGCACCGGGGTTGAATCTGCTATCTGGGTCACCGCCGAACTTGTCGTATCTCGATTTCTTGTCGGGATCTGATAGGACCTGGAACGCGCGCGATACAACTAAATCAATCAGTAAATAATAGACCCGAAAAGGAACAGAGATAAATCAAACAAGTGGTGGCTTACGTTTAAACGCCTCGTCCGCCCCGTCATAGCCATTCTTGTCCGGATGGGTCAACAGGCTGAGTTTGCGATAGGCCTTTTTGATCTCCCCGTCTGTGGCGGACTTCTCCAACGACAAAATCTCATAGTAGGCTGTTGTTGAGCACTTGCGTATCCGAATCACCGCCGCCTTCTGCTCGACCGTGTACTTGCGCTCCTGGTTCCCCTGGTTGTGATCGCGTGCTCTCGCCGAGCCCCCGGGGCCAGCATCGGAGCCGGACGCGGTAGCAGGCATCTCGGATCGGTCTCAGCAGATGCCTGTTTGATCTTCCTCAGTACCGGTTCGGGTTCGTAGGAGGTTCCTGTCTTGGTCTTGGCCTTTTTTTTGAACCCTGGTGCTGCAGGTTTGGGACAGTGGCGGCCGGCGGGGAGGGGGGAAAAGGGAAAAGACGCAATGCCCGACGCCTCTGATTTTGCGTCGCGAACAGGCGATATTTCTCTGTTGACAGACGGTGAGTCAGTCAGCCCAAATAAAACGTCGAGCGGGTGGTCAGGGTCCGGATCTCTGATGAGACGGTGTTTTTGTCCGGTCAAAAGCGGACAACCAACGTGGTCTGGAAGAACATTGACGCTAAACCCCGATAGTCTAGATACGGTCTTTGTATTTGCATCTATCTCTCTCTCCCTCCGAAGTACAAATCATTACAAAACACTGTTCTTACTATTCTCCTTGCCCTTGTGCTCCAGGTTTATATTTTATTAATTACTACACTCAATGACTGACTCAGACTCGGACGTGAAAACGTCTCTCGCCCAACGAGCGAGAGCATGGGGAGGTATTTCTCTTCCTTCCTTACCTTGCCTTGTGAACTGGTGAAGCGTATATAAGAAAAGCAAAAAGCCAACTAACTCTGTAATCATAGAAAACCCATTCCCCGCGACGATGCTCGCCTCCCTTATCACAGCCCAACATCTCCGCCCCTTCCAATTCTTCCCGATGCTGTTCCCGCCCGCCCTGCTCTTCACCAGCTACGCCAACGTCGAAGGCTACAAGACTGACAGCGCGGGGATCAGTGCCGCTTGGTCCGGGCTGTACCTGTTGCTTGCTGCGCGGCGGCGGCAGCAGTTTATGCGGAAATGGAGTCCGAGGGGGATTGTGCGCGGGGTTACCATGGGCCTTTGTTTTGTCAATCTTGTCGGGGGTGGGATAGCATATACTCTAGGAAAGAGGGAGGAAGAAGAAGACTCGGAGTAACTGGGATGTAGTTCTAGGGAGGCTTTTTGGGTTAAAAGTATAGATTTATGTACATTATTGTTTGATAATTTTTTATAATGCTAGCCATCAAGACGAGTAGATATTGTTCTGGTCAGTGAGATACTCTCTGACACCCCTCGGAACCAGCCATTCGAGATCATCCGGGCGGTCTCGAACCGCCTGGCGGGCGATGGTGGAGCTCACGGCCCTGTCGCCGGGCTGTTTTCCTTCTACGAAATCGAGACGAGACGCCCATTCGCGCTGCCCGCCCTCACTTTCCCGCCCCCCCTGCGCCAGATTGAGCAGGAAGGCCTTCTGTTCTTCGCGGCCGCCCCAGTCGCTGTCCGGCCGGAGAGTGACGCGGAGTCTGTGCCGGGACAAGAAGGGCGCCAACGGCTGCAGCGTGTGGGAGGGCGGGTAGTATTTCGTGTCGAAGATGCGGATCAAGGTATCGTAGCCCGTCAGATGAACCTGTTCCAGTGTGGGCGGGTAGATGGCCGCCTCTTCAATCTCGACCGCCTTGTCCACGAAATACGGCCTCTTGGTGACCCCGATATCAATCTGGGGGAGTAGCTGTGGCTGCTCTCCTTGTGTAGCAGTCTCCAACAGATTTGCTCGCACGTATTCCAATAGATCACCCGCAAACAGTTCCATCATCGCCAGCCGGTCCTCGAACAGCGCCGGTTTTGACGGCTTGTCTGCATTCTGTGTGGCGAGGAGCAGTAGTAATCGTGACGAAACAGTAGGCTTATCCAGCAGCGCGGAGACTGCAATGCGGAGATGAGCGGTGGTGGGAGGATTGAAGGAGGAGTCGAGCACGTAGAGGAGTTCTGGCGGCGACGTCTGCTGCTGCTGCTGCTGCTGCTGGGCGGGGACCGTCTGGATGACCTCGAACGCCTTCGGCGAGGCAACGAAGCGCTGCAGGGCGGTCTTGTAGTGCGCTCGTAATGACTGGAAACTGTTCATATTAAGCAAAAACCGACAGTTCTTTTTTCATACGATCATATATGGAATATACTCCATTCGATAGTGGGTTTTCATTCGTGGATAGCAACATGAGGTTTCTGGTTGATGGCATCATGCTTACCTGATCATGTTTACTCCGTACTCCGTACGGAGTACAATTACCCTAGTTAGGGCAAGCAAGGCGCAGAGTGTTTTGGTAGGCTTGCAGTTCTGAAACGCTGCAAGCGCCGATCAGACCCTGCAGGCGATCTGAGTAAAAACTAATAATATGGAAATAATAATAATAATAATTTGGAGTATTGATCGTGCGATCTACTCCATAGCGGCAGTTGTTGTTTATTCGAGACTATCGAGTGCCCCAGATATGCAGGTACTATTATGAAATACTTGGGTAATTTAGGTAGTAATTAGTTAGTCAGTTACTAACTAGTACCTACCTACCTAGTTACATGGTTAGGTTAGGTAGTTAGCAAATTGACTAGTATTTAGTTACCTAGGAAGTCAGTTGCTAGGCACACCATAACTACTTGTTACCTACCTACTCTGTAGGTACCTAGATAACATAGGGCGAGACGGGGTTTGCTTGTCCCAATCTAGTGCGTGCGGCCGCCGCTATAAAGTGCGACATGAGAGCGGCCAAGATGCGGCAGCAGCGGCCACACAGGGGTTAAGTGACGCTGCCTTACCTACCTAGGTATTCTTAGTATCTACCTAGTAGATCTGGGTCAAAAGCTGCCAATGTTTAGAAAGGGCCAAGTTCCAGTGCTAAGTGGTCTTGTCGCCTCCGACGGCCGGCAGATGCCAAGACTCAAGAGATGCAGTCGAGATGCAGTCGAGATGCCGACAAAGATCACATCTGCTCCGGCACTCAGTAACAAATTTGTCAGTGGACAGGTCCAGTGGTAAACGATTAGACCCCTTATTTGAGACGCAGAATAATGAAACCAAGGCCGCAGAAGTTGCTCGCGCCAGATGACGTCATTTTCGAGTGCAACAAAAAGGTCAGGTCGTCACCGTCTCAGCCTCTACGAGTCGACAATGACATATTTCATCAACTATTCGGAGCGCATATGCAATCACGGAATAAAGTAAAGTAATGATGTATCATCATTCTGTTTACTACAAAACGCGGAATACAATATGTACTAGCTTATGATGATGTAATCAAATTCAATGAACATTAGACATACAGCCTATTGTAGTCCGCTAACTTTATAACTAACTTGTAGAAATAAATGATAGATGGAATTAGCGCGCAGGAATAAGAAAGCATTGTACAGCAAAAGTCAGACAGAAGGGGCCAGGACCCAGTGTCATCTTAATATTGCGTTGGCATGTGCTTCCAGGCACTGCCCTGAGGGCATCCGGATGCAGCTTTGCATGTCTAGTTAAGAGAAATGATAGTGTCATCATCTTCCTGAAAATAAAAGAACAGGTTCAACCGAATTCTATCTACATAGAGCTTGTTGTATCAAGGAGGAAAGAAGTAAGAAGGAAAGGATAATGCGAGTTGCTTTAATATGGGTATTAGACAACGACACTAAGCCCAATTTGGATAAGGGACGCTGGAGCCTGGTCTCGGCTGCTTTAGACAGACACAGCAGATAACTAACCCATCCTCTTAGAGAAGGGAGAGAGGAACGACCATCATCCCGACGGATTATTCCTTCTGTAACTTGCCACACTGTCTCTACTTTCTCCACCATGTCCAATCTTTCATCTCTCATGGAAAATGTCATGATATGAGTACGAGAACGGAACGACCGGCGTGAATTCCTGACCAGAGCGATTATAACTAAACAGTCAGCAATATTCGCAGGCATAGGACGACATTCTGGAGAGGTTTGGCTTACAGTGGAAAGATACTAGTTCGAGAACTGTGCCTCATGCCGAGCATATTTAGGTAGCGAGTGACTTAACAGCGTGGTATCCTGGTCAGATACAGACAGACGAAAGAGCAGCGTCTCTGCATCGGCAAGAACCCCCTCGGGTGCATCTAGAGAAGGTAGTCGCCTAGAGAGGAAGGAAGCATTGTTCCTATGCCGACGTACTAATATTTTCTAATTGGAGAATTCATACTAAGATGCATTTTCTGGTAGGAGCGCTGCTTTGCAATTTCGTGATGGTAGTATGGTTGAATATACCACGAGTCCGAACATATCTAACCATGAAGTCGCCCAGTTTTTTCCAGACAAATTGGCAATCTGGCCCGCCCTGTACCCTCTATCGCGTTAAGTTGACCATTTTGACGTTGTTGACGGTACAGAGGCGAATGAGGCCAGCGCGGTGGGTGAGGAACAGGGTGAGGGAGAGAGGGTGTCGGTGGTGAGGCATAAAGCGGCGGGATGCACGCGCTAATCCGGAAGTCGAGCACCCACGATCTCTCGATACCTAGGTCCCTAGGTAGTTACAAGGTATTATTATCTAGTTGCCTACAGGCTGGGATACAACCAACTAACACTCATTTATGATAGTACAATAATTAGAAAGATTCTAAATAATCCTATCTCAGTGAAACACCGGTGGAAATTTCTCCTGATCAGAGAACTTCAGTGGGTCTAGAACTTATCAGGAGCGAAAAGCTAGACTTTGTGAGACGAACCTGAAATAGAGAAAAACCATATTCTAACTACTGATTCTGTTCCATGGCTGTGGCATGCCAAGACCTAGTGGTTGTACAGAGTACATGTATGGAGTACTGTGGTCTTGTGCAGTAGCAGTGTGTACAGCATATACTATGTAGCACGAGGACATAGGCAGTAAATAGTACCTACGGACTACGGAGTGAGTACCAAGGACGACTAGCCTATGTAGGTACCTAAGTCTCTGGCGTACGGAGGTCCGGACTCTACGGACTCATGGAGTACCCCAGAAGCTCGGAGAAAGAAATTTTCTGTATGAGTAAGAGATCTTAACTCCTCCACTTTCAACCCCGTTGCGATGAATAACAATTGTCTATATTAATATTATTCGTTCCTCTCCGAGCCAGTCCAGACTCGATGATCTACACCCAATATCCCAAGATAAGCGTGCTCAGGCCCGTGTCAGCCAGGATCAGACTTGTGGTACTTGGCGGGTAACTAGTTATGGAGTAACTACCCAGGTAGATTAGGTAGGTAGGTAGGTAGGTACCTAGACCAAGGTATGTTTCACTCAACATTAAGTTTTGAGTCTGCAGAACTGTTCAGGTACAACATCAGAGAGTACAAGTATCACTAACTCGTTACCGTTAGTAGTTGCTCTAGAATTACTGCCAAGAGAAGCGTGCGAGTGGAAGTCTGAATAGGAATCAAACTCAAGAATAGGAGAAATGTCGTACGTATGATTTTTCACATTTGTCCAAGTCTGTAGAAAGGGGGGTGACGCCACCCATGGAAGCAGCGTCAGCACTGCGGTAGGTAACTTAGGTACTCCATAGTGCCGAGTACTAGGTAACAGTAACTATTTGTTTTGCTCCATCCATGATAACAATCATACATCTGCCGTAGGGATACAGTGTAAGTAGAATGGGCGTGTAATCTTAATAAATTAATGAATTATTCGAAATAGAATGAGAAGTAATCAAACCTTACGAGTCACCACTAATAAAAAAATAATCAAATATTATAATACTTCCAGCCAGACATGGGCTACGATCAATTTTGGCCTAATAACAACGAAACGAGCTAACCACGATAGGGGCGAGCCGTGCTGCCTGACTGGAACGTGGTTGGAGCCGTTGCTGGTGGGATGAGATTAAAGTGGCCAGGGGCAGGCCAATCAGCAGCCACCCACTGGGTCCACGAAACACCCGGGCACCACCGCCAATCCCGTTTCCACCGCCCAGCGCCACGCAATCTGCCAGCCCGCGCCAGCACTGGCAGGTACCACCTCACATTAGCCCGATTGGGAAAGGAGTATGGCTCTGGCGCCCCCCACTCTGGGCGTCTCTGAGCGTCTCTGACTGCTGGCAGTGCCGGGCCTTTTAATTACGCTTGCTCTCCCTTTTCCCAGCCCGCCCTCTCTCTCTCTCTCTTTTTAACTGTCCCTCCGCTGGCTGTTATTCACTCCCTCTCTCTTCGTCTCCGCGACAGAGTCAGCCTTCCTTTCTGCTCAACCCCAGTCACTCTTTCACCCTACCTCGCGAATAGATTTCGCGAAACGACATTCTTTGACACACACACACAGCGCTCGACTTCGGTCCTGTTCTTGACAAGAAAACTCACACAAAAAACCCCCTCGTAAAGAAGAAAATCTATCAAATACGCATTGATTGTCGAGCACCATGCAGTTCACCAGCAAGATCTCCGTCGCCCTTCTGGCTGCTTTCGCGGCCGTCGGTCAGGCTGACCACAATGCCCTGCATCGTCGTCAGCAGGCCGAGAGCAGTGCCAACGCCGTCACCGTCATCTCCTCCGTCCTGGTGGTCCCTACGCCTGTGCAGACTACTACCGCCGCCGACGCTGCTGCTACCTCCGATGTTGCGGCTGCTACCTCTGACGTTGCGGCTGCTACCTCGGAAGTTGCCGCTTTCTCCTCGTCCTCGGCCGTCTCTGCCGCCTCTGCTGTCTCTTCGGCCGCTGCCGCCGTTTCGGCCGTTTCGGCCCCTGCGGCCTTCTCGTCTTCTTCGGCCGTCTCGTCCTTTTCCTCCTCCTCCTCTTCCTCTTCCGCCGTCGTTGTTCCTCCTTACCTCTCTTCTAACGCTGTCACCTCCTCCGTGGCGGTGCCTCTGAGCACTGGTGTTGCCGGTGCTACCGGTGCTGCCTCTGCTGGCTCTTCCAGCGCTGGCTCTTCTGGTTCGGACTCGGCCTCGGCCTCGACTGAGACCGTGGTGACTACCACCACCGAGGACGTCACCCTCACCTACACTATTGGCGCTGGTACCTCGACCACCGTCGTGACCACCACCGTTCACAAGACCTCGACTCTGGTTGAGACCGTGACTGTCGTAAGTATAACACTAATCAACAAACTGGGAACATCCGAAGACTGATTCTAAATACTCAAGACCCCTGAGGCCGCTGGCTCCACAGAGACCTACACTCTCGTCGCCGTCGCCGCTACCACCGGCTCTTCCGCTGCCGCTGCCGCTACCACTGCTGCCGCTACCACTGGCTCTTCCGGCTCTTCCGGCTCCACTGGCTCTTCTAGCAGTGCTGCTGCTGGAAGTGCCGCTGCTTCGGCCGCTGGCTCTTGCGCCCCTGCCGAGACCGTCACCGTGACTGCTACCGTCACTGTGGTAAGTTTTTTGATAGGGCAAAGATCTGGTACTGTGCATGAGCTAATTCAACCCGTCCAGACCGCCGGTGCTGCTTCGGCTACCCCTGTTGTTGACGACGACTCCACCACCTCTACCTCCACCGTGATCGTCAGTGCCGAGACTACCGCCGCCGCGGCCACCTCTGCTAGCTACATCCCGACTGCTCTTCCCAGCGTCTCTTCCCGCCCCTACGGCAACGGCACCAAGCCCTGCAGACCCAAGTATGCTTCTTCCTCGGGCTTCCTGACCAGCAAGCTTCCCCTGTCCACCGGATATCCCCTGCACTAAGCGGGAATAAAATCCTGGACACGAAGTTTCTGGCGCGGCCGAGTGTGACTACTGCAGAGTATCTTTAATCTTTCTTTTCGCGCGATGCGTGCTGGCATTGTACCTATTTAGACGAGATCTGGTGCTAACAGTGCTTTTTCTTCATTCTCTTCTTCCAACATTTTGTGAGACGGAATCTTCCAGCCTCCGATGTTGTTTCATTCTAATTGAATCTGTATGATTCCTTTTTCCCCCCCTCCTCTTCAACCGAGCTTTGCTCTTGTCATATCTTGACCGAGGTTTATCCTTGCATTTTCATCTCCGTATGTCAGATGGCCGTGACCAGACTTCGAGACGGGTGCGAGGGAGACACGATTCATTCCATTCTACTGTACAGTTATTAGACTTCTTTTGTTTATTACAGCGTGCGAAAAGTATCACGACCTATCCATACGAAGTATGACAGTAGTGGTAATAGTAAATACAAGTGATGATATATAACTAACTAGTCCCCCATCTAACTATATAGTATCATCGACCTCCCCTTTGGCCAATCTCTCACGCATACTCCGCCACTCCAACCAGGTCAGACCTTGTAACAAGCAATCGGCAAGGTCATCCAATTTGCCGATGCCACTGGCACCGCCAATGCCTGCAGCAGTAGTGGATTTGCGGTCTTTCCTCCACTTGCCCAGATATGCATCGACAGTATCCTGGACAGAAGGATTCCCGACGCAAAGTTTAGCAGGGGTAGTAGCTGTATCATCATTACCAAGAGACAGCCATCTCGCCACTCGATCGATCTTGTCCTTTTTCCCTTCCCGGCCTGTGACCTTGTTCTTCGAATCCTGCCAGTATCGTACCACCCGCTGCGGCTGGATAGGAATAACTTGTGGTGTAGTGGTGTTCTGCTGCGAGGTCTGCGAGGTTTTGGACAAAGTATGTAGAACAGCATAGATCATCCCTTCCAACATGCCGACGCGGATCGTCCACTCCTGTACTGCGCTGCTACCCCCCGTACGAAACCGCTGGCGCTCGATCAGGATGTGCGTGGGGTGGTATTTCTCCAGTAAAGTTGAAGTCAGATCGTATGCATGTGCTGCGTAGAGGGGGGGTGAAAAGTCGGTCGAATTTTTCTTCTTCTTCTTCTTCTTCTTCTTCTTTTCATCCTTACTATCCCCCCCATCAACTGGAATACTTGTCGTCGTTGAATCTGCTGGATCGGCAGTCATCAAAGAGAATCGCCGCCATGTATTCAAGACTGGAGGCTTCGACTCTCGAACGAGAAGATGCGCGTACGCCAGATTCTGGATCCCCATGTCGATGCTCAAGATGCTCATCTCATCGTTCTTTCGGGATTCCACTTCCTCGCGTGTCTGGGAGAGTTCGGCTTCCAGTCGCTCAATGAGGATCCGTTTCGTCCCTGACGAGGCGATTCCTGTTGCTTGTGCGATTTGCTGCAGTTGCGTCGCTTTGAGGGCTGGGAGCCATGATTTCAGAACGATGGATGATTGCATTTGCCTGATCTCTTTGCAACGTGTACATTTCAACACATGTATACTGACTGACTGTTGTCTGAGTCCAGCTTCTTGGGACAATGTTTTCATCACGTGACTAAATATAGATTCTCATTCTTTCGATCCTTACAGCAACTGATTATTATTATCTCTACCTAGGTAGGTAATTGCTAGCTAATAGGCTATATTATTCATACAAGCTCGGATCTCGGAATTAGACTATATTCTATCAATAATCCTCCACGACGCCAGCCAGAATCTACCATGCAACCCGCTAAATGCAAAGAGCAGACAAGAAAACAGGGAATCGAAAAGGAACAAGGCAAAAAAAAAAGGAAATAAAGTGGATGATAAGAGGATGAGGTGAAACTTCATAGCGACTGGCTGAACAGATTCAAAACCTGGTCGTCCGTGGCGACGACTCCTGTCTCGAGAGAGGGGACAGCCTCACGCGCGTACAGGATGGGCGCCCACACACGCCAGTGTAGGACACCCATATGAGCGAGCCTCATACCGATCCGTTCCATATCGCAGTGCCGCTGCGTGAGGAGTAGCATGTGGTGCGGGAGCGGCACGTCGCGTTGTGATTCGCAGATGGCCAGCGGTGACATGGTGAGGTATCTTCTTGCCGAGGCACAGGTTGTGGCCATCAGTTTCTCCCGTAGAGAGGCCTGGTGGAACTGAAACAGTTCCGAGTCATTGGTCAGATAGCACTCGAGCACGGCTTCGATGCGAGAGATGACATCGTCCGCCGCCACAACGATGCCTGAGTCCTCGCCGCAGCAGGCGGCGCATGCGAACCGCGCAATCTCCAGCGAGACGTTGCGGACGTTCCGGAGCCAGCGCGTTTCGCCGCGGTGGCAATCCTCCGTCTCGCCTAGCAACGACCAGATCCGGGACCGGAAGATCGCGTAGGTCTCAGCTGGGGTTGAAAGAACTCGCTTCTGGTTGTCAACATACGACTCGAAAATTGACCAGCAGATGTCCAGGTTGATTAGGTTCTGCAGGTTCGACCGTAATTGCCAGAGTCGCTCTGAGTCGAAGATAAACGTCTCGGGGAACCCATCGGGGCTGTGGAATTGTAACAGCAAGTCAACTAGACCCTGGAACATGACCTGCACTGGCCGGAAACTGTCGGCGGCCGCCGTGATGGCGCTCTTGTCCCTCCGGGCGAGTTCTTGCTGGCGAAGTCGCAGGTACCACTGTTTGGAAGGTTCCACGCTGAAGTTATCCCGCTCCATCTTGCTGCGGAAGTACTCCTGGAGAAATGGGACTGTATCTTCGATGAGAAGGACGCGGAATGCACGGATTTGGTGATTGGCGACATCCTAAACAGTCAGTAGACGCTTACAACGATAGTATTGCGAAAAGTTGCTTACCAGTTTCATGGCTTCCAGAATCGCAAAGAGGGTTTGGAGCCCGCAGACGATTTCACGCGAGTTCTGCGAATGAAATCCCGAAGTAATCTGTTCGACCATCCGATCTGCCCATTCATCCCTCATGGGAGCGCAGTGAGTCTTGAGCAGTGCAGAAAGCCATTTGGCCAGCCCGACCATGTCGAGAACACCTTTCTTGATCTGCTGCATTAGTAATGGGACCTCCAGGTTCTGCATGACACTGGGATGATCCCGCTCGGGGACCAGGGTCTTGAGGACATCCTGGAGCGTTTCAAACATGGCCGGAAGTCTCGGTTCGAACGTTTGCGCGGGGATATCGACTGGGGAAGCCTGGTCACTTGGACTTTTTGAATCACTCGTGTCCTGTGATGCCGCTGACAAGAACGCATATATTGAAATTTCGTTGGACATGGCCTCCCAGTAGTCCGCCGCTTCCTTCCTCTTTTTCTTCCCCTTTTCACCGTCGAGGTCCGGTTTGAAATGAAGGTCGCGATCAAAGTTGGCATCCATGCGCAGGTTGATGTTGTTCATGATGCATGGAAGATCGAGCTCGCTCAGTGTCCTCTTGGTCACAGGCGGGTAGCGCTTCGCTGTCCGCAGTAGCCGTTGCTCTCTCGTACCGAGATCTAACGTATTAGGAATCGCCATCGCCTCCGGCGACGGTGGCGGCCCTCTCAAACGGGCCTGGGAAGGCATTGATGATGCTGGTAATGATGATGATGACGATGACGACGCTGATGATGATGCAGATTCAGTGCCATTGCGGTAGGGGAGCTTAGTCGACACTGGCCGCTGATTCCCGCTGGCCGATTCTGCCTTCTCGCGTCTCTCTGACCGGCGGTCCAGGCTCTCGTCGTTCTTCGGCAAGTCCTTCGAATGGCTGCTGCCCCCGGCATATGGCTCTAAAGTGCACTCTGGGCTGTCCTCCTTGCCATGCCTATCTCGTCTTGCTTCCTTGGTCTTCTGAAGATCCATGTCCATCAATCCTGCCCTGCCTAACCCCAAGGCGATAGCTGTAGGATAAATAAGCTGTGGTGGCGTGGTTGGTGATAAAGTATATAAAAAAACCCGGTCTTTGTAATATAGTCTCGTCGCAAGGAACAAAGGTCATAAAGCTTCACCTTGGTGTATGAGACACAACATATCCTCCCTTATTCCAATTGCTGATATACAATCTTCCAATACCCTTCTTTTCCTTTTGAAGATTCACCCGATTCACAACCCGTCGCCACGTTCAAGAAGCCTGAGGCGGGCAACAAATCACCAAGTTGGATTGAATGATCGGCGAGGATGATATAGAGGCGATGATCAACAATCGAGATTATCTTCGGCTAGGGTACTGAATGTTCATGCGACAATTGGAGGTGTCAAACCCGGCGAGTGTATAGCGTGGACGGTAGGGAGGGAAGGAGTCAGTTGGAAGGGGATTTTGCGCCGAATTGAAATGCCGGAAATCCAAACCAGAAAAAAAACCGAAAAAAAGAAAAAAAAAACAAAAGAAAAAGAAATAAAATTGACACTTCAAGCAGGAGAGGGGGGGAAGAGAAAAAAAGCAATGACAGAGAGGACACGAGGCGTGCGCTGTTGTTGTTTGGTCAGAGCTCATGCATCAACAACAATAATGACATGGAGAAGATCCGCCAGCAAGGCAAAGCAGACGGTGACGAAACAGCCCTAAAAAGACAGCTGATCTGGGCGAATAAAAAAAAGGGCAGCAGAGAAATTATGATAATACTGGTTGAAGATCACCCGAGGACACGACGTCGGATATAACCAATGGTACAGTGCTGGGAACATCCAGTGTTTTCAACATGACGGTTTGGGAGCAGGGGCACCAGGTCCTTTGACGAAGAAGGGATTCAAGAGCGTGCGCATGGCCGACCAAACGAGTAATGACCTGACTACAGACGTCGAGAACAGCTTGGACTAGTGGATGCGCCACTAGGACATCAACATCGCCGAGACCGCTTTGATAAAAGTGAGGCTGTTGATCATAAACGCTTGCGTCCCTCTCCAGCGTTTGCAGCGCCGGGGGAGCATAAGCAAGCACTCCAGCCACCTCGGACTATAGTTACTTACCAGTTAGCGACTGAACTACCACCAGGCGTGTGTGGTCTGCCTGTGTGTGGAATGACGTGGGAGTCTTTATCTGCTGTCTCGTTTCGCACCCGGCGATCTGGCAACGCAGACCAGCGCAGGGACGAGGACACACACTCTAAGAAATTAATAAAAATAATAATAAAACCATATAATCATAAAAAATAAATAAATAAAGGGATGTACTCCGTACGTATCACCCACACTAGCCACTGCTTGTCGAGCCGAACTGTGCGAGGGATGCTGCAGCTAAAATTCCGCATCATTCCCTCAGCATTCCTGACAAGACGTTGTGTACGATCTCGGCAGGACGTGCGAGGGGAGGAACGCTGTTATCCGGTGATGGAGGAGGAGAGCATACCACGCGCCCACGACGAGTTCAGTTGCGAACCTAGCCTAGGATGACCGACCATCGGGCGTGTTTCGTTCATGATGCATCCCAGTGCCCATGCAGCTTTCCGCCCCGCTGTACGGAGTGCGCAGTTTGCTGGGAACGAACGCCTCGACATGGCTCGGGACAGGCAGGGAGCGCATTCCAGTCGCGGTGGACGGGTTGGATTAGCGTTGAAGCCGTTCCAAGTCCCCTCTGTTGCTTAGTTCATCTGTTCCCCTTGCCAGATCCGTATTCTGACGCATCGGGTTTCATCTTAAGAGACATTGCTCCCAGGGCCTTTTGTTATGACCCCTTCAACCCCTTCAACCCCTTCAGTGCTGCACGGAGTACAGGAGCTTATTTTCTGGCCTGATCGCTGGTCCAGTGATCGCGGCTTCGCGCAGCAAGTCGGTCGATTGCCTTGATATCGGTGGTGTGTGGTTGGGAGATCGAAATTGGTGTATAAGTCGTACACTTAAGTGCTCCGAGTGTGAATCACACCTTATTCTTGCCCTGTCTCCCCCCCCTCCCTTCCCTGTCCCCCGCTCTTTGTTTATAAAAATTTTAATTCCACCCATTCTCGAAGGATCTGACTGCGGTTGTTGTTGGCATTATTATTCCAGTTAGCCACTCTATCCCAAGAAACTTTTGTCTGTGCTGTTGTTCCAGAATCTCCACCCAATCACAGGAAAAGGGGTCGAGGAAATGATGGGTTCAAGGCTGCGTTTTCTTTTGTCGCCTTGGAACGACGGGCCTTTTTTCTCCCCCCCCTTCTGTACTACTCAATGGCTTCACCTCGTGGGCCTAACACTCTGTCAGTATTCCGTACTCTGTACTCGGTAGTAGCAAAAATCACTACTCCGTAAATTTTGATTCCCTTGGGAGGCAGCGGATCCAGGCGTGCTACGAGCCTGAATTGGCTGCAAGGAGCAGATAAACCCAAGGCATCCGCTCCAGTGATGATTAGGATATAAAGTAGAAGGTATCGTTGTCTGTACGAAGCACACCAAGAAGTGGGCTGTGTGTGCGCACTGCGTAGTCACTGCAGTGTCCACGTCTGGTTGAACACGTCCCACGCTTCGATGCCAGATGGTTCCAAGACTCAAGTACGGAGTAGTCACGGGGGCCGATGTGATGTGGACCGTGTGTGGTGCCTTGCTATTATTATTGAACGTGTCTTGTCGCTTTTCAGGCAGGAATATTGGCCGATAAATGGTCCCTCCCATGCGTGTGGCATGTTGTGACGTTGTCAGGTAGTCTCAGGTCTGAGTCTCCATCGGCTTCCAAGCTCCCCAAAAGGCCTGGTGCTGTGCTCCCCGGCGATAGGGGGGAAGAGGGGGAAGAGATGGGTCGGTCGCGGGCATCGATCGGCTGGTTTGTGGATTAAAGGGGGTCGAGACCTACATTCAACGCCTCACTTTGTGCTCTTGGCCAACAGTCGCCCGTTCAATGATCCATCTGGGAAGCAAATGGATCGGGACAGAACCGAAGTGGCGTCCCCCACAAACCGGCGGTAAGTTTTTGTTTCTTTTCTTTTGTTTGACGATAACGACTGGCCGACCTCATGAGATGGAGTCCTTGAGGCTTCAAGTCCATGACAGTTTTGGCCGATCAGGCGAAAGAGCGGTGACACAGACTAATCCCGCCGCTCTCCGGGGCTGCCGGTAGAAGAAAATAAGGGCGACGATGATGTCGATAATGAGGATTAATAAGGCCCTGCTTGATGCAATCCTAACTGGGTTTTAGGGCTGAAGGCACATGGGAGGAAATCCAGCCTTGACGTTGACTCCATCCTGACTGCTGTTGATGACGGAGGGGTCAGTCAAATTATTAATCGAGGTATGGGATAGGCAGCTAACGTTAACATCAGACAGCTCAGCCTTGTGAGAAGCACGGTCTGATTATTAGTTAGAGTAAATAAATACCTTAGTTATGGGGGTAGATTTATATCTTAGAGTGTCCATAGCGATATCTTTGAAATCTAGACTCCGTAGTAGGCTGATATGCTGTGCCATGTTTTCTTGCCTGAGGCAGCAAGGCACATGACCATCGTCAACTGGCAAGAAGTCTCGAGGGACGCGACACAACAAAGATAAGTTCGAACCAGAGACAGTACCTCCCTATTAGCAATGTTGAGTTCCACATGGCAAAGAAGCTGTTGTGGTTGACTGATGATAGAATCGGCACCTTGACAGGTAATAGAATCTCTAGACGATGGCGTTTTCACCCTCAATAGGACTGGCCTTTATTGAGGTCAGGATCCGGACAACACCCCGCAGAGGCTTCCTCAATAGACTGAATCAGCACGACAGTTACTATGGATTTTTCAGGTCATATGATGTTCATCGTGCGACTGGACTTCCTACACTTCGAATGTTGGGAAATACGCAACCTGCTCCTTACAAGTCAAGATCTCGACGCCAAGTAGCAGCCGCAAGGTTACCTGAAAATGTCTGGCTGCACTTTACTTCTGATTGTGTTGCTTGTTTCTGCCTTCTTCTCCCTCTTGCATTACCTATGGGTCGGATCGATCTGGGTCATCGCTGGGGTATCGTCACCTTTACTACCCAATATATCTCGGTTCGAGGTCCATTCCTTACCGAAAGGTCCTGCTCTACCACGCAACTGGGCAGGCAGGCTTGAGATTCCTGAAGTGGAAGAAGGCAACTCCCTTTTTTTCTGGCTTTTCGAAGCAGAGGAGGCTGAGTACGACGAGAATCTGATCCGTGAGTTACCTCTATTTGAACAAGCCATATAAACTTCCAACCCTTCACTAACAGGGCCCCCTTTTTCCTTTTGGCAGTATGGTTTAATGGTGGCCCGGGCTGTTCATCACTGTTAGGTCTGACTACCGGGGGTGGCCCTGTTATTTTTGAAGGCAATACGACGAATCTGGTTCGAAACCCTTATTCGTGGTCGAAGCTGGGACATGTCCTTTACATTGATCAGCCTGCCGGAACAGGCTTTTCCACTGCCAGCAACCCATACCCGGTCACAACTCAAGACCGGGTATCCTCTGACTTCTACAAATGGATGCAAGGCTTCTTCTCACATTTCCCGCACCTCAGCTCAAAACGAGTCCACATGATGGGGGAATCATATGCCGGCATATATATTCCATATTTCGCGTCAGAGATCCTCAAGAACCACGAGTCCCTCCCGATAAACATTGCGTCTTTATCCCTTGGGGATGGAACATGGGGTGACAGCGTCGCCATGTCTTCTGCGGCTACGGGCGCGTATCTCCGCTTGCACCGCTCACTGCTCAATATTTCAGAAGACACAGTATCAGCATTTACCGAAGCAGATCAAATGTGCAGGTTTGACACAGTCATGCAACAGGCATCCGAATACCCGCCTACCGGGACGATCCTCGTACCGGGGAACGGGGATGAGATGAATATCAAATTACGCTTCAGTAGGGATACAGAGAGTGCCGAGAGCGCCACCTGCAACACGCACCCGAAAACAGCAGATGAGATTCTTGCCTCCATCCTGAACTCGACCTGTGACGAACGTTGCGCCACCTTTTCTACGGCAATAAACTACCTTAGTACAGCTAACAAGTGTTTCGATGTATACAACATCCGCCACGGATGCGACACTGCGAACCCCATGGCCCTCCTAGAGGATTACTTCAACCGTGCCGACGTCCAGATCGCTCTGAACATTCACCCGCAGTCCAGAGACGCGCAGAAACCCCTTTTCCAGCAATGCAATCATGATATCCTCACCACGCTTCTCTCTGCGCCTACCCCTCCGACAGCCCCCGCGTACGATATCCTGCCTCGGCTGATCACGACAGAGAACATTTCCGTCCACATCTATTCCGGGGAATACGACATGCTGGTCAACCACCTCGGTACGGAGCTCTGTCTACAAAATATGTCGTGGCGAGGAGCCCAGGGGTTCACAGAGAAGCCCTACCGGGTCTTTTATACCGACCAGGCGCTCCCTGAAACGCCGAAATTGACAAATGGAGAAAAGGAGAAAACAAGCCGACGTGAAGCAGGCATCTTCGCCTCCGAACGCGGCCTGACGTACCATCTCTTCTGGGGAGCGGGGCATACCGTCATCTCTGATAAACCGCAGGAGATGTTTGCCTATGTTCGAGATGTGGTTCTGGGTTCTTAGCTACGGCCAGTTTGGAGTTTTTATCGGTCATCTAGAATGCTTTAAAGCTATAGTTCTTTTTCATCCTATATTTTGATCATATGCATAACGCACCCGAATAGTAGTTATAAAAGGGTCATGTTGGGCTTTGACGAGATATACAATCAACATAGAAAGAACAATAACCAACCCCCCGCTCATACCTGATATCAAAGAATAAGAATAACGCCTACAAAAAAAAGAAGACTAGCCAGTACTCCAACCCGCGTCTGCCACATACTTAGTGCCTATTCTATTTTCCCAGAGAAAAAAAAAAGACAGAGAATAATAAATCAAGATCATAGAAGAGAAAATGCAGTTCCTGGTGTGTACAGGCTATAATAGCTATTGAAGAGAGATTCGCTGGGATGGAGAGCAGGTAGAGAAGCAAAGACTTTAGGACTCTGTAGATGGTCTATAAGACCTCTTTTCAGAGAGAATCATAAGAGCGTAAATTCTTTCTGGTGTGTATCACTGATTCACCACGCATGCAAAGAGGCTAGATCTAGATACCTTGTCTAGGATGGTGGTGATGATGCAGGTTGTGTACGATGTAGATAACATATCGAAACCAAGCCTGCTGATTATCGGCGATTGAAGAATGGTGTTTGGTGTGACATGGATAGTAACGAGTCGGCCCGCTGGAAGACGTCCCCCTCGAAGAATTTGTCGCTATAGGCGCTTGCCGGCGTGGAAGGAACAGTGGCTTGAGCTGCGGGTCCAAGAGCAGCACTAAGCGGAGTCGCAGGAAGAGGAACAGAAGGCGAATTGGTATGATAGGAGTGCGTACTTGAGGAGAGGGCAGATGTTGACGCCGAAATATGATGTTGAGAGTGGGGGACTTGTAGAGGGGGTCCGTACAGAGGAGCTGGTGGATGGTTGGTAACCATGTCGGCAAGGAAAGACCAAGGGGACGCTTCGATCATCCGACCGGCTTCTCGACTGGCTTTTTGCACTGGCCGCAGGATAATGATAATATCAGAAGGCAGGAGTTGCATACTTCTGACTTCCCGCATGTCTGTGACCAGGTCGACAAATGACTGCATGAACGTCTTGCACAATTGCCAAAATTCGCGCTGGTTTCGCATGCCGCCGCCAGGCTCCTTGACCTTCATGTTAGACAGACGGAGGCCAAGGGCCTCTGAGACCTCTAAGCATACGCGACACCGACGGATGAGATTATTCCATAGCATCTGAATACCTTCCGACTCTCGCGCATGCTCGGCTACTTCAAGACATCGAACGAACTGACGACGAGCCAATGGCAACGCCTGAAGGGCAGCAGTGTACGCTGAAGTGAGCTGGTGGAAGATCTTCTCGAAAATTCGTTCTTCCTCGATCTCGTCTAACCCGGTCAACGGGTTAATACGTGGAACGACCGTCGTAGGCATGGGCGGAAAGGATTCTCCGGATCTAGGTGTAGCAAGCGAAGGAGGGGCAGAGGTGTTTAGGTAGTTGGACCTACTGCTGGACCGACTGCGTGTGCCGTAGGTGAGTGGAACAGAAAAGCCGGGCGAACTGACTGTTGATTGGTAAGTAGGTATTGAAGGTAACGGTAATGGTGGTGCTGCTACTGCTGTAGACTGCGTATGATGGATTGTGGTATCACTTCGGAAACGTCGCATGGGGACAAACTGATCTCTTGTCGGTGTCACTGTTGATCCTGCCAGTCGTTCGAGATCAGGCGGTTCCTTGATGATCTCTGATATTGGCGGATTTTCTGTCGATGTCCGCTTGCAAACCTCGGCCAAAGGCCCCAGGTTTGCACAAGAATTCCGCAGTTCGACCAGGCTGCTGTATATCATGAGCATCAAAGAGCGTACATATCGCGAGTCACCATTTGTCACGATCTTCTCCAGACTATTACGGAGTTGTGTGCTAACGTGTATGTATGCCATGACGCAAGTTTCGCATTCTCGCTTGACCGCTTCATTCAGCACTCTTGCCGAGTCTGGTTCATCAGATTGAGCACTCTCGGCTGACTCGAGGGCCTCGTTCAGTCGGTCCACATGAGTGGAGGCATTGTAAAAAACGATCTCCAAGCTGTTTCGCCGGGGCTCATCCCGTCGAATCACGTTGATCAAAGTCGAGACATGGAAATGGGTCTGGGAAAGCGCGAACAGGATCCCCTTTGCGCATTCCATCAATGGTTCCTTCATGTCTACTTCATTTTTATGCTCAGGCAGACTGGACATGCGGTTCACGAAGCCATCCTTTGGACGTCTGCGTTCTCTGGGGCTGCTTGGACTGGGAGAGCTGCTGCCACTAGCTGCATTGGATGGTCTGATCCTCAGAGTTGAATTGTGACTGAGGCCCCGTAGATGACTGTTTCTGTAAGGCCTCATCTCGTCCAAGGTCCCAAGGTCGGTGTTTTTTCTCGTTATAACGCCCATGCGCTTGCTGCGTGCGGCGATGGATGCTTGGATGATCCCTTCACTGTTACTCCGATTGCGTTCGTTGAATCCAGGATGAGGGGCGATTCCGGGGCGTTGCAGCACACCGCTTTGGAGAGTGCTTTGCCCCGAGGCGATGCGATAGTGGGATCTCGTAGGAATCGGGGGTGGTCTTGAGAAAGACGGTGACCTGGAATCCGAAGCCCCATCACCCGTGCTTGGGATCACGGGAAAGCGACTGTTGACACCGCGTTTGACAGGTTTGGGTGTATCTAAAACTGTCTCGTTGTTACTTTAATGGATAATGTTAACTATGACCTAGAAAAAAGAAGGTTGGATGATGATGATAATGATGATGCATACCTCACGTCACTACCACCACCCTCAGCATCTGGAGTGGATATCAGGTGCCGTGTTTTCAGAAAACGTTTCAATTCTGCAGTGACTGCAACTTCCTTCTCATTGTCTGTCATGGATGATGGTGCGATTTCTGCTTCGGAAGCCTCTAGGACGCGTCGCAAGGGGTAGCGCAAAGGATTACCAGCTACCTTGAGGATTTGAAGTTTGCTCATCTCGGACAGGCCAAAGGGTAAGTCATCAAGGCGATTCTGCATCACCGACAGGACGCGGAGCGATGCCAATTTTTTGATTTCGTCCGGCAACTTGCTGATCTTGTTCCGGCTGAGATCTAGGATCTCCAGTAGAGGCAGCTTGTAGACCTAGACTATGTCAGTCCGCAAGAACAGTGCACCTTGGCAGAAATCCACCACGCACCCCTTTTGGAAACTCGCGAAAATTGTTCGCTCGAATGTTGAGATAGCGGAGATGAGAGCACTCCGCAAAGCGGTACGGAATATGGAATATATGGTTGTTTGATAGTGAGAGCCTTTTCGTCTGTTAGCTCTTGAATTAGGTGTCATCTCCCATGGGGCAGGAGGAAGTGGCGGAGAGAAGATAGTATACCTTTCCACCTCATCTTTGATGATATCCACAACAGGCTCCGGTATGCGAACGACATTGGAATGGCCCAGATCAATGGTCAGTTTTGGCTTGACGACCTCACTGACAGCTTCGCTACCAGCCAACGACCGCTTCGTCTCTTGGATGCCGTTCTCCACGGCTCGACGGGCAAGCTCGACTGTTTCCTCCTGCGAGAGCAACCGCGGACCGGCGTGGTTTTTGCTGTTATTCGGGTTCCCATCGTTCCCCGTGCCGTTGGACTTCTGGCCTGCTTCCTCTTCGTTGGCTGTCATCGTATCGCTGGTCAGGGGAAGGAAACTGCCTAGACCCGAAGGGCGGGAGGCCCCTTCGTCTTCGTCCATTTCGTCGTGGTAAGAACGGGGTGTTCGTATGGTATCCTCTGGCCGTATCGTGGAAAGCATTATCGGTACACTTCGAGCAGTCCACCACTCGAACCAGGAAATCCGAAATCAAACAAAGAATATCACACAGGCGCAACGATATTTGTCAAAGCTATCAACAACTGATCTGTCTGACAGACATGCGACGACGACCGGAACGGTTCATAATCTCGATCGGGAACACATGGACCGGAGTGTAGACGACGCGTCTAACGGGGACTTGGAGACTCTGATCTGGAAGTTTATCGGCGGATAATAAGTTTCAGGGCGAAAGCGACGCGGAAAGGAGCCAGCCAAGAGCTTTGTGACGAGTCAACCGATTTGTCTGACGTGGAGGTTCGGGGGGCTAGTCAGGTTTGTATCAACGGACGATTGACGGTTAAGAAGAGCGTTTGTTCGTTGTCGAACGGTCCTGGTGGAAGGTGTGACAGGATCCTGGTTAGTCTGGGGTTGCAATTCGACAAGAAACACGGAGGAGGTTCGTTTGCGTAAGCCTCGTAGGGCGCAAATCGGAGCCGCGAGAAGGTGCACCACCACCCCTGGAGAGGAAACGAAACAGAATTCAGACAGTAGTACTAGCAGCGCACTGTGCAAGACCAGGCGGATCGGAATTCGCAGCGTAAAAAGCGCGATGCTATGAGATGGATGAAAGACAGCCTGTCTAGGAGTCTGAAGATGGCCAACCAAGTGTTATTTGGGGAAGATCTGAGGGGGTCAGGCGATAAGTCTGATAAGTCTGTCCGATGGGCTGTGATCGGCAACACCTTCTAGGAATTGATGCAAATACTTCCATATTCGTCTAATTCCTTATAGAGAGGTAGAAATCGTGTATCGGAGATTTACTTGCGTTGATGATAGAGATCCTCGCGCAGTCACTATGCTCTACTGTGCTTCCAGACAAAGTCGCCTGTTTCAAGACCAAGAGATCAGTTTTATTCGTCGCTGGGTAACCATCAAACTTGATGACATTTCAAGCCTAGTAAACAAGTTCGATAAATTCGGAAAAGATCCATTCACAGTGATAATATACATTGGCCATTGTTGCCCAAGTGTGGCCGAAGACCACACAATACCGCATCATTAGATAGACAAAACCGGAGGAGAGAGGTGCAGCTAGATCATTGTTGCGATGTCTCCTCCAGTGCACCAGTGTCTTCTTCCTCTGCACCCATCTTCTCGGGAGCGCCTACGAAAGCAGCCATCTTCTGGCTCTGTAAGGCCGCCTCGGACTTGGCCCATGTCTTCCATGTCTCGAACTGCTGGTTCTCGAGCTGCATACCGATTTCCAGACGCGATGGCCCAAACACAGCCCCCGTGGCCTCTGCCTCCTCTGCCGCGACACGGCGTTCGATATCTTCCTGTAACCGGAGTCGATAGAATTCCCGCCGCGCGGTGTCGTACGCGTCGCTCTTGGTCATATCAGGGACGTTGTTCAGGAGCCAGAGCTGCCGTTGAACGACGCTGAACAAAGTAGATCAGCGGGCACTCTTTGATTAAAGAAGAAAAAGAAAAAAAGAAAAAAAAAATTGCAGCTACACCATACCTTTCACCATCGAGACGCTTCCCCGGTTGCTGGAGCCGGCTCCAGTCGTACTTGTCAAAGTCTCTCCCCGTAGTTTCGAGCAGGACGCGAGGTCTCGCCAGTTCCCAAGGATGGTCGCGGAAGAACTCCCTCCGCAATTGGTCTTCTTCGTACTTGATCTCGACGGGTAGAAACATACGGCTGAGCTTCTTCTTGGGTCTGTTCCGCTTCTCCAGGGCCTCAAAGACGACCTGCGGCTTCGACGCGCCTGGGAGCGTCTTCACCCGCTGCTGCACCAGCTGATGTTGTATGGCCGGCTTCCGAACGAGTACCTGTGTAGGAGGAATATCACCGATCACATCCACCCATTCCGGTAGCCGCGAGATCTTGCCTGCCGCTTTCTGCCTGAGCGCCGTCTGGCGGACTCGCAGGGCCGTGAAATTCAATTTGCTCATGGCGGGCCCGGGAAAAACCAGTCGTCTGCACCCCAGACGCACTGAACAGAGTATCGACCGGTAGAACAAATAGTCAGAGCCCCTCGACGTGGCGTTCACAGCACAATGGACACGTTTCGTAGTGAGAAAAGCTCGTCGGACGCGGATGTGGAAAATGAGGATTGGCAATCCGGCGCTCCGATTGGACCGACGCCCACTCCGCCTAAGCGTTCTGCAAACCAAGCCCATAATAATAATTTGATCGCGAGTCTTTGCAGAGCAGCAGCAGCAGCACAGCGCCGACACGCCCTTTTCCGGCCGTGTGGCAGCGATTATCTCCCTGCGAGCCCGCTGTTTCTACTTGTTTACTTGTGGACAGATATGCACTGCTGACCTGATGCCACCATGCCCATCATCTCATGCCTCCTCTTCATCGGTCCCGAAGCGTGTGCAGTCTGCCCTTCAGCTTCGCCCAGCGCCTAGAGCCTGGCAAACCTGCGCAATCCGGATCGATGCATACTCTGGAACGCCTGCCTTTCCATGCGTCCATTCGACGGCTCAGTTCCCGACGTGCCCGCCCGACCGTCACGTCGCTCGCGGAGGTGTTTGTCAATTCCCTGGTAATGGCGAGTTTCTGCCCCGAACATTCTCCCCGCGAACGCCGGATGTCGAGCTTCGCCATGGGCCCTGTGTCAGATGATACGGCGATATGGCGGAGAAGAAGGGTTGCGGGCAATAGGCGAGTGCATTTAGACCAACATCTGACCCATGCTCGCTCCCCATCGGGCTATGCGGGAGCTCAGCCTTCCAGAGTTCGAAAAATGTTCCTCAGCGGGCAATCGCAAGCGATCAAGGAACGAGATCGAGAACATGACATTTATGGCTTCGTGGAAAGGGTATCATATGAGCCCCGGGGCCAGATATTCGACGAGGACATCGACACCAGTCCCTGGCCGGCGGTGCACAGGCCGAACCGAGAGACAATATCGGAGACGCTACACCGGACTAATTACGATATATTGGATGCTAGCGAAACGGAAAAAGAAGCCCCAATCGACGTCCTTTCACCTGACCCCCTCAAGGACGCTGGACTGAAGAAAGAACAACACAAACGGTCATATGCAGGAAAGGTCAGACCAGAAAAGGAGAGACTAAGGGATGCTTCAGAATTGCTGGGTTACACTTTGGGCCCCATGTCTATTCCATGGAAAAGTGCAGTCAAGAGCCTGAAAGATGATCCAGAGAGTTCGCCCAGGCCCAAAGTGCGCTTTCGGTCGGCCAACCCTTCAGTACGAGATGCAGTGGAACTTCCTACGGTGCAAACATTACTAGATGTATTATGGGACGAAAAAGTCTCAAACCAGTACATCTTCAGACTATACAGACAGCTTCCCCCCCCGGGAGTGACAAAACTTTCCAAGCGCTCGCTTGGTGCACTACTTCGACGCTTTGCAAACCCGCCACAGCACCGTCGGGTCGATGCCCGCCGCTTACACGCCCTACTTGAAGACATGGTCACTACCGGACTTCCGGTTTCTCGTTCACTCTGGACATCTGCGATTTACATGTCCGGGCGTGTCGGTGGGAAGGTCACCAAGACTGACTTACGAACGGCCATCGGTATTTGGAACCAAATGGAACGCCTGGCTGGGGTGGAATCTGACGACGTGGTCTTTAATATCTTATTCAACATCGCCGTCAAGGCTGGCCAATACACTGTTGCGGACCGTATACTGGAAGAGATGCGGGATCGGGGTCTTGAATTTTCGAGAGCCGGGAAGGTGTCTCTCATTTTCTACTACGGTGTTTTGGGAGATCTTGATGGCATCAGCCGGGCGTTCGACGAATTCATCGAGTCCGGAGAGATAGTGACCACACCAGTTATGAACTGCCTCATCACTTCCTTCCTCAAAGCAGGCGATACCCAGTCGGCTGAAGAGCTCTACGCTCGCATGATGGACACACATAAGACTGTTCAATCTCCGCCTGGAACTGGAGGCCATCTCGGCATGCACCTCCCCAGCCTGTCATCGAACATGGCCGTGTACCGAAAACGGGCCCGGAAAATGCACCGTTCGTTGAAGTTGTTGGCTGGTTTGCAGGCAGAGTTTCCAGAAAAACACCGCGCCCTTCAAGAAAGTTTGATGACCGGCCCGGATACACGAACCTTCCACATCTTCCTCTCACACCACGCGCACACGTCCGGTAATATCTACAAATTTATGGCGATTCTCGAAGACATGGAGAAAGTCTTTTCGGCACCGCCTCGGGCGTTGGTATATTTGTTTCTTTTTGAAGGGTTCGTTCGACATGGGAACAAGCGGAAGAAACAATGGTCTGCAGACCTCCTCAACGATGTTTGGAAGTCATACCTTCGTGCTTTGCGTGACTCGAAGAGGCGGCAGCTCGACCCATCCCGGCCGGGGGAATTAATATGGGAAAATCCGCTTGCAAGATACCGTGCGGAGACTGGCCCCGATGCTTTCTACATCCCGTTACCTTCCAGCGCAGCTCAGGGAGATAACAACTCGGACCACACTCTTGGGGACACGGATCCCAAAAAATCTGCCAATGATGAGATCCCCGACAATCTCGTAGATGCAGATGAATCTTTTCAGCTGGACGAGATGTTCAACTTGAAGACTCCATCGTCCTTATCGCTTGACTGTGACTCCAAGGAGATCGAACTGCAGGAAAACGGAGTCTTCCTCGGCCGTCGAATGATCGTCACCATTCTCCGTGCCTTTGGTGCCTGCAGCGGTCCCTCAGAGGTTATGGAGGCCTGGCTGAGAATCGAGAAGATCTGGCAGCCGGAATGGCGACGAGCGAACGATGTCCTGGTTGTGCGGGAAGAGCTGGAGAGACAGATGTCAAGGGCTAGCAGAAAATAATAACTGCATACCTGTATATTATAATTGATATAGAAGTTACATATACCACAAATAGACTCAGTTTGAGAATATCATGTATTCTACCCCCTAGGCTCTTACCAGAAAAGGACATATGATGGAGGCCGGTCACGTGATATCGCGTTTTGATCAATGATAGCAGACGCTCTCATCGCGTCCCCGGGGCCGTCAACATTTCTCTGCACTCTGCCTACGGGATCATTCCACATTACGCCGCCACGTCCACTGTATCGAGAGCATGCAGGTACGATGCAGAAATGCTGAGAAGGGAAGCCCAGCATCCCAAGGTGGATATTGATTTTACTCTCCGGCGCGTGTTTGGAAAGCAATCCTTCCGGTAAGCTGGAACTTATAGTAGTCTTGGTAGGAGATTTGATTGATAAGGTGTCGATCTAATTCGGGAATAAAATTGGCAGTCCACTTCAGCGAGAGGTTATTTCAGCCGCTATCGATGGGCATGATGTCTTCTTACAGGCATCAACTTCCTTCGGGAAGAGCTTGTGCTTCCAGCTACCGGCTGTTGTGAGCAATGGAGGTGCGTGGTTAAATTACGAAAGTGGTTGTTTTGGATATATGTGCTCTTTTTAACTCTCTGATCTAGTGACTCTAGTGATAAGTCCATTGCTAGCTCTTATGGTGCGTTTAGTCCTTACGTTTCGCTTGCTGAGTGACTGCTGAACTTGGGTAGACTGATCAGGTCTCCGCGCTTGAAGCAATTGGCGTTGCGGTTGCCACCATCAACTCGACTACCGGATTGCCAGAAAGACGGAAGATCATGGACGATCTGTTCTCTGGCCACCCTAAAACACGTCTCCTCTACGTGACGCCCGAACTCTGTCAGACGGAGGCCTTTCGACGAAATCTACAAATTATCCACTCCCAGGGACAGCTGATTCGCGTTGCCATTGATGAAGCCCACTGTATTAGCGAATGGGGCCATGATTTCCGTCCCGCGTACAAAGAATTGTCCTGGTTTAGACTCATGTTGAAAAATCCTCCAGTCCCCATGAGTGCTTTGACTGCAACCGCTACCCCACGCGTGCGGGCAGATATTATCAAATTGCTAGGTTTCGATACAGGGACTTTGAAAATCTTCAATACGCCTTCCGCCCGGCCGAACATCCACTACGAGGTACGGTATCTCACCGACTTCGCTAGTGATCCTACAATGCCCGAAGACTTCCAGGTCGACGATCTTCTCTCCTGGCTAAAGGCCATCCAGGATAGGCGCATCGCCAGGCTTGGCTCAGACGCTGTCTCCCGTCTTCCACCGATGTCGGGCATCATTTATGTACCGCTCCGTGTCGTCTGCGATCAGCTAGCGGGTGCGCTATCATCGTCCGGGCGAGGTATCCAAGCAGTGGCCTACCATGCTGGACTGTCCACTACCGACAGAAATCGCATTCAGGCTATGTGGACTTCAACCAAGCCGCCTCCCACTCCAGTAGACAGAGGAGGAGGAGAAGGAGAGACGGTGCCTACCGCTTTCTCGATTATTGTGGCGACGAATGCCTTCGGGATGGGAATCGATAACCCGCACGTGCGGTTCGTTGTACACTGGAGTCCTCCCCGCAGCTTCGAAGGCTTAGTGCAGGAATCAGGACGTGCAGGTCGAGACGGCTGCGCCGCCGTATCTCTTGTTTACTACAACACGCAAGAGCGGGACCGAGTTCTCGATCGTCTCGGGAGAGACGCGGAGAACTCGAACAACCGTCCGGGGGGCATCATGAATAACAGCAACTCTCGAAATCGAGAAGATGCAGCCCGTTTGAAGAAGCAAAACCACAAGGCTCGGCTGGAGAGTTTTCAGAAAGTCATCCGCTACTGCGAGACCACGATTCGGTGTAGACACGAGATGATCAAAGAGTACTTTGGCGATTTGGAATTGGAAATGATGGGCTCCCAGGCGGCACCGGTGCCGCAACCCTCAACAACTTTGCGGACCTCTCCTTGCGACTTTGCCTGCGACTTTTGCAAGGAAGGCCGGCAAGCTCTCTCCACACGCAAGAGGAAGATGGTAGCCGAAAGTGCCGTAGAGGATTGGATGGAGCTGAGTATGGTACCTATTATGCGCGCCATGTTCCCTGCGCAATTCCGAGGCGCCGGTTCCATGTACGGTCCCCAGTGCCAAGAGTGTGACTATTGATCCCTTGATGTATTACAATGAAGATAGATAATAGAAGTTTTCACCAAAAATCAATATTCTATGCATCTAAGAACTTTAGACGGGATATATCTATTACCCTCCAAAGAGCTTAAAAGGGCGGATTAATCGTATAACTATTCAAAAGCATGAATGATCAATACTGGTTTTTGCCCCGGAAATCTGCAGAATCTGGAATTTTCAAACAGAAAGTTATTCCTACAAGCCTGGTTATCAATCTCGTATCGTTCCTTTTCCCCCCCCCCTTGTTCATCTCCCGGCACGATTCCTACTGAATGGCTGGTAATGAACTAGGTTTACAGACCCGGCGGGGGTGGGACCTGCGGTGAGGATTAGTACTATACGGTATCATGCAATGTATTCGGAAAATAATCAAGTCTTACTGCGCTGTAGCTACCGCCTGGAGGAGGGGGAGGCGGCGAGCCTGAGCCAGGAGGAGGTGGTGGTGGCGCCTCGCTAGCAGGGGGCGGAGGCGGAGGCGACTGCTGTTGTTGCTGCTGCTGCTGCTCTTGCTGCTGCTGAGCGGCCTGTTGGTAGTACTGGTAGTACGCGACGTAGTTTTGGTAACCACCATAGGCTGCATAGGGATCAGATCCGTAGTATTGGGCGTACTGGGCGCTGTAGTCAGCGGCATTGGTGCCTGCGGCTGCACCAGCTGCACCAGCTGCACCCGAGGCTCCCTGTCCAGATGGACTAGCCGTTGCGGTGGGTGACTGTTGTTGTTGTTGTTGCTGCTGCTGTTGCTGCTGCTGCTGATGGTGGTGGTGACCATAGCCGTAATGGTTATTGTTGTTGTTGTTGTTGTTGCCGCCGTAGTGGTGACGGTCTCCTCGCTGACCGTAACCGCCATAGTTATGCTGAGGAGGGTTCTCCTTGAAACGTTGATACTGCTCTTTGACGTTCGCCAGGAGATCTTCGCAAAGCTCCTTGGCAGCTTGCACATCATCAGGGTTGGGACCACTATCGGCCTAGTCAGCTGCGAACAGAAAAATTGGGCCTAAGGGGGTTGACTGACGCTACATGCAAGAACATAGGCTCTTCGCTTTCTCTGCCAGTAGAAGGCTCTAAGAAACCAGAGCCGCGGCCCTTGATCTGGACCTTGCATCGGGTCTTCTGTTGAATATGCTTGACATATGCGCCTCCTTGTCCGACAACCTGCGCTCTAAGGTTAAAGCCGGGGATTGGCTCGAGTTCGATAGGAATGCGCTCCTCCGGCCATTTGCGCTATGTTTGTCAGTTTACATATTTTCCAGGTAAGACGAGGGAGAGGTCTGCCATACACGGCCAAACTCATCGCGCTCAAACTGTTCGGGCTCCCGACGGCGAAATCGTCGTTCGTCAACAAGATTGGGCAGTTCTTTCTGCATCAGATCATTGATCATCGCAGCAGCCTTGTCGAGCCCTTCCTTGCTTGTACTCGTAACGTGAAGGTAGAGTGGGGGGTTCTGAAAAAGAAATCAATCAACAAGTCAGCCACAATAAGATCATCATGAGAGATAACCAATCTCAAGCCGCTGAAACATACCGCCGCAGTAGCCATAGTCTTGTCAGGATAGTAGTTTCCTCGAGTGGTGACATCTTGAGTGTAAAAGATAAGCTTCCTAATCATATAAAGTTGTAGTATGGAGTGAAGGCGTACCGGCGCCAGTTTCATCTTTAATCTAGAATCAGGCAGCGGAGGTCAGCAGATGCAAAAGAGGGTAATGCTATGGTTTTATTGGGTAAGCTTCAGCCACAATCATAAAACTGAATAAGGACAAAAAAAAGACATCCAAAAAAACAAGGGAACTGGAGTGTGGTATAACCACAACAGGAACTCGCTGTCGAAAGGTTGTTCCTGGAAAATCAGCAGGTACAATAGGAGTAATTACCATTTTCTGAGTAGAGCCCTTTGTCAGTGTATAACGATTGCGCAGATCGTTGATCTCAATATCCTTGATATAGTCGCCATCAGCGATGTAGACTTCGGTGTTCAGTTTCCCATCTGTCGGCGACGAGGCCTTGGGTGCAGGACTCGCAGTCTAAAGAGCACGTTAGCGCACCGCAATCGTGACAAGAGCGAACCACTCGTAGGACACTGACCGAACGAATCGGGGGCACGTCGACATGCTGAATGCCCTTCTTAGCCTGCAACTGAGCATTGATCTTGGCCGCTGCCGCCGCTATACATTCCGCCCATTCCTGTTAGCATAGATTCGAATCCACACCATGAGGGGCACCCGTTTCCCGGGAAAAAAAAAAAAAAAACGCACCAGCTGCGGCGGCGGGATCTGTAGATGTCGACCGTTTTCCAGCATCAGCAGCCGGGCTGCGAGAGTCGCGAAGTGGGCTTCGAGTACGAGTTGTCTCCGACTGTCGCGACGAAGGCGAGCGTGAACGACGGTCAAACCGGGAAGGGCGTCGGGGTTCTGCTTCGGTCTGGTCGAAGCGCGATCGCTTAGTGCGGCGCTCGTCGTCACCCATGATGGAGCCAAGAAGACCTGGAGTGAGGGAGGTGATGGAACGAAGATGAAAAAGAATGCGCTAATCGAAGGAGAGAGCGCTGTTTGATCTCAGTCGAGTCGCTGGATACCGCGCAAGGACAAAGTTGGCGGTTTCTGCAGGGAACGCTAACTAAGCCGTGGTTAGTGTGTTAGTTAGTATGTATTGGTATGGGTCTAGGTGAGTCTGGCTGACTCGGGAGATACCCTGAGTTACCCCAACCGATGCAGAAACTGCGTTGGATGAAGGATCAACTACACGCGAATCTTGACCGTAGCAGCGTCAAGCAGAGTAATAGCAGGGGGCAGATGTATGTCGAAAACCGACCGATCGTCTGTTGGACTGCGTATTGAGGTGGTATACATGTGGTTTGGTTGACGAGCCCGATCTGGACTAGCGGTAAGGTGGTAAACCAGGTAACCATACATACAGGTCATGTGACGCAGGGACCGGCCGGCGCCGAGGTCGGAAGCGGACGAGTCAGAGAGCGAAAGAAAATCATCCAGAAATCGTCGACCGAGCTCTCCGCCCTGTTCAGCGTCTTTGGCCTGCCCATCTGTTTTTCTGCAGGCTTGGGAGAGATGGCTTTCCGGCGTGCCTTGACGCTCAAGGCAGCGTCGTCTCCTTTGCTCTCGACGGCGGTTGTGCCCTCCAGGGCCGCTGCTGCTTGGTTTACCTCTAGCCGGGCTTCGTCCAGCTCGACCTCTGCGCTCGCCTACAAGGCGCTGCATCGCCGTTCGCCTCTGCCGCTGCCCGTGGCTGAATCTTCGCCTCAATGGGATGCTCCGGCAGCCGTGTCGTCCATTCTCTACGAGACGCCCGTTCCTCCTACAAATCCCCCGAAGCGGCACGTCCTGAACTGTCTGGTGCAGAATGAGCCGGGAGTGCTGTCGCGCGTCTCGGGCATTCTTGCCGCCCGTGGGTTCAACATTGACAGCCTGGTCGTCTGCAACACCGAGGTTGAGGACCTCTCTCGCATGACCATCGTCCTTCGCGGCCAGAATGGTGTGGTTGAGCAGGCCCGTCGCCAGCTTGACGATCTCGTTCCCGTCTGGGCCGTGCTCGACTATACCGACTCGGCTCTGGTGCAGCGTGAGCTTCTCCTGGCCAAGGTCAGTCTCCTGGGACCGGAGTTTTTCGAGGAGTTGCTTCAGCATCACCGCGAGATCACCGCTCCCGGAGAGCCTCTCGATGGTCAGAAGGACTCCCAGGCGGCTGGCCCGGAACCCACCGAGTTCCACCCCCGCAAGCTGCCTCCCAGCCAGGCTTTGAGACATAAGCACGAGCATCTCGATGCTATCACCCATCTGACCCACCAATTTGGCGGCAAGGTCCTGGATATCAGCGTCAACAACTGCATCGTCGAAGTGTAAGCTATGGCCCCCATTCAATTCCCTTTACTTCCGCGCGGTTCACGTGGCTAACTGATCCCTACAGTTCCGCCAAGCCTAGCCGTATCGACTCCTTCCTCAAGCTGATCGGCCCCTTCGGTATCCTCGAGTCCACCCGTACAGGCTTGATGGCCCTGCCGCGCTCTCCTCTCGACGAGGCCGGTGAAGAGCTGGAGAAGGAAGCCGCCGATGTGGTCGATGCCAGCACCCTCCCCCCTGGTTAAGATCTCCATTGGACGACTACATAGGAAGATTTCTTCTTCTAGATCGCATTACCTTGCTGGTTGAACTGGAAGAGACATTTTCCCTTGCGGTGTCATCTCTGGTTTTTTTATTCTAATAAAGTTGTCCAAATATCTTCACTGTGTCAGATAGTTGCATGTCTAGTTTGATCATCAATTGCACTTCACCCTACAAATCATTACTTGATGCAGCGATGCGTCGGCGTCTGTTGCCTAATAGCCCATTTGTCAGAAATATACGCTATCTACTAACTACTCCGTACAAGAGAAGGATCTTCCTATTGTCACGAGGACGCTTGAATACTCCACACCATTTCTGGCGGTTCATATGCCATCAAATCATGTCCAGCGCTTATTCGCAGTCTTCGAGGTTCACCGTACGTCTTACAAAATAGACAGAGCCCTCTTCTCCAGAAAAAAACCCACCCTAAAAAGTCTCAAACAACCATGGATAGATCTTTGGCACTGAAAGAACGCTGGGTTCATACCTGGACGGCTATGCCTATGCTTACTGAGCCAGAGCACTTCCCCCCCAAGCCTTTCGTAAGTGTTGAACTGCGAAATCCCCTTCCCATTAACCCAAGACTTGTCTAGAATTAAATTGACAGACGGATGTGTCAGGTCCAAGACGCAGCGATCTTCCCAAACACTACCATCCGACAAACCGTCCGTATTTCGATCGGGACGCAACAATCGCTCAGGCTCCGCGTCTCCAATGCGTTCGGCGCCCACAACCTCACCATCACCGAAGCCACAGTCGCCCTGGCAGCATCGAACCAGTCAGGCACAAACGCCATCCAGCCTGGCAGTGTACGAAACGTCACTTTCGGCGCAGAGCGGGACATCACCATTCCGCCAGGTGCATTGGGGGTCTCGGATCCCATCCATCTCGGGGTTTCCTTGCCCGCACGCACAGCTTTGAGTATCAGTCTCTTCCTGAAGGACGGGCAAGGCGGGGGCCAAATCACCTCGCATCCAGGCAGTCGGACGACGTCGTACTTCGCATTTGGGAACCGGGTGTCAGATGTGGCATTTGCCGATGACTCGGTCAAAACAGCTATTCACTGGTGGAGTACTTGGATGATAGCCCTTTTTTTTTCTTATTTTCATCTAAACTAAGAAGCTATCAGGTACTATATCAGCGGCGTGGAAGTGTTTGTCTCTCGTCCATCGCGAGCCCTCGCCCTCATCGGCGACAGTATCACCGATGGGCTAGGCAGCGTCACAAACGGAGATACCCGGTAGGACTACCAGTGGTGTTTCATTTTCCTTCCCTCCCTTCATAGCCTAATAGATTATCTGTTTTTCCGCCTTCTTTTTTATCTCTCGCTGATCTTGTCAGCTGGCCTGATCTACTATTCGTCCGACTACAGAAACACCCCAGGACAGAGGGCATCGCCGTCCTCAATTCCGCCGCGGGGGGAAACCGAATCCTCCAAGACGGGACGGGTCCCAGCCTTCTCAGCCGTCTAGACCGCGACATCCTTGCCGTGTCGGGGGTTGAGTCCGTCCTGATCTTCTCCGGAGTCAATGATATCGGGGTCGCGGCCGCAGAGCCAGCCGTGCAAGAAGATCTCGCCAAGGGGATGATCGCTGCGTTGCGCCAGATTGTAACCAGACTACATGCCCAGGGAATTTCTGTCTATGGCGCCACCATCACTCCATTCGGGAGGTTGCCAACCTCCTTAGACAAGATAGATTCCGAAGAGGGCGTCACCCCGTATTCAAACCCAGTCCGCGAAACAACCAGACAGAAAGTCAACGACTTCATCCGCTCCAGCGGCGTGTTTGACGCCGTGGTCGATTTCGACCGTGTCCTGAGTGATCCGCTGGTGCCGTACGGTCTCGCGAGCGAGTACGACTCGGGCGACCATCTTCATCCAAACCAGAGGGCGTTTCAAGCGCTGGCAGATGCGATTCCACTTGATTTGTTGAAAGGTTCTAACTGAAGGAAAATATCTTCATATCTTCATAAACTATAACCATGATACTTAGATGGAAGTACTATATAGTTATACATCGTTCCAATGTAATTATCTACTAGCGACGAAGCTGATCATGGATCGAGCCGGCACTCTTCCCTTGAATGTACCATTTTCCGTGGTCCGAATCTCTGCGAGAGGCTCCAAGTCGTACTCATTGTTGGTGAGATAGGGCTGCACCGAAACGCCAGTCTCGAGCCCGTCAACCTTGACGTCGATTTCGTATGAACTCGTGGCATTGTTGATGACCTGGGTGGCGAGGGTGCCATCCTGATTTCGGAACGCACTCACCGTGACGACGGGGTTGGAGCTGGCCGCCTCGACGCGCCGGGCACCTGGCCTGACGAAGCGACTGAACTGGGCAAAAGCGTAAAACCGCTTGGAGGGCACGACCACACCGTCGAGCAAGTTGATGAGCGGGCTGTTGGTGGTCGAGTTCTCGGCGCCAATCCAATACAAGAAGGCGCTGGTGTTGGCCTGGGTAAAGGCCACTTGAATGCGGCTTGCCCAGGTCAACCCTTCTCCCTGGCCTCCATCTTGGTAGAAGGTGTATGGGGTGTAGTCTCCCGTCAGATCGGCCCACTCAGTCAACCAGGTCTTATGCGCCGTGCTGAGCGGATACGATGGCGGCGAATCGTATCCATGGCCCGTGAGGACTGACAGGTACTGGATGGCCGGGTCCGGTCCTGCATGCAGGCCAGGCAGCATTGCTTCTTGGTCATCCCAGCCGATTCCATCGCAGCAGGTCAACTGCAGCTCGAAGCCGGACTCCTTGACTGTTTTGGCGAGCACGCGGATGAAGTCGGCCGCCTGGGCCCCGCTCGACAACATGCTGGCGTAGTCGGCCGCATACTGTGGTTCGTTTAAGAACCCCAGGTGCGTGACCTTAACTCCAGCCTCGTGGTAGAAGCGAACGTATTGGATGAGGTAGTTGGCATACGCCTGCATCCAGTCACCGGTGGAACACGACGTATTGGCCACTCCACAGATATAACCGCCGTAATTCTCGTCATGGTTGGTCTTCATATAGCCTGGAGCGGACCAGGCATTGGCGTAGAGACTCTGCAAGTCGCGCTGGTATGCCTGTTCCGCCAGCGGGAATTGACCGCTGTCATAGCCATCCCATACGTAGTGCGGCGGCGAGGAGGGACTGCTATCGGACGGAGGAAACGGCTCGATCGAGTTCATCAGGTTGCTCGCCGAGTTATTGCTGGAACCAATGCCATTTCGCAAGATGGTGAACCCGGCTCCGACGGTCTGATCAAAGAGGAGGTTCAGAACGAGTGTCTGGTTGACGGGCGGCAGACCGTCCTTGCCCAGCACATCCTCAGCGCGCTGGAAGGCCTCGGAGCATCCGAACCCGTCCACCTCCTGGAATTGGATCGAGGGATTCACTGAAACGGACACGGACGGCGTGGCTGCCAGCGCCCAGTTTGTTAGCGCGCCGAGGCACAGCAACAACAGTCTGGGAGAGGGTATCTGCTTCATCTGCTTCATCTGCTTCATTTTGGTGTCTGAGACTCCCCTTCCCTCCACCGTATCTTATGTCGCTGTTGCTGTCTACCGCAATAACCCGTACTACCCGTTAGGTAGTGATCTTCCTTCTCCCCTGTCAATCATAGTGAACTGACCCATGAAGAGACTGCGGAATATTACCGCAACGAAGAAGACGGCAAGTGCATGATTTCACTAGCTGCATCACCGGTTAAATTGAGCACGCGGGGATAGAGAATACTTCGAATACCTCAACTGGAGGAGTGCTCGGTGATACTGCCTAATCCTACGACGGAGAACAGCCCCGAAGTCCGTCCAAGACGATCCTGAGGGGAAATGGCACCGACGAGTGACGACGGCTTCGACAGGGATCATCGTTCAACCCAACCTTTGACGCAACCAAGGGTTCTGATTGATGGATCATGAGGATATTAACTAATCGCTAGTAATCACTAGTAACAGCGTCAAGTGGATTCACAAGAAAAGCCGGGGAAAGTCCGGGGAAGCTGATCCATACGTGTACGTATACTTTACTTGCAAGAACTGGTTTATGAGAGAAATGCTAACGATTCGCTAGCTACGACTCAGTAGCTAATCTATTAGGTAGAATCCTCTATCTCATGATACTGTCCGCGTGGATCAGACTCGAAATGATAGTCTGCCCGGTGCCGTTTCGACCCAGCCCCCGAGTCCACTCCTGATACCGACTGACGACTTTATTGGACGAAGAGCATGCTCTTTATCCAGAAGTGATGCCGTGTCTTTATTCAATTCAGCTACAAGCCCCTCTTTCGTCCGATGTCTCTCTCATGTCTAGACAAAGAAGCCAGCATGCAATCACTACCAACTACCAGTACGGAGTAACTAACCAGGGAAGAGGAAAGAACGGGTCTTTCAAGCCAGACCGAAGACCCCTGTATCATAGCAAGGGTTTAGGAGGGGTATTCTGGGTATTCTGGGTATTCTGGGTATCCTGGGTATCCTGGGTATTATCGTCCATCTCGGCACTAGGAATTGTGTTATATCGTACGGAGTTGGACTCCGTAGGGCGAGAGTCCGGGGAGTCTGGGGAAAGAAAAATAAAATAAAATAAACAAATAGAAAACCAGCTTTGATACTCAGACCCAAGCCACGCCACTATGTAATTAGTAACTAGGCAGGAGTCAACAGGGAGTAACCATTGGGAGCTGAAGAGGGGGTAAACTTGACAAGAAGTCGTCTTTTTGATACTAACTGGTACTAGCTATACCTTTCCCTCTTTACCAGACAGTTACGCAGAACCACCACGACTCACAGTGACCATATCCCTCCATTCCTTGCGCCACCATCTGTGTCCATGATAACGAATTGCTATAAAGCTGCAATGGCCGAGGTAGACCTCAGGAATACTTTCTCTTCCCTTCCCATTCCTTCATCTCCTTTCCTCATCAAACTGGGTTATAACTATTAGATAACTAGTGCCTTGTCATTCCTAGGCAGGCACCTCATTCGCCCTTATACTGGCATGTCCACACCGTCGAAACCAACGAAAGGGGAGGAAGACGGAGTTCAGCATCTGGAGCATTCGGTGGAACGACTCGCAACACAGGATGCTGAGCTTCGAGGCTGGGTAGGCCTGGCGGAAGACGCCCGCAATGCCACCCAAGCAGAACACCAGATGTCCTTCCTCGAGGCGGTCAAGACGTACCCCAAGGCGTGCATGTGGTCAATGATCGTCTCCGTGGTGATCATCATGGACGGATACGACACTGCCCTGCTCGGGTCCCTGTTTGCGTTCCCGGCCTTCCAGGAGCGCTTCGGATACAAGGTCGCAGGGTCCGACTCTTACCAGGTCGCGGCCAAGTGGCAGACGGCGCTAGGTCTGGCCAGTCCGCTGGGGAACATTATTGGAATCTTCATCAATGCGAGTGTCACCGAGCGTTTCGGCCACAAGAAGTCCGTCCTCGGCACTTTGGTCGTCCTCACCGGCTTTCTCTTCGTCCCTTTCTTCTCCACGAGCGTCGAAATGCTCTTCGTCGGTGAGCTGCTGTGTGGTCTCGCCTGGGGGGTCTTCACCACCTTGTCTCCAGCGTACGCCTCTGAAGTCACCCCCGTCGTGCTGCGCGGATACCTCGAAACCTGGGTCGTGTTGTGCTGGGGGATCGGCCAGTTCATTTCCTACGGCGTCCTCGATAGTCTGGACGGCAATACCGGCCAGTGGGCATGGCGCATCCCGCTGGCTGTCCAATGGATCTGGCCGGTACTCACCATCCCCTTCATCATCTTCGCCCCCGAGTCGCCCTGGTGGCTCGTTCGCCGAGGTCGTCTGCAAGAAGCCGAACAGTCAGTCCGGCGGCTCACCTCTTCTCGCCATGCAGACCGCGTCAAGCAGTCCGTCGCCCTGATGGTGGAGACCACCAATCTCGAAAGGGCCATGACAGAGGGGGCCTCCTGGTGGGATTGCTTCCGGGGTACCAATCTGTGGCGCACCGAGATCGGTTGCATCACCTGGATGTCCCAGGTGTTCAGTGGCTTCGCCATCTCCGGCTACGCTGCCTACTTTTACGAGCAGGCCGGCTTACCCTCCGCAGACGCCTACAAGATGACCGTCGGCCAGGGCGGGTTGCATTTCCTGTGCACCGCTCTCTCTGTGCTGGCCACCGCCAGGGTCGGCCGCCGCCCCATGATGCTCTGGGGGTTTGTCGGCATGGGCACAGCCATGTTCATCATCGGGTTTCTCGCCCTCGGTACCCAGAACGCAGCCATGGGATACGCCCAGTCCGCCATGTATTTGGTTTGGTTCTGTCTGTACGAGTTCACCATCGGGCCTGTCGCGTACATCATCGTCGGGGAGATCTCCTCCACCCGTCTCCGCTCCAAGAGTATCGCCCTCGGCCGCAACGCCTACAACGTCGCCAGTATCTTCAGCACGGTAGTCGCCCCTTACACACTCAACCCCACCGAAGGAGACTGGAAGGGCAAGACTGCTTTCCTGGCCGCGGGATGCTGTGTCGTCTGCGCTATCTGGACGTACTTCCGTCTCCCGGAGAGCAAAGACCGCACCTACGAAGAGCTCGATCTTTTGTTCTCCAAGAACTTGAAAGCTTGGGAGTTTAAAGACGCTTCCGTGGATGATGAGAATATAGAATTGATGACTAAACGGGGGTGACTCTTGCCTGTAACTACTCCTTGCCTGTATTTCATGATCAAGTTCTTTTTTCCTTCCTCTTTGATACTGAGATTTCTTACGATTGAATGGCTTGAATTCAATGTCTCTGCTTACGGTACTCCGTAGCAACATCATAACAGTAACCAGTACAAAGGGGAGAAGATCGCCAACTGGTGGCCACATGATCCTTATTTCTTGCATCAGCATCACAGAACTCTCTAGCCAATTGATGCCTGCTCGCAGGTAGCTTCTCCGCATCCCTGACCCTGTTGTATCCGGACTTGGCCCGAAAAACGCAGGCCATACGCACTCGGCAATCCAAATCCACCTATAGAATGTAGGCACTAGGAGGACTCACTCAAGTCTCCAGCCTCGCATGTAGGTGCCGAGGTATACCCGATCACGATCATCACTTTAGGCTAAAGAAATAAGAGCTGGGCACGGCTAAAACTCCATGACCAAAAAAAAAACCAAAGTAAACCCCATGCAGATGCGCTTAGTTGAGATAAGAAGGGCTTTTTAGATCGATGCGGGGGTTATTGTAGAGTTCAAATCCATGTCTCTTCCCCTTCGTTTATGTTGCTGTCTTTCCTCCTGACAATAAATATAAACGCATTGATTCCAATATGGTTGTTGAGAATGGCCTTGATGGCTGGCTGCGGTATGCAGCATTGCCGGATGAGATCCGTCACAAGCACCGGCCTTATTCGAGTATCGTTGCCCTCGAGAACGCCGAGACAAGTCCGGTGTACACGGCAGCCAAGGAGCTCCAGGACGGTCTGGACAGGATCCTGGGCCACAAAGTCGACATCACGTTCACGTTGAGCAACACGGCGAATCCAGCCATCGTGGTCGGAACCTTGCATGCATTTTCCACAGCTGGGGGAAGCATCGATAAAATTCCCGAGCTGAAGGAAGACGGATTCTGGCTCAGCACCAAGGGCGACGCCGTGCAGATCCTCGGTCAAAATGAGCGGGGGGCATTGTACGGTGCCTTTGAATTCCTGATGATGCTGGCGCAGGGCAACTTCTCGCCAGTCGCATACGCCAGCAACCCGAGCGCTCCTATCCGATGGGTGAACGAGTGGGACAATATGGACGGAAGTATAGAGAGAGGCTACGCCGGCCCCTCGATATTCTTCCACAATGGGAAGATTCTGGACGATCTGAGCCGTGCTGCCCAGTACGCCCGTCTCCTGTCGTCGATTCGAATCAATGGGGTGGTGGTAAACAATGTTAACGCAAACCCAATCCTTCTCAAACCTGCCAACTTGCAAGGTCTGCGTCGGATTGCAGATATCATGCGGCCGTGGGGGATACGAATCGGCATCTCCCTTTACTTCGACTCGCCGCGGGACCTGGGCGGCCTGCCCACCTCGGATCCGCTAGACCCTGCCGTGGTCGAGTGGTGGAAGGATATAACGGACCAGGTCTATCGTCACGTCCCCGATTTGATCGGGTATCTGATCAAAGCCAACTCCGAAGGGCAGCCAGGCCCGCTGACGTATAATCGCACGCTAGCAGATGCAGCCAATATGTTTGCTCGGGCTCTCAAACCCCACGGTGACGGCCTTGTTATGTACCGAGCCTTTGTGTACAACCACCACTTGGACGAGTCGGAGTGGAAGAACGACCGGGCTAATGCAGCGGTGGAGTACTTCAAGGACCTGGATGCCGAATTCGACGATAACGTGGTCGTGCAGATCAAGTTCGGACCCATCGATTTCCAGGTCCGCGAGCCCCCCTCGCCGTTGTTGGCTCATCTGCGCAAGACCAAAGCCGTGATTGAATTCCAGGTCTGCCAGGAGTATATGGGTCAACAGTCTCACGCGGTCTACATGGCACCATTGTGGAAGACAATTCTGGACTTTGATCTCCGGGTTGACGGCAAGTCGTCGCTGGTCCGTGATATCGTCTCTGGCGAGCGTTTCGGCTGGACGCGAAGCGGGTATGCCTCGGTGGTCAATGTCGGCAACGACCCAACCTGGCTCGGACACCATCTGGCCATGTCAAATCTGTATGCGTATGGTCGTCTGACCTGGGACCCGTTAGCAGATCCAGCCACGATGGTAGAGGATTGGACGCGGCTGACCTTTGGTCTCGACAAGACCGTCGTCGACACCATCACGAAGATCTCCATGGAATCGTGGCCGGCATACGAGAATTACAGCGGTAATCTTGGCATCCAGACCTTGTGCGATATAATATACACACACTTTGGCCCGAGTCCTGGCTCACAGGATGGAAACGGATGGGGTCAATGGACGCGCGCCAATGCACACGCTATCGGCATGGATCGAACCGTCGCAACTGGCACTGGGAACTCAGGCCAATACCCGCCGGAGGTGGCGGCAGTGTTCGAGAACATTGAAACAACTCCGGATGAGTTGCTGCTCTGGTTTCACCATGTGCCGTACACCCATCGCCTGAAGTCAGGAAAGACGGTCATCCAGCACTTCTATGACGCACACTATGCCGGTGCAGCGACTGCGCAGACTTTCCCGACCCAATGGGCCGCTCTGAAAGGCCTGATTGACGACGATCGATACAATCATGTCGCATTCCGCCTCGCCTACCAAGCTGGCCACTCAATCGTCTGGCGAGACGCCGTCAATGGCTTCTACAAGACCAAAAGTAGCATTGCGGATGAGGCTAACCGAGTGGGTAACCACCCGTGGCGGATCGAGGCAGAGGACATGGAATTGGACGGATACCAGGTCGTGGCTGTCACGCCAGTTGAGACCGCGTCCGGCGGCAAAGCCATTATCACAACGTCCCAGAGCCACCCGGGCATCGCAAAGACCACGCTGAAATATCCCTCCGGCACGTACGATATCGCAGTCAACTACTACGACCACCTTGGAGGCCGATCCAAGTTCGAGCTCTTCCTCAACAACCAGACGATCGGCCGATGGACTGGTGACCTTGAGGACAAGCTTGGGCATGACTTTTCAAAACTCCTCGACGGTCACTCCGCAACGCGTATAACCTTCCCAGGTGTCCAAGTCGGAAAAGGTGATGTTCTCAAGGTTGTGGGCCAGCCTGATGGGACTGAGCGCGCGCCCATCGACTATGTCTCCATTTTGCCACAGGGTATTGTGGATTAATGGACAATACTCGGGATTCTGGCATTGATAGATGGGTATGAAGATTGATAGATGTGTTCAGGAGTCGTCAAACAATCCAAGCACTTATTGAAAAAAAGATTCCATGTCACCGTCGCAGAGAAGAAGCCTGGAAAGATTGCAGTGAATCTGAAGCTTCAGACAAAAAAAAAGTAGAGTAGGCCATTGTAGTGAAAGGAAGGAATAAACCAGTTGCACTCTAATTCCAGACTAAGACCAATGTGAAATCTAAAAAGCCTCGTCCTGAACAGGTAAGTTCTTTCTTGTAGGCAAGGTGCCTTTCCAAAAGGCAAATGTCTTGCACAAAACTCCAAAACCCGAAAGGGTCTTCCGGATAACTCTAAGAATCAAATGCTTCTCTCATAAGCATAAAGAAAAAGTCTTCCATCTAGCAAGACTCTGAGGTGGAATGAAAACAACTGCCACCATTAGAAGCGAACTTTGGCGCCAATCCCTTTGCCTTTATATGTGATGGTGTCGAGATACTCGCCGATGCGAACCCCAACGTCTGCAATAGCGTCCATTTTAAGTGTTCCTCCAATGGCACGCTTGACTGCATCATAGCCGATACCACCCAAGTATAAATCAACTGGGATTCGTGGTGTCTGCGAGATTCCAGGGGGAACCTCGAAAGGAATGCTATAGTTGATTGCTCCGATAGGTTCAGTTGTGTCGTAGAATGCTGTTGCGTTGATTGAGGTTATGAAGATGGACGTTTTGGGTAACGGAGAAGCAAGCGAAAAGTCGGCAGTGGATGAAAATAAATGGAGCTAGATGAAGAGCAGATTTAGAATCCCTGTCCAGGCGTCTTGTGGTCTTAAGAAAAGGCATTGATTAAGGGAGAGCATACCGTCGCATCTTTAATGAAACGAGAAGCCCCATCTTCGGTATCGCCGTTATCGTCATCGCCGCCATCACCGGGTGTAAAAAGTTTGGGGATTTGAAGATGGATGGCCAGCTTCGACATGGCCTTGCCGAGCCGGGGGAGATTCGGAAAAGTTCCCTTGTGACTTTGGACAGTCACGGTCGTATTGAAGCCTATACATCAAGTCAGAAAGAGAAAAAAAAAGCGCGGAAAAGGCAAAGACTTGAGCAGACAAAACTTACCAGAGACGTACTGCGAGAGCATTTTGCGACCTGCAACCACTCCCTCTTGTCCACTCGCATCTAACGGGCACCAAAGCAAGGACACTGGCATTCCGGAGTTCAACCCGGGAATTACAGAGATGTTCGCTGCTCTCAAGTGGCCGACAATCGTTCCGTTATATAGCAGGGCGAAGTCGGTTACGGGCACCGTCGCCGAATATGGTGTAGGATTGGTAAAATTCACATGAGCTTTTACCAGAAGTGACGATTGACTTGAGGAGTCAAGTTCTATCGACTCAATCCGAGGATCCAGCTGATCGATTGCACCGCCATAAGGAGCTATTGTAATGGTCAGGGCCCAATGTCTCGGGCAGCATGCACTTAAAACATACCCTTGACGGCCACATCGCCTTCGGCTGGGATGCCGTGAATGGCGAACAGTCCTAAGCCAGTGGTCACCTCAGCATCCACGGCCGCAGTGACATGAAGCTCTACCGAATCCTGTCCAAAGACCAGAGCTTGTATGACGTCCGTGAAAACATCTTCGTCAGTCACTCGGAGAGGGGCCTCATCCACCTGGAACTCAACGAACAACACCGGAGACCCATCTGTGTCGTCAGTGAGAGTTGAATTGGCCTGGTGCCACTTGTGTAGGTCAAGTTCACCCAGTTTGTCTCCAAGGTAAAACACATCAGCGTTGGCGCGGACCCGGGGGACATCGACTTGGAAATTCATTTGCTCGGGAAGATCGATGAGGACCTTAACCAAGGCAGAGACCCTTGGCTGTGATTCAGGGCTTTCTGGCTCCGCAAAGGGGTCCGGAAGAGAGAAATGAACATCCGACATGGAGAAATTCTTGACCAAGTTACCAAGAGCATGCCCAGTAAACGGGACTGGGACCGTCACGTCCTTGAGTAGATCGACCATCCAATCTGGAGTATCAAGAGAAGAGGAATCGGCTCCACGGACATAGATAGTGTTCTCCAAACCTTGCATGTAATTTGTTACGAGAAGATCGAGAGGAGAATCTTTCTTTCCCGGGCAGGCAGTAGTCAGCTCCTCAGGTAGTCGCTCAATGATGCCTGTGGCATCGACATTTGTGGGCGCTCCTGGCTTCACATGTATTTCTGCAGTATCCGCATCTGCTACTACAATATATGGATCACCTGGCGAGCAGTTGGGGACAAGAACGGTAAAGGCCAGCGGAGGAACTGTGATTGACACAGGCAAATCGATCAATGCGTCAAGAGAAACGTCCACTGCCATAGCCCCGGTTTTTTCTGTCGAGTTTGTATCATGAACGGCCAACTTTTTGATATCAATCTGCGGGAAAGAGGGCAATGCATCCCCTATGAAACCATCAGCTGAGCAAAGATATTATTCCGGAACCAATCCAAGAGCTCACCTTTGATAGTAACGGTGTCCGAGAGAATTTGTGTCCCGATATTCAGCAGGCCTGATCGGAGAGGCACATTGGCAATTCCTTGAATAGAGAGATGGCCTAACCTGCCCTGCAGCCAGTCGTCGGCCAGGGGCCGAAGGCCTTGCAAATCGCCAGCTGTGAGATCCACTAGAAAGTCTTTATGGTTGACATGGTGGTCTCGAATATTGAATGTGATCGAAGGCAGCGAGGCGGTGCCCAAAAAGAGACCTCCATACTGGGGCAGATAGACTTTAACATCTGATTGTCCGGTCTGAACCTCTCTCGCGATCCATGTTGCAAAGCGGCCAATATTCCGGACCGCTGACTTGTGCACACGGCTAGAGTCGAGAACAAAGTCCCCCTGCACTCTCACCCGCGCACCTTTCTCTGTAGGCGAATCCAGAGAGACCGTGGTCGGCTGGAAGACGGCTGCCTGCTGCGCATACTCCTTCACCACGGCAGGTGTGGCAAACGCCAACACAAGAATAACCAGCACGGAAATTATCAGCACTGAGAGAGATACCAGTCGCGCCCGACTCTGTGGTTTCTTGCGGCCCTCCTCCTCCTCCTCATTGTCGTGGTCGTTATCGTCGTGGTCGTCGGACCGCACACCGAAGGCAGGGGATCCCGATCTGGCTCCATAGTCCACCAAGCCATCGTCGCGACGGTTTAGAAGTGGCGTGGATTCGGAAGATAAGTGAAATGAACTGTTATAATGATGATGAGGAGAGACGGGTTTGGCGTCCCTGTCCAGCAGGGGCGTGTTCGCCTCGTCGGCCATGGCGGGTGGTGGGCCGGCCGATTTGAGTGGAAAGTAGAGGACACACAGACTTCAAGAGTTGTACTCAAGAAAGCAGATTTGAAACGATCATAGATGGCGATGATTGAGAGGGTGTTTACAGAGAGAAGTGTAGCTTATGATGTCGTCGTCGTTCGATGATGTAGCATTTAACGCCTTGATGCTAAGGCACCAACGACAGGCTTCACCGCCCGCTAGAGCTTCTTCCGCCCCATTCATTGTTGAGTCATTAAATGGATTGTGTGACTCTTATCTACTTCAATTCTTGTTACATTACTTACTTTGAGCAATTGTGCACTATTACATTCACCATGGCTCTTAATTTAAAAGCTGCAGTCCGGTATGGCAGGCAGAGCACGTCACCGTTGGCCAGTTCCAGTCGAAGCTTCCGACAGTATGCGAGACGGTATAGCTCGCAGTCGCCGGCGACACCGTTGACCTCACCGTTTGCCCCGCGACACCTACTATCTATTGCAGACCTTACGCCGGGAGAGCTCGCCACCTTGGTGCGCAATGCGCACTCGCATAAGCATACAATCAAGTCCGGAGCGATCCCGACGAGTCTGTTGGGAGCGCTGTCCGGGAAGACGGTGGCCATGATGTTCAACAAGCGCAGTACACGGACGCGAATCTCAACAGAGGGGGCGGTGGTGCAGATGGGCGGTCATCCGATGTTCCTGGGTAAGGATGATATCCAGCTGGGAGTTAACGAATCGCTGTACGACTCGGCACTGGTCATCTCATCTATGGTCTCGTGCATTGTGGCACGCGTTGCGAAGCACTCGGATGTGGCCGACCTGGCGAAGCACTCCTCAGTACCGGTGATCAACGCTCTGTGCGACTCATTCCATCCACTGCAGATCATCGCCGACTTTTTGACCATCTACGAGGCGTTTCCAGCCCACGCGACCGCGGGCCGTTCCAGCCTGGGGCTGGAAGGGCTGAAGATCGCCTGGATTGGTGACGCGAACAACGTCCTGTTTGATATGGCGATTGGAGCAACCAAGATGGGTGTCGACCTGGCGGTCGCCACGCCCAAGGGGTACGAGATCCCCACGTCGATGGTCAACATTATCCAGCAGGCCGGTGAAGGAGTGGCCCGCCCTGGAAAGCTGCTGCAAACCAACATCCCCGAAGAGGCGGTCAAGGACGCGGACATCCTGGTGACAGATACATGGGTCTCGATGGGCCAGGAGGCGGAGACCATCAAGCGACTGAAGGACTTTGAGGGCTTCCAAATCACGGCGGATCTCGCCCGGCGCGGTGGAGCCAAGGATGGATGGAAGTTCATGCACTGTCTGCCCCGACACCCGGAGGAGGTGAGCGACGAGGTCTTCTACAGCAAGCGGTCGCTGGTCTTCCCGGAGGCAGAGAACCGGCTGTGGGCCGCCATCTCGGCGCTGGAGGCCTTTGTTGTCAACAAGGGACGGATCGAGCAGTGATATATCGATTTTAGGTCTATATAGTCATTCATATATGTAAAGTAGTCATCAATTCAGGCCTATTATCGATAGATAACATTCTCTGATCCAAAAGCTCCCTTATGATTCTACGTAGCAAAACCGATCTTAGCAGGCATACTGGCGTACTTCTAGACAGGCTCATTATACATAGTTACCACCAGCTAATATTACATATTAATAAACTGTAGAACTCTATTAACTATTCGTAGCCCAGGCATTGATCGTCCCCTTGTCGGCTTCACATGTCTGCGCTCGGGCCCGTCTCCTCCTCGAGCTCAATAATAATACGGGGTTGTACAAGCTCCATCACAGCTTTACCCCAGAGTACGGCACCACATCAACTTACGATGGAGGTAAGGCTGCAAATCGGGTTATACTTCTGAAAAAAAGAGAATATGCTAATAGGCTAGTCTTTCAACGCCTCTCAGGGCGCCTTTCGCTCCCGCCGGTCCTACCCTTCGCTGAATCACATCTCGCTGGCACCGCTAACGCCCCGGTTCCCGCTCGACGACGAGGAGGGCGAGGCGGCGGACTATTTTGCCTCGCGCAACGAGCAGCCGGTGGAAGAGCAGCGACAGCACCAGTATCACGCGCGGACATCGTATCTGTCAAGTCTGTCAGTGCCCGGCACCCCGTCGCTGCTCTCTCATTCCCGCGGTGGTTCTCCCACGCGCAGTCGGAGCCGCGCGCAGCTCCGACTCAGTGAAACGGATTTACAGGCTGGTGATTTTATCTCGCCCCTTCATCATCATCACCATCATAATGGCCATCAATACCGGCATCGCTCCGAAGGCTTAAAGAAGAAAAAGGGTCAGAATATCACCCGGCCGGATCACGATGAGAGAACTACGGCTGCCAACGACCCGGAATGGATGCTCCGGGCAGGGATCGCTCTAGCGGCTTCCACGCGCGAGGAAAAGGGCCAGAGCTGGCTCGTGAAACGAGAGAGCTCGACGAGTCTCGTTTCCCAGACAGAGGATGATCATCACTACGAGAATCAACACCGCCCTCACCATCGCCGTAGCACCGACAGGTCTCGGTCAGGCATGTCGACGCCTGCTGCATTCTCGCGTGGCGGTAGCCACAGAGGTAGCCGGGTGGACCTGGCGATGACACCGCGGGACTTGACCATATCGACGACGGCGACGAGGTCGAGGGATGGCCGGCTTATTCTTCCGGACTTTGTCGACGAGGAGATTCGAGCGGAGATGGCGTCGGTTGAGCGCCGATACGATGACGAGGAAGGCTTATACCTGGAAGAGTATAATTCTATTGCAGACGTCGAGGAAGAGTCATACGACACCGACGCTGGGAGCGAGGAAGCTGAGCTTGACGAGCGAGAGATGCAGCGTCTGACGCACGATCGGGGCTTTGGATTGGGCCGTTGGATTGATCGTCTGGTGGAATGGACCCTTTTTGGAGTCGACGACTGGCCGGCTGAGAGTGCCATCCCGTCGGCGGCAGCAGACGACCCGTTTTTTGCTACAGGTGTGGACTCCCACTCCCGAGCCATCCCAGAGGTAGTCGCCGACGACGCAAATGGAGATGAAGACCATGTCAGCGAGGGAGATGGAGACGACGAAGGCGGCAGCATCGCAAGCGAGTCGGCCCCGGTGGGTGAGATGGCTGGCGAGGAGGGCGGCTGGCAGGATGCTGGCTGGCTGCTGCGAGTGGTGAAACGCACAATGTTGACATGACATGGCATCCTATGGAGTAACTATACGACGGATATCCGACCTCCGCTCGTACTCCGTACACACTGCTGCCCTTTTCCCGAGTGTTTTTAGATACGCCAATATTTTGCGTATCATCACCACCAATGCCGCCTCCTATGCTGCCTCCGCATGTGATTTATCATGTTTCTGATGCGCAATGATCCCTCTATCATTTTTCTACTCCGTACAATGTGAGCTGCCAAGCAGAACCGTGGGGAGGGCGTCACGCCGCGCGGTGCGGATTCCTTCCTCCGCGCCCAAAGACTCATTTTTGAGGCTTTGGGCGTTGCGGGGACTGACAACTCGGTGACAGCTGCCAGACCAGAGCTTTAATTTCTATTTTAACCGAATAATCTATTGCTTCCAAGGATATTAATTCCAGAATCATCAAGCCGTTTTTTTTAGACGACTCTTTTTTTTTTTTTTTTTTATTCCTGGGACGGGTTTACTCTAGCTATAAAGTTTTTTTTATGCTGTAACCTCTTTTTAAGTGGAGGAATTCATACACAGAAAACCAGGTCCAAGGCTCGACAAGAAATGACTTGCTAAGATGAGAGAATGACAGTCGCCAAGTTGACGCTCTCGCTGATCGATGAATCGATATTGCGCCAAAAGGAAAGAACGAACAACCATTTTATTGCGTGGTCAACATGGTGAACCATGAGGCAGATACGCCGTCCACGAGTCATTCTCCCATAGAGGCAGACGTTCGTTCACCTTGCAGTATCACTGCTATCATTCCCAGCCACAGCTAATACGGCATAGAGCATTTCGGACACGGACTCGGCATTCGGCGTGTCGTGGGTTGTCCACAGCCCAGTCTAGGATTATCTTATTTGAGGGCTCACTCCCTATAGGGATAATGCGAGCTATACCTCGTCGATCTCGGCGAGCGTGAGAGAATATGTGTACGTTGTTGCCATGGAACCACCTTGTCAGTCATGGATGCAATACTAATCCCTCCAGCTACGAGGCAAGTTGATGGATGTCTCTTCGACTCTATCTATCTGACCATCCCACCTAGAACGGACGGCGATATCAATCCTACCGAACAGGGGCGCATTTTATCGTAAGAGGCATTTCTCTCTCTTATCCCTCTCCCTCAAACAAAATACCCTTGCTAAGTTAGCCAGCCCAATGATGAACATGAGCAGGACCGTATGGACCTGACCCATCACATCTACATGCTACTCACGGGCGGGAATTTGTATTTCGCCCCGATAAGTAATCCGCGACGGGTTCTCGACCTCGGCACAGGGACGGGCATCTGGGCGATTGACTTCGCAGAGTATGTCTTTGGGCCCGTTTGAGCTTGCTGGGCTTTGTTGAACTACCAGACTGACCATTTAGCCAACATCCAAACTCATTTGTCATCGGTAAGAGGCTCTCCAGATTTCCACATGAGGATGATGATGACGATGACGCTGAGTATCTAGGAAACGACCTCAGTCCAATCCAACCATCATGGTGATACTATCTGGAAGCGAGATACGAAAGTGTATAGACTGACTGACGGGCTAGGCTCCCCCCTAACCTCATCTTCGAAGTGGACGACTTTGAAAGCGAATGGGCCCACACAGGAAAGTTCGACTTCATTCACAGCCGCGAGATCGAAGGAATGGTCAAGGACTTTGACCGACTCTTCGAGCAAGCCTTTGACGCCCTAAACCCAGGCGGCTGGCTTGAGTTCCAGTCCATCGAGCTCGCGCGCCGCTGCGACGATGACTCGTACCACCTCGCCGCCGCCTTCGACCGCTGGCGTGACCTCGTCCATAGCGCCGCCCAGGGCTTCGGCAAACGCTTTGATACCATCCACTCCTGGCCGGATAGGATGAAACGCACGGGCTTTACCAACGTGCGCCGTGAAATCCTCAATGTATTTCTCTCACTCTCTCTCTCTCACCTTTACATATTCACTTTTTATTCGAAATATGCGTTACATGTACTAACTCACCATCTCCTAGCTCCCCTTTAGTCCATGGCCAAAGGACCCCAAATTAAAAGAACTGGGCCGGTACCAGCAAATCAATCTGTTACAGGGAATGGTCTCGTACAGTCTCTTCCTCTTCACCAACGTCTTAGGCTGGAGTCAGGCGGACGTCTACGCCCTGCTCGTCGATGTGCAGGCCGTGCTGCGGAACCCGGCGGTGCATTTCTATACCCGTGTGCACTTCGTATATGGTCAGAAACCATACTAGATTAGAACCATTCACTTCAATTGAAATCCGGCTTTACTGTCCTCACTACTGTATGGCTTATTTATCACAATATTCTATTAACTGTCGATCCTCGTACTAGACGCCAAGGTGACTAGATCTGAACTTTGCAGCACGCATTAAGATTCACAGAACCTCCAGGATAAAAAAACAAAAGGTACTACAGAGTAGGATCCATGTGGACAAAATTAGAACGGAAAGAAAAGATGCATTCCAAGCAACTCGTTTTCAAGAAATATTTGAATGGAGACGATGCCTCCGATTAAAGTAAGGAAATCACAGAAGGAATGAGATAGTAAGGGGGTTGTTGGTCTGGTGAAGGAAAAAAAAAGAAAAGAAACATATGGAAGGGGATAAGAACGAATCAAAAGACAAGAGCAAGGTCTCTGTAACGCCGCCTTCAACTCTAAATGTTCATGCAGCAGGTATCATGATCGTATCGTACGTGGATGCGCGGTCGACAACTTGAGATGGTGATGAGTAGATCCGGGCAGGGTAAATGCCGATAGTAGTTTTGTCGGTTACGGTAGTGGTAGTAGTGGTGATAGTGGTGGTAGTGGTGGATGATGGTAGAGTTGGTGGTGATTTGTGATCAGGTAGGGTGACTCAAAAGGGCTACCAAGGCCCGACCCTGACCGGAGTGCCGAGCCCGTAGGTTCCAGAGAGGAGTTGGTCGCGAATGGAAGGCAGCTCGCCGCCAGATGGGCCTCCCAGGTTCTGTACCTCTGGCCCGTTCATCCAGCCCAGTCGGGCTCCGAGTTCGTGGACGGCTGCCTGCAGCTTTCCCCCCGAATTCTGGTTATGCTTGGCGAGTTTCTGATCCCAGCCGCCATACTGTAGCTGGATCCCACCCCCACGCTTAGCTGCCTCCCGGATGACGAGGACCCACGCCTTACAGATTTCATCGTATGCAGCGTCTCGTTCAACGTTGTTCTGGGGCGTACTCCACCGCGGCAGCGAGTGGATGATATCGGTAGCCCCGTCGAGGTAGCTTAGCGAGACGGTCGTTTGACTTTCATGGGGGGGCAAGAAGTGCGGTGTAAAGTCGCTCAGGGCGTCCAGCAGGTTCGCCAGCGGCTGGCGTACTCGGTTGTAGGCATAGTCTGAACTTGGGTTGCCACCCAACGGGAACGACGACTGCAGCGTGACCTGATAGTTTCGCAGCACCTGTAACGTCGAAGTCACGCTGGGGCGAGGAGAAGTGTGCACCACCTCTTCTGACAGCTCGGGATGGCGCTCAACCATAGACCGTAGGACGGATCGCAGGGCATCGGTGTCGAGGGTTTCTAATAAGCGAGGGAGAGAAAGGGGTCTGCCCGAGACATTGGGTCGGGCTCGCTTGATGTTGCGGATGGTTGGCAGGACTCGAGGTGTAAAGGCGGGCGAGTTCGTGGGCGAGGCCGACATACGTCCATCGTGGTCGTTGCCATCCTCGTCGGCTTTCCGTTTGCGGCTGCTGGTCGAATACGATGATGGTGTCGACACTGTCGAGTTAGCGACGACATCAAAAGAAAAACAGACAAAAGAAAAAGGACACCAAAGAAAAAAAAAATCCCACATACTTGAACGAGATGGCGAGAAACGAGAAGGTTCGTAGAAGTGTGGCGGAACAGGAGGCGTGGCCACCAGACTGTTCATGATGCTGCTGGCCCCGAGATCGCTGGACAGCAGGACCGGGCAAAAAGAGGAGAAGTTGTGCACCAGGCGGGCAGCCAGCCAGCCGTCGAGACTGGTATTCTGATATAAAACTGAAAAAAAACCTGGATAGGAGTGAAGATTGATAAAAACACAACAGAAAAAGAAAGGAAAAAAGTAGTGTGCAGAGAGTAGCGAGAAGCAGGAGAGAAGTGGGGAGAGAGGAAGAGAAGTAGAGAGAGAAGCGGTGGGCAGCAGAAAAGTAAGAGTGAGTGAGTGACGAGCTCGCCCTGTCACGCTGTCGGTTGCGGGAGGCAACCCACTCCTCCTGCGCAGAAACGACAAAGAAACCGCCAGGCTTCGACGGTTTCTGTACGCCCAGGGTTCCTTCTTTGATTCCGTTCTTTTTTGTCCTTTGCGTTTTCTTCTATCCGGCAAAGATCGAGTTTTTACTGTCTACTTGGGAAGTTACGTTTACTAGTGACAACGGGTTTTTTCCGGTCAACGACTTTGTGCTACTACAACGTCCCCCCTCTCAAAGATGCCGTGAAACCGACATAACTCCACACGTCGGACCAGCTTCAGTAAGGAGACGACACAGGCTACATACAAATGAAGTCGATTCACAGTGGAACCCACACGATCGTTTCGTCAATACAATTCCCGACGCCAGAACCATGCAGCGGATGGAAAAAGAAATGGACAGCAGCAGACATTTTTACAGATAGAGAGACTGGGCAGCGACAATGTCACGGCGGATCTTGGTCAGGGCCGTCTCAAACTTGCTCTCCAGCTCCTCGTTGCCCATGACTTTGGCAGCCTGTGCCATCTGTCGGAGACACTCTTCCAGTCGACGGAACACGCGGATCAAACTGCCCTCGTATACGTCGGTCATCCCACTGCACCGCGTTAGCATGTATTCCGCCTTTTTTTTTGTTCTCACCCTCAGGGCAATCTTGTGTAGCTTACCAGATATCGGCAAAGGACTTGCCATTCGCCCATTCGTAAATAACTTCCATGAGTTCCCAGTGGAAGCCTTGCACGTACTCTTCCTCATTCACGGCCAGCTTCGACTCTTGCGAGACCTTGGCGATGATGCGGGCCTGCGCCTGGATCTCCTTGAGCGGCTTGGCTAGGTCATCGCGGGTCAGGGCGGGTGTCTCCTTGGTCTTCTCCTCAAAAACAAACACGCTGAGCACGGCCGCCGCTTGTTCAGGGGTAAGTTTATTGAAGAAGCCATTGAATAGGAGCTCGCTGAGCATCAGTTCGTCACCCGTGCTGATCTCGCACGCCACACGCGCCTTCAGCTGCACCACCTCCGCCTCGTTGATAAACCCGAACCGGCGCAGCACGCGCTTCCGGCATTTGAGCTCGTCAAGCTGCAAAGTGGACGTTGCCTCGGCGATCTTCTTCCTGATAGCCTTTGCCTGAGCACCCAGTTCTACCTTCTCGGCGTACAGCTCGTAAAGCTCCGAGAGCCGGGGCGAGTTATGCAGCGGATTTGAGAGCAGACGGGACTCGAGCACTTCAATCTTGCGAAGCTTCTTCTTGAAAGTGTCGTCCTCGATCTTCATATCTTCAAGCGGGTCAAGCACGGCCACGCCGTCGGGGAAGCGCCGCTTCACTTCCTGCAGTCCCTTCTTCACTTTGTCCTTGGACTCACTGGATTGCATATCCTTGGGGGTGTGCAGGCGGATATGCGAAATCTCTTGGAGACAGCTCATCACAACAGGGACAACCTCCATTCGTGACTTTTCATCGCCTTGCGGAGGTCTAACGCCAGATGGAAGATCCTCGAACGTTTTGGTTCCGACTGCCGGTCCTTCAGCGATATTGAGCAAAACATCCATAATGTATTTCTTGTGCGGTTCGGGCTCCTCGGTCGACTGGTTTGGATTTGGAGACTTGCGCTTCTTGTAGTTGACAACAACGCCCCAACCGAAATCATATTCGCCGTGCTTGATGTGCACCATTCGCCCAGGTTGAATGTAGGGCAAGCAATAATTCGGGTGACTGATAACAAGCTGCACCTCGCTGGCAAGCTCAGCGATCTGTTTCTTCAATTCATAATAATCTCTGACAGTTCCTTCATCTGTAATGTTGATGTTGGCCCTCTTTTCCTGTACATCAAGAAGCTCTGGAACCTAGTTAGTATCTATTAACCAATAAAATCCCCATTGACAACCAAAACGTACCTTTTTCAAGTCCAGCTAGACTGGCAGTGTTCTGAAATTGAAAGAAACAACGTTCGAGCATGAACTCTGGCGAGATGCCTTCGACACGCATTAGGTTCAAAATCATGTTGTAGCCTAGGTGGAAAGCTGAATTGAGTCGGTCTTGCTCTCCCCGGACAATCTCCTTTGCTACCGCAGGGTCCATTTCTTCTCCAACCATCATGATAACGATACCTCGATCATCAAGACCTCGACGACCTGCACGGCCGGACATCTGAATGAACTCGGACGGTGTGACCCAACGTTGGCTGAAACCGTCAAATTTGCGGACGCTGGTGAAGACCACGGTCTTGGCAGGCATGTTCAGGCCGATAGAGAAAGTCTCTGTGGCAAACAAAACCTTGATGAGACCCTCCTGGAAAAGAATTTCGATCGTCTCTTTTAGAATTGGCAGTAGACCGGAGTGGTGGACACCGATCCCTCGGCGAAGGAGAGGAAGGATGTTTTGGATCTGTGGCAAGCTCCTATCTTCCTCTGACAACATCTCTAATGCACTGTCAAAGACTTTGGAAACCATCTCCTTCTCGGAATCGTCGTTGAATGCCAATGTGGCCATATTCAGAGCGCCAGCCTCGCACTCCCGCTTACTGAAACTGAAAACAATGACGGGGTTGTAGCTCCTCAACATGATCATCTTGACAATCTTGAAGATGTCTGAGGGCCCTTTGTTGCCACCCTTGTTCAGCCTCTTGTCCTTGCCTTTGCCTTTCCGCTTCGCATTAGGGTCAGACGGGTCATCACCCTTCTTGTCGGCGATGGAGGTCATGGCCTTCTGGAAGTTGTCCTCCCGGAACACTCCTTTTTCATCCACGATCAAATGCATACCCTCTGCACCGGCAGGGAAAAAGTAGTGTTGGAGCGGCGTCGGTCGAAAATCAGTATACACAACGTGGCAGGGTTGGTTGTGCATCTTCACAATCCACTCGGCGAACTGCATGGCATTGGGGATTGTGGCCGATAGGAACACATATCGCACCTTGTCCGGCAGTAGGATAATGGTTTCCTCCCAGACCACTCCACGGGTAGCGTCACGCATGTAGTGAATCTCATCGAAGACCACCCAGGCCACTTCGCGCATAATCTCCGAACCGCGGTATAACATTGAACGAAGAATCTGTGAAAATAAAACCACCGAGTCAGCTCTAAGCGCTTCGCTGCCAGCTCCTTGTGCCCAATCTTACCTCTGTTGTCATGACCAAGCATGTAGCTGTTGGATTGATTGTCACATCGCCAGTCATCAGACCGACGTCGCCAAATTCCGCCGCGAACTCTCGGTATTTCTGGTTGCTCAGGGCCTTAATCGGACTCGTGTAGATAACTCTCTGGTTGTTTTTCAAACTCTGTGCAATCGCGTACTCCGCCACGACCGTCTTTCCAGCACTGGTATGAGCAGAGACAAGAACACTCTCTTCCCTCTGGATCGAATGGACTGCCACCTGCTGGAACGGATCCAGCGTGAAGGGCCATGTCCTGGCTGGGTTCTCCGGCGGAACGTGCTGCGAGATGGGCGTGTACGGGTAGTTGGGTGGGAGCGCAACCTGATGTCGCACCTGGTGAGAAAGCACCATCGACGCTGCCTCCTTAGTCCCCTGCAGGCCCGCCGAAACTTCTACTTCGCGTTCTTGCGCCGTCTCGAATGTATCGGCCACAACAGGCTCGGGCGCCTGGTCTAGGCGCAACCGCTTCGCTTCAGGTTGTTGCTGCTCCTTCTCTGACGCGGGCCCATCCACTCCATCTTCCACAGGCGTCAAAGTCTCGGCCGCGGGCGCCTCAGCCATCTCGCTGTCCTCCTGTCCATTCTCCTTCACGTCGCCATTCATCTGGCGCTTCTTGCTCTTGTCTTTCCTCAGCCGCGGTCGGGGCGCCTCTCCCGCCTTGGGGGCCTGAGGCTGGTCCTCAAATACGTCAAACAGCTCGTCCATCGTCGCTCGGATCCAGGCGTGGTGAAGACGAGACCTCTGGCTGGGGGAAGAATTTCAGCGGTCGTCCCGGGCGGTGATTGGTCTCGCCGGGTGGTTTTTTTTCTGGCCGCCGGCAGAAGTCACGTGACTGTTCTTTCCCGACTCGAAGCCGCATCGTCCCACTCGCTCCTGCCTCTTTCCCTTCCCCAGTCCACGCTCTCTCCTGCCCTCCCCCGAAGCAATCATCAAGGTCAGTATTGCTGTTTTGACTGTGCTGGACCATTCAATTGTATCTGTATCTGACAGGGGGCGTCAAGATGAACGCTGCTACCGCTTTCCGCGCCAGAATGGCCGCCAACCTCGTTGCCCGCCGTGGCTTCTCGACCACCCGCGCCCAGCTTGGGAGCCCTTACCACTACGCCGAGGGCCCTCGCACTAACATTCCTTTCAACCCGCTGACCAAGCGCTTCTTCTGGAGATACTGGGCTTTCATGGGTATGTTGAATTGGGGATATGCGGGCTTGGGATGAAATACAGGACTGACGTTGACTTTGCTAGTGACCGGGTTCGGTGCTCCCTTCGGCATTGCCGGTACGTCCTTGCTCTATGTGGTCGCAAACCAAGATATCCGTCTCTTTACTGACTGTTTTAGTCTGGCAAACCTACAAGACTCGCTAAATCCTACTGTTGTGGCCGGTGTGGAAGGATGTATGGGAGTCGGACCTGCTCTCACAGCGGGGGATCGGGCATCATGTACAAAGCTAGAGGAAACTGTTGAATTCAATTGGGATACTATTTGCTCTTTCTCCCCCTCTTGGAGCATACTGGGTGTAGAAATGGTTGCGTTGTAGATCGCGCACTGAGAATTAAGAATATGGATGAAGTCATTGGCTGAGAAGCTTTATTCGGCAGCCCGTTTTTACAGCAGCGAAAATTAAACTCTGGTATCTGATATCGACTTCCACCACCACGAAAGTCCAGAGAGTTGATCGGGATAAAAATAAAGAAAGATTCCCACAAGGTAGAAGAGATTTTACCTTGAATAAAAAAGAATCCTTTCTCATTAGACGTTTGCGTGTCTGCTCGTCGCTTTATGGCGGTGGGGTAATAAAATCACGATGCGCAATTTGAAAACCGTGCATCTTACAGAGGTGCAGCTCCAGAGCGAGCTGCCTTTAACTACAACCGCGTGGGATACTGCTTCTGATGCGATAATCTGCACATTCGGTCCCTCGGAGCTCAGTCCAGTCATCGAGTTGAGGCGAAAGCGCCAGGATGCGGCATTCGCAGACCAAGTGGGATCCGATGCGTTTGAACTGATCACTTCCTGGGACGCACCATGCCCACTGCCGGATCTGCCATGTGATAGGGTGCTGTCATTGCATTACTTTGCAGACAATCTTACTGCTTGCCTGGTACTGGAAGGAGGTGATATCATCATTGTCCGTGAAGAGCCTCTGCCAGGCGAAGACAAGATCGAAATCCTGGGCTCTGTCGATGTTGGGATCACAGCCGCCGCCTGGTCGCCTGATGAAGAGCTGTTGGCCATCACCACGCGGGCGAACACGTTTCTGTACATGACCAGGGAGTTTGAGAACGTGGCGGAAATTAACTTCTCCCCGGAAGACCTCAAGGCTTCCCAGCATGTCTCAGTCGGCTGGGGAAAACGGGAGACGCAGTTCCAGGGAAAGAGAGCCAAGGCATTGCGAGATCCCACAGTTCCAGAAAAGGTTGATGAAGGACGTATGAGCAGCTTTGATGACGGCGCTACAACTATCAGCTGGCGCGGTGATGGCGCGTACGTTGCCGTAAACAGCGTGGAGTCCAACATTCGCCGGGTGATTCGAGTTTACTCCAGAGAAGGAACACTGGATAGCGTTAGTGAACCAGTGGACGGGCTTGAAAGTGCTTTGAGCTGGAGGCCATACGGTAATCTGATGGCCGGTATTCAACGTCTCCACGACCGTGTCGATGTGGTCTTCTTTGAACGCAATGGACTGCGTCATGGCCAGTTCACCTTGCGGCTCACAGAGGAAGAGAGGGTACTCTGGGCTACTAATATCCATCTCAGCTGGAATATCGATTCGACCGTTCTTGCTGTCCGATTCAAGGATAGAATTCAGTTCTGGACAATGGGCAACTATCACTACTACCTTAAGCAAGAAGTACCCGTTGTGCTGGGACCAGAGACCCAGTCGCCATTTTCTTTTAGATGGCACCCGGAAAAATCACTCCGCTTTGTTTCTGGCTGTGCAGGTATGGAAACTCACATCTCGTTGCCGACGAATGGTGGACATCTAGCTTATAGAAGCAGGCTCAATATTAGACATGGACTCGGTGTTCGACGTCTGTCATGGTTCCACCGTCATTCCCAACGATGTGGGCGCTGTCGCTGTCATCGACGGCAGTAAGTATATTAAGCCGATAGCAATGGACATTATTAACGTCGTTTTATCTAGAAACTCTGAAATTGACGCCTTTGAGATTGGCCGGGGCCCCCCCACCCATGGCTCATAATGAACTGCCCCTACCTTCCAATATCATAGATGTGGCTTTTAGCAAGTCTGGAACTCGGATTGCAGTTTTGATGAACAATTCTTTCTCAATATTCATGTGGTGTCTCAAGAGCAGACCTGTCCCATGCCCCATACTGGAGTCTAGCCATTCCCTGCCAGAGAAGCCAGAAAGCCGCCCAAGGCAGATCGCCTTCTTCAACGAGAACGAAGTGTACATCTTGAGGAACGATGGACCGAACCAATCTCTCATCGAACGCACAACGCTGGAGACGCGCTCAAGCGAGATTGCCTACCAAGCGTCAGACTCGGAACAGTTGTCCTCGATCTTCTCTGGGTTTGACCATGACAAGCTGTGGTTTTCGTACACCAAAGGAACACAGATTTCATATAAAACCATAGCCCCTCTCTCATCAGATCACTTCGAAGTCACCACCTGGGAACATTCTCCGGCAGTCAACACTCATTGGGCCAGAGCTGTGAATATCTCAGATAACAAGGTATGGTGTTGTAGATATTCTATTTAGCTACAGAATACTGACTTTTCAACAGCCTGTCCTGGTGACTATGACGAGGACCGGTTCCTTATACGCCAATAAGCGCTTGCTCGCGAAGAATTGCACGTCCTTCTTGGTCACATCTGCCCATCTTCTCTTCACAACTTCGCAACATCTTCTAAAATTTGTTCATTTCACAACCGTTGAAGGTAAGCCATTGCCGTTGTTCCAAGGTAGTATGACTCTAATCAATGCTTTACAGAAATGGAGGTGCCAGCAGACACTCCAGAGACGGATGAGAGGTGCAGAAGCATTGAACGTGGCGGTCGTTTAGTGACTGTGATGCCATCCAAGTTCTCCGTCATCCTGCAGATGCCGCGAGGCAACTTAGAAACAATCTACCCCCGCGCGCTGGTTCTGGCTGGTGTGCGCAGCTTTATTGACAATCGGAACTACCGCTCTGCGTTCCTCGCCTGTCGAAGCCAGATCGTCGATCTGAATATCCTTCACGACTACAATCCTACACAGTTCATGGAGAACGTTACATTGTTCATTGATCAAGTGAAAAAGCTTGAGTTCATCGACGAGTTCCTATCACGCTTGAAGGAGGAGGACGTCTCTCAGACACTTTACAAAGATACCCTGAAAATATCCAAGATAGAGGCGGCAAACGGAACCCTGCCCACGACTGACGTAGAGAAACCTTCCCAGCTGCCCAGCAAGGACAGTAAGGTCAATCGAATCTGCGATGCATTCCTGGCCGCCCTCAGCAATCATATGGATACCAATCTGCAGAACTTGATCACCGCACACGTGTGCAAATCACCACCTGATCTTGAGGCAGGTCTAGAGCTCGTTGCGCATCTGAGAGGTGAGATAAATAGTCATGATTTCGATCTTTTCATGTTAACAATAGCTAAATAATCTTCAGAAAAAAGCCCGGAGCAAGCAGAAGATGCTATCGAGCACATGTGCTTCTTGACAGACGCCAACAGACTCTATAACCATGCGCTGGGACTGTACGATCTGGAACTTACGCTTCTAGTTGCTCAACAATCTCAGAGGGTTGGTTTTTGGTTACCTTTTCTTCGGCTCTTATCGTTACTATTTTCATGAAATCTGACAATTGCAGGACCCGCGAGAGTATCTTTCATTTTTGCGCAAACTGCAGAAACTCCCTGAGCTGCGACGGAAGTTCGAAATCGACAATTTCCTGACCCGGTCCGATAAGGCTTTGAAACACCTGCACGCACTCGGTGAATATGATGAGCTTCGAGCATACGCCATCAAGCATGTCTTGTACAAAGAGGCTCTTGACTTGTACAAGTACCAACCCGAACAGTCGAAGGATATCACCCAAGTTTATGCAACTTATCTCCTCGAGCAATCCAAGTACAAGGAGGCAGCCATCGGTATGCATATGGTTACTCGTTTTTTTTGGTTCCGATCTAAACTGATGATTGTAGCGTATGAGTCCCTCTCTATGTACGAGGATGCCTACAAATGCTACCAGCGTGCCCATCGTTGGCGCGAGTCCCTCTTCTGTGCAACGATGGCGTCGCTCTCTGCGGACGAAATCCGAGTTCACGCTCTTAATCTCGCCCACACACTGACGGAGGAGACCCGCGACTACTCCGCTGCTGCCCAGATATACGCCGAGCATCTCCAGGACATCCCCACAGCCGCAAAACTGCTCTGCCGCGGCTCGCGCTTTGACGAGGCCACCCGTCTCCTCGCACTACACGGGCGTCAGATCCTCGTGCCGGAGATTGTTGACCAGGGCCTCGCCGATGCGATGGGCTCCATGACTGATCTTCTCGCAGACTGTCGGTCCCAGCTCAACGCCCAGGTGCCGCGACTCCGCGAACTGCGCGTCCGCCGCGCGACCGACCCTCTCGCCTTCTTCGGTGGTGATTCCACTGCAGCCACGGGCAATGGCGTGGACGCAGACATCCCTGATAATGTCTCGCTTGCCCCGACCGATGCTTCCACCCTCGCAGGGCGGAGCATGTTCACCCGGTATACTGGTGGCACAGGCAAGACGGGCAAGACGGGCTCCTCGCGCCAGACCTCCCGCGGTCGTCGTCGGGAGGAGCGCAAGCGCGCCCGTGGCAAGAAAGGCACCGTTTATGAAGAGGAATACCTCGTCAACAGCGTGCGTCGGCTGTTTGAGCGCGTCAACACAGCAGTGAACGAGGTTGAAACGCTGGTCGACTCCCTGCTGCGACGCGGGATGCGCGAGCGCGCTGCCGCAGTCGAGAAGGCTCTCGCTGAGCTGTTGGGGATGTGTGCTGAGTGTCGCGAAGAGGTCTTTGAGACATCTGCTCCTGAGAAGCAGCAGGACGCCGACCGCGAGGAAGAAGCGCCGAACGAAGAGGCACTCGTCCCGCGCCGAGGTGACGCAGTCTTCTGGGAAAGTGTCCTGGCAACATCTGAGGGGAGCAAAGCGCGGGAAGCCCCTGTTCTTAAGCAGATGAAAAAATCTGCTTTGCTCAGTTGATAGAAACATAAACAAAAGTAATGGTTAGTCTTCAATGATATGTTTTGGAAAGCTGGATGTGCCATATAACTATCTACAACTATAAACTCAGGAGGGTATTGGAAATGAAAGTGAAATGATGTCTATTATACTAGGAGGTGAGAAGACGATAGAAAAGTCTTGGAAAAGCAACGGGTATCTTCAGCTCTAACAGCCATCATTTTATGAATGATTCTTTTCTATCCATAGATATTATTCATCAAAAGTAATGTATTTGAGAATATGATATTAGTATAGGAGCCTCGTCTAATTGATAATAATCTCTCCCTTTTCGCTGACCAGGTGTTCGGTGACACTAACTGGCCCTTCACCAACGCTAGTGAGGATGACCCTAGCAACACCATCCTTTAGGACAGTAACGGCTCTAGAGTCAAGTTGGTCCAATGAGACACCGGGAGCAGTGACCTTTTCCAGGCGCTGACCGAATGGGCCTTCCCAGCCCCCGGTAGTACCGCCCAAGATGGCCTTGAACGTGCCGGCGACAAGTTCAGAAACCTCATCAAGGTAATATATGACCGCATTCGGGCCTGCATCAAATGTATATGCGCAAACAGTCCGACCCACAGCACGGTTGATATCATGCACTAGACGGACAGCAGCACGGGAGACATCGTTCATATAGAAAATCGGGGGCCAGGAGTCAAGGCAGGTTGCGTGGAAGCTGTTGGAATCCCGCATCGTGATCTCTGCAAAAGCAGGGAAGTCCCGGTCACGGATAGCCGTCTCAATAGCGTCCATCCTCTCGGGGACGACGGAGGCTGCCCGTGTAGCGAAGAGACTCGAGGTGGCGACAGTCGTCTGCATGCCCTCTGTGCTCGGAACATCCTTCTTTTCCGCACTGACGACGAGAATCAGGGCACGCATTTCGGGCCAGTGAGACGCCGGGGCAACCTCCTCGGCGAGACTGTCGCTTCCATCTTCGAGTTCCCCAGAGCGCCAAGCCACATATCCTCCCATCAGAGACCGGCAAGCGGACCCAGAACCTTGACGGGCAATACGGCTCAATTCCCTAGGGGATTGTGGAAGCTGGTACAGATCCGCAACAGCACGAACAAGAGCTGCGAACCCAGCAGCAGAACTGGCCAGACCTGCAGCAGTAGGGAAGTTGTTTTCGGAGACGATGCGGAGGGGTAGCGTGGACAGCTTAGGGAGCGTGAGGTCAGCGGCCTCAACCGCCTGGCGAAGAGACCGGAGGTTGGATAGGCAGGCAAGAGTACGCTTCGAAGACTGAATATCCTGGGGCTTGCCATTGAGAGTCAGGCTGTCCGCTGCGGGGTAAACAGCCGAGCAAGAAGCGGTGGTAAGAGTACGCAGGGAGCGTTGAGACAAAGTCACCGACAGGGAAGAGTTCGTCGGCAAGTTAAGAGACGCATCTCGTTTCCCCCAGTATCTATACGGTAGAAGTGGTTAGAAGGAAGGATCTCGGACCGATTGTAGAACAAGCCCTCAAACCGCTGAAAGGTTGACTTACTTGATGACTGCAATATTTACGGGGGCAGTAGTACTAGCACGGAAAACAGTGCTTTCGGAAGCCATGATAGTCGTACGGCGTCAACTATGGACAGAATGTCGAGATTGCACAAGGAGACAAGAAGCGAAAGGGGGGCGGAAAGAGGGGCACCACCAGATTACCTTGTCAGGACATCGCGATATAATTTGGGCGGTGAGTAGCCAAGGCGGTGAAGTCCAAAGGAGGCTACCTATTTGTCAGCAATCACTTTTTTGGACAATTCGATGTGAAGGTATCATTTGTTCTGCTTTGAACGTTGCTCACCAACCTTCATCTCATCATGGGCGCAAATGCAAGCACTCCATCAGCCGAGGCAGCTCCGGCTGCTACGTGCCCGGTAGACCACAAGACCCGAGAGGTTTGGCTCCAGCAACACAGAGCTTCGGGTGGTACTGGAGCGCCCCATCCGCTGCCTCCGTCTACTGATTCTTCCGACTCGAAAGAAGGGACCTCGCCGTCCAAATCTACACGTCCGTTGTCTGTGGACCGTGAAGTCAGCAGTATTCCCCGCGCATTTGACACCTCATCTAAGGTCGGGGCGGCAACGGAGCCTTCATCACCTTACTCAGCATCTCATGGTACTCCATCGAACGCGGAAGCGGAAACAGGGCACGATGAAACGAGCGGAAACTGGATCTACCCCTCTGAGCGGCAGTTTTTCGAGGCGTTGATGCGTAAGGGCAACACACCCACGTCGACAACTTCCGCGGCCGAACTGGCGACGTCGGTCGCGTCGATCATACCGATCCATAATGCGGTCAACGAGCGTGCGTGGCAGCAAATTCTGGAGTGGGAGAAGAACGCCCCTTCATCGGATCCCGGAAGCAATAAATGTGGAGGCCCCAAGTTATATTCCTTCCGGGGACTCGGCGTCGATCCGCAATTCATGAGCCCCCGTGCCCGACTGAACGGGTTGATGGGATACCAGCTCCCTTTCGACAGACATGACTGGATCGTGGAGCGCTGTGGCGGAGAACGGGTTGAATATGTCATCGACTTCTATCAGGGCAAGTCATCGCCCAGCAGCAATGGCCCATCTGGCCTGGCTGCCAACGCTGGTCCTGGGAAGCTTAGCTTTTACCTGGATGTCCGACCAAAGCTCAATTCCATTGAAGGGTGGAGAATGCGCTTCAATCGCTTCATGGGTCTGTGATTCCATCCCCATGTTCTGTATTTTTTTTTCCTTGGGTTTTTGCATGGAGGCGAGGAGGAGTATGGATATGACTTTAGAATTAATCCCCCTTGTATATATTATGTATGTATAGCAGAGAGCTATGTACGATACTAACTAAAAATCAATAGACAGAGCTGACAACTTAATCTTGAGATGCACCGTATAGTTCAAATAACAATAGGAAAATATCAAACGCGATAATCAAGGCAAACACACAGATCTTTAATGCTAAATCATACATCAGAGGATATCATGGGGACAGGACAGACAAGTAGCCAACACACATTAACAACAGGATATGTTGGAAGAAAAAAGAAGAAGAGCGGCAAATATCATAATGTCAGTAGGAAGGTCTCAACCCAAGGTTACAGCAAGGACGATAATAGCTAGGATGACAGCCAAGATGATCAAAAGACAGCAAGCCTTGTTCCTCGCACCCTTCTGGTATCTGCTAGCACTACGCAGCTCGATGTTTGCGCCGCGAGTATCGTGGGTAACCCGCTCAACATTCTCGCTAATGATGTCGAGCTGTCCGCCTTGCTCATGAACAATGTGTGCTACGTCTCTGAAGAGCTCGTTCAGTTCGCCAACGCTCTGCTCAATGTTTCGAATCTCGGTCTCTCGCTCGATGATCAGGTGCTCTTGGAAATCCACCTCATTCTGGTTGGCAAGATCTGGCTGTTCCAGTTGCCGCTGTTCCAGTTGCTGCTGGGCCTCCGCTCCGGCGGAGATGGGCCCCCCTTCTTCCAGCGCTGTGCGAGCAGCAGCAGCGGATGCACGTTGCTTTTCCAGAGCCCGACGCTGGACAACTTGGAACTCTTCTAGGTTCGCCTTGAATTCGGATGAAAGCTTCTGTTGGGTCCATTTCTGGGACGGCTAGGTGGATTATCAGTATAGAGCCAATATTGATCCGTATAGACTGTACGCACGTTTATGTCTTCCCACATCTGCACCTTCTTAATACCTTCCCCAACATCCTTGAAACCCCCTCGGGTCTCCTCTAGTAGATCATGTACCCGCTCCCGGACACGCTCGGTATCCCGTTTGGTCCCTAAAAGCGCAATCTGGTTGGATAATCGAGAGATATTCGATGTCAAGTTGAACAGCTGGTTGGAGAGGTTCTCTGCAAACCGGTCGAATTCCGGGTCATCGCGGTACTGAGGGTCATCAGATCGGCGGAACGTGGTAGGCTGGGCCTCCAGGGAGTCCAAGCGCTCAAAAGACATGGCCTCGGACTTCTAATTCTTGACCAAAACTCTGCAAGGAACAATAAGTAGGCCGTTCAGACGTTCGACGCTGGGGGAGGCGTGCAGTTGGACAGGCAGACGTTTACTCTGTTTGGCGCCTGCATCCGACTCCGAGTCTCCGCGGGTCGGTCTGCGTCTCCTCACATGACGTATTCCGCTAGTCCCTAAATAGCAGTTCAATGCTGCGCCATAGATAACCATCCACGTCACGTGCAGATGTGGCTAGTGTGTTTTGATGCTTTTGTTTCCCGAGCCCAAAAAAGTGCCGAAGCTTCAGCGTATTCGAACGACGAGGGAAAAAACAGCGCTTCAATCGACCACAAAGCCGCCGCACAACCACTCGGGAATCAGAGATTGTACCTCAGATCCGAGACAAACTTTGCAGCTCTTCTTTCCGATCATGCAGTGATTTTCCTACCCCATCCTCTCGATCGAGAAGTCGCCGCTACAACTCTCCCCTCCTCCCGTCATGGCTGTTGCTCGGCCGCGGCCTTACCGGCGGATTCTGACCTCAGCGCTGCATCGCAGGTTTGTGCATGCATCAGCTTTGTCGCTGTTGGTCTGTTATATCATATCTTTCGTCATTGGCGAAAAAACATCATGTGAGTGGCCCTGTCGCGCTGTCTGCTCCGTCCACCACTGACTGGTGATCTCCTGTCGACAGTATTTTGGTCATGGTTTCCTATCGGCATCTGTGGATTTCGGACGATCCTTCTCTTCGTCTCGAGTCTGGTGGTGTTTGTGTTGCGCGTTGGTCAAATGCACATTGGTACCAGAACCACGACGTCGCCAATCACCACATTCAAGCACCTGTTTCCTTTGCATATCGTCCAGACATTCGGGTGGTACATGTTCTCGGCCTGGTGGTTCAGTGAGGTTTATGTGTGGTCTGCGCCAACTAGTGCCAATCTCGGGTGGGTGAAGCCTGGCAGGTATGTGTTTTGGTCCTGAACTTCTCTAGCGATGGTCTGTCTGACAGACACTTAGGATCAATGAGCGTCCATCGCTTAACGAGCGGCCGATTTATCTACATACGTACCACATGCTACTTGCTATTGTGCAGGCAGTCTTCCACTTATACTGCGACTATGACCGCATCACTATCCCCGTTGCCAAAGGAGGTTCCGCCGCCGATCAGAGAACCCATCCGGTGGAATCTGTGTCAAAAAGAATACAGCGCACGCTGCCGCGCGTAATCATTACTGGCTTTACACGAAGCGCAATTATTGCGGCTGCTAGCCCGTTTATTTATTCAATCTTTCTCCGACGCGTGACGTGGCGATTCACGCTCTATTTCGCAAAGCTTTTTTGGAACTTCTCCCGGTCCTCGGCCGAGCCTCCAGGTCTTGTCCCTCCGCTCGGCCTTTCACTGCTTGCCCGCTCTGTGATTTCCGGTGGCCTCTTGCTGCTCTGCTGGCAGACATCGAACCTCTTTTTCACCTCTTTCATCGGGAAGGAACCTTTGAAGCGGGGCCAGCCCCTGACTGCCGAGGCCAAGGACCCGAACGGCAGTCTGCTGAACGGGCTGATGGCCAAGAAGGAGGTTGTGAGCACATTTGCATTCTGGGAGCTTTCTTTCATCAGCCAGCGGTTCCCAGACCGTCGCAAAGCGATCTTCAGCGACATTGACCGCGAAGGTGGTGCAGCATGGTCGCAGATTCTCACGGCTTCGACGGAAACGATCAAGGGGATCACCACGCGCATCGATCAGCACAACAACCCGCCCTCATCCCAGCGCCCTGTTGCGCCAGCCGAGAAGCCGCAGCCGGTGCTTCAGACTCTTCCGCGCCTGACCGACCCGCCTAAGGAGGGCAACTTCTTTGCCCCCTCCCCGAAAGGGACGTCCCGCCAGGAGCGGTTCGGCGAGGCGCTAAGTTCGACGGCCAAGGCGTACGGCAAATCGGCAGACTGGACACCCACGGCGCGAGCCCGAGCCCGCGATGCGTTTGAGCGTGCCTCGTCGGCGGTTCTGAGCCCGGAACGCAAACAGAAGCTTCTAGGATCCTCCTCGGAACCAAAACTGCTGACGGGCCCTCCATCGGCCCGCACCCCGGAATCCCTGAACCCTTTACTCGCGCAGCTTCTGCGCTCCCCTCTCGGACACCCCGTGCGCCAGACGTACGCGCAGCGCCTCTCGAACATCGTTCTGGGTCGCCCGTACGCCTCGCTATGCCCGATCGTGGACGCCATCGAGTCGCTCACCCGGCTCCTCATCGCCAGTCTCGCCGAAGACCAGTACGGCAAGGTGCAAGCGGACGTCCCCCACGTCGTCCGCCTCTTCACACACACCCTGCTCACGCTCGACGCCTTCGTCGCCTCGGGCCTCGACGTCCACTGGTCGGACGTTTCCTTCCCGCCCTCTTCCCAGCCGCAGGCTCAGGCTCTCGCCCGCCGCGTTCCGGACGTCGACCTCGTCCTCGACGCTCTTAGGTCCTCGCTCTCAGAGCTGCTCGTTGCCTTCGGGCCCTACGCGCGTGATATCGGCCTCGTGGAGAAGGACCTGCGACTCGCCCGCGAAGCTGCTAGTCTCGTTGATGCAGATGATGTATTCCGATGATCCAGTTCCTCTTTCTTCCCTTTTTTGTATTAGAGAACTGGGTATGTAAGAGTAACAACCCCCCCCCTTTTTTTTTTTCTTTTTGAATGATGGCTGGCTGGCTGGAACCCGGATTTTTTTTTCCCCCTCGTGAACTGCATTTTTTGGTGGCGTATAGGTTCTTGTCTCTTCAATTAGAATCAAATCTAGTCAAACCACTTATCATACACTACTTGTTAAAACTGCCCTTGATAGTCGACGTTCATACACATGTTTCATAGGTACAGGTGTCAATTCTATTCTATAACATAGCATATGAGACTCGTTTATGCTATACAAGCTGCGGGGGAAAAAAGAATTCTGGGATACCATGGTAGACCCCATATATGTAGCATTCTCCAAAAAAATGCCTCCGATGGGACACTGTACAAAACACGCTCTCCACGACTTTCTGTCGAGCAATACATGCTGCCCAATCATGATAAATAAAGTATCAAATCCCCTCCAAGACTCCAAGATATGTGGCCCTTCCCAAATCAATAAAGGGCAACTTCAAAAAGAAAAAGAAAAAACAAGTCATGTCTCATCACAGTCACGGTTCTCTTTTGGTTCCTTATCCCACTTATCCACGCCAGTCTTTTAGTCTTCTCCTAATATCTTCTACCCCTCAAGAAGCAAATGTCCAAAATCATTTGGGCCCAGGGTGGCAGATCCTTTCATCCAGAAAGAATAGATGGCACATACCTCTTGGTACCGCCGTTGTGTCGTTGTATGTATTTTCCTAATCCACCCAAACAGAAAGAAGAGGGGGGGGGGGAAGGGAAATAAAAACAAAAAAGAATACAGCCTTACGGTTATGAATGCAACAAGTGGGCTTCGCGTCAGGGAAAAAAAACAAACAAACAAAATAAAACATTGCCGACGCTCCATCGAATCAAATCTGACGGGGGCAAAGTCATGCTTCGAACAGCCTCTCTCTAGCTGTCCGTAGTCTCCAGAACTTCACCAATAGCGTTGGACGAAAGGGTTCCTGTCGCAGTGGTAGAAGGTGCAGAATAGCTCGTTCTGGGGCCGCTGATGGATGTGGACGGGCTTCTGTTTCGACGCTCCTCAGGAAGGGGTTCATCCTTCATGCACGCGTTCTCCAGGATATTTGTCCATTTGCCGCTAGCACCGGCATGGCTATGCTTTAGATGTTGGCGGAAATGATCTGCCCGGAAGAATTTCTTCGCATTGTTGCACTCGCCAAACTTGTGGACGCTGGTCAGGTGTTCGAATCGACGTACCCAGTCCGGCTGGGGGAAATTCGGAAACTCCTCGCCACAATAACCACACGTATCATGCGACGAGCAGGCACCTGTCTGCGCATCGGGCGGCGTGGTGGCGTGAAAGGCCGCCTGGTAACCCGCCAAAGCTGCGCAGGACCAGGAATGACGGCGCAGATGGAGCGAATTCTGATGGCGTTCGGCTTCATTTTTATTTTTAAACCGATTGTTACAGAATTGACACGAGTATTGTTTCTCCATCTCGTGTGCGCTGTGAAAGACGTTAGTTTAATTTTCGATGGTCATCTCTCCTACCATAGAAAAAGGGGGAGGGGGGGGGGGATTCACAAACGTACCGTAACTCTTCAAGACTGTCAAATTTCTTGGGCTTCTGGCGGCAACAGTCGCAGATATACAGCCCTCCTAGTTTGGTACCCGCCGGCTTGGCCGGATTGGACGAGGCCTGGACGGATAGTTTGCGGGCCGGATTGGCGTTCTTCTGATCCACCGAATTGTTTCGCCGGGTGCCGGACCGGTTCGGTGGGCTCGGGTTCAGGGACGATTTCTCGTGGAATGGATCGAGATCGGAATTGGGGGACAGGCCTCCAGGGGAACGATCGCTCGACGAGACACTCGTCATGCTGGTTCCAGCGATGGAGAAGGTCCCCGTGGACGAATACGAGCCGGTTCGCAGGCTGATTGACGAGGCTGCCGACAGACTCCCTCGGCTGGGGACAAAGCCGCTACCGAGAGAAACCGATGGGTGGGAGAAAGGATGGCCCGAGGTCCGTCGCTGGGTGAGGTCGCTGCTGCTGGACTTGGGATGCAAAGAATGCCGATCTTCAGCACCCGTTTCTCTCGGTGGTGAGGAGGCGCGGCGCTTCATGCCCGACGACTTGGATCCATCCAGGTACGGCGGCGTTGGTTCTTGCACGAGCAGACGGGCCTGCCCGAACTCGTCACTGGGGAGGAACTCGCCCTCGATGTCGGAGCAAATGCTCTGATCGTAGCTGCCACGGTTGGAGCGACTGGGCAGACTGATGCTGTCGTCGCGTTGCGGGGTCGTTCCGCCGCGGCGTCGGTACGTGTCACGCGGGTAGTACTGGACGTGATGATCGTAGTCCACAGCTGATGAAGGGGCGCTACTTTCCGCGCTCGGACTGCGGCAATCCATATAATCCTTCCAGCCGCCGGTGCTGCGGGTCCCAGGTGACACCCCGCCGGAAAGGGGACTGTTGTGATACCATCGACCGTCAAGCGATGTATCATTCGGCGAGGGCAGGCTGCTCAAGGAGCGAGGGGGTACGTTGAGGGCGGCCAAGGTGGTCCGGTGGGAAGGGTCGCTGCCGCTGCCGAGACTGATGGACTGGCGGGGGGAGAGCGGCTTCCCGATCTTGGCGAGGAGTTGTTCGTCATATGCACATCGTCGGGAGGGATCCTGCTCGCCTTTCAGGCTGGTTGATCTTTTATTTTTTTTATTTTGGTGAGCTGACGGTAGCCAGATTTCGGTTGACATGTTAAAGAAGGAGACTCACATGAGATCCGGTAGATTGGTTAAGATCGAATTGTTTCGGAAGCCGCCATCCATGGGCGGTGGGGGTTCGACTTTGATCCGGGTGTCAGTTGTAATTAGTTGCCCCCTGCCCGGCAGGTTCTCTGCAGCGGCAGGTTGAGTCGCGGAGTCGAAGAGGCGGCGGTGGTGGTGGCCTCCGTACAGACTGGAGCTGGGATTGATGGGGGCGAGCTTGGTGGCCCCGTTGGGATTACGCAGGTTTGCATGTAGCCAGCCGATATCGTGACCATTTTCCAGGTCATTGATGCGTGGTGGCGGGGGGAGCGGGGGAGGAGCGAGATTCAGAACGGATTTGGAGGGGATGGCCATGGGGCCTCGGGAGGGAAGGGATTGGCTGGGCATGTCGTAGGGAAGGGAAGCCTGTGAGGACTGACGGGGCTCATAGCCGCTCCTGACGTTGTGGATGCTGGCGAGTCGTGGAAAGTCCATGCTATGGCCCGGTCGAGGGAGCTAAACGGGAAGACATTAAACAGCGAGAGAGAAAAGACTTGACGGGTCGAAGGGACGTAATTAGAGGAGGAGGAGAAGGACGAGCACGAGGACGAGCACGAGGAGAGGGAAGCGGAGGGATAGATGATGAAACGGAGCCGGTGATGGCGCTGTTGTTCTTATCTGGTCTCGTCGTTTCACGGTATCCGAAGCGCCACTGATGCCGCAAGACGAAGACTATGGGTCAAACATGTCAGTTAGTTCAGCGGTCCATCTGAAGGTGATCGTCCTGCGGCGTGGGGGGGAGGGATAGGGCTGAGCCACTGAGTTACCACTGTGCGTTTCGAGTCGATCGCACCGGCGCTTCGCGGCTGCATAGGACGGACGACGGATGGAGATGGAGGGAGACCGACGGGAGACAGGGCGGCAGACAAAACCAAGCTTGCGGTAGCTCTCAATCTTACGAGCTTCGACGCTGTGGCCGTGACATTTGAATGGCCTTGCCCGGGCTTGCCAAAACACCACAAGGCTGAAGCGACACAGAACGGCAGCCCTTTTTCCCTCTTTCTGTTTTTTTGTTTTTGCTTTTTCCACCGCCTCTCCACTCGATCTGAGAGGAGATTCGATCCAGACCAATAAAATCCTCCGAGTCGAGAAAGGGTTCACTCCCTAAGGAAAATTGCAAACAAACCGCGGCGGGAGGACAACAATGAGAGAAAGGGTAAGAAATCGCCGGGAGTAAAAGGCAGTGTGGGGTATTATTGCAGGTAACCAGAGCGAACGGAAGCAGGTTTCGGCGGCCACGAAGGAACGAACAAGGAAGGAATGCCAGCGAGAGACAGACGGAGGGAGAAAAAGACGACAAAAAACCGATGGATGCTTATTGCAGGCTGCAAGACGTACCGGGGGGGAAGGAGGCGATCCAGGCGAAAGGGGAGGGGGGGTGAGGGTCAAGGCGAGCCAAATAGGAAACCAAGAAGTAGTACCTGCTCCGTATCGGTAACTAACCAAGTCAGGACCTTAGCAGTCGTACCTACCTAGTAGGTTATGTTAGGTACCTAGTAGGTAACTACAGGTACAGGTACAGGTACAGGTACAGGTACTATGTACGTTAGTTATGTACTAACTAACTACCTTTATGTAGTACATACGGAGTATTAGACTCTTCAAGAATGTGGGAGGAGCGGAGCGACTGAGGGACCCGACAATGTTAGCCTGCTAGGCCAGCGTTCCTTCCTATTCAGGATTGAACTCGCTCATGGATCCCAGGATTTTCTGGACAGGCGAAAAATAAATAAAGAAATGAAGAAAATAAAACAGAACAAGAAGGAGGTGCAGTGGCGAGAGCTGGGCGGTGGGGACTGGAATTGCGCTGGAGGTACGTATTAGTTATGTAGTAACTAAGTTCCTAGGTAACTAGTTATAGGTTAGTACCTACCTAGATACCAAGGAGTTACTGGAGTAAAGTAATCTCAGACAGTCCAGTCAACGGTCTCAAATAAAGTGACCTCCGTACAGAATGGATCCTGAGGATCATAAGTGTCAGATTGGACCGGAGGGGATGGCGTGGCGGGCCACGTTGAATGACAGACGATCGATCGTCAAGCGGTGTTTATAATAATACGAGTTTTCCAGAAAGTTGGTAGAACGGTCTAAATAATGGTCTGTACCTATGTAGTAGTGTAATACTGATAGGCAGTTATCTACAGGTACCTAGGTAGGACCTACCCATGGACCTAAGTAGAGGTAACCATCTTAGAGTAGGTATTAACCTTAGTAATATCCTTTTATTATTTGGAAGTACTAGCTATCCTTCCTTCTACTACTCCATAGTTATCCCGTAAATCCTGCGCTTTACTAGTAAGTATTAGTCCAGTGGAAATATACCCAAGGTATGTACGGAGTACCTGGTAGGTAACTAAGTAACTAGGTAGTACTAGGTACATAGTATCAAGTATTCTATACAGAAAGATTACAAGCTCTAATTCATCGCGTCTCGCTCCACCGACGGCAGCTCCACCAGATGCACTGCCACAATCCAGAATATATTAGCCTAGATTATTGCCTGGATGATCTGTGCTAGAGTCTAGTCAGCGACTAGCAGTAGTGTTCCGGGCAAAGAGGGGTCATTAATCAATTCGGATAATATATTAGGACGCCAATTTATTCTCGACAATTCCAAGCGGAGTACCACTTATTAGTTAGATGATCGACTACGTCATTTATCTACTGATATATAAATGAAGGTTGCTATCATAGGTACGGCATAACTACCGGTAACTACCTACCTATTAATGGGTACATATCCTTGGCACTGTAGACTGTATGGAATTAGGTGCCTACCAGTCACTGTTGTAGTTAACTACTAGCCAGGAGTACCTGTTAAAGTTGAACCGGAGTGATAGTACTTGTACCTAGGTAGTACCTAGTAACTAATGTAGTAATGTACTGTATAGTTCGGGCTAGAGACGTCAGCCTTAAGCCTTGATAAGCGCCTAGAAGGGCTGAAGCTCGTGCGCACGGCATTCCACCCAGGCGCTAAGGCTACGGAGGATTTGACCAGTTTGGAGTACTTCATAACACTTCCCTTACCCGGAGTACTCCCACTGAGTCCAAGTAGCTCTGTCTTAAATATTTCAGGATGCAATGAACTGACGAGACTTACCTAGGCTAGGTAGCCGTGTTAATTAGGTATATACAGTGTATTAACTTGGATACAAGATAACAGGTACCTAGGTAGATACCTGGTACTACCAATAACGGTACCGTTACTAGTCTGTTACTAGTCCATTCACTAACTAATGTACCTCGGCTTGGAATCTTACCCTAAGCCCTAACAGCCCCATCCCGATCAGGCACCATGGTCTTGGCGCCAGATCCAGGTTCACCGTATCTTCACGTTCCTGGGAACTGGAATACCGGGGAACAGATTTTTTGTCCGGATTATCCCCAAAGAGAAGGGAAAACAACATGGCCATGAATCAGATCCGCGGCCACAACATCTACATCGGAGGGTTGGTTTTGCGCCCCCCCCCCAATTCCCCTGGTCTCCCAGCCTTCAACATCCCTCGCGAGGAGCCTTCCCCTCTCCCCCTCTCCCCCTCTCCCCCCATGCTGACACTCACACCGCTTTTAGCATCCTGTCGCTCAAGAATCAGGCCGCCCTGTCCAGAGCCAATATCACGCACATCGTCTCTGTCCTGCGTCTGAACCAGGCAGACGAGCTCCTGGCTCCCTTCCAGCGCCATGTCATCGAGGTCGACGATGTCAGCGACGAGGATCTACTTGTCCACCTGCCCGCCGCCGTCCGCTTCATCCAGTCCGGTCTAGATGCTGGAGGATCCGTCCTGGTCCATTGGTAAGTCATCACGTGACACTATTCGTCATTATTATCACCCTTAGTCTTTACAGCTACGATTGCAATGACGGCTAATAGTAATGCTGGCTCCAGCGCGATGGGTAAATCCCGCTCTGCGACCGTCTGCATCGCCTACCTTCTCTCTCGCCAGCCCGCCGTGCTGACTCCCCAGTCCGCTCTGGAAATCCTGAGAGAGAGCCGACCACTCTGCGAGCCCAATGAGGGCTTCATGGAACAGCTCGCGCTCTATCACAAAATGGGCTGTCCGGAGGAGGATATCACCGACAACAATCACCTCTACAGCCGGTGGTTATACCACCGGGAAGTGCAGGATAGTGTCGCTTGCGGGCGTGCGCCCGACATGCAGGCCGTTCTGTTCGAAGATGACAGCAAGGCGAGTCAGGCGTCCGGTGCAAACAACACAGAGATCAAGTGCCGGAAGTGTCGGTAAGTCATAAGCCTTCCCTTATGAATCTAACCGACTACGTCATCTTGTCAAGGAGGCTGTGACGCGTTCTACAACTTGGTAAAAAAAAAATCTACTAACGATTTTTTTAGACGCACGCTAGCGACGACCTCGTTCGTTATTCCCCACGAGCAGAAGAGCAAGCCATCGTCGACAACAGAGTGTGCGCATGTCTTCTTACACCCGCTGACGTGGATGAAGCCGTCGCTGTTTCCGGGATCCTCATCTTCGACCTCATCTTCCCCCTCCGTCTACGGCTCGCATCCGGCCGACGCCCCCTTGTCTGGCCGTCTGACGTGTCCAGGCTGTTCCGCAAACATCGGCAAGTTCGCATGGCAGGGCATGCAGTGCAGCTGTGGCCACTGGGTGGTTCCCGCGATCGGAGTTGCCAAGGCGCGGGTCGACGTCGTGACCCGCGTCAATCTGCGAGAGGGAAATACTAATAATACCGGCCTCCCGCCCGCCTCGTTGGGCATCCGGTTACCTCCGGGGATGAGGTCGCATGCTCCAGAGTCAGGACGGGGGAGCCTTTAACAGGGTATCTAACTCTAGGTGTCTAAATTAGTGCCATTACTCGGGGCCTTATGCTCTTACACGAGGTGTTTACATACCTAGGTAGTACACACCTATTCGCATGATGCGTGAGCCATTATTACAAAGTTCGCCAGTGCCACCAGACTACAACTCAAGACAGGAGAGAAGTGGACACTGGACACAGCTACTCCGGAGTACACCGACACAGCCAAGACAGGTCGTATTGGCGTCCAACCCAGCTACCCGAACAGAAACTCGGTCAAAGCCCGAAATGCATAGCCATAGGGGCAGGTGATGTCATCCCGGACAATGCTAGCTCTACCAGACGCTATCTTTAAAACTTGGACATTGTTCCCAGTTACAATGCTGAGTCGCAACCAACCCAATAGCTTCGAATTCGTACTTGAAGTCTGGATCCCTCCGTACTGACCGTAGTGGAGCCCGAACTCGCTACTGAATTATCTGCAACCGAGGCTCTGGCACCCCTGAGACATCCATGGAACGCGAGTAAGAGGTACGGAGTACTTATTTTAAAATCTCTGGTGGAGAACAACCAACCAGGTCTTGGATTTGTGCTCAGGCCGGATCTACGCCATGGAACGGCTGTGGGACCCGCTGTCATGTTTCAGTGTGAAGTCCAATATTTATCTATGTAGTATCTAAGTACTCGGTAACTATGGAGTAGTTACTCTGTAGTTAGTTACTAGCTAGCTACCTACTAGATAGTTAGTAGTTTAACTACTCTACCTATTTATGAAATGCTTATCAAGCTGTAGACTGTATTAAATCAGAGTTAGATACAAGCATCTACTCTTGCTAAGACATTTATTCAAGCTAGATTCTCAACGGAGTACTCCGTAGTTACACAGTTAGTTACCACTAACTAGCCCACAGCACAGCCTCAAAAGAGGGTCAATAATGCCCTTATTATCTGCGTACTGGATACGTATGTAGGACTACAAAATAGGTCTCCGTACGGAGTACTCCGTACCCATACCTAGGAGGTAGTTACCTGTTGACTACTACTTCTCTCGACTTGCAGTATCATCAATAATCACTAGCGCTGCATATTATGCATCAAGTGGATCATCTTCTATGGGTCAGTTAATACTTGACTGACCACAGACTTCCTAGTTAGGTAGATATAGAGTAGTTTACTAGTTAGTTACGTACTCCGTACTCCGTACTCTGTAGTTACTACATATGTAGTAGTTAGTTACCCTGTATGGAGTACCTCTAGTTAAACTCACTAACTGAAGGCTTCGATTTAGTCAAATCCTTTAGTCTTGGCTCTAGTGAGCCTTCTAGGGCTGAGACGATGGTTCTCGCCCACATTGGGTTAATTGGATGACCACGGAGTAGCCTACAGTCCCGAGTCCGAGTACTTTATAACTACCTCCTTAACTACTACCTAACTATCTACTACATAGTAGATACTAATATGTCCAAAGTAAAGACCACTCCTATGATTAATCATACACCCGTCATATTCGGGATTCCTTCGCTGGTGACGTGGACGGCTTAGACTGTGCTAGTTCGACAGAAATCTCACCCAAACCACCCCCGAAGGTTAGTGTTGCCTTCTCCCCTCCGTAAGCCTGTCTCGTATGATAGTTAATCACTGCTGGGAAGTTTGAAAAAAAAAAAAAAAAACCCCCCACCCCCCACATGCATTTCCACGAGTGCATACCTACAGTAGCGGTACGCATGGACAAGACGATACGATTCGTCCGGCCCAAGAACACATGTCTTAGCCCTGGCGTAGACGCATCAAACTCGTATCATGGATGGCCTTCCGCCCTCGGGTCGTTTTTCCTTCTTCATGTGGTAGTATACGCGATTATGATTGATGATAGGCTCTTGGTCAGTACTATCATGTATCATTTATCAGCAGATCCTGTCAGGAGACCATCATCGTGGTGATTCGATCTTCCGTCTAGAAGATCAAGAAGGTCCTGCCCGGCCTGGCTACTATGCAGCAGCCTACAGCTCCTTCGTTGGAACAGATGGAAACAAGGACGGATCCCTCAGCCGCTCCATGTTCCGTTTCGCCAGCTCGATATTGCGCAGCCGGTCGATGCGCATCTGCTGGAAGTTCCTGGGTACACAATTAGTTGGCTGTACTCGGTACAAAGCAACTGACTATGCAGTGTAGCAAGTACGGTAAGACTCACTTGTGCAACGCAAAGATGCGAGGAGAAGAGTCATCATCCTTGTCAGCCCCCGCTTTTACCGCGGCGATCCTGTCGTTTTTCTCTTTTTCCAGGGCGGCATCATCCTCTCCATCCCCGTCTTTCTCTTTGGAATCTGACTTGTCCTTTTCATCTTTCTTTTCTTTTTCTTTCTCTTTTTCCTTTTCTTTCTTTTCCCTTTTCCTCTTCTGCTTCTCCTCATACTCCTTCTTCACCATCTCGATTTCCTGGGCCAGCGCTTCCTTGCGCTTCTTCGCCTCCTCCTGCTCTGTATCAATGATAGGCGAGCAGAAGTTCCGATCCTTAAGATGGACAGGACACACGTAGAAAAAGTCCTACTCAAATCATTCAACCCACCGATAAGCTCGTGTTCTCACAACTCCAGTGGACAGTAGTTTGCTCTTCCTTCCTTACTTTGTTGTCTGGCGTGATTAGCACGCTGGTCGACGGCTTGTGGCAGACAAGGCAGGCTCGGGCGCTGTTCTCTGCTACCCGGCGCAGGTGCCATTTGTTCGGTAGCGACATGTAGGTGTTTTGTACGGAGAATCGAGGAGATGGAGAGTATCAAGACTCGCAAGTCCATTAATCTGTCTGTGGTGGTGTAGACGGATGTGGGGTGGGCTGTCATGTGACTTGACAGTATTCAGATTTCAGAATTCTATAGACTGTACACGGTGAACTTATGCTGTATAATTGATATGTAATCTATTGTCCTTAGTGACTTTCTAACTAGGTAGGTACAGAAATTATCTAATTATCGAGGTCGGTTACTCAGTGACACTATCCTGTAGAGTACGCAGAGCGCTCAACTCCTTCGACCCATCGATGGCAGCGGCGGCCTGCTGGACTCTCCTGCGAGCGTCGGTCCACTGCATAAACTCCCCGTAGCTCTGGGGCATCACCTGCACATCCTTCTCGACCAGGAAGGTGTAGTTGAACATGCCCGTCGACCTCTTGGTCGCATGCTCCACGTCCCGCACCTTTGAATCCACGCGCACCTGCACCTTGGTGTACTTGCTGCCCAGGGGCTCGGTGTAGGAGACCGTAGCGCGCAGGTACAGCACGCTGCCCACGGGGACCGGGTTCTCGAACGTGCTGGGGTCGAGGGAGAGGAAGTTTGGCCGCGTGTGCGAAAAGGACGCCGCGCAGCAGAAGGCCAGCTCGAACGTCTGCTTCAGCAGGTGGCCACCGAAGATCATAAAGTTGTGTCGGTTGCGGAACTGCGGCTGCATGATCATTGCCGACTTGAGCACCGTGTCATCCATCGAGATGATATTCGACGGCCTCGAAATTCCGGATTGAGGGTCTATATCATGTTAAGAGTTTGTACGTTCAACACCGAGTATATATACTTACTTAAATATGCCATTTCTTTGGTCCACATCGAATGGATGAGATTGCTTTCTTCCTCGTCGGGCTCCTTCTCGAGGAGACTCTTCTTGCGCAGGGCCTTCTTGGCGTTGTAGTTTTCCTCGCCCTTCTTGAAGAGCCGGCGTTCCTCTTCCGTCTCAATCAGTAGAGGCGGGATCGCCGCCGGTTTCTTCGTCGTGGGATCCAGCGATACCATCGTGAACGCGCAGGTGATCAGCTTGTCTTCCGGCTTGGCTTCCTGTCCTTCCGGCGGCGCTTTCGCAACCTGGATCGAGACCTCCATACTCGATCGCCCCGTCGCGTAGGTGACCTGCCCGCTGAGCTCCAGATCGCAGATCTCCATCAGCGGGTTCTCGATCGTGATCCGATCTACTGCAGCGGTGACCGTCGTCACAGAGTCCCCAGTGTGTCGGTAGGCAATCACTCCGGCAAAGGCGTCTAGATCCATCAGAAGTGACCCGAGCCTGTATACATTTAGTTCATATATACAAGGAATATATGTGAAAATTGCGGCGCTGCAATGCTCGAGGATCCTTGCTTACCGAATATGACCCGAGGAATTGAGGTACGAATCCAACAACCATTTATCTTGGGCTAGCGGCAATACCTAATGGCAAAGAAAAAGTCAGACTCTCCTCCTCTTTTTCTTCTTCTGGGTATATTCAGAGCAAACATACCGCTTTATAATACCCATCCGACATCTTCTTTGGCGTCAAATCCGGCCGACCTTGCGTCGAGCCTGGGTTCTTCAACCGAGAATCATCCTGACTCTTAGTCAAGGCCTCTATCCACGGCGTTTTCACGCGCATCGGCATCCACGTAGGCCGAGTCTCTAAGTTACATGGTGTGCAGTGGAACTCTCGGGCCTGTGACTGGCGCGATTTGCCTGGCTGCTGTTGTTGTAACAGTGCTATCCCCCGCAGTAGACCACGCGAGCGAGCGATCTGCGCGGACTTCTGAATCCCCAGCATGATATTTTGGAGTATTTTTCAAAAAGTGCCCTTCCCTTCAAGGTAAAAGGACGGTCAACGAGTCAGACAAATGCCGTTATATATTGGAGTGACTCAGCAGGTCATCGGAAGTTTCGGGCCTCGTCCCCATTTTCGGGGTTGCAATGGAACCGGGGGATGCCGGGACAGCGGCTAAAATCCATCCATTTCAAGGGACTTCGGCTTCTCAGCCACAGCGATCTGTAGATTACCGGTCCGATCTGCAAGGAGACTTGTCACGATGAGTGTGTATTGTGTATGTACTGTGTAGTGTGCGTGTACTGTATAGTGTTCAATTATCTCGGTGAAATCAGCTCGGGCCTATACATCGAACCATGACATCATCTCAGATAACTACACAACACTGAGCCTGTTGTTTATAGAAACATAATCCATTAATTTGCTTGGTTAAAGATATATCACAGTATTATTCAAGTTTCAGCTAGACATAAAGCTGTGCGTCAATATGAGGTCATCGTCCGCCAGCAAGAAGCGCATTATGCCAGGTATAAACCAGATTAGTAGCTGGTTGATGAATCTGCCCAATTTCCAAATGAAAGACATGTCAAAATGAGCGACCCTGATAACCCAAGCATTTGTCAAAGAAGCACCCCCCAGTGGTCTCTGTACCAGCGCGAGAACTTCTGGAAAGCCAACGAGGGCGAGGCACCGCCTTTCAACACCGACCCCGAAAAGCTCGAGGAGAAAGCCAGGGAAGTTCTCAGCCAGGGAGGATGGTACTATGCGTCCTCGAATGCCGGGCTATCCAACACCCACCTCGCCAACCGGCAGGCCTTCTACCGCCACCGGCTCATTCCTCGACAGCTCGTCGACACCAATCTGCGAGACACATCGACCACGATCTTCGGCCACACAGTCAGCGCACCCATTGGGTTTGCTCCCATCGGCATCAACAAGATCTACCACCACCTAGCGGAAGTGCCCGTCGCAAAAGTGGCCGGCGAGCTGAATCTGCCATACTGTCTGTCGACAGCGGGGAGCACGCCCATCGAGACCGTGGGCGCAGCAAACGGCGAGTCTAACCCGAGGTTCTTCCAACTGTATATGCCTCATGACGACGAGCTGACGCTCTCCCTGATGACTCGCGCTTGGGGGAACGGGTTCGACGTCCTGATCCTGACGACGGATACATGGCAGTTGGGATGGAGACATGACGATGTCGCCCATTCGAATTATGCCTTTTACCGCGGGATGGGCGCCGATCTAGGGTTGTCAGACCCGGTCTTCCAGAGACGGTGTCGAGAGAATGGAATCGACCCGGAAAAGGATGCCGTGGCTGCGTCGACCAAGTGGATCGACTCCATTTGGCATGGCCGAGCGTGGTCATGGGAGAAGATCCCTTGGTTGATCAAGGAATGGAAGCGTATTTCTGGGGGCAGGCCCTTTGTGATCAAAGGGATCCAGTCGGTTGCGGACGCAAAGAAGTGTGCTGAATACGGAGTGGATGGAATCGTGGTCAGTAATCATGCCGGGAGACAGGTTGACGGGGCTATAGCCAGCTTGGATGCCCTGGAGAACATTGTCGAGGCAGTAAACGACCGGATCTATATCATGTACGACTCGGGCATTCGGGGCGCCAGTGACGTCGTCAAAGCACTCGCGTTGGGTGCAAAGTTCGTATTTGTTGGCCGGCTGTGGGTTTGGGGGCTTAGTATCAAGGGCGAGGAAGGTGTTCGACATGTCATGAAGTCGCTGTTGGCAGACTTTGATATTCTCATGGCAGTTGCTGGGTTTAACAGCGTCAAGGAGTTTGATCGCTCAGTCCTTGGTTTGCTTCCCCTACCCTGAAACTTGAAAGTGAAGCTTTAGCTAACTTGCACATGGAAGAATCATACCCCAGGTCATATCCATTGATACCTCAGAAGGTACTTTGAGGGAATTTAAATCATAAACAATATATTGTGTCTATATAACTTGATTCTACCTAGGTATAAAAAACAATGTCCAAAGATAAATAAATAAACAGAAGAAAATGTCGCATGGTCAAACAAGATATCAACGCTCTGAAAAATATTCAGTCAACCATATGTAGTTCAAGAAGATACAACCTGGCACTGCAGGGAGGATCTTCACGCTATACAACAGGGGGGCTGTAAATAAAACTATATGGACAATTAACAAAAAAAAAAAGGTAAGGTAGAAATCGATGGTCGTGTGCGATGGGTATGGAGACGCTCAAAATGAAACGATAGGACTGCTGTACAAGGTCGAGTTTTATATCCAGGTGATGAAGCAAGGCAAACCGCAGAACCAATAGAGCCAGAATAGTACTGCGAAAGCTGGCCAGAGACCAGTGCAATGGCTGAATGGAGCATCACTTGTAAGCTGCTCAATTATTCCCGTGCCTGTTATTGCAGAACGCGATGTGGATGTTATGTTTTGCTGAGATTTGTCTGGCAGGTGTGTAGCTGAGCTAGGTATGAAGATCGGAGGGGAGGAAGCATCACGACCTGCAAATCCTACTTGATTGTGGTCGTAGTCGAACACGGCGTAAACGTTCTTGAGGAAGACATCACCCACAAGCCATTCCTTGTCCCCAAAGGTTGTGTGACCGATGATGTTGGATGCACATTCAGAACCAGCAATCTTCGATCCCACATAGTCCTTGGGCGAAATAGTGTATCCGGTTCCAGAGAAGAAAAGCCGCAGGGTGGAGTTAGAACTGCAAGGAATGACAAAATTCTCGCCCGACTGCGAGGACCCGGGAATGAGAGCATGGATATCTTTGGCGTCCTCCGGTGGGATGAGGATGTATGAGGTCCCCGTATCAATAATGGCAGACCGGTTGAAAAAGTTGCATGCCGTCCCATCCACGCTGGCATCATCCAACGGGATGGTCCATTGGTTGCTCGTGCCTTGGGTGCTAGTGTAGGTGATGTTTCCAATGAACTTGGTCTTGTCGACGTTGCCAAAGGTGATTTCACCGTCGCGTGTCCCGTCGGAGGCACGAGAGAGACTGAAGCCCAGAATGTTGGATTTAAGAAGCTTCTCTCTGGCCACAACGTCCATGAATGTAGGTGTACCAAAGGTACCGTCCATAGACCGACCGAGACCTAGAATCCCGTCTATCGGGTAGTCCAGAAAGTTGTTCGACGCATTGGTAGCCAAACCGAATGTCATATTAAGATTCAGCCCGGCGATGGAGAGTGTGTCGGTGCCCAGACTCCCACTGACAGCTCCTGTCCCATATCCCACATTCCATCTCGTCGAGGATACGCTCAGAGTTTTCGACGCTTGTTCACCAAAGGTATTATGCCGTGTACACGCTTCAGCTGTACAATCCGAGCTAAACACCCATGTGTCGGTTCCTCCAGTATCTAGCAACATCCACATTTCTTGGGCTTGAGATCCGAGCTTGACTGTTGCAAAGTATGAATAATCGTCTCCATCCTGATCGATCGCAGCACTGTTTGACATGGACGGTGCGTCTCCCACGATGACATGATACGTGCTGGCACGGCGAGACTAGAAGCAAAGATGTTAGGTCAAGCAAGACGAAGAGTGGCTAGCCATAGGAAGGGATAACCTACTGCCCGCCTGGGAAGCCTCTTGATCTCCCATGTTGAAGCTTTACTCGACAGACTCTTCACCTGCGGCCCAGAAAAGGAGTGGTGACGCCTCGCAATATGGTTAGAATGGGTCGACTTCACGTCAGATCCATATGGATAAAAGGCATTAGCGTCGACGATAAGACACGCCGATAGTACCTGAAGACATGACTTTAGACGCATAATATCCCCTACGCCGGTCTATCGTGGGGTCACTGGCATTGAAGCGCATACCGTTCGATAAGCATGTATGCCTTGACTCGAGTTTATAACATCAGATCCCCCCCCTGTCTGAGACAGCTGCCACCAGCCAAGGCAGCAAATTGAAGAGGCTGAAGGTGGCGGTTGGGGATTATCTGCAGGCCAAGCAAAGAACAACGCGAGGGACGGGACCTGCAGATGTTGTCTCCCTAGCGATCTAGAATTCGACGATCACTGAAATGTGAAATAGGGAGGAAGAGTACTCCGTAACTAATTTCTCCATACGGAGTACCTAACAGCGTGATCCGTATCCCGTGTCCTATTCTAGTACGACTCGGAAAATAAGTATGGTGCGTGGTTCAAGGAATATTTAACAGCAAATGCTAACAAGGGGCTTTTCTAAGCCAGTCAAGGCAGCAGATATCTTTCTATAATTCTACACTTTGACAGAGAGGGCGGCATCGATGGTATCCGGTTCTTTTTCTCAGCCTCCATACAGCCCGCTATGAGCTATATTAAGATCTTGACCCCTGGCTTCGATAGTGATGTCGTACAACGTCAATGACGTACTCTGTACCCCGTACGGCGTACTCCTGCCCAGGCGACGACAGCGACATACCATTAACAAACCACTAAATTAAAGCCTGAGAATAAGGACCTCTGCAGGGCGATGGCTCGGAAGGTAGGCCTAATTTGATCTCTATTGTAGCCGCTGCGGCTGTTTCCCTCGACGCCAACATCATACATGTCTTCAACGCCATCCATTCCTCGATGAAACAACACACTATGGGTCATCGATCTATCAGAATGGGCACGTCTTATGTGCCTATGGGAACGCCATTCCCCCGCAGCACTGGCAAGGCAACGAATGGGTGGCATCTGAGCCAGAGTATTCGTTGGTTTTACCCCTGCCTAACAGAGCACTCTAGACGCCTAGGATTGTATCTTACTCAACGACAACATATTAAAGGGTCTCCCTCTTCCCCTAGTAAACACTTGGCTTTACAAGAAGATCCAGAAGGTGTATCGCAAACCACTTTCCTCCTAGCGAGACTTTGAAATAGGGGTACCTCAGGTTCCGCCCAATTCTTCAGACTTGAAGTGGTCTCCGATGATTTTCTTCTCCCTCGGCTACTCCATCGCGTTACAGAGGGAGAGTCTGGGTCCTGCCCGACGTAATTTGATCAGAATGACAGAGGAGTGGCCAACTAGATTCATCACCCAGTATACCCCGTATAGCTGCAAAGAATTTGCCACGCGGGGTGACATTGTCTAATAGGAACCCGGTATCTAGGCAGTATACTCCGTACGGAGTACTCAATGACGTTTAAGCCTGTTAGTCTGCTTACTAGGTATTCAGAAATACTATACTTACGTCTATTCAATTGACTTCTCGGTCTATTCTCGGCGATTGGATCGGTTCGGGCAATATCGGAGATCAACCATATCATTATCCGCCGTGGAGTAAGTATACTACTCCGGAGTATGGAGTAGAATCTACTAGTAGAAGCAAATTATGGAGTACCCCATGGAAAACTGGGCTACCTTTTTTTTTCCACCTAGGTGAATTACTAAATAGGAGGCAACTTGTACTATATTTACTACGGTGGAGTGGAACGGTATAGTTTATACCCGGTAGCCGAAGTACTCTCCAGTTACTCTGCAATAGATTGATGGAAGGATATTTGATAATTACTGATGATGATTGATAGAAACACACTCGTCAAGAACAAGAAGAAATACATGAAAGGTTACTAGTAGAAGAAGGTAACCGTAACCGAAGTAAATAGGCAAGCAGCCTGCTTGGATTAGTGAGTTTTGGTACTCTGCTTGGGACCTAAGAGGTCATCCAAAAACCCGCTCCAGAGCTGCTGCACGACGCCTGGTTCCAGGTGTCCGGCGCTCTGTCTCTGGATGGCCTCGTTGGTGCGGGCCTTGTTGACCGTCTCCGTCAGGGAAAAAGGGTCGATATCCATGGCGTGGTTGTCGACGACTTCGCTCATGGGGCTGGCCGAGACGTCCGCGTTACCGGAGACGGTATAGATCTGGGGTTTCATGGGGGCGGCAGCAGCAGGAATGGTGGTAGAAAGAGACGAAGCAGCCGCTGCTGTGGAGTAGAGGTCGGGCAGAATCGGAACCTGGGGCCCTGCGGTGCGGGAGACGGGGGCCTCCAGCTCGGCGAGGGAGGGCATGTAGGCAAAGTCAACGGTGGAGGAGTCATTGACGGCCTTTTGGGCGCGGGATGTGTTGAATTGCCGGGTGTTGTTCCTAATTACGTCAGCTGGAGAGCCGAGGTCAAGAAGGGAAGTAGGGAATTTCAACATACTCGGTAAAAGCACTGCCGTTGATGCGCTTCATGGCTATACTGAAGGCGCGAGACTGGAGGACATCGTGGTTGGAGAGACGTTCAATCAGCTGGGGTGGCTGTCAGCTTGTGATTTTTTTTTAAAAAAAAAATAGAACCTCTTTTTCGTTGTACTCACATCCGACTTGGAACCGATAATACGCAATGATCTCCTCTGACACTCGGCCTTGAGGTCCGACAAGGTACGAGAGGCATAGAGGGAAGCTTTGTCCGCCGGGTTGGCCGGTTGGGCCGAGTTGACGCCTGTGATGTGTAGGCCGCGGCGGACGGCAGATGTTGCGTGGTGGTGCTGCGAAAGTAGACGAAGGGCACGCAGAGACGAGGAGCGAGGAGCGGCCATTGCAGAGGTGTGTATGTAGTGGAAGGGGGGCGGGTGAGGATGGAAGTACTGGATAAAGTGGTTGAAGAAAGGTAGGTATGGTATGATGTGAGGTACTAGTAGTTATATAGATGGATGAGCGCACCAGAGGGATCGCGGGGTAGGTGTGACAGGTCAAGTAAAGAGAAGAAGAAAAGCAAAATCAAGCAAGGTTCCAGAAATCCGAGGGAGATGGAGGGTTATTAGAATCGTACGGGCAATAAGAAGAAGAATCGTAGTAATAATAATAACACCAAATGGCCAGGAGCTGCTTGCGGGAACCGTTGGGGAGAGCTCTCCACTCTTGGGGCGGTCTGGCCAGGAGTCGATCAGAGGATAAATGATATTGCTTGGTGATCAACAAAAAGGAGGAAATAAGTAGATTGTAAGAGATATAAGATAGAAGTAATTAGAAAGAAGCAGTTAGAAAGAAGTAATTAGATAGAGTAATTAGAGAGTAACTGGTTAAATAGAGTACCTGCTGTAATATCTCTTGCAGAAAAGTGAGGCAGTGAAGGGGGGAGGAGGGTCTGTATCCATCCTCCCGTCCCAGGATTTACAGAGTAGACTCCAGCACATCAATTAGTTCCCCCATGCATACTCATCCAGTCAGTCATCCGTCATCATAATTAATCCTCCTGCACGATCTTCCACGAGGGCATCCAATCATGTTTTTTCAGTCTTGCATTTATTCCGCTGAAACATTCCCCTCTTCAGTAAACTTTACGACGTACGTATGGAGTACTCAGTTCTTGTCCTCTTTCGATGCTTCCTACCAAGTTATATCAGTGCAACCATACCTACATAACTCTTTAAATACATGCAATACTAGCATGTAGTATACCTCTGTAAGGTGAGAATATTAGCTAAATACTCTCTCTGTAAGGTGAGAATCCCTAACTAATAATTATTACCCCGTTATGACTCTTGGTTCCAGACGATCCGGTCCAATAATGAGTCGACTGCCTCAGGCTCCATTTCGAGGGAAAGCGGTGAGCGTCGATCACGGGGTCAGCCCCCACTGCTCCATCCTCTAACTCGTTGCAGTTAGTACTGAAGGTCACCTGGGCACTAGTTCGATTTCTCCATAGTTTGACTGTCGCTAATCGTAGCAGTAATTACTAATAAATCTCTCCTGGAAATAGCCATGGGTACCTAGGTAGTACCTCACTGTCAATGACTACATAGAATATTCGATGACATTCCTATTATTTTCTTCATGAAATAAGATCCCTAGGTAGGTACTTCTGACGTATTTCTCCAGTGAATTGGTCTGTGACGTGACTTGCCTATCTATCAAGATTATCCAAGTGTATGACGATGGACTCATCCGCCATGGTAACCTTCCGTTTCGAGCAGTCTGACAAGAAAAAATTGCAAGACAGCTTCAATAATCAGGTACTGTGTTAGTTGGCTGTCAACGACCTTGGAATTTGTTGAGACAGGGGATTGGCATTCCTTCAGGTTAGCATTCCGATCACCTAGGCAGCTACAGATGAAAATTACTACTCGGTATGAGCAATGAGCACTTGATATATTTCTATTACTATAGTCTAGCCTGTCGGCTCTTCGCCACTGCCCGTGCATATGGATGCGAACGACTCGTTGGCACCAGATGGTCGATGTCGCCTGTGTGGACGAGATCCGGGTGCGCCTGGTTCAGACTCGTGATGCCGATGTTGCGCATCGCGACCTCGAGCTCGTCTTGGATGACTGGATCATTGATTAGTATAAAGTGGGTTGGTTTGGGAATCAGGGATCGTTAGGCATACTGTCAATTAGATGCTCGACGCCTTCTTGGCCATAGTTGGTTGCAAACAGCGCACTACGTCCCATCCCCACCGCCGTGGCCCCCAGACACACGGCCTTGAGCACGTCGGTGCCACGGCGGATCCCGCCGTCGACGTAGATCTCCATGCGGCCAAAGATCTGCGGACAGCGCCGCTGCAGCTCCAGCAAAACGACGATCGACGGCGGTGAAGTGTCCAGGTTCCGGCCTCCGTGGTTGCTCAGCAGGATCCCATCCAGGCCAGCTTCCATGGCGAGAATGGCATCGTCAGCCGACATCACCCCCTTCAGATAGACAGGGAGGTGCGTGTGCTCACGCACCCACTTCATATCCTCCCAGGTGAGGCCCGGGTCGATGAAAGAAGCCATCACCCGCCCCAGGCCGCCCCCCTTCTTGTCGTTGCGAGCCTGCGACGGCGCCATCGGCACTGATATGCTCTCGTCCGCTTTGACGCGCTCGTCCGCCTCACGCTTGCCCGGTGCCGCCGCGTCCACCGTCACGAAGATCGCCTTGATGGTCGGGTTCGCAGAGCACTCCCGCAGCAGCTCGGCCGATTTAGACCGGTCCCGGTTCACGTACAATTGAAAGAAAAATTTGCCCGACGGTGCGGCCTGTCGTAGGTCATCCATGGTATACGATGAGTTATTGGATATCTTTTTTTTTTAAAAAAAAAAATAATAACGATTAGCATATGCTGCCCTCAGTTCTTTCTCATAACTCACCCCCTGTACAACCCCCTTGGCCTCGCACGCCCGTGCAATTGCACACTCGCCATCTGGATGAATCATCTTCGCCATTGCCGCCGGGCTGACGAACAAGGGCAGCGGGCTGTCGATGCCGAGCATCCTCGTCCGCGTGTCGACATCCCGGACGTTGCGCAGCACCCGCGGCCGGAACCAGATCCGATCGAAACACGCCTTGTTCGCATCACGCGTGATCAGATCCGTTGCCGCGCTCGAGTAGAACGCCCACGTCTTTTTGCTCGCCGTTCGCGACGCGGCCTCCTCGAAATCATGCGCGCTGATCAGTGTATGCAGCGGCGGCTTGGCCGAGGCGTCCGGCACTACAGCTATGGCGGTCTTTCCTGCATCCTTTGCCGCCGCCGGTGTGTCCCATGTCCCGTCAACCGTCGACTCATCCAGCATACCCTTGCATTTCTCTGGAGAGAGGTTTCTCGTCAGCACACTAGGCGAGTGCACCTCGGCGTACGCTGTGGTGGCATCGCGACCTGCGTATTTCAGAATAACTAGTAGCAAATTAGTTCTGCTTCTTTTTTATCGTATTCTCTCCTCACTCACTCGCTGAACCGCCCGGATGCTCCTCCAGAAAATCCGTCACATCCCACACCTGCCTATCAACCACGATCCAGCAATCGTTCGGTGTAGCGTGTTGCGAGACCTGCTGAGCAGAAACCAGCCGGTCCTTCGATTTGATCATTTTTTTTTCTGTTCTTTTCTTAGATAATACACCGAGTCCAAATGCACAAGACTAGCACAATGCGGCTGACCTGCCCTGCAGCGGTCCTTATATAAGTTGCAAAGGGAGGTGCTTTACTAAAATGCGGAGAAGCGCCGCGGGCTTATCGCCGGACTCGTCAGGCGCGGCATAAAGGACACCGAGGGTTATGGAAGGTAAGCAGGCTTGAGCTGGCTATGAATCATTCGTAAAAACTGTGGAATTGGGTTGTCTTCATTAAATCCTTGCATTTTGTTGAATAGTGACTGGTTAGTTATGTATCTCCGTACTCCGTAGTTATAGACTACTACATAATGCCACTACTTGATCTTGTTTCAGTATGACTATAATCATCAATTTCATACCAATTGATCATGTTTTTAAGGGGTTTTTATGGTTAGATCCTCTCTTTCAGCAGAATAATCGCAATCGGAGCGCCGCCGAGTCGGCACGGGGTTCTCTCCGCCAGTTTGGTCTGTTTGTCTGGCTCCTCACCAGCCACAGTGCGAGGCGGCGTACCTGTGGCTAGTAACGTCAGCCCTGACTCATGTACTCGTACTTTCCTCTGTATGGACAAGCCGTTGTTGACGTCTGTTTAGGGAAGTCTATCGGCGACCTTTTCACTGACCTTGGCTTAATCCCGAGACCCTTATTCCTCTGACTCATGTGGGTGTCGCCCTTGGCATCGAGGCACATCTCAAGGACTCTTTCAAGCTGTAAAATCTCTGCGATAAGTCGTGTATAAGCGGGCAGAGGGCGTTTATTGACCATCTTCCCAGTACCATCCCGTCATAATTATAAAAACTGTACACGGCTCAGCTCTCACTGTGTCAATCCCATCAGACGAGGACTTTGCGCTTCTCCCTTTTCCACAATGAGTGATCCAGACCAGCCTTTACGTTACGTTGATGTGAGTCTATTGGAATCCTGCTCGATTTTGTAGCCAGAATTAATATCCGGCTTATAGATTGGGATCAACCTGGGAGATCCGGTCTTTAGAGGAGAGTACCATGGAAAACAGGTCCATGAGGATGACATGGAAGATATCATCGAGCGTGCGCGTGAAGTCGGCTGTTCGAAATTTATGGTGACAGGATCAGACCTGGAAGAGTCAAGACATGCTGTTGATATTGCTCAGAGATACCGTATGTTTCTCGAGGCTCCGGGATTTTAGTCTCCTGGCTGCTAACGCACACTTACTTAAGCCGGCTTTTGTTATGCGACTGTCGGGGTGCACCCCTGCCAGGCAAAGCATTTTGAAAGCTTCCCCGGTGGACCGTCAAAGCTGCTCGAGGAGCTGAAAACCTTGGCCCTGGAATCAAAAGCAGCCGGCCACACTGTGGCCTTTGGCGAGATCGGCCTTGACTATGATCGGCTGTTCTTGAGCCCCATGGATCAGCAGTTGAAATACTTTGAAGCTCAGCTCGATCTCGCCGTGGAAATCCAACTGCCTCTCTTTCTTCACTCGCGTGCTGCCAGCGAGGATTTCGAACGCTTGCTTGCACCAAGGCTCGCCAAACTTCCCAAGGGTGGCCTGGTCCATAGTTTTACTGGGACACTTGACGAAATGAATCGGCTCGTTGCCTTGGGACTCGATATTGGGGTCAACGGGTGTAGTATGAAGACGGAAGAGAATCTGGAAGTCGTTAAAGCCATTCCTCTTGAGCGGCTTCAAATCGAAACCGATGGTCCTTGGGTATGTCAGAACATACATTCTCTCCCTCGTATCCTCTTCTCTTCCCTTGCCTAACCTTCCCAGTGTGAGATTCGGCCTTCACATGCATCCTCAAAGTATCTCGAAGGCGCTCCTGCTTTGCCGAAAGCCGTCAGGAAGGAGAAGTGGCAGAAGGGATGTATGGTAAAGGGTCGCAATGAACCTATCGCAATTGCTCACGTTGCCCATGTCATTGCGAAGGTCAAAGGAATCACTGCTACCGAGGTTTGCCAAGCGTATGTCTGTCGATTCCTAGCTGTCTGTTCAAACGTGCTAACCTCGCTCCTATACAGTGCCTGGAAAAACTCCATTAGGATGTTCGGTTTGGGAGAAGAAGAAGAAGAAGCGTGATAGTCCCTCACTTACCCACCTCAATGTGCAAATGACTTTCTTTTTCTCTAATTAGATTCAGCATTGATGACATCCATGTATTAGAAAGTTGTATCTAGCGCTGGTGCTATAGAGTTCCCGATTAGCAGATTTGAACTGAATGAATAAATGCTACATCCTTGCCTTTAAGGCCAACTATGATGAAGGTTCGAAGACAAGACCGTATTCCTTGGTCTTCTTTCTGTTAGTGGCTCCTATAAATCAGGCATCTGGTATAGTTTCTGGTGCCTAAGGGTGTTGATATTAAGCAAATTGTGTATAAACAAAGCAAATATTTCGCTTAAGTAGGCAGGAGAGCACAATTTCCTAAAACAGATGGCGGTAACCATGGCATGTAGGCCCTAATAATCAGTCAGTTTGACATGAGCAGAGACCGCCCACTGAGTCTACCTGATCTTTTTCTTTCACATTCTCTTCGACCCTTCTGGCTCAACTTCACTTGCACTCACAGTGGTCTTTAGTCCTTCCTGGAGGTTCTCTATCAAGACTGCTGTTTCTTCTTCTCTATCATCCTTCTCCCTTCCTTTCAGTCTTAGTGTGATACTTCCCCATTTCTTCATTAGGACATCCTGCATTCTGCCTTTGCTGTGATAGTCCCAGCTTTTCATCATGGACTCGTGATCAATAGGATCCCTCGAGGTCTTCGTCTCGTCTTACAGAGTCGTCTCTGTATCCCCAATCCATATTTGACTCTCTTCTCCTGCTTTCCTTCTTGAAAAACCCCAGCTCCTTTCTCGACGACCTTCGAGGCGAAGAAGATCCGTCAGATACCCATCGAGACACCTCATCATCACCGTTAAGACTTGAAGCGTTTTCAAAATGGCGTTTCCCCTTCGTTCTAAGCCTTCGAATGGCACTCTTCATGGCAACACCGGTAAGATAACCCCTTGAACTGTCGCTCCCCTTAGACCTTTGAGGCCTGAGCTCTCTTGCCTCTCCTCAGTCTCTGTCATGATAGATTGGCTATAGGCTGACGGTGTCACTCAATCCTTTGCAGCCATTTCTGGCATAGAAAACACAAAGCAGGTTGAACGCGTCTCTTCTTCCCTGCCGGAAAACTTCGGAGAGGTCATTCCTGGCATGATTTACCGGAGCTCGTTTCCTTTGACTGAAAACCTGGGTGCGCTGGAAAAGCTCAATCTGAAGTCCATAATGTAAGTACCCATCGTCCATACTAACCTGCCGTGCTAATGAGCCTGTTAGTACATTCGTCGAAGAGCCATACTCAAACAGCCACATTGAGTTCCTGGAGCGCAACAAGATCTCCCACCTTCGCATCGTGCTGGATGCTAATAAAGTTGGGCGAGCTTCGATTGACGACGAGGCAGTCAAAAGAATCCTTATGACAATCCTGTCTAAGGAGCGCCATCCTATTCTGATCCACTGTAATAAAGGCAAAGTAAGTTGACTCTCCTATTGCAAAAATGCAATCTTCAGCCCGTCAGTCACTCACTTATTCTCCTCCTTTCTCCAGCACCGCACCGGCTGCGTCGTTGCTTGCTTCAGAAAGGCTATTGGCTGGCCCCTCGACCGAATTATCAGGGAGTATCGCGACTATGCCGGTTCGAAAGCCCGTGCTCTTGATGAAGTCTTCATTAGCAAATTCAACGCGCAGTCCCTGCGTTCCACGGTAGCTGCGACGGGTGCTGCCGCTTGGATCCATAGACCTGTGCCTAGCGGTGATCCTGTTGATGTCCTGGCTAGAAGAGTCGCTCGGGCGTCGATGGATGAAAACAATATTCACCGTCTTATGTGAGGGAGTTAAGATGATGGCAGAGCTAGCATTACTGTGGCCTAAAAAGAATAGTTATCTGACAAAGACTCTTGATGATTAACCTAAAAGTTAGAGCAATGAAATGGGGTGAGGTAAATCGATGAAGAGAGAAATTAGTACCTAGTCTATATGCTTTTTATGTGAAAAGGATATGTGGTTTTATAGAAACCAGAAAGAAAATAAAGGCTTTATTGGTATAATACTATTATTTGATTCTTACTTTGTGCTATAAGCAATGAGGAATCAGAAGCTCAGTCTATTTTATTAGATCATATTACACCTTATAGGCAGTCACCATATATCATCTCCTCCATGTCAGTACAAGAATCTCCCCCTTGAATAGACATAGAATCCAAGGCACACAGCATCGGACTTGAAGAAAACATGTTGATCGGGTCGGATGTGAGCATCTCCACGTCACTGCAAAGGATACTGGACGAGGAGCATGGACCAGAGACCAGCCTTGACCCCCCCTCTAGGAAATTATCACTCTTTAAAATGGGCGATTCGGAGCGTAGGCAGCTTCTGAGGGAATGCGAGTCTGCATTATCGTCAATCACGGGGTCGTATTCTAAGCCGTTGTGTTCCTCCGCAGGGTCGTCCAACGTGGCAACAGACAAGGCATATGCCTCTCCGTCAGAACTGAAAAACATCTCTTCGTCCAGATCGTCGATTTCGTCAATATCAAAATCCATCTCCTCGTCTAAATACTCGTCGAAGGCGAATCCATAGTTTGTTTCTTCCAGGATAGAATCTAAACGAGACACGCCATCTATTATTGTCTCTGGCAGAGAAGGCTCAAATTCCAGAGGGTTCAAACCTCTGGATGGTTTCAAATTTTGGAGGCCCCTCTGGGCCACTCGCCACAAAAATGTCTTGACCATTGCCCGTGTGTCTGTGACTGGTGGTGTTAAGCCGATGTTGCGGCATTGAGACCAATATGACTCCTCCAGCAGTGATAGCTTCTTTTGTAGCACCACGTTCTTTGATTTTTTGAGGATAGAAGTTGCCGCTCTTGCTATCTGAGGTATGAATATATTCCGGTGGTTGATAGCCTTGGATCTCCGAGTCAGTATCAACACTGTACGGGGTGATGGCGTTGATACTCACATCAGAATAGCCACACCGAAACATGGCTGGAGCAATTTGTGGCAGTTTGCGAGTAGTATCCGTCGTACACTTGATTCCTCTAGTGACTTTGAAGTTTGAAGTCATTAGACTCCGAAATGCAGTGTCTATCAGTCTGCATATATGCTGGCCGATTTCTAAGTCTTTCCTTGGTAACAGCTGGCAGTCCGTAGTCTCAGTGTAGTCTTCTTGTCCAGCGTGTTCTTCAAGTAGCTCCGAGCCCATTGTTTGCCAGGTGTTCTGTGAGAAAGCACTCCTTGATTTGCTAAGATTTTTAGGAATCTTCGCAATTTCTGACTTTGATACTGAAGTGGAAACATCGTTCGAATCTGTTCTCAATGCTGGGGAGCAGGCTTTCATCACTGTCTCAGGGTTTGATACCACTGTTTCCAAGGAAATTTCTATAGAACTTATCGATGCTGTTGGAATCCCATCGGGTGGTCGTGCGTCTTGAGTATCGATCGCCCGGAGGGGAATCCGGAGCAGGCTCGCAGGAAAAAGTGTATTTATGGTTCTGTTGAGGGTTATATTCATGGACATGGCAATGTGCCCCTCAGATTCCCTCCGGTGTTTGTATTCTTTGTGTACGGGCAACAAGCCGGTGTTCAGCCAGAGCTTAAGAGAAGACCTACCAGTGAGTAAAAGGTCAAAGGATATCTGATGTTCTCAGAAGTAAACAGCATACCTTTGCGTCACGAAATGCCCGCTCGACTTGTGTTAATACAGACGGTGTCAAAATAACCGTACAAGACTGTACTTTTATATGAATATATAGCTGAGTTTCGCTAGCAGGAGTCACAAATATCGCTCCCGAATCGACTAAATCTGAGAAGGCTTTATTGCTGCCTGTTATGTCCGAGTAGTTCGAGGAGAAAAGAAGTTTTGTTGTGGTCTTGAGAGAGATATCAATCTCAGAATCAGTAAATTGAAAGTTGCTGACGCCCAGTTCAACTGTATATAGCATTTCGACACAGCCTCTCCACAATATCTGAAAGTCGAGGGGTGCAAGCGACTTGTTGGTAGTCCCTTATATATTTTCGGGGGCTCGTTGCTCTCGGGACAAAGAAATCAGTAAGTGGAAATCTCGGTCAGCAAGAGACCTTATTTTTGCACCGTGAGACTAAATAAGAGAGGACAATCCACTCCTGGCGGCCTTCATCACATATCATAAAATAGAACTAATAAATAGAATTAAGCTTCTATTTCAATTGCTTGATTTTAGAATTTAGTACTATAATAATATTCTGGGGTATAGTTACTTATCAGACCCTGATAAGCACGTGTCTATCATCACGTGCCACACCTATGTTGATTAGACTATCTGGCCCGTAAGCTGGAACAATGAGACAACATCATGAGCGTTTCAGTTAGCAATGCCCAAAGATGAAAGGCGTGATCCCCTCCTGGCGGAGCACGATGGCCTAGATGAGGCGGAATCCCAATCCCTCCTCTCGGCATCGATCGGCGAAGGAGACGACCTGGTGGTTCATCCAGACCCAGCTACTCCGCCTTTGCTCCCTCCCTCTCTCAACCCCCCTAACAGCAAGCGCCAGTCCTCGATCTCGCAACCTGCACCTGACGGACAGCGCCGCCCACCTCGAACAACAAACCGGGTTCGTTTCGATCTCGATCTCGACGAGGATGAAGAATTGGAGACCGGCGGCCACATGGATGGCCCTCCTCACAGCCCCCGTGATTCGTCATGGCTGGATGATGAGGATTTCGAGCACGCCGATTTGAATAGGGCAGAGAGGGGCCATATGGTGCCATTATTGACGGATATTGAAGCTCCGAGTGTGACACTTGCAACTTATGACGATTGCTTTCCCGAAGATCATCTCGAAAGCGCGCGACCAAGAAGCGGATTGCGGATGGCATTCATGAACATGGCGAATAGCATCATCGGGGCAGGGATCATCGGGCAGCCATATGCCCTGCGGCAGGCGGGCATAACAACTGGGATTCTGCTTCTGATTGTACTGACTTTCACTGTGGACTGGACCATTCGCTTGATCGTGATCAACTCCAAGCTGAGCGGCGCCGATTCCTTCCAGGCAACTATGCAACACTGTTTTGGGAAGAGTGGACTGATTGCAATTTCCATTGCTCAGTGGGCGTTTGCTTTTGGGGGTATGATTGCATTTTGTATCATTGTCGGTGATACCATTCCACATGTTTTAGGGGCATTATTCCCATCTCTGCGCGATATGTCGTTCCTCTGGCTCTTGACCGATAGAAAGGCTGTAATCGTTCTCTTTGTTCTTGGTGTATCATACCCCTTGTCGCTGTATCGGGATATTGCTAAGGTATGAACTCGAGCACCCTGTCACCTGTCACATGAGAAACTAATAAGCAGGTAGCTAGCAAAAGCCTCCACTCTCGCGTTGATCAGTATGGTAGTTATCGTGGCTGCGGTGATCACACAAGCCTTCCGTGTACCCCCGGAATTGAGGGGTGACGTTAAAAAACTCCTTTGGATTGATTCTGGGTTTTTTCAAGCAGTCGGCGTGATTTCATTCGGTATGCAGAAATGTACATGCATCCTCTGAAGAGTCTTGGTTAACTGATGATATTTAGCATTCGTCTGCCGTACGTTAAACTGTTTTTCTGCTTCCAGTGCTTTGGCAATTAACAACTCTTTCTAGATCATAACAGCCTTCTAATATACGGTTCCCTTAAGAAACCCACGCTAGATCGCTTTGCCAAGGTCACTCACTATTCGACAGGTGTCTCCCTCATTATGTGTCTGGTGATGGGTATCGCTGGTGTTTTGACTTTTGGTTCGAATACACAGGGAAATGTCCTGAACAACTTTCCCTCAGACAATATCATGATCAACATAGCAAGATTGTAGGCTCGAGCCTTTCAAATTCGATGCTCAGGAGTCTGAAGCTAATATGTGCAGCTGTTTTGGCCTCAACATGCTCACCACCCTTCCTCTAGAGGCATTTGTTTGTCGATCAGTGATGACAACGTACTACTTTGCCGACGAACCCTTTAACGCAAATCGACATCTAATATTCACTACCTCTTTGGTTGTGTCAGCCATGATCATGGCCCTCATCACCTGCGATCTGGGTGCAGTTTTCGAGCTCATCGGCGCAACGAGTGCGGCCGCACTGGCTTATATATTCCCACCTCTTTGCTATATCAAACTGAGCAATGCCAGTCGAAAAGCCAAGATACCTGCTTACGTGTGCATTGTGTTCGGTGTTACTGTTATGGTGGTGAGCCTGTTGCAAGCGCTTTCCAAGTCGATCAACAGTACGATAATACATCCCCACATCTCCATCCTTATTGACTCTCAGAGTTGCTAACAGTCTCGTTTTAGATGAGGGAGGCGCTCAGACGTGTGCTGCATAGTATCAGGCAATATGCGGTGCAACAATAATCTCAGCGTTCGATTCGTGTATACCCTTAGACCAAACACTTTGCCCAATCCCTGCGGCCGGCTTTTTATTGCATCTTTGGAATTTTCGATCTTAGCATTGAAGAATTCCTCGTGTATTTTATCATTTACAGGGCGTTAGAGTCATGTTCCTTTTTTTCAGCAAAATCAGTTTGTATAGCTCATCCACTACCGAAGACATTTCCATTGGTGAATACTATACTCTCCCACCTAGTTTTCATCTTGACTTGGATAGACTGATTCCTCTGAAACATCATTCACTTACAATTTATTTTGAAGGTATGTTGTTGATCTCTTTATCTTCAGCTCCTGGAGTAAAGAGTTTAGGGGTCACTGAGATATTTAGTAAAGGAACTACAATTTAAGCACACTACCAAAGTTATAGGGATATGATTAAGCCTATATTTATTAAGATAAAGCTAATATTATAGAGAGGCTCTAAAGAATTATTCTATCTAACAGAAACTATTGTCTAACATAGGCTCGATTTAACTATGCAGCTTGGTTGTTTGTAAGTCACCTCTGCAGGTACCATTGCAACCCCCCCCCAACATAGCGCAACTCTTCTCTTTATTCACTTGGTCACTCCTCAAACCCTTCCTCTTCTCTTCTCCTGCTTTTTGACAGTTATACCCAACCTCTTATTCACTGAAAACCTGGAAATTTGCGTGCCTCCGGCTCGGAATGGGTACCGCCAGTCTTTTTGCTTGACCGACGCCCTTTCGAGCCATCTCAGAGGGACCTGGACTTTCCTACGCAACCTCTACGCTTTTTTTAAACTTCCTTGATTATCTCTTGACTCTATTTTGAGGCAAAAATGGATACCGACGTTGTTGAGCGGCTTAATCAGCTGCAAATGGTATGTTCTTCATGAGCTTTGCCACATCTAAATCTCATATGACAAGTATCTCACTGGCATCATTTTTCAGGCCGACTTGGGGACTGCCAGGCGTGAGCACATATCAACCACCGAAACCAAACAGAACTTGAAGAGTATTGGCGATGTCAAACTGGAAGATATCGAAGCCACGCGGGAGTCAAATGTGGCCGGGTCTGAAGCCCATCGGCTGGCTCAAGCAAATAAGTCACTTCTTGCAGCTTGGTCAAGTGAGTAGATGAATGGAGGATATTATCCTAGGGCTCGAGCTAAAGCTTTTGGCAGATGTCTACAGAGAAATCGGTGACACGGGCGATCTCGAGGCCCTGGACAGTTTATTGAACGGTCAGAGCCATCGTGTCCAGCTGAGCACCATGGTGACGCGACCGGGACACGCAGTGAACTTTCACAAGCCTATCCGTGGTAGTCATACAGCTGGCGCCGGACGTGGTGGTGGTATAATTGGAACAAGAGGCCGTAGCTCTTCCTATGCTCTCTCGCTCAAGTACTGTATAACTCTATATATCTTACCTTACACAGCTAACATACTACTCCAGGAATGTTTCTACCAGAACAAAAGCGACAGCCTCTATTTCCAAGTCAACATCCAATTTGGAGATACCCCGAACCAGAACGCGCCCGTTGGACCCAGCGCTCGACCACAATGATGAGGATATGAGACAAGCTCGCAATCGGGGGAAGAGAGGTAAGTAAAATCCAGCGACTTACGTGACTTCACAGTGTAACCGATAAATTGTTTCAGGTGGTTTTCGAAAGCCTCCACCAGCTGCCATCAAGGCCAGGCGTCCTGTTCCTCAGTAAGTACCGACTGAGCGCATTTCCTTTGCCATCTAACGTCCCCTCAGCGAAACGGATTGGTCTCGCATCATGAGCCCCCCTGAAGACTTTTTAGCTGCTGCTCGCAAACTCATGAGCTCTAAAACCTCCGTAACTAATTCTGCCAGTAGCTCAGAAGCTCCCGGCCTATTCGAGAGTCTATTCAAAGCGCAACAGCCAGGCCAACAGGACCGGGCTCAGGGAATGCCTCTACGGAGGGGTGGAGAGCTCTACTCGGATCAGATTCTCAGGAGTCGCGCAACGAATACCTCAATGAATGAGGCAAAGTCTGCGGGTACCATGCACTCAGAAGCTATCAAACCTTCACCTGCCCATTCATCTATCCCCCAGAAAGCAGCAGTGGCCAAATCTACAACACACACACCGATTGCCACACAACCCCAGCTTTCATCTAGCATCAAGTCAGTCCCTTCACCTGGTAACACTGGTCAGGCTGTGGCCAAGCAGCGTGAAGTTAGAGAGCCACAGGCGCCAAAGCTAGTGCAATCGACTCCAGTCAAACAATCGAATGCTGCTCTCCCTCAAACCAAACTTCCCGGAGCTAAGGAATTGCAGCAAGCCCAGGTTTCAGAGGCTCCTCAAATGACGCCTCAAAAGCAACAGATGGCCCAAAGCACTGCTAACATCAAGATGGATATGGCTGGCAAACATCGCTTCCAAGGAACAAATTTTCCACAGCCTATCCAGGCACATGTAGAACTTCCTCTCAAGATGGAGCCAGATGCCAAGCTTGTCGGTAAAACGCCTACTGGAATGCTTCTTGATCTAGATAATTCACCACCTTCTCCTCGCGGACTTTGTCCTCCAGAGAATTTGTCATCTGCGAAGCAGGACGCAGCGATCATGAGCCCCGGGATGGAAGATTTGCAAGGTCTTAATTTTCAGCATATCGTCGCCAGCACGGAGAATTTGGAACTGACCCCATCATCCCTCCAAGTGGCCTTCAACCCTCAAAATAAGCTTGAGTTCAATGGATCTCAAAAGGCTGACTACCAAGATCCTTCTCATCCTACTCAAAAGGAATTTGCTTCTGAAAACCTTCCCGGGGCCTTAGATATTGTCCAGAAAGTTCAGCATCAGATTTTGCTCCTCGAGAAACTCATTACAACCACAACCCTAACCGAGAACTTTTTGCGCAAGCTCAAGGACTGCAAGGACGAGTTAGAATCTGAACTTTCCACGTTCCATAAGGCATCATCTGCGTTACCAACTGATTCTATCTCTACTTCTGAACAGCCACAGCTGCCCAAAGTGTTGCAGAAGACACAGCAGTCTGGAAAACTCATTGACTGCATGCCGGAGCAGGCAGAAAAAACTGATGACACTGACTCAAAGGATAACCAGCAGTCGAAGCCAGGCCAGTCCCCCCTTGTCAAAATAGACAAAGTCCAGAATACTCCTCTAAGCCAGAGAACTCCTTCATCGACGAATAAGCTCAGGGAGTCTGTCACGGCACCGGTATTTGTTCCCAGGTCCCGTTTACCTACAAGCGATCACTCTGCAACGAGTACCCCAGATGAGTCACCTAGCCCTTCACCACACCCGGTCAAGGATGTTCGGAAGCATCTCTTCGGAGACCACCTTCTTCCTGGTCAAGACCGGCGTGTGCTCTCCGACTCAATCGTCCATGCTAGCAAGAGTCTGAAGGCTTCACTACATGCTCTAGGAAGTAAGTATCACTCTATTTTAACATTACAGCTCATGCTTACTCTACTAGATGGGAATATGTTTCAACCGGTAATGCCTGCATTTCCACAAACATCTGTTCTAGCATCCGCCACACCTGTCGTCTTTACTGGATTCCCTAGCATCCCGCCTGTTTCCAACGCCCCTATCAGTACAAACGAAAATCGGCCCAATATTACCCCTCCCGGGAACTCAAACGAGCCACCACTCTTCCAATCTCCTCGCCGGGTGCAGGTCACGCTCAGACATCCATCTCAGGTTCCCAATCCTCTCGCTCAGCCGTTGACAGCCAACAATACCAATCGTATTGCCAATCCGCTACAGCAGTCTGTCCATGCACCGAAGCCTACCACTGGACCCGTGATTCTCGGTCCAGGCCAGATCAGACGTTCCGCAGGCATCCCCGGTCTTCGTGGTGGTGGCCTTGAATCATCTCGATATGCACCCCAAGAGAACTCCAAGCCACGTTAGAAACAAGTCAATTCTCAGTCACCCAGGTTCTATCTTGGCTGACACATCAGTCCCCCCCCCCCCCCCGTGTAATTCATTTGTCTTTCTGGTTCCATAATGATCACTAGTGACCCACGACAGTTATGCCCTCACGTTCCCGTTGTTTTCCCTAGTTTGACTTGTTTTGTACTCGTGTAACTCCAACTCGTTTGTCCTTTCTTTCCCTCTTCTTCCCACTAGTTATTTGATGTTTTCCTACGTGCCCCCCCCCTCCTTCTTCCCCCTTTCCACTATCTCCTCTTAGGATCTGATGGCTTTATTTGATTTTAGTTTAATTAGCTTGAAAAGTAGAAAATGACAAAAAAATTGTTTGAGTAAACATGGGGGATAACTACTAATACAGTAACTATATTACAGGAAAAATGTGTGACAGTCTGATTACTGATCTTAGAAAAAGCACGTAGAGCATCTATGACAAGTAAATGAGAGATGGTCATAGCTTTTATGATATTCAAAAGTGAGCTAAACTGAATAATCATATTGGTCTAATGTATGCCTAGAATATCTCTATATCTATGAGATGTAAGAATGAGGTTGAGGGCCTAGCATACCCTATTGTCTCTAACACAGTATACCCGCAACAAAACTGACACGTCCATTTAGACTGAAAATAGTGCAGACGGTGGGGGAAAAAAACCACAACTATTTGGCGAACTCGACCGTAACTCTCAAACCGGACCAAATAAACCCTCAAGATCGTACGTAGGCATGTGTAACCCGTCCTCAAATGTCTATGCTCCCGAACGCCATCCATTTATACCGATCCCAAATCGATGATGACAATACCTTTTCATTTATTCTGTGAAAACGAACCCATCAAGCTGATAAAGGAGAGAAAACCGAATAGAATTATCATATAGGTGGGGGTAGTGGTTGAGGTTGAGGTTGCCCTGGTTTCTGCTGTTGTGGATGGGCAGGGACTGTGCTTCCATCCCCAAGTCTCGGCCGCTTCGGGTCAATTGAGACGGAGACTGGCAGATTGCCATTAATGCCACTGGCTAACCCTGCGTTTGTCACGTCACTCAGGGGAGGTCGTTTGCCATTAGGGTTCTGTGGCCCCGGCATCATTCTGTTGACCGCGGGCCCACTCGGCCCATTTTTAGGGTCAATATTTGGCCGTGTTAGAGGGCGATAAGATGATGTTGTTGGACCACGATTCATCGGGCTGCCGATTCCGCTATTCCCAGCGCCTGGTACCCCTATCCTTCGGTTGGCGTCTGCAGATGGATTGATGAAATCGCGAGTATTGTTAGATGCCGGCGATGCCCCCGAAAGCATAGGCCTCGTTATCGGTACGCTTTTGCTGTGATCAAAGCCTGCAGTCTTGCGGATTGATGGGCTTTCTGCATGGGGATCGAATTGCGGTGCGGCATGAGGATTTTCTCGTAACATATCAACTGCACGAGCGGAGAAGAATCCAGTCGAAGGAACAGGTGGCGAACCCGCCGGTGGGGGCATATCCTGCGGTGTATTGCTTCGGGGTTTATTGTCGTTGTTTTGAGGACCAGGCTCAGTCTTAACTGTTCTTTGGGCATTACTTCCTTGCCAAGAGTCTTGACTCGTCTGTGGCTGAGGCGGTAATTTTGCACTTTGAAGGTTCTGGTGAGGAGCGGGCCCAGGCCCAGGTCTGGCTTGTCCCATAGGCCTGTTATGGACAGATGCGACATTAGGTCGCACACCAGGAGATAGATTGCTCATAGGCGGGAGCTGGGGTTGGTTGTGCTGATGTGGTGGTTGCGGTTGCGGTTGTGGTTGGTGTTGTTGTTGGCGAGGAAGCCCTGGTACCCAAGACTTTTCTGGCTTTGATGGTGTTATGACTGCTGAGCTATGTCTGTTTTGGAAGGCAGCCGAGTATTCCTGGTTCATTCTTTGGCCAGGCTGATTATTCTTTGGTGTTGGCTGTTGCCTTTTGTGTGATTCTGTATCGAGAACAACCTCATCCGGGTTTCCGTTTCCCGTCACGCCAAAATCTGCTTCGTCGAAGAGATCGCCTAATTAAATTTTAGCGTGCTAGACCTCCTGAATGGTTGAATTACTCACTACCAAATTCTCCGTCGCCATCAAATGGAACAGACGTATGGGTAGTGCTGCTGCTTCTGCCTATATCTGTAGGACGAGGAGGGAGGCCGTCATCTGCAACAACCTTTTTCGGAGGAATTGGTTCCTTTTTTACAGGTGCAAAATCAGGATGACGATGAAGATCATCCACGTCCCACCTAGCCTGCAGATTTGTTAGCTCCATTGTAACCACTGCATGGTCGGCAGACTTACAGGCGCAGCCTTCAATTTTGTGACTTTTGCGAGGAAGTCTTTGTCATAGACACAATTGCCTAGAACATTACCAAAGTTCCTCAAAGCCCGCTTCAGCGCATCCGTTGTTCCTTCTTTCTTAGCCTTTTCAAAAGCAGCAGCTTTGCCCTTGCAGTTCTCGATATGCCCATATCCAATGTCCTGGAACGAGTAACCAAGGTCAGACCCTCCTTGGGATAAGAAAACAGCAAGATCAACGCAAAGCGTACCTCATGGTATGTTCCATCCTTAAGTGTGACCCTGACAATAACGGACAGTCCTACGTCGATTTTGCCTGTCTGGGGATGTTCTTCCACCTAGGTTCGCTATTAGCTCCAAAGGAAACCCCATCAACAGAGTAAAAACATACGTAGTCGATTTGAATATTCTGAATCGAGCTAGACCAGCCATTGAATCCGAAAACCTCATTCGCGAGGTTAATGCACTTGTCCGCCGAGAGGTAGTGAACCTTCTGGCCCCCAGCACCAGGCCGCGATGAAATGTACTCGGGCCCAAGTTTCTTATCGAGTCGCGCTTGAAGCGTTGCGATTTCTTGCGCAGTATAGGCGTTAACTCGAGGCTTATTCTCTTCAAAAGGGTTGGCATTTATGGCTCCTGAAAGCGTTGGCATCGTAGTGGTACATTGTAGGCCGACGCGGTGCTGGTCACCAGGTCTAAGTAAACAGTGTTAGCAAGACGCGATCATCGCGTAACCTGGTTCGGAATGACTAAGATCTCGTGCTTACGCTGGCATTATTTTAGGAGGGAGATTTTATCACAATATCATCCAAAGGGAACTCTTGAGAAAGCAGGAAGCTTGTTCAAGCTGTTCATGACGATTCTATATGAGCTTCCCCACGCGCGCGCGGTTGCCTACGCGGCGGCAGAATCACGATATCACGTGATGATTAGCAATATGCTTCCACTTGCCTTTTTCGCCCAGCAAAGGTCCCATTTGGATCACAGTGGTTTCTTATTGCATGATTACGGAGTATATTAGTAGTTCCAGTACATCAGTTATAAGCGCTTTATAATGTAAGATTGGCGCAGGTCTAAACTAGGCTTCCTCCGCTGCAGGAATTGGTATGAACAGGTTAAAGACCATGTATCGCGCAGATTTGTTTCATTGTTCACTGGATGACAAGGCTTGCACTAGGAACAAGTCCCAGTTCCTTCAAAGATTCTCCAAAATATTCGGCGTCGAAGACTTTCCTTGGGAACGTTTGCAAAAAAGCTTGCACCTCGATATCATCCTCCTGTTTCAGAGCTGCAGCTACCTCGAACAAGGTTGTGCCGACGGGCATGGTTTTCATGATGTTTCCTTTGGATGTCTGAAATCTCAAGCGGGTTTCTGTATACGCTGAGGCCGGCTTGGACGTGGGAGGGCCGGATGTCGTAGGCAGTGGAGCGGCCCCAGGTTGAACAGGAGGCGCAAGCCCTGCGCGTCCAGCCCTCTCCCGCTCAGCCTTCAGTCTTCGCTCCTCCTTGTCTGCCTCAATCTTGGCTTTAATACGTTTCTTGGCTTCGATCTCTTCTAATTTCTCTCTCTTTTTCTGAGCAGCCTCCTTTAACAATTGCTTTCGTTCGAGCTCTTCCTTAGCGTCTTGAGACTCCTTGGTACTCTTTCGCCGGATTTCCTGCAGATAAATTAGTAAATTCGTAGATCTATCATCTAAAAAGCAGGCAGTACCTCATTCCTCTTCTTGTCGATCTTGTCTTGCTCCGACTGAACTGCTCGCTTTGCTGCCAGTCGTTCCCTCAACTCTTCAAGCCTAGTTTTCTTTTCCTCCTCGGTCAAAGGTGCAAGCTCCTCCGTTGACTCCGAAAAGTCCACGTGTTGACTTTTCGAAGCGTGAAACTCGGCTTGGGCATGGCTTCTGAATTTCTTTCCACACTCGTTGCACACGAGACTGCGAGGTTCTTCACCCGGCTGAAGAGCGGGCCCTTCTTCTTCTTCATCGTCCGCAGCCTTGGTTTCGGAAGCTTTGATCTCTTCGAGGGTCTTGTCTTGGTTCGCTTCAAGCCACTCGAGAGCTCCTTGTACTGTAAAGTTATCACACATGAGTTATCAGCCGCATAAAATCCACCATCACATTATGGGAATCGGGACAGGACATACAGTTACCAGTCTTTGACACTGCAAGCGACGCTCTTTCGCTATCAAACCCCATCTCGACAAGCTGGTCCAGATCTGAGGTCGTCATGGTGGTGTTTGTTTGTTGATCCGGAAATCAGCCTTCAATCGAACCTGAATGTGGGGTAGAAGCTCTCCTCCTCGGGGGCTGACGACTCAGGAGGTGTGTAAGAGCTTAAGAGAAACAGGTAAACCTATCAGTATATTTGGTGCTCCGTCCAGAGGAACTAAAGCTCCCAGTCCTTAGTCTTCGCTGCAATTATTGGGGTTGGTGGTCAAGGAATAGGTAGTTATGAGGGGAGCTTTCAAGTGACGTATCAGACAACCTGGCCAGGCGGGACCCGCACAGACACCCTAATTCTAGGTGTTATACCTAGGTAGCTTATAGACAACCCTTCTTGTTTCTTTTAATCTGTTTAATAGAGAAAGTGTTATGGCTTACAGTGCATCTAGACAGAAGCCTTTATCATGTCTATTTTAATAGTAAAATATGAGATTGTAGTAGTGAATCAGTGAATGGTAGGCCAGGATTTCAGCAATGTATACAGTATACCTAGGTAGCGACTATCCCTTCATTAGAGACCATCTAGTATCTTATTAAGGGTAAGAAATAAGGTCGTTATGCAGGGTAAATTAGATTAAGGGGAGGGAGCCTGCATCTGAGATGAAGGACCACCTGCTATGCCTGTGTCCAGGCCACCACAATCTTTTTGCTCCTATATCCTGGGTTCCATCCTCGACTATTTATCAAACCCATCCTTTCTGTTTCAAGTGTCCTGGGACTGTGAGATTTGGACAGTTAACGGATAGATCTGGGAGAAAAGTAATCTGGTCAGCAAAATGTATTTTCGAGCGGCTACCGGCGTATACAGGATTGACTCGGAAGCCTGTCGAAAGTGTCCTAAAGGTATTTAGAACTTCTCAAAGAGGTCCACTGTAGGCAACTTTATGTAGAATAGGCATGAAAATATACGCCTCTTGCCGGCAGTGAAATAACATCTACTATTCCTTGCGCTATGCCTTTGGTAAAAAATGGGCTGACGAATATGAGCCCCATCACCAGAGCATGCAGGGAAATATGATAAGCAAGGTTCATATCAATAGCCAGCGCAGATCCATGAAGGTGTGGTAGATAGTATTATTCGTGCAGAGAAATTATCACATGCATCCGGGTTAGGAACCTGAAAAGACGCCTTCACTAACCGTGGATCGCGAGGTTCCCGAGGATAGATAGTATTGAGGCATGGTGAACATTTCGCATAGCACCTTATGCTTCTGCTATGGAAATAACCTCATAGATAAGTTGAAATATGAAACACCTCGTTCCAATTGCTGCAGCAGACGCAGAACACTCGTGATACTTCGCCTCGAGGAAGTTCCCAGGTGCCAGGTACCAGGTCACAGGTGGCCCGTGGGAGGTGACATCACCTGACTGTGTTGCTGAGTCAGCATGGTAAGCCAATAAGAGACATATCTTGTGGGCTGTGACGCTTTTCCCCGACACGCGGCCAGATCAGTAGGAGAGATCCCCTTGGCCCAGAACTACTCCGTATCTCACTTCTCTTGCCTCCGCTTGTTACTACTTCCAGGTCTGCTGGGCAAGGAAATTTCCCGGGAACTCTCGTTTTGTGAATTCAGACACTCCGACTCCTTCGCAGACCCTCCGAGCTCACTGCTAGATACCTGATCGCTGCGCTCCCACAATGTCGATCCAACTCCAGCCGCCCGAGTTGGGCTTCCAACGTGGGCCTCCCCGATTTCGATGATGATGGTGGTGATAGGGCTTAACAATCTTGCACAGGGCCGTTTAACCGAGAAGTCTGCCAGGTCCTGCACCTTGGAAATGATGGCCCCGATCCCATCGTATTCAAAGTATGTTAACCCCCCCTCTCTTGCTCTTGTTTTGGTTGGTCGCAAAGCATCGCATGGCTGATTACTTTTCGTGCGCCAGGTCAAAACCACCGCTCCGAAACAGTGCGTACTCGGCCTAGCCATAAACCCTCATCTCAACATAGAACATTCAGCTAAATCTAGACCAGCTACTGCGTGCGACCAAATTCGGGTCGTATAGAAGTTGGAAAGCATGTCGAAGTTCAAGGTTCGCCGCCCAATACACCCTTATGAGCTGGCTCTGGCGTACATTTCTAATACATGACTCAACAGTTTTGCTACAGGCAATGAAGGACGAGCCTCCTCTGGATGCTAAGTGCAAGGATAAATTCCTTGTTCAGTCCGTCGCGGTCAAGGGGGACATGGAGTTCTCGAATGTCACTTCGATTGTATGACGCGCGGTCCCCCCAGCTCTGTGATGGTTGCTGACAACAAATTGAACAACCAGTTTGAGAAAGCAGCCAAATCTTCCATCCAGGAGCGAAAGATTCGCGTGAATTTCCTAGCTCCAGAGTCATCCCCGGCCTCTGATCAAACTGACCAAGCGAACGTTTCTGTGTGTCCCCCACTACTTTTTGTGCTGTACCTCAACTTACGGGTCCCTCTCTTTTCTTTCTAGACCCTTGTCGATGATGAACCGCCAGCATACACTTCCCCCCCGGCCAATTTCGACACCCCAGTTGCAGGACCCGGCAAGAAGACCACCGACACATCACCTGTTCCAGCGCCGGATTTTTCCGAGAAGTCGACCAGAGACCCATCGACACCCCAGTTGACAGACCACACAAGCACTCTGAAGCCTGCCGTCGCTGCTGCTGCGACTGAAGATCTCAATGCAAAGCTCTCCGATGCGTATGCCCAGATCGCGAAGTTGAAGGAAAAGCTTGCAGACCAGGGCTTGAGACAGAGAAAGGCACCGGTTGGAGCAGCAGAGACGGCTACTCCCTCGTTGCAACAGCAGCAGCAACCTCAGTCTGCCGAAGCAGGCGTTCCGGTTCAGATTGTGGCCGGCCTCTGCTTGTTAAGCTTTTTGCTGGCCTATTTCTTCTTCTAACCTACCCGCACATCATTTGCCTCTTTCTTTTTCCTTTATTATGCTTCGAGTCCCCACAGCCTTCGCCTTTTTCTTTCAACCAACTGTATTCTGATTGCAATGCCCTATCCTTTTCTTTTTCTCCTTTGCTAGGTTTACCTTCTCGGTCCCAACAGCTCGTCCATGCGTCTGACTTTTTTTCCTTTTCCACTTATCTTCTTTGATTACCTCTTCTTACTTCTTCCCCCCTCTTCCCACCAGTCTAAGTCTCCGGGCCAGGCCTGCGTACTACTGGTTTTTTTTTTCTTTTTGCCAATCCATCCAAGTCTGGCGTTTCTTCTATTTTCCTTCTGTATGCCCATCATGATATTCCGCCGCCCAATCTGAGATGGTGCGTGGATCGACTGAGTGACAAAGGGCGATTGGCCGGGGCTAGCACTCCATCCTACCCATAGTCCTCTTACTTTGCTTGTCTACTGAACGAAATAGTTTATTCTTTTTTCTTTTCCCCTTTTCTCACTTTCCACTCGTATCGTCTACCTTGCTGCCTGCTGTCTCCTTTGCTGTTCTAGAAAGCTCGTCTTTTTTTTTGTTTTTTCCGATTCCTCTCGTCCGTTTTATCTATCAGAATTCGACGAGATAATGTCAGCTCGTACGACGTATATCCATAACATAACGAATGGTTTTTGATGTCGATGATCATTCATTTCATTCCTAGCGAGATGTCCATACCCTTGGGGAGGGAAAACACAGCACCAACACAAGATCACTCATGTCTAAACTTGTAGATTCTCTCATCAGAAACAACAAAAAAAGTGGAAGCATACAGTTTTGTTTTATAACGAAGAAGAACATAAGATACAGGTGGCTATTCTAAATAATTTCGTGCGCTTAATTCTGAATTTCGCTTTCCTTCCATCCATCACCTGCCTCGTCTTCGGCTGCAGGGATACCCTCCCCGCCACGACCAGCTCGACTAGAAGCAGAAGCACCACCGCCCACGATGCGACCGCCCTGGGCTCTCTTAACACGACACCACATGCCGACGTTCTTGTCGAGAATGAAGGTCCACAGCACCCAAACCCAGCTATGGTGGCAGGGGAGCGGCTCATAGAATTCCTTGGCCATCTTGTGCAAGACCGGCAGGCGTGTCCATGGTATGGCAGGGAAATCGTGGTGCTCGTTGTGCAGACCGACATTGTAGGTAAAGAAGTTGAGCGGGCCGTAGTAGGAGTAGGTCTCTGGCGGAGGCAGCGAGTCTAGAGGGTGCGGGACACGGTCTTTAGAAGAAGAGCCAGTTGCGTTCTTCATCTGCCTGCGCTCCTGCAGGGACTCGGTGCCGCCCGCTTCGACCTGGGAGAAGAAGTAGTGCTCGGCAATGAAATGGCCGGCACAGGGGTGGAGTGACCCCGCCAGAAAGGAGCTGAGCAGCAGGTAGAGCAGGGGCTGGATCGAGCCACAGCTCCAGGTAAGGATATAGTCGAACGTCAGCTGCACAATCACATTTAACAGATGGATTGATGTGAACGCGGGCGTATAGATAAACATAGGCCGCACGGCGTAGAAAAAGATCTGGAACGTGCAGAAGAACGCCTTGCCCAGCAGAGAATCCAGGAAGACGGCCTCCAAGGCCGTCGGCAGATCAGCGTCCAGCCCAGAGACTCCAAGAGACTTGTGATGCGTCAGGTGGTATGGCTATAGAACAGTATTAGCAGATCGCATTCTATATCCAATCCGCACCTAGGTGATTATTTTTTCCCCCAACATACCCGGAATGAAGCGCTATAAGGAATTCCAATCGGTAGATTAGCCACAATGGCCAACAGTCGATTAGCAAACGGAGAACGGAATGCCAGGTTGTGTGAGATCTCATGGATGGCGAGGAAGAGGTTCTGGTTCGCCGTCGCGCCGATCAAATATCCGGTTAATAGGAAACGCCAGTCGAGCATCGAAGTGTTCCGGAGGGCCCAGGCACAAAAGATCTGGAGTGCGACAACACCAAAGACAACCCATTTCGTCAGGGGCTCCGGTCCACAGAGCTTTGTTACCTGCATACAGTCCATCAGCGGTCAATCCTAAAGATAGTCTAGTCTTATTCAACGGTCCTGGTTGGCGGGCGAACGAACCTCTGGATGCGCCTTGATGATCGCTTGTCGTCTGGAACGATGTGGTTCCTCCGTGTATGTCCAGAAAAAATGGTCTTCTACTGATGTATTCGGAGGAGGAATTCGCGTTGAAGGCTCGGCGTCTGTTGAGGACTTTGATTTCTGGGATGAGGCCACGCGGAGCTTGGGCTCCACGGCAGCAGTCGCAGTGGCAGAGGATGGCATGGTGGAGGGACGGATGTAAAGAGGATGAATGGGCCAGCCTAGATCCTACTCCATTGATTGAAAAGCACAGCTTCCTTCGGCAGTTAGGACAGCGAAAGAATGATCAATGACAGATTTTACCACAGACCGCCATAAATAACAGCTTGAGGCCAGGGCGGGATCCGGAGCGGACTCGTTCCACGTGGGGCTACCGACCATTCCACTGGAAAAGCAACTGATCCGAGAGCGTTTAGTTTTGCACGGGATACTAATGGTCAGGGATGAGAGAAACGGAGCATGGATGTGGATGTGTTGAATTCTCCAATTGATTCTACAGGACTATGCACAAAAAAATGGTTGGTTTTGATTTCATAGATCTCATATTTATAAGTACACCTTAGTAGTCGTCGCCACGACTAATAACTTCCTTCACAGTTGGTCGAAGAACGATGGTCTGTGGCCAATTAGTCTCACTGTACGGAGAAGTATTGATGGGGTTCAAATGATGATTCCTTACGTGTTCGAATTGGGCAGTGTAGGAGCCCTTGATATCGACCAGGGGGGGATAATCCTGGACGATTCCCGATGAGACGAGGTTGTTCAACTAGAGACAAGATTAGATGGCCACCTTCGCTGAAAAACGGCTTGCGAGATCTCTTTCTGGACTTACACCGAGGAGGTACTTATCCTGACCCAATCTGTCGAGGTAGCGGCGGCAAAAGGGCAGGGTGCCGAAGTTCTTGTTGATCACACTCAACAAGTTCTTTGCAGATGAAAGTCGCAGAGGGACAGAAGGAGCGTTCGGAACCAAGGCATAGTGAGAGGTTTCCATCTAGACAGTATTAGTGGGAAAGATACTGATTGCCAAGTGTTAGATTTCGACTTACGTCGTCTCTCACGTAGCCTTTTCCGGTGCTGCCGAAGGTTTCGATGGCAAATACTTCGCCCTCCTCCATCTTGGTCTGATCACCGCCCTTCACAATAGGCACACTCTTGCCGCCGTGGATAATGTGCTGGTCGATGTTGTGGCCGTTAAGGTTCCGGATACATTTGACGGGGTACATAGTGCCATTGAGCTCGACTTCGTAGCTCTCCATTGCTTCCTGAATGGCAGCACCAATATCGCTCATGCGCACGTCAATACCAGCTTCCTGTAAATTAAAAGTCAGTCGATCAGAACGATCTCCAAATATTGGCCAGTTTTGAATATGGGGGGTGGATATGGGGAGAGAATCCATACGCGGATGCCGGTATTCGTCGCATCTTTAACCGCCTCCAAGAGCGGGTCGTAGACGGGGTCAAAGGTCATGGTGAAGGCGCTGTCGACAATGCGGCCGTTGATATGGGAACCAAAATCGACCTTCATCACATCGCCTTGCTGCAAGACCATCTTGTTCCCCGCGTTCGGGGTGTAGTGGGCGGCGCAGTGGTTGATGCTGAGACCACAGGGGAAACCCATGCCACCCTTGATGTTATCGCCCTCCTCCAGGCCCTGATGGCCGGTCAAGGCGCGGACAGCATCTTCAATCCCCTCGGCGATCTCGGTCAAGGTCTGTCCGGGCTTGATGTTCTTCTGCGCATACTGACGCACTTGACGGTGCACCTCGGCTCCCTGGCGATATTCTTGCAAGAAATCATTCCTCATCCTGTCAAGATATCGCTTCTCTTCATTGGTTGTGCGGTAGGAGTTCTCATCCTTGTATTCGACAATCTCGCCTTCGGGGTACTGGCCGTTGGGGAACAATTCCGACACGGGAACTCGGGGAGGAGAGCTCTGGACCTTGGCACCGCCCTTCTTCTTCTTCTTGGGCTTGCGCTTCTTCTTCTTCTTTGCTACTGTTCCATAAAAAACAAGCCCTTGGTCAGTCACATGGACCAGGCTGGACAGATTATAAACTGGGGATGCCCACCTCCGGCCGATCCGCCTTCCTGGGCACCGTTCTCCTCGTGATCGTCATCGGAATCGTCTTCGGCTTCACCGTCTGCACCCTTGTCGGCACTGGGGCCGTCTGTCTTTGCGGTGCCGTTTGTGCCGTTCTGACCGTTCACTGTAGATGAAAAGCCGGTATCTTATCAGCCTATCCATAAAATTGAACTCGAGGTTTTTACACCCGCACATCGGCGCAGAGGGAAACAGGAACGATGTAAAAAAAAATAATACTACTTACGGTCGAGCTTCTCCAGCTGCTCACTAGCCTGAGCAGCCATGATGAATACTGAGAGGCTCGCCGAGATAAAGCAAACCTTAGTATTCCAGTGTTGGGGGGGGGGCAGAAGACGTAGTAAAACCAAAGGAGGGGAAAAGCCAGTATAGGTTCGCCACGCTTACCGCTTTAAGCAGTTTATCTGATCTGGGTGGCCTGTTGGAGAAACAACGAGGCTGAATATTGGCATCATGTTGTCTGACTCGCTCGATTTATGACTAATAGTACTACTGCATGGATATAGATAATCCTACCTAACGTTTATGATCAAAGTTGTGATTAAAAACAGAGGTGCCTTCCTCACTTCCGAGACCACTCCAGGACATCTTCCACAGACGGTCTCAATCCGAACCAATCTGATATGAAACAGGGCCCTTCAATAAACACATATGAGAAAATAAATAACCGAAACAGAGTCCAGTCAAAACCTTTGAATGATTAAACTGCCGTCATCAATGTCCACGGAGGGGGGCCGAACCAGAAGGCGGAGATATGACGCAGGGCCGCCTCCGAGAATCGCTGCGCGTGCACACGAGCTCTCTCTTGGACCGGGTTCACAACGGTTCCATTCCCTTTTCCATAACCAGGTTCCCGGTAGTGGAAGAGCATGCCATCTCCTCGAGCGAGGACCTGTACTTCTTCATTTCTGACGAACCGCTGGCCGGCCTCATCCAGGACTCCTCGAGCCCGCATCCCGGCAGCGTCCTTCTTCTCGACCTCTCCACCACGTCTTCACGCCGCCAGTCGCGAGCCGACATACTATGAGGTCCTCAATGTCCCTGTGACGGCCACAGCAACAGATATAAAAAAGTATTCCCCCTCTTTTTTTTTCTCTTGCATCCATATACAGCTATTAATCTCTCTCTCTCTTTTTTTTTTTCTAAAAAAAAGATCATTCTATGCCCTGTCCCTCCGTCACCATCCAGACCGCAACAGAGACGACCCGAACGCAACGTCACGCTTCGCCCGCATCTCCTCAGCCTACCATGTCCTCAGCAACAGCGCCAAACGCGCCATCTACGACCGCGACAACGGCATCCATGCCCACATCCCCTCCACGCACAGCACCGCACATCCAGGCCAACACCCGATGGGCAGCCACAGCAGCCACTCGCAGGGTGCGGGCGCCTCCTATGCAGGGTCCCGACCGGCAAGTGGACTGAGTAAGAGACGGGGCACGTTCCGGGGGCCACCGCCGAGTTTCTACGCGCATGGCGGGTACGGGAATAGAAAACCCCCGCCTGGCGCTGGCGCTTCCTCTTCCTCTTCCTCTTCCTCGTCTTCTTCTTCGTTCAAGGCTGCCTCATCGTCAGCAAAGGAGGAAGACCCGACCTCCTTCATTTATCGAAACCCTGTTCACCATTTCGATGCAAGAAGCCACTATGCCACCCAGAAGGCAGAGGATAACCGCCGCCAACAACGGCGGACCCGTGAGAGAAATGCCTCTGACATTGATCGGCACATTGGCGGGAACGGCGACTTTGCCGTCCGCTTCATCCTCGTCTGTGGCATCCTCATGGCTACCGCAGGTATCGCCGGGTTTTTCCAGTGGCCGCACGGTCAGTTGGTCAGGGATGACAGGTTTTCAAGGAAGAAGGAAGCAGGCTAAGGACTAGATATGATATTGAACCAGCTCAGTCCCTTTTAGTACACAGTAAATGATCGGGGTCTGTATATACTATCTGCCAACAATTGATTAGGTTGGATAGTTTGAACTGAAGCTTAGAAAATAATGTACAGCTACATGGAAACCACTAGGCGAATAGTTTTGATTGATATACAATGATAATTTCGTGGGTTACACATACACATTAGTTGAACCTGCCAGAAACCCGCGGTCTAAGATCCATTCCGAATGCTCTTCCTTCACGTTCAGAGATGCAAAAAAGAAGGGGAGACAAGGCACTGTTCTAGCATATAACATCGCACAAGCCTTCATCCCACAGGCATTCCAGCACATTTTGGGATCAAAACTAGTGAACTATTGCCATCTCTAGTCCAGAGCCAAATCTTCTTTCCTCTGTGACGCTAAGATACCGCCCCCGAAAGTGGGAAAGGCACGGGTCATCTATGCCTCGAAGGTGAAGCTGGCGCCAACCTTGTGGGCGGCCTGGTTCAGGTTCTGGGTGTCGAAAGAGGCACCAAGACCCAGGGTAACACCGGGGCGGAGGAGAACGTTGTAGGCCAGAGCGGCAATACCGCGGTCGTTGATCTTGGCCTAGAAGGAGTGGGGGGGGAACGAAGTCAGCAATCATAGTATTCGCAGGGGTTTCGGCCGGTGAGATTGATCACATACCTTGGCGAAGGAAGAGGGGTCGAGTCTGTACTTGCTGGCAACCTCGAGGCCAACAGAGTTGCCGGCCTTGGAGTCCCAGGTGGCCTTGGCACCGGCCTCAACCTGCTGGTTGACGCGGTGGTAGTAGCTGGCGGAGAAGACGCTCAGGTTGTTGCTGGCAGTGATGGCAGCAGAGTACTGGGCAACGCTGTAGCCGACAGCAGCGGAGTACTTGGTGATGGCAGCCTTCTGGACGTCGTAGCCACCCTCAGCACCGACAAGGAAGCCCTCGTGGCCGAGAACGGCGTCGAAGTTGGCCGAGGGGCCGTTGAGGAGGTCGAAGAAGGCACGGGCGTGCAGGTTGGGCTGCTTGAAGTAGAGGTTGAGCTTGGCACCCTTGGACTGCTTGGCGGGAAGGTACTGGGTGATGATCTCAGCCTTCAGGCCCTTGGCGATGTTGTTGTCCAGCTCGAGCTTGGTGTCGAGGGCGTTGGCAGTGGTCCAAGCCTGGGTGAGGGTGAGGCCTGAAGAAGGACGAATCATTAGCATGATGGCATGTTCGGTGAAACGAGACATCAGCTGGAACTTGACCAGTTTGGACGAGGCTTGACCGCAGGAGAAAAAGAACGTTGATCTCGCCTCGCGCAAACCAGCCGAGGCATCTGGAGGTTTTTTCCGCTTAATGGGGCCTTTACCGGTAGGAGCATCAACGTATTTGGCCTCGAGCTATTCAGAGAGAACAATATTAGCAAAAAAGAGCAATTCCCACTGATCGCAACTAGAATTTCTTGGATGGACTTACGGAGCCGGCAATGGGGCCCTCGTGGGCGGACTTGCCCTTGACGTTGAAGGTGACGCCATTGGGGGCCTTGGACTTGACCTCAAGGCTGGCTGTAGCAATTGATCAGTTTCGTCGTACAGATAATCGCCGACATATCGAGGAATTTACCAGCGCTGGTGTGGTAGAAATCCTTGTTCAGGAGCTGTTGCGCAATGCCGTTAGCAAAAGGAATATTTCTAAGTTACTTCGTAGCTGTGGGGAGAACGAGAAAAATCATACATCATTGGCCGCCTTGGCGATATCGGAGAAAGCAGCAGGAGCAGACATTGTGACTGTGGGATGTGTGGAAAATGAAACCGTCGCGGGGAGAAAGAGAGGTGTAACGTGTATTGTAGGGGCGGGAGGTTGAGGATGGGGGAGGAAAGTGATGGGGGGAAAGAGGTTGGATGGGATGCAGGTCAGTCGGCCAAACAATGGAGGAGTCCACGGGAGTCACGCCCGACGCTGATTGGGTGGACAGCCGGCTGCCGGTAAAAGCCGCCCAGTGACCCGATCCCGTGATCAGCGCGCTTGTAAGTTGTAACTTGTAAGTTGTTGGCTATTAGTTAAGGATGGCCCTTGTTTGGCGTCTTGCTGACGGAAAAGTACGGGGTAGGCTTTTACTCCGTAGTTCCGCTGTCCCTGACGATGAGTGAGTATCCCTCTTATTTCACTACTCTGGTGCGATGCTGACCATGCTTTATGGTTGTGTACCTATTAGTACCTATAGTTTGGACTTCATAGCAACGGAATGGAAGAGACTGCGTCTACCACATAACAGGAATATGGCAGATGGGGCAGTCCCGAGGAGAGAGAGAGGTAGGAGCATCTCCAGCATGCCGAGAATTCTGACCTGTCGTCTATTATGAACAAGGAGGAAATCGACACAAGCATGAAGAAATGGAATGGTTGCTGGTGCCTTTAATTTTGATGATCTAGCAGTATACATGGTATAGGATTTTTCCCGCTCTTCTATGCATCCAACAAGTTTTCCTGTATGACTGGCGCAGGATCCGAATTTAAACCAAAAAGAAAGGAGAGAGACAAGAACAGAAAGGCGATTGACTGCATGATTACTCGGTGCCTTCGTACTTGGCAACGTGGGTTGCAATAGCTCTGTGGGTTCACCAGTGTTAGCTGAAAAGACCCATCGGAAAGACTTCGGGGGGGGGCTCGTCTTACCTTCCACTAGGGTCAGTCTGTTTCGACCATGTCGGTGTCCAGCGTTCCACCGTGGACGCGCAGTAAGGCGGGAAGATCTCATCGAACATGCAGCGATACCAATACCTGGTCTCTCAGTTAGCTCCAATCGTTGGGGGAAACGGGGAATTGCATCGACATACGCCTCCTTGGTATCGGGGATGTCGGTACCCCATTCGGGCTTGGGGTTCTTCATCATCTCGTCTGTGACGTGAAGCTCGGCGTTGTCCTTGAGTCCGTCGATCCAGCTGTAGCCGACACCGTCGCTGAACTGCTCCTTCTGACGCCACAGGATCTTGTCGGGGAGGTAAGGCTCCACGTCGGGCTCGTCGCTGGTGTCAAACGCCTTGCGCAGAATGTACTTTTCGATGCGTTCCTTGGTGATCATCTTCTCCTTGGGTTCAATATCCATGCAGACCTCAAGGAACTTCTTGTCCAAGAAAGGCACGCGGGCTTCCAGACCCCAGGCGGATGTCGACTTGTTCGCTCTCAGGCAATCCGCGAGGTGCAGGTTCTTCACACGTCTCACGGTCTCCTTGTGGAATTCCTCCCGGTTGGGGGCGGCGTGGAAGTAGAGATAGCCGCCGAAGATCTCGTCGCTTCCCTCTCCACTGAGAACCATCTTGACGCCCATGGCCTTGATCTTGCGGCTAAGCAGGTACATCGGGGTGGAGGCACGGATAGTCGTCACGTCATAGGTTTCCAGATGGTAGATAACATCGGAAAGCGCGTCCAGGCCTTCTTGCACCTCAAAGGTGAATGCATGGTGCTTGGTTCCAAGGAACTCGGCGACCTCGAGAGCTGCCTTGGTATCCGGGGCACCGGGGAGACCAATGGAGAAAGAGTGCAGCTGCTGGAAGGTGGTCACGGTCGAAAGCTCGTTAGAGTCATCAATGCCGACCAGTTCCGACTCGCGAGCCTGGCTGGCGGCAGCGCTCTTGGCCGCTTCCTGCATACGCAGGGTTTCGCGCTGGGCAATGGAAGCCACCAAGCTGGAATCCAAGCCACCCGAGAGCAACACGCCATACGGAACTTCGGCCATCAGACGCTTGCGCACAGACTTCTCAAGGGTCTCCCGGATCAACTTCAGATCCAGAGGTGTCGAAGGGACGTTGGTGGGGTCCCACCACTTGGGCTCGAAATACCGAGTGAACTCTCCGGTCTTGGAGTCATAGACATGGCCCGGAGGGAATGCAAGAATCTTGTCACAGACAGGATGCAGACACTTCAGCTCCGAAGCGAAGTACACGGCTCCAGGAGTCTTCCATGATGTTCCATAATAGAAGCTGGTGACACCGATTGGGTCGCGCGCAGCAATAACACGGTCTTGCTTCTTATCATACAGAACCCACGAGAACATACCATCGAGGTGCTTGGGTGCGTCGAGACCGTGCTCCATGTACTAAAACGCATATAAGGTCAGCCGAACCGGGTCCAAAAAAGAAAAGAAAGAGAAAAAGAAAAATTGACACAAAAGGGCAGTACAATGCATGCATACCAGAGGGATGATGACTTCACAGTCCGAGTGTGTCTTGAAGTTGTATGGGGTCTTCAGGCTTTTCCGCAGAATACGATGGTTATAGATCTCTCCGTTGACCGCCAGGGCGAGGGAGCCGTCATCGTTGACCAGGGGCTGAGCTCCAGAGTCTATTTCCAACTCGCATCTCAGCAACCAAAGCAAGGTAAGTAAGCGCTTTATCATCACATACCGACGCCGACAATGCTCAGACGCTCGTGAGCAAGAACTGCGAATCCATTAGCCCCGGACACTTTTGAATGCACACACGCCCATGCTATTGACTAGCTGGCTTGCTTACTGGTACTGTCATCGACGAAGTTTCCACCTGTTATCACACAGTCGTTGTTAGATATCCCTTATTCCCCCATCGTTAAACCCAGGTCGAAGATTCCATGACTCACTCCAATCGGGACCACGATGGCGCACGCTGGAAGGACACACACAACGGTCAGTGACAATCCTGGATATGAATACGTAACAGAAGAGAAAAAAAAAAAAAAAAAAAGAAGAAGGCAACTCACGCTTTCGCCATGCGCAAAGCCGTCGGCTTGAACTTTTGCACATCGGGGTGACTGTATTTGAACGCCGGGTTAGTCCTGAACGAGGCGGTATGGTATGTGTGTGTGTGGGCAAAAGGTTTGCGCCCTCGGAGCAATCAAGACGTACTGGTGACAAGCAAAGATTCCACACATGCTGGGCTTTGGTCAATTGAGACGAGAGGGTTGCGGAAGAGAATTGGTTCGTTGTTGCTGCAAGAAAGTGCTTCCCGGTACGGTGGAAGCAGCAAATTTTAATAATTAACTACGCGGGGCTCTTCAGTCGAGGGGCGATGTCGGACTGCCGCAGTCATTGACTCACCCGATAAGATAAAAGGTTTCGCTCTTTCTACGCCTTCCCATTCGCTCTGGCCTGTCCCACTCGACCACAAGTTCCTTTTGCGGAATCTTGACTATGACTACGTAGGTATATCAGGAGAGGGAATGAGCTGTTTCTCTGAATAATGCCTTGACTCGCTTTGGTATTCATTCTGCTCCAGTACTTCATGTGCTATAAATTCCTTGGAATGGGCCTGAGAACCCCGCCAAGATCGATCGATCTTCCGCATATTGCTACCTCATCCCTGCAGGTACCTACCTAGGTAGCTGGAGCCTCCTGCCGATACCCTGGTAGACCGCATCTAGAATCAAAAGAAGATTGATAGGATATTTATGTGGGTGATCGCACGTTCTTCTCAAATGAGCTAGTATGTTACTATGTTCACCTAAAGAAGGTTCAAGAAACATAGAAATAAAAGAAGGTCGACCTAAGAAACCAAAAGAGAAGAAGAAGAAGAAGAAAAAGAAGAGAAGATTCGTCAGAAAACGCCTGGCTATTCCCACCCTGAAGAGACATCTTAGCACTTTGCAACGCCACGCTTGCTCAAGAGAGGAGGATCATGATAGAATGGCACTTAGTGAGATAGACCGGGCTCGTATGCAGGGTGTCAATTCCCAGGCCCTGATCATTATAAAGTTGGGAGGGGGATGCAGAGGAAAACAAGCAAGTTCCTAACTGGCCAACAAAGCTGGTAGTATGAGATAAGACAGCGGCACGATCACTCGGCCATGGCTTATTTTCCCTGGCAAAAAGCAGGGCACGAGACAGTATAGTTCACCAGGAAAAGCGCGGGTCAAGAACAATTCATCAACAGAGACCTCCTACGGCGCAGGATTCTCCTTGACGACCTGTTTGACTCGCCGTTCGTACTGCACGCGATCCTTCTTGAAGAGGTTGTATGCTTCCGCCTGGGCGGGGGATTCCGGGTTAGGCTCGTCCAGCAGATCCTGGATGCCGAGGAGAATCTGCTTGATGGTGATCGCCGGTTTCCAAGCCTCCTCTTCGTTCAGGATTGAAAGGCAGACCGTTCCGGAGGGGTAGACATTTGGGTGGAAGAGTGGAGGAGTGAATTTGCCTGAGAACCCCAAGAAAGCAAATTGTCAGTTATAATCTCGCAACTCGGCGTAGAAAGCTCTCAAGTCTCAAGCGACATGAATACCCCTTTCATTCCTTGGCAAGTCGTCTGTGTAGGGGGGAGGTGGAGGGGGATGGTTTGGTTACATACACTTGGGCGGCTTCGTGGGATACTCTATGCAAAAGAAATAGATCATACGTCAGTTTGCGATTGTCGCAGCGCAAAGAATAATACAGAGTTCCAAAACTCACCGTCAGGAAAGGTCACCTCGAGCTTGAAAAGCCCTCCTTCCCAGATTGTTTTTGCCTTTCCCGGAACGCCGCATTCCCATTTCTTTAGATCCAAAACACCTTGTGCAGTCCGATGAGGCTTTGCTATAAACCCGAAAGGGTGGTCACGTCGCCACTGTTTCCTGTAGCGTGTCGCAGTAGTCGTCAGCTTGGTTCCAAATCCGGGGACACGGTTTTCTGGCGCATACCTCTCCTCTTGGAGACGGTTAATGCAGAGTGACATCTTGCTGATTGTTTTTCTTATGAACAGAGAGGGAAACTTGCGCTCAGCGGAGGGTGATGACTGATGGGCGTGGAAAGGTTGCTGCAGATGTCAGTCTAAGGGATATAATAGATTATCAAACAAGCCAGGGGTACAGACAGTAGCAGCGAGACAAAGAATGGCCCTTCTAGACTGTTCTTTGGGACTGAATGCGCAAGACAAATCCTGTCTTTGAGGGTTCACTCAGTGAATTTGATAGCAGTAAAGTGCCCCACAGCCAATCACTCCACATGTTTCCAAAGACATCACATGATTCTCATCTAAGATCTACGCCTACTTTTAGTATAGTCAATTGTCTCCCCAGGGGCTAGGCGTTGTAGGAGGTAATTAATATAAAATTATAGACACTTAATTACTCTTGCTAATTTTTATATAGTAAACCAAGTAAAATTCAAGGTGATTTATGCTATAAATAAAAAACAGTCTCTTAGGATAGAGAGCCACTTTATAGTAATCAGATGAAACTATTTGCTAGTAGTTTTACATCCTGATGGCACAGAATATGAGCTCTACCTACTATTGTTTCAGAATATGTCAAAGAAACACCTGTCGACTGGAATTGATTATAATAATTGACAACTGGGAGAAGAATCAACCTGCGACAAAGAATAGAGACAAGGGGCTTTGTAGATTCTTTGATAGACCATGAGATAACTATGATAGGCCCTGTCTTGTTGACTCCTGGTCCTATTTATGCCTATGCATCTGCTCATCAACATCTAGCATCAACAGACAGGACGAAAAAGAACTTAAATTCCACCAAAATCTCCCACAAGAAATGTGTCATCAGATCTCATGGTACCGGGCCATGTGCTTACATCCAGACCCATCCTGGAAACTGGAGATCCCCTGTCAGACCGCTATCAAAGCTGGAACCAATCTCTGTAACAAGGTGGAGGTCGTGATTCTCCCCATGCCGGACACGTGTGAGATCTGCAAGATGCAGGAGTGGCTTGAGAAGAATCTGTCCGTCCTTGAGACAGGATTTGCGGAAGACCAGGAAGATTCGTGCGCGGAAGACCATATTGCTGAGTGGAGGGATGCTTGCGGCCCGGGGTTTGTCTCGGAAGAGTTTGAGGATGACGAGTCCGAGATGTTTGATAGAATCACATTCTAGATCATATGGAGACTATAGATCGACTTATAGGTGGGGATCTTCATGAATTTATTGTCGTTGATTCCGTTTCTTTATCTGAACCAAGTTCTGGTATCCAAAGTGTATCAAATCCTATTGTACAATTAATAATGAACTGCTGCTCGTAGCAAATCACTGCTCGTAAATCCCTTGCTCGAATCTCTCCTTGTCGAAAAATCGCGCGGTAATAGCGTTCCCATTGAATATCCGTCCCTCTAGCGCATTCACAGCCTACAGTTAAATATCAGTCTGATGTCCGGTGTATATCAGAGGTCAACAGCACTCACTCTCAGAGCTGATAGCTGACTAGTGAACTTCACAAAGACTGGAGCGTGTTGCCGGGAGGCCCGGTGGATAAAGACACGCTCAACACGGCCATACTGCGTCCCAGAAGCCGTTATTAGCCCACCGAATCACATCAAAAATGTACACAGGGCAGAGCCTTACCTTTTCAGAGCACTCTTCTCCTATTTCCTGCATCAGGCCACCGTCATGGTCTCCTTCCAATTCAGCATCCACGTCCATGCCATCCAGCATACCCTTGAGCATGATGACCTCACTCATTTCACCAAACTTACCCACCCCCTCGAATTTCTTGGCACTCCCGATGATTGTACCTCTACCCGCGGGTGTGACAAAGCCGCCGCCTTCAGAGTCAGGGCGCTTCTTCTGCTTCTCAACCTTGACCTGCAGTGGTTTGACAATTCCCGAGCCAGTTGCGCCCAAGCCAGACCCTTTAGTCCAGCCATACTTCTCAAGTAGACGCTGGGCAAATCCCTTTTGCCCGGGGCGAAGCGAGCGTGGGGTATTATCATCAGGGTCTTCTTCCACAGGTTGCTCCTGTGCAAAGACTTGCTCCAGCTCTGCTTCGGACGCCGGTAAGTCTTCTGGAGGCGGCGGTAATGTATAACGAACTGGTGCACGAGATATAGTAGCTGAAGAAGGTTGAATTGCATCAAGACGACTAGCAGTTGGAGGAGGTGGGGGTGGACGTGGAGGAGTATACTCTGCAGTAGACACACTAGGCTGACTGGCGCTCATTTGCAGACGATGGACATACGCATCATCCCCTGCAGCGTCGTTCGGTACCGGAGCTAGAGAGTCAGCAGGTGGTGGTGGTGGTGGTGGCTGGATATCTGGCATATAGTCGGCCATTCGGATGTCACCCTGGTTCTGGCTGAGCCGTAAACGTCGAGCATATGCGTCTTCTCCGGACGCGTCGTCAAGAACCATGGCAGGCGGAGGAGGTGGGATATTATTAATATTCGGGGGCGGTGCGAAGCTAGCTGGCGGAGCAAATTGCTCTAATTAATCATATGTTAGCTCAACTCGTTGACAGCGTAAACGGAGCATAACGGGATACTGACGGTTCATGGGTCTGGAATACCCATCGTCAGAGTCAGAGTCTCTGCTTCGTGACCTAACCATACGGTGCGCATATAGACGATCTTTCCAATCTCGGACCTCAAAAATCTTCTCGTCGCTGTGCTTGTACTCTTCATAGTTATTGGGCCGTGACGGGTCATAGATATCATCCCAATTCTGCTGCATCATTTGCGAGTCTCGGTTCTTCTTTCGTTTCTTCCGCCCGCCGCGCTGTCTTTTTTCGCCCGCGAAGAATCCATTGATATCTTCATCTTCTGTAGCTGCCCAATCCGCAAGGGTGCTTTTCACGGGTGCTGATGGTACGGGAGCCGGTGTTGCGGCAACACTGGGACCGGAAGTCGCCTTTGGTAATGCCGGCTTGGGTTTCGGCTTCTGGGCGGCTAGCTGTGGCCGTTTCGTAGGCTGGAATCGAAGAGATGCTGTATTCAAACCCGGGGATGACCCAAGGGACAAGTGAGCACTCGCTTTCGCAGAGAAAACACAAGATGACTATCGTTTCGAACACGAAGGAAGGAAAAAGGTGGGATATCTACCGGCACTTAGCTGCTGTTTCTTTGCCGCGGAGTCGTCTTGCTGCGAATCACCTTCGGAGCTAGGTTTAAAGACAACAGGTGCCCGCGAGATTGTCCCCGGCGACGAGGAACTGTCGGCGGAGGAATCAAGAAGATTCGCATAAAGCGACATCCCCCCAGCTTTCGACGGTGTCGACTCGGGAGCCATCGTTATCCGAAGACCACCACACAGACGTAACTGGAGGAAGCTCTTGTCTTGAAGACAGGTATTTCCCCGACTCGGGAGGCTTCAACAGGCGCTCTTGCTGCAGTGGGGGACCAAAGGCGGTCGGGTTTGTGTATGATTCCGCTTCCTATACCGCCTTCCTAAAATGATTTATTCCCACCTGCTTGTGACTGTACTACAATGCACTATGTAGTACGAGGTGTGAATAGTACCAGGTACCTACCTAAGGTACCTAGGTAGGTATTAGTTAGTGAGGTACAGAGTACTTCCTACTAGTTAGTAGGAACCTGTAGTGTACCACCTATGTACGACATAATTATACCACGCAAGGGGTGCCATAACTAGAGGGAGAAGAATAGGCTAGCGATGCTTCGAGAATATAATGTAGACATAAGAGTATGAGCATTTTAAACTAAATAGTTAGGGTTGATATTATACAAACTTAATAAAAGGCTAGGCTTATTTCTGTTGGCCTGATAAGAGTACATAAAACACTTTATACTACTAATGAGAACTGCTATACTCCTGCATTGTGTTACACACTTTATTTTATTTAAGATTTGTATGCATATGTTTGCTCTGTTTGTTTGTGACGCAATCAGAAAGAAGCCTTGCCGACAAGCCGTAATCCACGGAGTACCTCGGAGTCAGCCCACATACTTGACAGGAGAACTGTGAGAGCTCTATTCTATCTCCTATCATTTTTCAGCCATCTATGTCATTCAATTGATCCTTTTTGCTGAGTCCACTGTTAGCAATTGATAAATCCACCATGGCTACCCTCGCCCAGTCATTCTCTGCAGACAGTACCAACGTCGCCGTTCTTATTCCTCACAAGCCCGACGTCCTCGCGGTATCTTACCAGCAACTACATTCCCATATTGGTGCCTTCCAGGAGAAATTGGCTAGATTGGGTATTAAACATGGCGATGCTGTCTCAATCGCTCTACCGAACTCCTATGAGTTTATCGTTTCCTTTCTAGCGGCGTCTTGGCAACGGGGTATCGCGGCCCCTTTGAACCCGGCTTATAAGCAGGACGAGTTCGAGTTCTACATTGATGATCTCAAATCAGCCGTGGCTCTTGTGCCGAAAGGTTCATTCGAGCAGAATGGACCCGCTGTAAGAGCTGCGAGGAAGTACAATGCCGCGATTGCGGAGTGTTACTGGGATGGAAGAGAAGTGGTTCTGGATGTCAAGGAGCTTGGGAAGCTGCAGGGAAGAGAATATCAAAGGCTCGAGCAAGCTCAGCCTGAAGATACTGCCCTTGTTCTGCATACTAGTGGAACGACTGGTAGACCCAAAGCCGTACAGACGCCTTCTCTCTCGTTTCAACTGGTTTACTAACCTCGGCGATTCTCCAGGTTCCCCTCTCACACCGGAATTTAACCACAACAATGAGTATGTACCCTTGATCAGAAAGCTATAGGGAAAAGCCTTCTTTCTGACGATGCAACTTCTCCACAGGGAACATCCAGGATACCTACAAGTTGGGCCCCGAGGATCGTACCTACCTCGTGATGCCTTTGTTCCATGTTCATGGACTTCTGGCTGCCTTCCTTGCGCCCCTCTCCTCTGGAGGATCCGTGATTGTCCCGCCCAAGTTCTCTGCGTCTCAGTTTTGGACGGATTTCATCGCCCACAAGGCCAATTGGTACACAGCCGTGCCGACCATCCATCAAATTCTTCTTAAATCCCCCTTGCCCAACCCTATCCCTAAGATCCGCTTTATCCGATCGTGTTCGTCGCCACTGTCTCCGAAGACTTTCCAAGACCTGGAGACGACGTTCAATGCCCCGGTCCTTGAAGCTTATGCTATGACGGAAGCGGCTCACCAGATGACCAGCAATCCCCTCCCACCGGGCAAACGCCAGCCTGGTAGCGTAGGCCTCGGACAGGGTGTCGAGGTGAAGATTCTCGACCAGGACGGCAACGAAGTACCTCAGGGCCAGGAAGCGGAGATCTGTGTGCGTGGTCAGAACGTGACCAAGGGCTACCTGAACAACCCGTCCGCAAATGCATCGTCATTTACCAAGGACGGCTTCTTCCGCACCGGGGACCAGGGCAAAAAGGACCCGGATGGATATGTCATCATCACCGGACGCATCAAGGAGCTCATCAACAAGGGCGGGGAAAAGATCAGTCCGATCGAGCTGGATAACACTCTGCTACACCATCCCAAGGTTGGCGAGGCCGTCTGCTTCGCCATCCCCGACCCAGGTCATTACGGGGAGGATATCGGAGCGGCCGTCGTGCCGAAGCCGAACGAGAAAGTTTCCGAGGCAGAAATCAAGGCCTTTGTTGCAGAAAAGTTGGCCAAGTTCAAGATTCCAAAGAAGGTATGTCGAGATTCTTCTTAAACACTTATTTCCAAATTCTAATAGACACGAATTAGGTGTGGATTGTGTCCCAAATCCCCAAGACCGCCACCGGTAAAATTCAGCGACGAAAGGTCTCAGAGGCTATGCTCAAGAAAGACGAGCCAAGAGCGAAGCTGTGAGGCCTTCAGTATGATATGTAGCTATCATGTATTATCACTATTTTTTTGGGACTCTTAGACTAGGTAGTTATATTCTAACTATATTCTAGCCGTTACAAAGACGTCCGCACAGCAGATTTGAACTAGATAGTCAGTATACAGATACATATATATATATATAGAATGATTTTTTAGAAGTTGACCTACCGGAATGAACTGCGCATTTTCCAGATCCCATACTCCTGTGCGCGTGTAAATGTCCTGGCTGATGATCTCCTTGGCCTGCTCCACACTCTCCGCAACGATCATCATCACACTGCCTTTGAATGCAGGAGTTTCACCCGGTGCAGGATGAGATTCAAGCATGGCTCCTATACATGAAATGATAAGCATTCCATACATTATAACTTTTGATTTGTTAGAATATATGTATTATATAGTGTGACTCACCACCCAACACGAGCTGACCAGCCTCGACATACGGCTTGACACCTTCAAGATGGGACCTAGACGGGTTTGAATAAATACTAGAGGACCATAGGAATCTTCAAGCCCGACTTACGGTCTGACTTCGAGTCTCTTGGCGAGCGCCCCCGGTTTATCGGGCAGGATGCACAGGAACTCGAACTTGGCGCCAGTAGAAGTAGCCATTGTGCGGAATTGAGATGGGTAATCGAGTCGAGAGAAACACGAGGGGCGATTGAGATGTAGCGCGCGAAAGGGGCGAGGTAGGCTTGTGCGAGGTGGAAGCAACTGACGTGCTAGATGGGAATGATGGTGGAAAGTCGATCGCGGGGTGTTGCGCGGCGAAGCGGGGACGGGGCGGACTCGGAGTATTCTGCTGGGGAGGAGCAGGGGAGTATTAGCAGAGGGAATGAGATGGGTTGGCATCAGCATAGTGAGCGGTATTAGTGGGCTTGAGTAAAACAGAAAAGTAACTACCTAGGTAGCTGGTGCCTAGTAGTTATGGTTGACCGTATTTCATGTTTGCTCTATTTGCAAGGTGGACTTATCAGCTACTCTCAGATTTGGCAGAGGCCTGCGAGCAATCCACGATCAACAACCAAATCAATGCAGTATTAATAGCTGATTGGAAAACCCAGCCAAGTAAACTCTATCCAGAAAGGTACATAATGGATGCATAATCGATTATAATAGATTGAATAAACGGCCTGACCGTTGTCAAGATTCAAAACCACGGTGTATATGTACACGAACGCCAAATGAAATCACCAAACCAGGCTTATCCTCGGCTGCTCTCGGTCCCCATCGGATTTTCATACACTGGGCAATCCAACCACACGGGAGAAGGACAGACAATCCGCAGATATATGCGAAAAAAGGGGCTCGTCATAAACCGAGCTCTCAAAGCCATGATCGAGCGAGGAATAACAAGCTTTGTATGTCAAATAGGAAAGTGACGACAAGTCAGTAAAAAAGAAAGAAAAAAGAAACAAGTTCAACTCTATGAACCGTCAATACCGCTGAACAAGAACGTTTTCCTCCGTAGCGCCGTTATAATCCCCAGAGCGCAATACGAAGAGCCTTGGTGATCGGAATCATTAGGTTTCCCGGAGAGAGAAAATTCTTCCGAGGGAAAGAAAAAGCAGTAGCAAAACATGAAGAGAAGAGAAGACTCCGTGTAGGGGATCCCCCGAGGTGAAGCAGCAACTCATCGGCCACGGAAGGGTATTGGTGGGGGGGGGGGGGGGGGGGGGGGAAGGAATCTAATATAACTTTGGATGGATGTGTCATCGCTAGTTGAACCCGAACCTGCGAGTGCTGCGCACCAGAGCGGGAGAAGGGAAAAAAAAGTCGAAAGAACCATTGTGCCAAAGCTTAGTATGCCTTGCGGTTACCCAGATTTCCAGGCTTCTCATCGGTATCGATGTGCCAGACGACGTAGTTAGGGAGACCGACGACCTGGTATCCTGCTCTCTTAGCCATACGAGCAAAACCTTCGGTTTCCGCCTGGTTCTCAAAAGCATAGGCGGGGAAGTTGACACCTTCGAGAGCTCTATTAGCATAGATCAAAAGATACCGCGATAAATTCATTCTTACCTGATCTGTGAACATCTGCTTTGACGAGGATATTCACGCCACCAATCCCATCCAAATCAACCTCGACATCTTTGTTGTTTCTCCAATCGCCCATGCTAACGAGGTATTTGCGTCCGGTATCGTATTCCTTATATCCTTCAGCCAGCACGGTGTCCGGGGGGAGGGTCTCACGGAGCTTGCGGCCCTTGTCGGATTCAACCCAGGAGTTGTAGTCAACTGTAAATACGATTAGCCAATGAACCATCTGCGTTACAAACCATGCGACTGTTTAATACATACAGCGTCCCTCGATGTCATGGCCGTCCTTGTAACGATGGAACCAAATGTCTGCAGGAACAAATCAGCTACTTTGCTTTCAAAGAAGAGAAAGAAAGAATAGAAAGATAAAGATACGTACTGGGAACAAGAATGTCCTTGTCATGGGCCATGAAGTCTTCCAAAATGCGATCAGGGCTGTCGACAATGTCGACGTCGCGCCAGTAGACCCACGAATGGTCCGGCTTCAAGGCAGAATAGAGAAGGTAGTTACGGGCCCGGCCAATTGCAATGCGGCGAGGACCCTGAGCGGCGAAAGCATGCTTATCGTCCACGTTCATATTGACATCGGCCCCAAAGTCCTTCTGGACGATCAGCGCGCTGCGAAAGGCAATCTTCTCCTCGACCTGGTCCTGGACGCGCTGCAATTCCGAGGAAAGGACGGCCAAGGTATCATCTTTGCAGTCGCCGACAAGGAAAGCCAGATCGATGAGATCGTGGGGGTAGGTCAGCTTGTAGAGCAGGTCAAAGTATTTGGTCAGGAAGGCCGAAGCGTCTCTAAGAGGTGTCAGGATGAGTACTCGTTCGCCGTTCGTCACGGCCTTGGTGGTCGACTTGATCGGGTTGAGGTCGACACTCGAGATGGTAGAGGAATTGACTTCGTACGGCTGGTGGTGGTTGAACACGACGGGAGTCTGGAGGTGCGCGTTCCATTCGACCATCTCATTTATACTCATTTCCATGGGCGACTTGGAAGATCCATAGCAGTAGAAACTATTGATTGAAAGCAGTCAGTAGCCATTTTATCAATCATCTTGGAACAACCATTTTTCACGGCCATGTCTCCCTTACCTCTGCATTTCAGCAGCCGAGCTGCTGATCCCACGCCATAATAAGACTACCAGGCCTGTGAGCGCGATAGAGACGAGGAATCGAGTCCTTGTAAGCAGCACCAGGACAGCTCTCCATGGCGGCAGTCGGGCCCTGGCCGACTTCCACGTTACGCCACCTTTAGGAAGCAACATTTCGAGAAGGAATAAAAAGGGAGAAGGAAAAAAAAAGAGGATTATATGGCCAAATAGCGATTCCAGGGGGCCTTTCAAATCTTCGAAGCCCCAATACTCGAAAAGATCGACGAGATGATAGCCACGGCAAGAGTCGATTGTTCTTAGGAGACCTTTTCTCCCTGTCTTCCGACTAGTCTGCTGACACGACCGTTGTGGCGAAGCGAAGCCAGACGACGACGAGAATTGATCGACTGCAAGGACAAAAAATATCGAGATGACGGACCGTCAAAGAATTGTCAGGTCGATATCGATTATCGCGAAGGGGGATGAACAAGGTAGGTCGACGGTTTTAGGAGAAACAAGGATCAATCTCTCAGTGTGCAAAAGGCGCCTGTCGGATGAGCGCGATCGCCCAGCGCAAGAAGGGCTGGAGACACTCGACAACGATTAACGAACGGAGGAGAAGCGAAAAAGAAAAAAAAAACGAAACACGAGGCAGGCCCAAACACAGCGGGATGGGGGGGAGAGGGGAGGGACTGAAGATGTGGGTTGTCTGTCGTGTTCAGTGCAAGAACGCAGGAAGAGAGGTTGAGTTTGACGGTCCGCCCAGCAAAGGGCCCAGACACCCGCCAAACAGACTGAGACACGGCCTTTCCCGCCCCCTTTACCTCCAACGCTGCGTTTCTATGCAGGTGTCTGTATGTAATGTGTAATTGACATACAGCTGGTTCTTTTTATAGGGGTTTTCCTTTCCCGCGCTGGACCCTCTTTATCCGCCCAGAACACGTACGGAGTACGTAGGCTACAGCTTAAGTACCTGGTTGACCAATTAGCTAACTAATAGTTAGTTAATTCGATACTCCATTATTAGGTATGTAGTAGTATTGGTGGTACTTAGTATCTACTCCGTACAGAGTTGAGTGCCTCATGTTTGTAGGTAACTATGAGATTGTCGACAAATTTTGTCTGCGATAAAGGCGACAATGATGTTCCTATCATAAAGTCGAAACTCCGATATATAAGACCTTGAATATCTGCAAGACACCAAATGATGATCAATTCTGTACTATTGTGTTGTAATGATGATGAGAATACAACAAAAAGATATGCGTCGCTCCACCCATAGATACAACAAGAAATGACATCCAACTCATTGCCGCTTGGAACATAAGAAAATTATAATTACGAGGAGAAAAAAAGGCAACCGAAAGGTACAAAAGGGAGAGAGAAAAAAAAGAAAAGAAAAAAAAAAAAACGAAGGAATGTATGAGGAGTTCGCAGAGACGCGAATATATTTGCCGCAAGGTTAAGCCCCGTTGACTCTTGGGGAAGAAAATCACCATGAACAAGACAATATTATAGACACGAACCTAGAATCAAACGAAAGAAAAAAGATGTCCAAAAAAGATGATGCCAAGGAGAGGGAAATTGTATTCTGCCAAGGACGAACTTTTGCTGGTATACAAATGGAACCAAGGGGTATTGCGCTAGGCCTGGCCGAGATGAGATCAGACAGAGAGGAGGCTAGTGAATAGGACAAATGAAGCACTGTGTATGGGGACTCCGCACTGTCCCGGGACTCTGGGAGGGTATTGTTACATTGCTGAGGGGGACGCTAAACGGAACACGACTCAAAAATATTGGGCGCACGAAGATTCATTCACTTTGGATTTTCTGAGGCCACGGTCATAAGCGACAAGTCTTGGCTTTCAGGGTGATGAGACCAGGGATCCGCATCGCGACATTGGAGCGGACTGCGGAGGGTGAAGGAGAATCGGAGACGAGGGACCGGTCATTGGCGGGGTGGTCCGGAGAAAGGAGTTGGGAAAGTAGGTCTGGCATGGGTTGGTGCCAAAGGAATCGGCAGGCGGTGCGGTCTCTTGATGATGGGTAATGACATCAACCCCGTCACATAGTGCATGCAGGCCGGGGAGCATGGTCTTCTGTCTCTTCTCCGGAGGCTGCGAGAGCGGGTTCGAGCTCGTGGTGGGCTCGCTCTTGGGCGACGATCGGAAGAGGTGTTCGTAGGAGCTGAGTTGAAATTCCAGGGCTTTGTTGCGCTCGATCAGCTTGTCGTTCTCCTGTTTCAGAGCTTGGATCTGCTGTTGAGAAGTCTGTTGTTGCTGCTGCAGTGTGCTGACCAGCTGTTGCAGCTGCATGCAGCGGATCTGTGGCTGAAGTTTGTCAGAGAGCTGTCGCGGCATTTCGTTCTCCTGGCGTATTAAATGGACGATTATCAGGAGCATAAAATCGATGAGGAAGATCGCGCCCTGGACGATGTGTTCCTTGGATTCTGGAAGGCTCTTGGCCGGATTCCAGCCAGCTCGTTCCAGGAAGTAATCGTGGATGCGGCTGTCCAGTTCCCGATGAAGCTGGCTAAGGTTCTTACGGCGGTTGCCTTCGGCAATGCGATGCTTCTCGCGTTGGTCGTCGGGATCGCTGCAGAGTAGGCTACCCTTGCGTTTTCTGCCGCAGATCTGCTGAAGCGGTGGCTTGCGGTTGATATTTCTGGGCGCGATGAGGGCCATCATTTCGGATGGAGACAGATCGGTAGGCCAGTCGCCGGCCTTGGTCGAGGGCAAAGACTCTTGCCATGAGCTTTCGGCCGAGTTTGCGGGGGAGGGTGGTGCCATCACCGATTCGTGTACCGGCCATGGTGATTTGACCGAAAAGGAATCCTGGGAGCTGGAAGGACTAGGCGCAAAGATCGTGGGGGTAAAAGGGTTGATGAAAGGTCCCAAAGGTCCCGGAGGCCCAGGTTCCACGCGCGGCAGAGGAGGCAATCGCCTATCCTCGCTTACATCGGACGAAGCATTGCTCTCCTTGGGCGAGAATGGGTTCAGAACACTAGGGATCTGGATTTAGCAAGGAGATCTCACGATGGAAGGGATGGGAAGGTCAGCCTTACGGCAGCGAGCATCGTCGGTGCATGGTGTCGATAGTAGAATGCATGTCGTCAAACATGGCTATATGAAGGGATGAAGGGGTTTAATTCAAGGGGGAGGGAGGAGGGCCTCGTTTTTTTTTCCCCGGATAGTGGCGAGCAAGGCAAGGTTGAAGCAAGATCTCCTGATGATGTTTCTGATGGAAATGACGACTGATCTTGAGACGGAGAGTATATGGATGAGGTTTGATCTGCGGGTCGATAGAAAACTGGGAAGATTGAAGGCAGAATCAACAATGTGGTTTGTCTGTTTCTGCATGAAAGGAGAGACAGGAGGCAGACTCAAGAGAGCGATCATGATGCATGTTTTATATGCAATTGATGAGGGGGAAGGGGCGCCGCTCAGACGTACAGTCGAGCTGGACCCAGGCCATGCAATGCATATGACGGTCGAATCTCTGGGCGTACCTAAGGATAGCCGACGGACAGGATCTGCGACAGCCTCGAACTGGGAAGTGGACGAGCATGACATACAGGTCAAACGGACCGATTTCTGCATCTCCTCCACGGCGGGGAAGAGGCGACTTCCATCCGTAAAGTTCGACTAAGCCCCATCGCGGTAGTTCGGGGAAGTCAGCGAGAATCTCTGTCACAAAATGGCACGGACAACAGGAGTCTCGAATCAACGTGCCCCGACCACGACCCAGGTCCCCCTAGAGGTGCCGGATCGCAAAGGTGTGATTTGTCGCCAGTGGTGTGGTTCGATCGACACACGGTCAAGTTATAGATTCCCCTTGCATCAATAGTCTCTGGGACCAATGACCACAATGCTTTGTCGTCCTAATCGAGCCGAGTACGCATCGACGAGCCTCGACAACGTGTGGCCACCACCCGGTGGCGGCGACGGAACGAGATCATCGACATGAGTCGAAATCCAGGCTTGCTGCAAACGAGCGGTGGCAATCCGTGAGGCGCGATGGAGCAAAAGTACTCCAGCGCAGGTACTCCGTACTCCGTACCTCAGGATGCGGGCTCCAGACAACAAACGCACGTCATGGCAGAGCTGCCAGAGCAAATAGCCAGAAGCAAGGACCACCGGGAGGCTGAGACAATCCCTGCGAGGAGGAGCAGCACTACTCCGTATGGCCCACGGTTAGTGTGCACCGAAACGAGCAAGACTATCCAGGATTATTGGCCGCGGGCTTTGCTGGGCGTTGGAACGCCGAAAAGGACCGGCTCGCTGGGTCTATGAGTGGGAACGGGTTTGGAGTAGATACTAGACGGAGGACGCCAGACACGTTAGCGGCTTCCAAACCTCTTGGGTTGATTTGGAATTCTCCATTAGGGCTTCGATCCGGCGGGGGCGATGGAGCCAAGAGGCGTTTGGCGTGAAGAATCGATGAGGCGGCAAAGCAGCAAAAGAAAAGACGACGTCGGACGTTGTTGATCTGAAACTCGGCAGTTGTTCTGCCTAAATTTCATGGCAGCCAGAGCCGTTGCCACCACTTCTATCCACACCTCTTGCTCAACCTCCTCTCTCGACCAGAACCATTCCACAATACACTCTCCCGATCATTACTACGTTTCTACCCTCATCGAAGCTAACCACCATTCATCGCCGCCACTTACCCCGATTGCAAACAGGAGACCCCCCCTTCCCCCTGCGGATGAGCATCTCGACGCTGTGCTACGTATCCAAGAACCACGGCCTTTGGGTTCAGACCAAAGGTGGGTCGTTCCACCGGCTGGATCAGAGCTGTCATATTTGAATTGCTGATTGCTGATGATTTCTTCATATGAAGATGTGTCTGGTCTGGCCCGCAGTCAGCCAGCCCCACGTTCCTTCGCACTGATGGCCATGGCCCAAATGCAAACGCTGTTCATGGCAACTCACGATGTCATCCACCCGGTGGCCTCCTGAAAATAGAAATCATGCCAGCGAGTGCCGCGGCATACGGAGTACTCCGTACAGATCAACAACCTGATCCTCGATCCAGTCGACTGGTCCCTTCTCCGGGCCGATCCCGCTGCGCCTTAAATATAGATTTCTCTTTTTTTCATCATTATTATTATTTTGGTACGACGGCCGCGCACCATCGGCATCCACTCCATCTTCTGCAGGTGGCATCTTGTCCTGCTTCGAGCACAAAAATGTACGGAGTACGGAGTACGCCGTAGTCATGGAGTACAGAGTACATAGTACCTACAGGACGGGATTGTCATGAGGCGGCTCATCCTGTTGCTTGCCACGAAAATTGTCCGAAAGGGATATTTCCCGGGAGAGCTCGGCCCTCGAATCAGATCTGGGCGTACAACTTGTCGCATCTCTCACAAACGCAGGGGCAAACCCAATCGTCAAGAAGCCCGATACGGCCGAAATCGTTGGCTCAAACCGTGCCATGTCATCGTCGAACAGAAACACTAGCTGCTAGGTACATGGAAAACGAACGGGCTGTTGCTTCAGAAGTAGACACCGTTTGCGCGTTAATGCAAAAAAGGTACGTATGATCTAAAGTGCAATCGCCACGGAAGATGGGGGGGGGATGGGGAGTATACCGGTCCAAATTCCTTTCTGGACACACGTCGGGGAATGGGCAAAAATCCCACGCTGCAGATACTCTCAAACAAGAGGGCTCCATAGCTGCAAATATTAGGCGCGCGCGCGGAATACGGCCGGAGTACGTCCAGAGGTACTCCGTACTAATGTATGTACAGAGGAGGACCTGCTCCCGTCCTTGTACATCCACGATCCTCAGACATGAGGATGAGGGCCATGGCCGTCCCATTTGCTCGTGCCTCACGGACTAGCAGGAAGCCATACTCCCTAGCACGAACTCTTATGGGGTGTTGCCCCCCCCTCTCCCCGCCCATAGAGTTCCGCAAAGGCTAGATCTGCAACCAAATTCGTTGATGTACATGAGCGGGGAGGCCCTTCCTTGAACTCTACTTGATATGCGTATCCCGGATCCCGGGCTGTAAGGCATCAGATGAGCTAGCTAATCAAAGCTACAGAGTGCTGCATAGACACGACAGAGTACGAAGTAGACCAGATAGAATAGTTATTCTATTTTCTTCTAGATAACCATCCAAAACATACGGAGTACTCTTACAAAGTAGTTATATGGGATGTGCAAGTCAGGAATAGACAGACTCCCATCCTTCTAGCTATCTACCAAGTAAGTTTTACCAACTTGACCAAGTTAACTCAGTTAGTTCCTAATCATCAGGATCAAGCCAGCCCCATCGTAGCAAATCCTCCTCATCTCGCATGGGGGAGAAAAAAAAAACCCTAAACCAAGGCCCGAGCTCGCCAACCGACTATTCAAAAGGGCTCGACTTGACTCGTCAACTTTCATCGCACCCATTTCCTTTGCCCATGAAACATAACATACTATCAATTCTGGGCTGCCGAGGGCAACTTCCATGCAATGCAGTTGCAATGCAGTAGTTTAGTTAAAATGTATGTGGTCTACATCGAATGCTACCTCATATAGTTTTTAACGATTCTCTCCATACAAGTACCTCGGACTCTTGTCTTAACTACCGCCCAGGCGAAATGAAAGGATGGCTTGAAGCCACTCACTCACCACCAAAAACCTAAATATATTCAAAATACTCCGGTCGAATAATCGGGGGGGTTGGGTTTGGGGTTGGGGTTGGGGTTGTTTGGCTCTAATCCTCCCTCCGGGGGGCCAAGGACGGAGTGACAGTTTGCTTCATGCATTGCATTACTGGGTTCAACGGTGACTTTGACTTGACACAACAACAACAATAACAACAACAACAGTCTCAACTGTGTTGCGTTTTAACTGCGGAGTATGATCTATAGCCTTATCGCTACATAACTAGGACATAACCAGGACCAGCATCCTTCCTTCCACCATTCCGGACTATCTACACCACTCACTATCAAACTACCTAGTTCACTAGTAGGTATCTACCTATGTAGGACTACCTACTAACTATCTGGTAGACGGTCTACACACTAACTAATTGCTAGCCTCGAGGCATGGATCATGGGTTAGATGGAAAAACGGACTGGTCCGGCTGACGAAGCACGTTGAAAGAAAGGGTGGCTGGGGGATTCACGACTACTCTACTTGCGGACCTTTCTGGAGAACAAAGTACTTACCCAAGCGCAGGTGGCTATTATTCAAACTACTGGTTCACTCGGGATAAAGTCGCTCAAAGTTGACAGAATGAAATACAAACTAATAAAGGACCGTCTATGATACTAGAGAAAACGCAGGGATCATGCTGGACCACGATGCAGCCACGGTTTCGCCCACAGCCGCTGCTCAGCAGGATCATGGCGCTAGACTCTGCGTGCCAGCTGGCAAGCGGATCAACGGATTGATGCCACCAAGAACATTGTGGATGTGGGTCTGACGAAACTCGTCGGCAAAAGTCGTTTCCAGATTAATAGATAGATCAAAGGAAAGAAACGGCGGGGGAAGGGGATGTTGCCAAAAAAAAAACGAGAAACATAAAAAAAAAAAAACGTTCATATCATGAGGACGAAACCCAGGTAATGGATTTCTTTTTCATCCTCAGGTGCAGGGAGGACGGGGAAATGATTGGGGGGGAAAAGGATAAGGAAGGCTCAAATTATTATCATAAGAACAGCAGAGTAGAATGAAGATGAAAAAACCAATGTTAATTAGGCGACTCTACAGGACCTTTGAAAAACAAATTATCAAAACAAAACATTGCAAGCGCTTTACAGAGCGAACTGCATAAGAGCACCGAAAACGGCGGCAGCACCCATGGCAGGGACATTGGCGACGAGGTTGGCAACAGCGGCACCAGAGCTGGTAGCGGAAGCAGAGGAAGTGGAGGTGGTGTTGCTGCTGCTGCCAGTGCCGGAGGATCCATCAGAGGTGGTGGGGTCAGCGGCGTTGGCCTTGCAAGTGTAGGTACCCTTGATAGCACCAGCGGCACGCAGGGACTTGAAGGCGGAGCAGGTGAAGTTGCCAGTGCTCTGCACGTTGAAACCACCCTTAACTTCCTTCAGGGAAGGGAGGGAAACACTGTAGATAGATTATCAGATTGGCTTTTCTTTCTTAAAAAAAATCATCACGCAGGGGTACTCACGTGTCAAACTCGCCGCTGAAGTCAACGGCACCAGTGACGGTCTCGAGGTCGGGGAAAGAGATGACGGACAGCTTGTCATTGACAATGATCTCGAATCCACCGTTGACGGTAGTGAGGACGGGCATGCTGATGTTGGTCAGGTCCGGGTTGTCATCGAAGACCAGGTCACCAGTAGTGGTGAGGTTGGGGGCGCTGAATTTCTTGAAGGTGTTGCCCCAGAAGCCGAGCTCGCCGCTCAGAGTGGTCAGGGAGGGAACCAGGACGCTGCTGACGTTGCGGAAGGTCATGTTGGTACCCGTACCCAGGTTGGGGAAGTCAACCTCCAGAGAGTTGTCGTTACCAGCGAAGTTGATCAGCGAAGTGGCATTCTTCAACTCGTTGACGTTAACGGTCGTCAGGGCGGTGTTGTCAGTGATACTGAACTCGCCGACGGTCTCCAGGGAGATGCCGTCCAGGGTGGTCAGACCAGTGTTGGTGATGATGACCGAATCGGCCGTGGAAACACCAGCAGTGAACGAGAGGGTCTGCAGGTTGGGGAGAGCCTCCCAGTCAATGCTGCCGACGCTGGTGAGGTCAGCCATGGTGAGCGCACTGAGTGTGGTGAGGCCGTTCAGGGTGAACTTGTCACCAATGGTGTTCAGAGAGGCTGCCGTCAGGGAGGTCAGGTTGCTGGCACCGGTGCAGCTGAGGCTACCGGTGATCTGTTCGATGCCGCTCAGGGAGATGTCACCGCTGATGGACTCGGAGAGGGTGACATCGGCCCTGATGGTTGTGCAGCTGGCGTAGTCATCGGCATCGCTCTGGCTGCTGATGGTGACGGTGTCATTGCAAGCTGCACCATTCTGTCAGCTTTTTTCCTTCTTTGCTCTTTATTGTTTTTTTCTCGATCTCCTCTGGATGTGTTGTGTGGTACTTACAGACAGCGAGCGCAAGGCGACCGGCAGCCAGGACCGGCAGGATGTACTTGATGGCAGACATAATGATGCTTGAGATTTGAATCTGCTGATGAGATAAAATAGAGACGTTAGCCAGGATCGTTTGCTGGGTTGTAGAGCAGGCGTGTCCCGTTGGGATTGCAACTCACCAATGGATGGAATTAAAAGATGTAATACAAAGGTTAAACCTGGTGCTGGGTGAGGGGGGAAAGAGTCGGGAGGTTCAGATGAACAAGAGTTGGACTAACGAGTGTCGAGAAAGATGGGAAAAGCTTGAACGAACGAGTAGCGGAAGGAGCCTTTTTCCCTTTGAGCGAAAGTGGAGCACAAACGAATTGGCAAGCACGTTCGAAAGGAAAGGGAGAAAGAAAGAAGAGAAGCGATATGAAGAGATGGGAAGGAGGAAAGGAAAAGAGGTAAAAGGAAGGACTGGCACGCAGGAAAAGCATAAAGAGGGAGCGCAGGTTTTCAGGGAGGAAAGGAGGCGAGTGGGCACAGGGGAAGCTAAACCCCTTCCTTCCATGGTAACCATTACCGGTACCAACCAGGAACGTGTGCTCGGCCAGGAAATGAGGCCGGTGCCTTTAGTGCGTAACAGCAGGTATGGTAATACAGTATGTACCTTACAGGTCCAAGAATTTAGGTACTGTTCATGTACTGTATACATCTTACTTAGGTAGGATTTACCCAAAGTACCTAATATTAACCTGGTCCTTATTATGCCTATTAATCTTCAATCAGGTATGACCCTCTAGCGATTCCTATATAAATAAAACTACTAGAAATTATAGTACTATAATATAATAATAACCCCTAAAACTAAAAATCTTCTCGGAATTCTCATACATAGAAAGAACAGCATTCCTAAGATAGGAGTGGGTCCCTGGAATTTGATAAATACCTTACCTGGGTACGATCGACATTTACAGAACATAAGTTGTTTATTTGTTTTGTCCGCTAGGCTTCAAGTTGGATTAGGTAGGTATTCAACCCATTTCTCAATAACCATACTAACAACTAGTAATTACTATTAACCACCAATACAATTTATACTCGGTACCTAACTATTCTAGTGTAGCTGTAGTATAAATCCGGAATAAACGGAGGGTAAATCGGAATCCCATAAGGATTCTGTGGAGTCCATCTTGTACCTGTACCAGATTAAGGTTGCCAAGTTGCCAACTTCGACCCTATGCCAGTGGAGCGAGTGTTATCTCAAGCACCAAGCATTTGCTCCGTATGCCAATGGAGATCAGACTCATACTCCGTATGAGTTCAGGTTCAAGAGATTACGGAGTAGTAGTTAGTCACTTTTTACCCTGAAATGAACAACCCTATAGTTACCCAGTATTTCCTCTGTGTATTATTGTTGCTCCATAATACCTTACCTACCTGCTACTAGTGCCTGAAGACGAGAAAAAAATAACGTACGTCACCACTCCAGGCCAGTTGGTAGTGGGCCAATGTATTCGCGTCCAGTCTCCGCCTCGCCTTGTTCAACCCAGTCATTGTTTCACATCGGGCATCACGTGCTTTCTTATGGTGGCGACTCGGAATATACGGACTTCTCCATACCTCTGTACGGAGTAAATATATTCTGGCAAAGTTGAAAGTAGGTCGGTCCCTGCTCCGTACTCCGTACTTTTACCCGTATTTCTCTTTATCAGGTACTCCGTACTAGGAGAGTGGATACGTTAATAAAGATCTGACATTCTGAAGAGTATACTCTAGAATTAAGGATAAATGCAATTACTATCAATGCTCCAGATAAATTGGCGTCATCATAAATTCCTTACTTATAGACTGACTACTCCGTACCTCTGTGCTCCGTGGTGATCCGCGCGCTGCATCTGCAGTGCTGCACGGCGTGTGCTATTCTTATCCTAATCTAGATCCATCCATGCGCAGAAGTTGGCTTATCTCTTCCGTGGCTCGACTCCGTACTATTATTATTCATTCTCGACCCTCCCAAAAAAAAAAGAAAAGAAAAGAAAACAAGTGATGGTTCCGTATTGATCCCCGGTTCGGATCGTTGCCCTGTCTGGTATCTAATCGGATCGTTTCCCAGCTTTTTAACGATTACTATTCCTATCACCTCAGGTACCTAGGCACTTGGGCAGTACTCCGTATGAAGCCCTTAAATGGGGGTAGGGCCCTAGAGATACTCCGTAGTTACTAGTGGACACTGGTGTTTGATCCCCCAATGAGCAAGCCACATGTCAGGTCGTTAACGCTTCCAACGCCACTTGGCTGTAACTATGGCATTTCTTGGCGAGGATCAGTGGTCTTTCACGGAGTACTCCTATGTTCTTCGAAGTACTACTCCGTATAAGTAGTTTCTAGATAATAATAGTATAACTAGTTGCTCCTTTCTAGTAGTTCGTAAATATTAATAACTAGCAGAATGGAGAAAGCTATCAACTAATTCTCTATAGTTTTATTACCTTGCCGAAGACTTACTCCGTACAAAGAAATACATACGGAGTAAATTAGCGATCGGCACAATATCCCGGATTCGAAATGCAAATTGGATCATATTAACCTCGTGCTGCACAGCGGAGCATGTCTTCAAGACTCAAATCATTAAATATCAGCCCTAGAACAATGAATATTGTTCTACCCCATCTCTTGGACTCTCGACCCTCGAAATATATGTCTATCTCTAACGGGTTTGCTTGTCTCAGCCAAGTTGCAGGCTTCAAGCTTCAGGCTTCGACACGGCAAAGGTGGACACATGGTGCGATCATCGGCTGCCCCTTTTTATGTACGGAGTACGGAGTACGTACGGAGTAGGCCTGCCAGGATCTCAGTATTTACTGTTTACTATTTCAGTGATTGTGATCTTCATCTTAGTTGTTTCCTGGTGGATTGTTATTTCACCTCCTGGCGCAAAATACATGCCTGTAAATTTCAATTGAGGGTCGAAGGATTCCTTCATTTTAACCTTATCATAATGTTCAGTATTGAGGTTATGCAATTGACGATATGCATTGCGAAATATGTCTTCTGGTACAAAGTATGGCATTGACTATTGGTACTACTAAATATGTAGTACTCCGTACTACATAAAATAGTAAATCAAGACAACTCCCTAGACAACTGCCTACCTAGGTACCCAAGTACTTGACTACGTGTCACTGTTGGCACAGGTGAAACTAGTTATATATTGGCTAGTATGGTGGTGAAATCAAGTTTTATGTAGTACTGCCAACACTTGTGATAGAGGCTCATCTAAATTTCAAGAGCATCCTGATGACTCCATTCTAGACCTTCTATTAATTACCAAAACCAACCATAATTACATAGGTAGTTAGTTATATGACTTTTCGATGTGTTTTGAACTACATTAGAGACAGCCTCGACTTGGGCATGGACTCATTTAACTGCTCTACTCCGTGCAAGCTAGACTACAATGATATTTTTCTTGACTATATTTGATTATTATTCTTGACTCATATTGGAAGGCATTAATAACTGCTTAGCTATATATCTACCTGGTCTATCATCCATGGCTGTCTATCTATCAGGTGTCAGCCTAGAATGACGTTACTAACATGGTTACCGAGCAGCGTCTCGCATTGCTCCAAGTCAGCTTGTGGCGTTTTCTCGACGACAGACAAAATAACCGCAAAGACTCGTCAGCTCGCATCATCTCAAGCATCCTCTGATGATGTCGCTGAGACGCTCTGCTCGCTTGAGCGCCCTCCCCAACACCAGCCGCGTGCTGTCCCTGCACCAGGCCGCGGGGCCCCGGAGAACGGCCAGAACCCCTGGCAACGGGATCACCAAGACGAAAAAAGCGTCTACAAAGCGGAAGAAGCCGACAATACCTACCGATGAAGACATTTTTAAAGCAAACCCCAACAATGGCGATAACGACGACGACGACAACCCAAGCATACTCTTCCTCAACGGCAGCAGCAGCAGGCAGCATCTCACCCCGCCGCCCCTCGACCGACCCGTCGACCCTCACCGAACAGGGGCAGCGCTGCTTACCCCCCACGGCTCATCTCTAGTCGCATACCCTCCGACGACCGAGCTCAAGGACCTGTCGCCCAGCAAGACCGGTCTCCCCCGCCCGACGGCTACAACCGGCACGCTCCTCGAGCGAGCCGTCGCACACCTGATCGCAACAGACCCGCGTCTCAAACCGGTCATCGACCAGTATCCGTGCGAGCTGTTTTCTCCCGCAGGGCTAGCCGAGGAGATAAACCCGTTCAAAAGCCTCGTCAGCAGTATCATCGGGCAGCAGGTATCCGGGGCGGCAGCAAGATCTATCCAAAAAAAGTTCATAGCGTTATTCAATAGTGGTCCGGATGACCCCTCTCATCAAGATCAAGATCAAGGTCAAGAACAACCATCTAATCCATTCCCCACACCGCCAGAGGTAGCAGCATGTGATATTCCCACGCTGAGGACGGCAGGCCTCTCGCAGCGCAAAGCAGAGTACATACAGGGCCTGGCACAAAAGTTCGCCGACGGAGACCTCGGCGCCGAAATGCTTCTCAAAGCCACCGACGATGAGCTGATCGACAAGTTGACCGCTGTTCGCGGGTTGGGTAAATGGTCTGTCGAGATGTTTGCTTGCTTTGCCTTGAAGCGCATCGATGTTTTTTCTACGGGTGATTTGGGTGTACAGTAAGTTCATTAACTTTACATTCACCTTAAATTCAACCTTATTAGAAGAAGAAGAAGAAGAAGAAGAAGAAGAAGAAGAAGAGAGAGCCACCTAACATCTACCAGGAGAGGCTGTGCCTCCTTCACAGGCCGGAACGTCACCAAGCTCAAAGCCAAGGGAGGCGGGAAGTGGAAGTACATGTCCGAGCAGGAAATGCTTGACTTGGCTGCCAAATTTGCGCCATACAGGTAAATACATACCATAGACGAAAAGACCATAATGATCCCGTCTTGCTGATTCAATAGGAGCCTCTTCATGTGGTACATGTGGCGGATCGAGGATGTCGATATCGCCGTGTTGGCCGATTAACTTTACATTTCTCCACACATCCCAAAGCATTATAGATGCTGTGATGCAGGGATAGATAGTTATATACTGGTGTTGACCAATGGCCGATATATTGACATATATAATATATACTCATAGACTTAAAATGGGGTCTACAATTAATAAACATAAGACATCTACAGTGCATAAGTAGAGAAATATCAAAGATTTGTACAGTATCAGTACACGTCGTTCAGAGTATTGCAGGCTAGGACAGGCAGGGGTTATCTATTGAGCGCAGGACCACTATCCCCTCCGTCTACAGTCCCTTCCGTTCCTTTTCATTTTCATTTCCTATATCGACTCCCTTCAAAAGAACCGCCAGGCTAGTAATCTTCAGTCGCAAAGAAAGCAGGTTTACTTTCTCTTCACGATGAGGGCATCCAGGTCCTTGCGTTCCTTGAACTCCTTCTCGACCTCGCGGATGATGGGGGACAGGTACTCGACGTCCTAGAAGAAAAAGAAGACAAATAAGCACATGCCTAGACTTTTTAAAAGAGAAGAGCATCGATAATTGTCCAATTTCATTTAGACGTCGAAGGTGACAAATCCGCATGACGGGATTGGCCGAATATTCCATGCGGGGAGACAATTCCCAAAATCACAACAGAAACACAACTAGGGGGGAAATATTGACTCACCTCCTCGGGTTTCGTCTGTTCCTCCTTGGGAAGCAATGTGTGGGAAATGGAGCACTGTGTGCGAAAGAGTCGAAGTTAGTTAACTGCATCGGCGCGACCTCTTGGCGACGGGCTGAACCAACCTGGAACGCTCTGCGGATGCGGAAAACACGGTCGTAGGCCTCCTTGGGGGGGAGGCGCTTAAGGGCAGTCTGAACAACGTCGTTCTCCTCGGGGATAAGGTCGTCGAACCTGTGGTGCAAACCGATCAGTATCTCTATCCGGGGATACAAGAGACAAAAAACCCAGAGCAGACGGAATAACGGTGGATGTCAAAGAGGGGGGGGAAGAATATTCTTCTTCGTATGGCTCCACGCATTTCCTTCTCTCTCTATATTGTCTCGATTTGTGGGCTCAATTGGGACTTGTCCTACCTCAATCCGAGTCTGCGATACCCGGCAGCATCAGTGTACCACTGAGCCAGCGGCATCATCCAGTTCTTCAGCCATGGACGCTTGACGATAAAGCTGGTAAGCGAAGGAGCGGACATGGCGACAAATTCGGCTGCAATTGAGGCGCTGAGGCGTGGAGGGGAGGAGCACGAAGGGTCAGTCGTTCCGACAAAGTTGGGGCCGACGTTGGAGTTGTGCAAAACGGAGCTCCGGGCGGCTTCCAAAAACATCCGATGGTTGCTGCGGCCTCAGGCACCAAGGCATCAATATGCCCGAAAAGGGTTGTCTATTAAGCACGTGACATTTCCTCACCGGTACAAACCGTCAGCCGCAGCACATCCGCTGTGATTGGCTGCTACCTCCGGTATCCGGCCAACGGCAGGGAAAGTGAATTCACTTGGAGCGGTCTCGCGTCACAGTTCTTCGGTTATCACCGCTGGAGAATTGGTTATCACCAGTACCTATTCCCTCCCGCACCCATCAAAATCTCCGGAAAAGCCGCTCATTCTGCCTGCGACTCTGTCCGCTCTCTCTCTGGGTATGGATTTCGCGGGCCAATAGCTTCATCTCTGCCCTCCGACACGGGCGCCTTCCCTGCAGCAGACACCCCGCTGCTTCGACCGGGTACTGCGTACGTACTAAGCGCAAAGTGGCTCACCAGGATTAACTCATTCGTTTTTCTTGTCTCGAACTTCATCATACTTTCCGACCCACAATCCGACTACACGCGCGTGACAATCTAAGTAAGAAGAGGAGCACTGAAGCGCAGAGAAGAGAGAGAAACAATTTTCACTAGGTTATTTGACAAGGCGAGAGCACATCTGGGTTTCGGGATTAACAAACGGCATGCGTGGAACCGGGAGCCCTCGGTGAGATAGACGGACAGTTAAACCTGCTTGAGCACTGGCTGGCAAGATGTTTTCGGAGGGCCACGGTGCCTCGGGAAACACCGGTGGCTCTCAAGAGAAGCAGGTTTCGCAGCCAGACAATTGCCCATCCTCGAACCCGCAGATATCCCCCGATGGAATGCACAGCTCGTCCTTAATCAACCGTCTGGAAATCTACTCGACCAAAGTCCCCGATTATTGGATACCTCCGTTTTGCGGAGCTAGCGCAGGCGTCGCTTCCGGAATCGTGACATGCCCGCTCGATGTAATCAAGACTAAGCTGCAGGCCCAGGGCGGCTTCGCGCGGAGAGGAGGCCGCGAAGTTGAAGCGAAGGCGTTATACCGTGGTATGCTAGGGACGGGGAGAGTTATATGGAGGGAAGATGGGATAAGAGGCTTGTACCAGGGTCTCGGTCCTATGCTCTTGGGATATCTTCCTACATGGGCCGTCTACCTGGCAGTCTATGATCGATCTCGAGACTACTTCTATGATAAGACAGGTCAGTAGCCTCTTTTTTGACACTGGAATTTTTTTTTAACTTTTTTTGTTACAGAGAACTGGTGGCTAGCAAGAGGTTACGCTTCCATCAGCGCAGGTGCATGCTCGACGATTGCAACGAACCCTATATGGGTAATCAAGACTAGGCTGATGTCCCAGAGCCTCAAGTCCAATAGCGAAGGGTTTAGAGCACCATGGCAATACTCCAGCACGTGGGACGCCGCTCGGAAGATGTACAAAACCGAGGGGATCCGGTCCTTCTATTCCGGCCTCACCCCGGCCCTATTGGGGCTGACGCACGTTGCGATTCAGTTCCCGCTTTACGAGTACTTGAAGATGGCATTCACAGGATACGGGATCGGTGAACATCCCGACAGTGGCAGCTCTCATTGGCTCAGCATCTCTCTCGCGACATTCCTGAGCAAGATATGCGCCAGCACGATCACATACCCGCACGAAGTGCTGCGCACGAGACTTCAAACGCAGCAAAGAACCTCTCCAGCTCCGTCACCTGAGGAGATCGCTTTCCGTGGTGGTCTCGATCATCCTGCCGACCGTGGTCGACCCCCCGGTGCGGCCTCCTCGGACGGGATGCCAAACCGACCTCGGTACAGAGGAGTTATCCGCACGTTCCAGACTATCCTCAAGGAAGAGGGCTGGCGTGCATTCTATTCAGGCATTGGAACGAATCTGTTCCGAGCCGTCCCTGCCGCCATGACTACCATGCTCACATACGAGTATTTGCGCAAGGTTGTTCATACGATGCAACATGAAGGAGAGAAGAAGTTGAAGATGACCGAGACGGGAATCTAATGAAGCGCTAGGTGTTGCATTCCTGTCCATGTGATATCACAGCGCATACTGCTCCACTCTTAAGGACGCTTCTTACTCGGTCTACTATCTTTCGCTTCAGTACTTCACCGGGATTACCGTGTTGTCAGTTTCAATACAGGCAAGAAAGTCGACTATTCTTATAAGGACTTGAAAGAGACTGCCTGATCAATTGAGGCATGAGTTTCGAAATAGATTTCCCCTAAATGACCCTCTTTGTGCTCTCTATGATTCTGGCGTTTGTATGTTCCCCTACATCACAGACATATGGAATACGCATCATTTCTACTGATACTGCCTCTATCACGCATGAATCATGTAATTATTTTTATTTTGCTGTCTCTTTTTCCTTAAGAGATGTGCTTTATGAGCGTCTTTTTATTTACTGCGTTGTATGTACATATTATTGCTCATGGCCATCCATATTCTATTGAAGAATATACATATTTGACCCCTCTGGCAACTCGATAGTAAATATTCGGTCCATTAAACTATTTTATAATCCCACTATCTCTGGAAATTTCCCAGCGTCTACGAATAAAAGATGCCCGAAACCCTTTAGCAAAGACATAAAAGCTAAGCTGTCAATAGCCCTTTGTACTGCGTAGATTTAGAAGAGTGATCAAAGACGCTTACTCAGCAATTTCCGCCATATTGGTCCATCTCGCGCCCTGTTGTTGGTAGCGAACCTCCACTATTTAATCACGCGCCGAATAAAATTTCCACAAACTTTTATATTCTGCCCATCTTCTATGATATAATCAACAACGACAGACAAGGAGACTGGCGGATTGAATTGCAGATGAGCTTCCATACTGGCGAGCATTGAATATCATATGAGATATTTTCTGCTCATTATTCTTTTTGTTTACTCATCATTGATCTGTCAGTTTGGAAGAGTCAAATGTCAACGCCTCATCTCTTACCTTCAATAGCCGAAGATCTAAATTTGCTCGAAAAGGTCATATTTTACGATGATGAATATTATTATAACCCTTGATCCGTGCTATCATCACGGGGATGAGTTGTATACACTGAAAATTCTGAGTATGATATGATAGCAGTTTCACTGCGAGTCTGCAAAACAAAACCTTCGGCTTGAATACAATCAACAATATAAATAAATAGAATATAAACCATGGGCTTGTAAATTGATGATATTCTAAGTAGTTCTATTCTTTAATCTACTCTGTAAAACATAACTGTAACGTTCTTTGTTTGATACCAAGACAAGAGATGATGGAACACTATATACAAACGACCGAGGCTACGCGCCTTTATTCCCCCCCTTCCGACTCTCCTCTAAAGCATCTGCTATCCAACTGTCTGACCTTGCAGAAGGCCTATCTCGTGTGGTGGTGGGTGAGGCATGTTCTGCCTCACGGCGGGCGGTTCGGATAGAGCTAAAGCAATAGGAACAAAGAAGGACTGCCATGGTAAATGCGGCAATGGGAGCATTAATGGACTAGACAGTTAGAAAACATACAAAATTATATAAATATACAGAGTTAAGATAGGGGATGTTGATTGAAGGCAGAAAGCTCTTCATGAGTAGCTTATCAGATTGATGTAGCGAGCAGATAGCGTGTAGTGTATGATAGGGAAAAGCACCTACCCCAGCTGACCTTCCAAGAACTTTCTTAGGCGTAGTCATCCTTGGATTCCCGATCGCCCTTTCGAACTGAAAGAATCGTCCACGCAGTGATTGGCGGCAGACCTCCAAACTCCGCGGAATAGAGACAACGGGAGTCGTCCATGTCGGTCTATTAGTAATATGATCAGATATCGGCTTCGGGGATAACGCATTGCAACGTCATCTCCGAGGCCGGGCCCCGGAGAGGCAAAGCGTTCTCCAAAAGAGGGCTAGCCCGGTCGCTCCGACCCTCCGAGAGAAGGAATTCATGTCATTAACTTCCTTTCCTCGCTGGACAACCAACGAACCCAAAAAACACAAACTTGCAACACCACTTTGGCTTCTGCCATCGCGAAAATCAAACCAAATCAACCTTCACCATGTTCAGACGCTTGATTACCGTCGCTCCGCGCCAGGTTGGGCGCCTTGCATCTCCCCGCGTCGCTTCTGCCGCCTCTCAAGCACAGGTCCTTCGTCAGACATCGCCCGCCACCCAACGGAGGGGATACCATGAGAAAGATAAGTCACCAGGGAGTCTCTTCTGCTTGCCAGGGCATACTGACCGTCTCCTTTACTGTTAGATCACTACAACAACCCAAGGAATGTCGGCTCTTTCCCTAAAACCGACGATATCGGCACTGGTTTGGTCGGCGCTCCTGGTAAGATTTTCTCCTTCCTCTCCCTTTGCTTTCTATCATGCGCAACTTGGTGTGTGAGGAAATGGTACTAATGCGATACCGATAGCCTGTGGCGACGTGATGAAACTCCAGATCCGTGTCGATAAGGAGACCAATACCATCTCGGACGTCAAGTTCAAGACCTTCGGATGCGGTAGTGCGATTGCAAGCTCGAGCTACCTGACCGAGTTGGTGCGAGGCATGTCTCTGGACGAGGCCGCAAAGATCCGTAACACTGACATCGCTAAGGAGCTATGGTAAGAATATTACAGACAATATTTCTATTTACCTAAATAACTACCAGATCGCTAACATTTTTTTCTTCTTTTAATTTAGCCTTCCTCCAGTCAAGCGTATGTGCTACACTATAAACCCTCTTTACTCCATGTTCATCACAAATGCTAATTTTTATTCTCAACAGTGCACTGCTCCATGCTCGCTGAAGATGCTATCAAGTCCGCCATTTCCGACTACTACTCCAAGAACCCCAAGGTTCAGAAGACCAACCTTGCCGGAACGGGTGCCCCCATTCCCGAGGTCAAGGTTGAGGCCACTGGGTCTGCTTCCATGTAATTGGACCCGAAGAAAAAAAACCAAAAAAAGTCGTTTCAAAATACAAGTGATATTTGACAACACTATTTCGGGGGCTAGGGCAGCTCTCTGAAATAGGATACTGGGTCAAAACATTTTTTTCTCATCAATGAACGTATGGGTTTTTACATGCCAGGCGGAGTTTCAAATTGCTTGATGTGTATAGTTCTTTTTTTTTTGATTTCTTCCAACATCTTTGTTATGGTCTGGCGGTTTTTCTTAAAATACTTTTATATTTTTTTATATTTCTTAATGAAATTGAAGCACCCATGTGCAGAGAATTCAATGTCAATCTCCACTCTACTGAAATGAATGTTCCATTAATGAGAAGAATACATAAGTTGTCTTGTGTTGTAAGTTCAGTATACAGTCTAGTTGTTCTATCTATCTATATGCATCTATCTACCTGCCTGCCGAGGTTTAAACAAACGCATGTTCAAAGAGAAGATCTAGGTAACTTTAAGAGGATGACGAGTTTTGCTTTCATCCAGAAAAGAACGTGTCAAAAAAAAAAAAAACAAGAGATACAGACGCCGTCGCTGATGCAAACAGATAGGGACCATGTACAGGGAGTGTACGTTGTATATGTTTTGTACAGGGAGTTTGGGGAAGTTGAAAGATCCAAATCAGTTGGCTACCCCGAGACGAGATTTCAGCGCAAGGACCGTCTCGTAGATGGACAGTTTGAGTTCCACGCGTAGATAGCCCGCCCAGGCGCAGAGGAAGCGAAGCCAGTTCTGCGGCCGGAGCCAGACGCCGCCGTCTTCGCGGATGGCTTCGCACTGCTCGTCAAAGACGGTGCGGGTGGCGTATCGGGCTAGAATGAGGAATGTCCGCACAGGTCCCCGTCGGGTTTGCAGGTTTTCGTCCAGGCTGCGGGCTAGATAATGTTAGATAAAAGGATAAATTCACCGCTATAAAAAAAGCCGTTGGGGAGGGGGGGGGGGTCCATACTGAGATCATTTGTTTTGAGGATCAAGAGAATGACCCGCGGGACTTGCCCTAGGAGTTCGACGAGCTGCTGTAGCATGCCCTCGCCGAGAGCGCCGGTGATGTTCTCCTTTTCGGCGTCGGTGCGTGCCGATGCCACGTTCTTCTTCACTAAGACGCCGTAATCTCGGCCAGTAATGGCACTCGCGAAGAGCGGGAACTGCTCGTCCGAGATGCCCGCGACCGCGCGTGCGTACTGCCGCATGCGGGCCTCGTCCGCGTCAATGACAGCGAGCCAGAGCTTGGCGTAGTTGCGACGCAGCTCTTGAGGGATGTCGCGGTATAGGCCGTGATCGTATAGGATGATATCAAAATTCGGGTGGCGTCTGGTGGGATTCGGGCGGATGGCAATGTTTCCGCCATGGGGATCGCAGTGCAGCGGAGCATTGTCGCCGAAGATCATTTCGTTGAAGATGTGTGCCAGGGCAGCGGAGACCTCGTCACGGTCGATTCCGTTCGAGTCGAGGAACTCCAGATCGTCGGGCCGGCGGCCGGCAATGAATTCCATGACAAGAATTCTCTTTTGCGCCCACATCACTTTTTTTTGTCAGTTTTTGGGTTTCTTCTTCGGTCCTGAAATGTTCAACATACCTTCTGGGATGACTAGTGGCATATTGGAGTGTGATTGGAAGTATTCTCGAGCCCGGTTCGCATTCTGCGCCTCCATACGGAAATCGAGTTCCTGCGGCAGTGACAAATCCATTTCTCTCGATAGCCACTCTAGATCATAGTCGGGGAAGAAGCGCTTCAGCATGGAGAACGTAAACCGGGTCAATGCCAGATCAAGAGGGACCCATTCCGCCAACGCCGGGTGCTGCACCTTAACAGCGACCTTTTGTCCGGTTTCCTTAAGGGTCGCAACGTGGACCTGGGCCAGAGAAGCAGCGCCAATAGGTGAAGGATCGAACGAGGAGAAAAGTTCATCGATTGGATGGCCTGTGTCGCACAGGAACATGTCGCCCACCGATTCAATGGATGAGACCGGGCATTTGTCTTGGAGCGGGATGAAGGTTGTCGTCCATTCCAGGGGAAGCAGATATCCCATGCTGCTCAGATGCTGCCCCAGCTTGATGAAGATGGATCCATTTTTCTCCAGCACGCGGAGTGTTCTTTCTGCACAACGCTTGTGGCACGCTCGGAGGGACGCGGCCTGTTCTTCCGGGGAAAGGGAGTCTTGATTCAGGGTTTTCCGATAACTAGAAAAAAAAAAAAAAGAAAAGACAGGAACGTTAGCCAAGCACTGTAAATCTACCAGGCATAAGTAGTTTCGTTTTAGAGTAGCTCACTCGTTGATACAGACGGCCAGCGTACCGACCACTCTTCCGCTCCTCTCTGCTGCGCGATACAAATGCTTGATTTCGTCCGCGTAGAAGAGATACCCAGCACTAGCCACACTGCCTGCAACTGCATATTTAACGAGCTTCCTCTGTGACCTGGTCGGACGCGCCCCGGCGCCGTGACTGCTGTTCGCATTTGTAGATCGACGGCAGAAGCCCGTCGAGAAGTTCCTCCCAGCCGAGGGCGAGAGAATCCGTGAAGCGCTTCTGTAATAGCATCGTGACCGGATGGAAGAAGGCGATCTCGACCAAGACGACTGGACAATTGACGAGTTGGCCCACGAGGTCAAGTGTTGCGCGACCACCGCCGCCGACGGATCGGCCTGGGGTGTCCGCAGCGGAATTTGCAGCGCTGCTCTCATTCCGAATAATGAGCCAGGCCCGAATACAAGAAGCAGGTTAGACGAAGGTAACCAGTAAAGTCGAGTTCACCACTGGTGCAGGCACAACAGCCGGTCATTCTAGTGACGGGCAAGTTTCGCAATGCAGATGGATCCGTTATCGTTGGGGCAAAACGGGGCAAATTCTGCGCTGCGGGCCTCGGCCAGGCACGGATAAGTATGTCGTAGTGAGAATCAATTAGTTACATTACTTAGTTACATAGTAACTAGTTATATATTTCAACCGTGTACTATTTTATTTTTTTCGTAGAAACAAAGAGGTACTGAATTTTGTTTTCAAGACTTGGATGGGCTGGTTTATTCACTGATGTATCAATGTTGCCCGGGGATCAAGTATCAAGTACCACCCACACCTGATGCAGTATGTACTCACATCGACTGGCGACAGGGAAGAGGAAAAGGAAAGAATTAGCAATGCACGCCAGGCGACTTGACCAGATACCTATTTTGGAGGGAGGGGAAATACACAGGGAATGGCCAACAAGAGCAGGCAAAAGTCCTCGCGAAACTCAAGACAACAAAAAACAGTACCTATTTTGGAATACACAAGACAAGAGGCAGTAACTAACACTCATACCCAGCCCAATGCGCCTTGACTATGCGACGAGCTTGGCAAAAGACTATCGGGTCCGTATTCCCTTGATGATTTTTTGAGACCAAAGAGCCAGCTCCAGTGACAAGATGAACAAAGAAGAAGAAGAAGAAGAAGATGCTTGGTTTGGCTAGACGGGGGAGTTCTCTCAGACTATGCCGGCCATTCGGTATCCACCAGGGTAGGACGCCTGCGTCGGGGCGGAACGATTGATGGTCGACGGGTGGATGAGCTGAGGGTTCTGCCGTCCTCTTCGGATAACAATTCGATATGAGACAGCCTGTTGTTAGACATGCCTCGAGACATTCTGGTTCGCGGCACCGCCGAGTTTGCATTGAGGCCTGTGGCAAGGCCGGAGCCGCTGCCATCTCGGCTGGCCGGCCGAAGTGCCAAAGAAGAGTTATTCAGGCCATTTCGCGCGTGACGTGGCGTTTCTCGCCCTTCGAAATACCCCTTCGACTGACTCGAACGATTGATCTGCGGAGTAGACGGTGTGGATTGACTGGATAGAAGACTGGGTGGCGTGGTAGTCGAGGTACTCGGACGCCTCGTGGGAGGCCGGCGCTTACCGGCGCTGAGCGCTTCACTTCTCTCGCTGGATGTGATCAATTTACCCGCCATGTCTCTGACGAGAATGGCAGGGTCATTCTCGAGCTCCCTGATCGCGTCCAGTAGGCCGTATCGAACAAGAAGACCGCCCTGCTCTTCAGTCGAATCGCAGATTGTGGATAGGATTCGGAGTAGATTGAGCCGAACAGCAGCTTTATTATGGTGTACCTTCTGTCCGATCCGGGTAAAGAGATCCGGTCGAGCAAGTGTCGACGCAACTGGAGGACTGAGCCGGAGAAGCTTCTGTAGCGGCTCCAGAAGATTCTCAAATGCATTCGCTTTGGACACAGTTAAGCATCTGACAATTGCATCGGTAAAAGACAGTTTATCTTGACGATTTTCCAATAGATGTTCTTCGACCTTGGCCGTTTCTTCTTGGAGCCTATCCAGGTGTTAATAAAGTCCTTAGTTTGGGAAGAGAGGGAGATTAAAAATTATCTCACCAGGCAAAGATGGCATCCAAAGCAGTAACCTGCCAGTATGGATCCGATAGCAAAGAAATGTAGAAGGACAAGCCCTTGTTGCGCCAGAGCTCTCGACGACCGACCTTGCCCGAATGTGCCATGTCGCAGAGAATCGGTAGGGCGAACTCCTTAAGGGGTCGCTCGGTCTGCACTATCTTCTGGAGGAGGGGTACGATTCCATTCAACGCGGCATCCTCTTGTCGTGTTTTGTTGAGACGGCACATGTTGTAGATGGTATTCAGGATTTGATTGGAAACCTCCCGGAAATGGGGACGTCTGATGGTCGATCTCAGAAGCTCGGTAAGCACGTCGATGGCGTTGGAATTTTGAAGCGAATCAAGAGTGGTTGACAGCATAGATAGGTTTTTGATGAATTTCAACATGGTGATCTGGTGAACTGGAGTCATGCGCTTCAACTCCTTGAGCACCCCTGGAGAGACCGAGATCAATTAGCAGACACTTAAGATGCCTTTTTCTGACTACTTACGGTGCAAAACTGTCCTTTCTGCAACCATCTCCTTCACATGATTTTCTGCTTGTGAGAATATAAAGAAGATATTCGCGATTCGGCCTTCAACAACCTCGGCAAACTCCCCTTCTTCATCCAGAACCCGACTCAAGACGAGAGAGAGAGGATCTAAGACGGAGTTCCGGGATAATATCCGACAGAAATCATTTTTAGGCGTTGAACCCTGGTGAAACAGGCCCGGTTAGTCTCGATCATACGAAGCAAAATTAGGGGTAGTTTACTTGAAGCTCAAATACACTCCAAATCCCAGTCACCCCAATCAGCACCAGGTCACGTTCTTCTTCAAAGTCATCCTCGAGGAATTCGACCAGAACGTTCAGACCACCAGCGCTAACAAACATCTGGAGAGTCAAGGTAGATGTTTGGTACATCTGCTGTACAAAAGCAGCAGCTTCGAGGCGGATCTCCCTAGGATATTTCTTCGCGGCGAACTCATTGATGATAGGAATGCCTCCGACAAAACACAGATTTTCCTGAATCTCGTAATCATCGTATATGATCGCATTGACAATCTTCAATAAATTGGTGATGACATCGCGTCGACGGCAAATATCCAAGATTTCGAGGATAGGCAACATCCCGTGAGCACTGATGATGATGTTCTTGGTCTCTGGCAGATCGTAAAAGATGTTAAGGAGCTGTTCCGATATGTCTGCAAGTACGTCGTCATCCTGCGAGGTCTTGAGAGAGCCCACCAAGCCCTCCACTTGGTTTCGAAGCCGGGCGTATTTGTCGCGGGCGATGTTGGCTTGCAAGTCCATTTCATCAAAGCCCTCCTCAAGCTGGGCAAATGGATCGTCGTCGTCATCCTGATCTCCGAGCCAGGAATTATTGGATAGTTTGGAGTTGAGTAGTAGGGCGCTTCGATCAGGGACCGTCTCTTGATCGGTTTTCTCCAAAGCAACTTGGTCGGAGCCTAGAATGTCAGAGAAGTCCTCGTCACTTTCGTTCTCTGCAAATCTCTGGATCTCAATCGCAGATCGGTGGCGTCTAGTAGATAACTGTCTTCTCAGTTGGGGTTGGGTGTCGTCGAGAATAACCTCGTCGGGTACTGTTTGTGTAGCCACAATCATTGATGGGGAGTGAACAACAGTGAGCTGCTTATCTATATCGATCAAATCCTGGAAGATATTAGCTTCATAGTTCCAAAGGTTAAGTAGAAAATGAGGGAGATAATATTACATTGAAAGCACCAAATTTTCTTTCTAAGATGGATTCATTGTCTACGATAAGATCAGAGTAGTCTTCGACTGAGTTCTCCTTGTAGAACGCAGCTGGGCGTTTATGCCGGGGTGGCGGCGTAGGGTTCGGGCTGAGTATTGGCACATTTTGCAGGGCGGATAGTGAAGTCTTGCTGGGACGGTTACGAGGGGAACCCCTGAGCTGCAGCTCTTCTCCTGCGGGCTGCCTGGGTGGGAACGGTCTGATGGTCTGTAGAGGGTCTGATTCATAAGGTAACTGCGAGCCTTTTGAAGAGTCCTCAAATGATCCGAAGCTATCATCGAACTTCAACACTGTGCCATCAAGAGAAGCGAAAGCCTTTAGCTTTTCCGACGAGAGCATGCCGCCAAAGTTATCGTGTGGCCGAAGATGGGGCAGCTGCAAAGCGCTGGGAGAAATCGCAGTTGCAAAGTCATCGTCCCAGTTGTCGTCGGTTGGAGACTCGGGTGATCTGTGTCGGCTCGCGGCATTCTTTGAGACTGCGGTGGACAACATGTCTTTTTCGGGGCTGTTCCTTGACGATGGCAGTTCCCGATTAGTATGATCGGGCTTACCCGGTTTTTTCAAGTCCCCAGCGCCAGGGGACCGCAGGGCTTCGTTCCATTCTTGCACGCTTCGGACCGCTTCCTCGTATTCTGTTGATTTTTTGGGAACGATGGAGTCTGAGCGTCGGGCATTCACGATCCAAGGATGCTTGAGCAGTTTTCTCGCAGACACTCGAAGATTGGGATCTTTTTGAAAACATTGCATCAAGAAGTCTTTCACAGCCTAATAGAGTAAAGGTTTAATTGGTGAAGATCAGGGTTATCGGACACGGCCAAGACTTACTGGAGAGGCACCCTGCGGCAGGGGAGGATGGTCGTCATTAACGATTCGAAACAGAGCCGGCATGGGTTGCAGGTTGTAATACGGAGGCTTGCCCTCAAGAAGCTCGATCACTGTACAGCCCAAACTCCAGATATCAGAGGCCGTGGTCGCCCCGGAGAGTTCAATAACTTCGGGGGCCATCCAGTATGGAGTACCAACCACGCTCGATTCGCTGAGACCAGTCGTCCGACTCGCTACACCAAAGTCGGCCAGCTTCACTAGTCCTTCCTTGGTGGTAAGAATGTTGGCACCTTTGATGTCTCGGTGGATGACACCTTGTTCATGCAGGTACAGAAGGCCGTGGAGAACTTGAGACATGTACAGCCCGACCAGGTTTTCTGGAAAGCGGCCGAAGTTTTTCGCAATCGAATGAAGTGAGCCATTTTCACAGTATCTGCACAAATCATACGGATTAGCTTTCATGCTTCATCTCCAGCTGGGGTGCGTGCATACTCGAGAATGATGTTTAGAGTTTCGGGCGACTTGACGAAACCATGGTACTTCACGATATTAGGGTGCTGCAGAAATCCGGGTCAGTTCCAGGTCCTGAGATGAATGGGGGAAGCCCCTTTCTTTTCCTCTGGTTGGACCGCGATCTTACATCCAGGTTCTTGAGCAAGTCGATCTCCAGCTGTAGATGCATACAAAACAATCAGTGATATCGCCCCTGTTTGAACTGGAACTGCAGGATCCATTTACCATTATAACCCGCAATTCAGTCTTAGGCAGATCGGTCAATTTAATCTGCTTGACGGCAACGGTCTCCCCCGTGTTCCAGTTCAAAGCTCTGTAGACTGACCCGAAGGCACCTTTGCCCAAACAATCTCCTAGTTGCTGGAAGCCATTTCCATGTCAGCGACTCCTCACAGCAGGAACAAATAACCATACGTAGTCTTTCAATTCCGAAACATCCTTTGCCGATGACTTGATCATCTTGTTGTTATCCTTATCGTCCCGCTTGGAGGGACTCGAACCAAGCCGTGCCATTCTCGACTTCGAGGGTGTATTGGGGGTATGAGATGAAGGTAGCGGGTGCGTGTCGGCCACTTCAGTAGACCTAGAGACCATCTTGCGCGTTCACAGTGCGTCTCGCCGCGTCGTCAAGCCCACCGAGGCAGGCTGTCCCTCGAAGGTAGATCGAGCGGCTTTAGGTGCGGGTAGGGCGACAAAGGGAAGCGAAGAGGAATAATGAGTGAGACGGCATATTAGAACAGACTATAGCAAGTTATATGATGGCCGTTAGTTAGTATTCAAGACAATACAAGCAGAAAAGGGTCTGGGGTTGACATTCAACCTTTATGCGGGTGTTGGCTGAGCGTCCTCAGCTGAACAGACACGCGGGTGGGACTCTCTTCACTCTTGTACCCATGGAGCGGTGTTGGTCGCAGGTGTTGGCGTGCATGAGACGCCTGCTTCAAGGCCAAGATACTCGAGTGCCGGCCTGGCTGTCCAACCTAGAGAAACAGCAGGGAAACCAACATGGAGAAAGCTGCCACTGAATGTTTGTTGAGGGCGGCGTTTTGAACTTTCCTGTCCCCACAAGTCACCTCCCGTTTGGGGCATGACGCAGCGACCGGCTTCTGCTCAGGACGGAGCTCCGATCAGCCCTACGAGGAGCCCGATCCGAGGGGAAGCCCAAGACGGTGGTACGTTTAGTTTTTTACAAAGCAATTGTCTTTTATTGGGGAACCATTTCTGTATTTCTGAGACGGGATATTTACTGATTGCGTGTAAGGATGATCGGTTGTATCCGCCAGGGGGGGGTTTATTGCCATTACTACCCCTCTATTCCACCGGTTCTGAGTGGTGTGCGGTCCTACTTCGTCGTCGCTTGTCGAAGAAGCCTCAGAACATCCGAAACTAAGTAGAGACTGCCGGCAATGACTAGAGGACCGCCGTCAGCAAGACGGCAAGCCCAATCGACTGCGGCGAGGACGTCTGTATCGAAACTGTGAACCTTTCCGATTCCAGGCAACGACAAGACGGAGTCTGCGAGTTCCGCAGGATCGGTAGCGCGAACCCAGGGCATCCCATCGACGGGTCCGAACGCAGTTGTGGCAACATTGTCGCCCGGCTGGAGGAGCGGCCCGAACAACCCATGTATATCCTTTCCAACGGAAGCAGAAATCACCCAGGTGATACTCCGCTGCGGCGAGCGAAGTTTGCGGTCCACGTAGTTTCTGAGCACTTCGGCCGACTGCGCGTTATGGGCTCCGTCCAGCAGAACTGGTTCGCTACGCGCCGCCAGAGAGTTGAGTTGAATGCTTTGCAGGCGGCCAGGCCACTGAACTTCTGGGAGATGTGATAGCAAAGGTTGGACCTTCAAGTCTGGGCGCACCTGGGGCACTGCCACTTGCAGAGCTGCCACGGCACAGCTCATGTTCGCTTGCTGGTGAGGTTCCAGGTCAAGGTCACGAAATATTCGGGACAGAAGGGGCGATTGCTTCTCCTGGTCCTCAGGGGTGACGAAGACAGACTGTAGGCCGCCGAGTTCCTTGATCCGAGTGGTCATGGTCTGCAGTACATCGGGAGAATTGGTGCCGTCCACCACACAAGGAACGCCGGCTTTGAGGATGCCGGCCTTTTCCCGGGCAATCTCTTGAATCGTATTGCCCAGTAGCGCCTGATGATCCAAGCCTATCTTTGCAATCACCGAGACTAAGACATCGCTGAGAATATTGGTCGCGTCGAGACGGCCGCCGAGCCCAACTTCGATCACGCCGACCTCGACCCGCTCGTGGTTGAAGATCTCAAAGGCGGTGGCAGTGAGCAACTCGAACTCACTTGCCCCTATTCCCAGCGTCTTATCCCTCAGCTTGACCCTGTCTTCGATTTGACGGAAGAGCGATTCCTGCACGACTTTCTCATCGATTGTGATACAATCCCACCGGTCGATCAAATGGGGGGAGGTGAAGCGGCCACATCGGACTCCGCCCGCAGACAGCAAGTGAGAAAGATACGCGGTTATCGAGCCTTTGCCATTGGTACCGGCCACATGGATCGCTTTCCACGTCAGAGGGCTCTGCTGGAGCAGACGCGAGATGCGGGCGAGACCGAGCTCGATCATTCCTTCGGGTTTGCGGTATCTCTCGGTCGTTCAATCCCAAACCACACACATGATCAGAATCGCTATATTGCCGATTCAAAGCAGACAAAAACAAATGCCTTCAACCCTGTCGAGAGCAGGCTGTGTGCATTGTGGGCGTGGTCTGTAGTTCTGTCCAAAAATTAGGCATCCATTCGTCTGTCGATAGAAACCTTGTGAGTTATTAATGACTAATGCTAATTTGATAACAGAAATCACATGACCTTACAGAGCCGCTTTCTTTATGCCTGAGGCATCAGTACTCCATGTTATGAATATGTATTTATGATACCCTCATCCAAAGCTGCTAATACCAACAAAAAGCTATTTAACAGTTCTATCTTTGATAGATAGAATTTCAAGCCCTCTTAATCTACTACTATACATCCTTCATTTTATATTCTAATCCTTGGAATACTTGTCACTCTATCACAATCCTCCTATCTGTATTCAAATTACCATACATCCGCCACCCGCCACATGTTCACGAATTCCAGCCTCGTCCAGGGAGAATCTGATCTTCCCCGTTCCTCCATCAACAGCCGCCGCGCATCATTATTTTGTCCCCAGCACTAGTATCCCCCCCACTCTTCCTCCAGTTTGCCTGCCCCTTGTATGACCATCGCGTCAGCGTTTCTGTCGCGTTGTTCAAGGCGTTCTTTTGCTACTCCTGCCAGCTGTCTTCGCCATGGGTATTCCGTAAGTTAAACCGCCTTTTGTAGCGTGTGCTAGCTTCGCTGTGAGAGGCTACCACGCGGGTTCTCTTTCTCAATGACGGCCAGATAGAGGGGTTTGGAATGAACTAATATGGAGCCAGGATGTTTCGTGAGCCCTCCTCCAGTGAGGTGCGCAAAAACGCAACCAAGGATCCTACTGTGGTGTCGCGCTCCTCCATCCGTCGCCAGTCAACCATCCGCCGGCCTTCACGCTACAGCAACTCTCAACTACGCGGGTCATCGTTTCGCTCTCCGTTGCCTCGTGCGGTTGCCAACGAGCTCGAGCGGGAGATCGGAACACATCAACGTCAGGAGCAGCCGGAGATCCCCTACGATGATTTCCCGAGAGTCTTCAGAGAACGCCTAGAGGCCGGCCGGCGGATGCTGCGAGATGTGATCAACCACAGCCACCCTGGCCAGAGAATGAGGCTCCCTCGCGACCCGTCTATGCATCTGGATGTCTCCGATCCGCACTGGGTTGTCACGGACGAGCATAGCAACCAGCGTCGCATGGACCAGATAGGTTTCACACCGCGATTCGCTCCGGCGATGGCATACCACAGCGCGGTGTCCTCACAACCGCACTCAGATACCGACCGGTTATCGCCGTTCCCGCATGCAGAGAGCCTCGGTGACGACCCAAATGGCCCGACTGCCCCGCTGTTGCGTCCAGTTGGTCATCGTGCGTCGCGTCGGCCGAACCGTGACTCGGCTGCTGTCGATGGCCTTGGGGATAGACAGCGCAGCCCGAGCCCCGATGGCGACCAGGAGAGTGATGTATGGGAAAGGCTTCTTAATTCAATCGCGCCGGACGCGAATCTTCCTAGTGCCGAATCCTCTTTCACTTCCACAACTGCCTCGGCGTCGACCAATGCACGGAGAACGGGACCATCCAGAAGCTCGGCCAACTCTTCACACACAGCGCCCTCTTCGGTAAATTCAACGTCTGCCGCGGTCCAAATGGTTCTCGATCCCTATCCGGATTTTCTGAACCCGTGCGATTTCCCGACCTCGTCGGATTCCGAGACTGAATCCGAATCAGACGCGAGCCACCGCGAGCTTTATCGCCGTTACAGGGATCAGATGTATTGGACGCGCCGTGCCCAAGGTTTGGAGTCGACCATGAGCAGCCAACCTCCGATCCCGACCATCTCGTTCTCCATCTCCCAACGTTCCGCGGACCCAGATCTCCAACAGATGCAGGCCATCCTGGATCGACTCGCCCGCCGGGAAGATATCCCCGATGACTGGTGGGCAGCAGCAGGTCTGTCTCGGACCCTCGGCCGCAGGCTCGGCGAAGGCGACGAGAACGCCACCAATGCACCGGGGGCCGGCGGGCCTGGTCCTGGTCCTGGCCCTGGTCCTGGGCCACAGCGGCGTTGATACAGGACCCATTGGGGATGCTTGACTGGCCCTCCGATTTGCAGGCGTCTTTTTCTTTTTTTTGGGGAGGGGGGGGGGGGTAGGAAAGTCCTTTGGCATCCTTCGCCCTCGGCAGCCTTTGTACAGATTTTCTGGATTGGAAACAGCCTTTGATTATGGCCTTGCCTTAATTTTGTCTGGTTCGGGAGGCGACCAAGCCATGTCTATACTACTATAATTGTATTCTTACTCGATCTATTCATCCTTCCTTCCACCGTTTTAATTCCGAACATCTTTCCGCAATGATCCCACATGTCTAATCTAGAGCCTCATTGGTTATTCTTTTGCGCCGAACATACTTGGATCCCTCGGAAAAGCAATGCCTACGTTAAGCGGGTTTTATGCAGTAATTAATTGTAGTAGTCAGAATACACATAAGTACCAGAATATATTGATTACTGGTGACTATCATCTATGTGAAGTCTACCATGAAAGTATATATATACATAGATATATATATATACTGATTAGAATTCAAAGACTGAAGCGAAAGCGAGGGCCATCATCACCCATGTTGTCGATGTTCGGATGGTGGAGACGACCGGCACGTTTGCCCTCGTCGCGCAGCCTATTCTCACGGGAAATGCCAATGGCGAAGACGCTGCTCGCGGTACCGCAGAGGAGCAGCATGGCGAGGGAGACGCCGTAGCCGACGAAGAAGCGCGGGGCGTCGGCACTGGCGAAGATGTTGGTTGCGATGATGCCGCCAATGTTGCCGAAGCCGATGGTGATGGCCAGGCCGACGGCGCGCTTGTAGTGGCCGCCCAGGTTGTTGGCCATCCAGACAACTGCGACGGGTTGGACGATGTAGCAGCCGGCGGTGATGAAGAAGACGGCCATGTAGCGGACGTGCAGGGGGAGGTCGCCGCCGGGCGGACCCTGGCAAAGGAGGAGGATGTAGCCGATGGAGGCGAAGCACAGGCCGAACATCATGAAGCCGTAGCGGTGCTTAAGGCGGTCGGTTAGAAACGAGACGACCAGCGTCACCGCCGAGGCGACGAGCCAGATGGGGATGCTATGCACTTGGGCTTCGACGCCCGAGTATCCCAGAGAGTCGACGATGGAGGGGACGAACAGGGCGGTTGCGTAGCCGGAGACGGTGATGCCCAGGTAGATCAGGGCTCCGACATAGATCTTCCAATCACCCAGGATGCGCCTCCAGGCGTCACGGTTGAGGCGATCCATCCGCGCAGCGCCGTCGGCGAGGTCTTGGGCCTGGCGCTGGGCGAGAATGGTCTTGTCATCTGCCGTCAGGAACCTGGCATTTTCCGGCCAGTCCGCAATGATGAACTTGGCGGGTATGGCAGTCACAATGGCGAGAAGCCCCTCGATGATGAAGATCCAGCGCCACCCAGCGAACCCTGCTAGGCCTTGCATGTGGTAGAGGGCATACGCCAGGAGGCCACCGAAGGCACCGGCAATGAGGCCAGCAACCCAGAAAAGAGAGAACCGTTTCTGAAACTCATGGCGCTTGTAGAACATTGCCATCAGGTAGGCACAGCCGGGAACAAACCCGGCTTCAAAAACGCCTGTGGTCTAGGTTTCAGCCCCTTCATCACGGTGCCCTGCAAACTGTGTTGTGTTTACTTGCCCATCAGAAACCTACACGCAGCCAAGCCACCGGTGCTCTTGAAAAATCCCTGGCACATAGAAGATACACCTGCATGCGAGTCAACATCGGACCCTCTACGACAGGGTGAGAAATTTGGCTCTTTGACTTACCCCACAGGAAGGCGAGGATGCTGATCCAGGTCGACGGGGGCAGCCTCTTGAGAAGGATGTTGCTCGGAATGTCAAGCAAGATATACGGCACAAAGAAGACTTGTAGAGCAGTGGAGAGGTCTCTGCTGGTCATATGCAGGTCCTCTATGATCCCTAGGACCGCAACGTTGCCGAGATTGATGCGATCCAGAAATGCCCAACAAAAGATGATTCATAGAGGAAGCATCAGATGGATATCAATCTTCCGGACGAGCTTCTGCTCCTGGGAAGTGACTCTGTCTTTCGCACCTCCATCGATATCGGTCCTGGTGCCAATTGCCGTGTGCTTCACAATCTTGGTGTCTGCCATTCCGATCAAAGTTTAGGATTGAAGAGACACAAAAAGGAGTCTTAGGCCTTCAACAGGGAACCATGTCCTCAGAACCATGAGGGACAAGAAGAGAAGAAAGACAAATGGGACAACACAGAGCATTTTTATCTGAAGAAAACTTGCTCTCTCTGGCTAGAGCGTTGAGGCACGTACGGGCCTAACGGCAGCTATGCATCCAAAGTAGCATGCGCAATTCCCGTACTCCATGCAATCCCTGCACATAAGCGGACCTATTGACACAGGCTGTCAGTGAGCTTATATTTGTGCCTAGACTTGATAAAGTGCACTGATGGGGGCTAGGTCGCGATTATCTTCTTCCTGTATACCTATCCATTATGGTTTATCCCACCATAATTACAGGTGGATTAGTTGCTAGAGTGAATAACACAATAGATCGGTGACTTTAATAGATGGTAATGGAAATTCCCTGGAGATGATACTTGTTTTTCAGACCTGAGCGTCTTATGTAGTAACGCCAGAGTACCCGAGAGGGCGCACCTCCGGTACTTTTCCATCGCATGGGCGACTGGGAGCTTCACAAAAGGTTCGAGGAGGCATACCGGTGCCTCTTTTTTTCAATCATTATGGGGATTTGATCGATATCCCATCCTGCCCAGGTTTTTGTAATCATCACGCCGCTGGGGTGGCCATCTCCCGGCTGTTGAGTCGTTATCTTTACGGTAAATTTGGAGACGACGACAGGGTGATCCTGGTGTCAATAGTTAGCAAGATCTCCAACTCCGTACAAAGCGGTAAACACAGGATGAATGGATCGACGTTCAATCTAGGCATATGTGGAAGTAGTTGTGATCCCCCCTTTTCCCGTTTGCCTCGAGGAGTCGTGGTGCTCACTGCTCACGTGTCACGCCGTCAACTTCATGGGAATTGCAACCGCAGGGCTTTTTACGTACCGCAGATCCTGGTTTGACCAAGAGCAGCATTCTGCAAGAGATATAGAAAGAGTAAGATAGTATCGAAAGAAAAAAGCTTGCCATATAATTCATCATAAGTCTGCAAATGCTAACTAGCCCAAGTCATCAATATAGTAAGTAATATATGGATGAGATCATCTTTTTATCTATTAATGCATCTCATATGTGATACCCAAGCTGATCTATAACTTCTCCTGCCCAAATGGTTTCAAAACTGAGAACTCCCCCTGAGACACTTCCGTAAGTCTCCTTCCCGAAAAACGAATTTACTCCATCTCAATAGTGGCAGGAGGCTTGCTAGAGATATCATAAAGAACACGAGAAACTACCAGAGTCAGTATGGATGTAGGCTTGGACGATGTAGATTGGCAGATGAACTCACCACCATGGACCTCATTGATGATGCGAGTCGCGCATTGGCTCAAGAACTCGTTGTCGAAGGGGAAAGCCCTCGCGGTCATGACTAGAAACTGGTCAACACTTGGGAAATCAAAGCATGTTCTGCAAGAATTCACTCACAATCGGTGGTTTCAACGGCACGCAGGATAATGATCTCAGCGTAGACACGTTTGTCACCCTGTTCGGAAGTTAGCATACTGTAGCAGGAAGAATACTGCAGGGGGGGAAAACTGGACTGACCATGACACCAACAGCCTTGCTAGGATCCAAAGCAGCGTAGGCCTGGGCGATTTTGTCATAGAGACCGGCTTCGCGGATCATGGAGATGAAGATGTGATCGGCTCGTCGGGCAATCTCGACGCGTTCCGGGGTCACTTCGCCCAAGACACGAATAGCGATGCCGGGGCCCGGGAACGGGTGTCTCATGACGAGCTCGTGGGCAATGCCAAGCTGGCGCCCAAGCGCTCTGACTTCATCTTTGAACAATTCGCGGAGCGGCTCGATGAGCTTCATTCCTTGTCCGTCGATCATGCGCTCTAGAAACAAGAGTTAGAAAAAACATATTTTCTAGTAGAAACAAGCAAGGGGAATTCACTTACGAGGCAATCCACCAACGTTGTGGTGTGTCTTGATCGTAGCGGAGGGTCCCTTGAAAGAGATACTTTCAATGACGTCTGGGTAAAGAGTACCCTGAAGGAACCACTTGACTTTGGCACCGGTGTGTTCGGCTTCAGCTTCAATCTTTTGGGCCTCCTCCTCAAACACGTCGATGAAGGTACCGCCGATGAACTTGCGCTTCTTCTCGGGATCCGTGACTCCCTTGAGGCCGTCCAGGAAGCGCTTCGAGGCATCGACGACAGTCAAGTTAATGCCCATGTGTTTGTTGAGGGTCTCCTGGACCTGCTCGCACTCGTTCAGACGCATGCAGCCATTGTTCACCAGCACGGCATGGAAACGATCGCCGATTGCCTCCTTCATCAGCTTAGCAGCCCTGTAATTCCGTTAATGTCAGCTTTAAATTACAAAACAGAAAACCGAAGCAAGTAACGTACACAGTCGAGTCAACACCACCGCTGACAGCACCGAGCACATGATCCGTCTCACCAACCACCTTGCGGATGCGAGAGATCTCCTGGTCAACGAACTTGGACATGGTCCAGTTCTGCTGGGCGCCGCAGATGTCCACAGCAAAGTTCTTCAGGAGCTCAACACCCCGTGGCGTGTGAGACACTTCAGGGTGGAACTGGACACCTGGTCATGGGTCAGTATTGTAACCTGCCGCTGTTGTATAGATCGCGAATGACTCACCGTAGATGGGTTTGGTCTGATGGGCAATACCCGCATACTCCGAGTTGGCCGTCGTAGCGATGACGTGGAATCCCTCCGGAAGCTGAGCAAGCTTGTCGCCGTGGCTCATCCAGCACTTCATGTGATCCCCAATGCCAGCGAAAAGCTTGTCGACATGGCCCTGGTTGTCCAGACTCTTGGCGTTCAAGTCGGCGTGGCCGTATTCGCGCGCAGTCCCGGCAACGACATTAGTCTTGTCCAGACGGTAGGCAATCTCCTGGAGACCATAGCAGATACCAAGGATAGGCACCCCGAGATCGAAAAAGGCGGGGTCAACGTGGGGGGCTCCGTCCTCGTAGACGCTGTAGGGACCACCAGAGAGAATGATACCCTTGGGCTTGAAAGGCAGATCGGCAAGCTTCTGAGTGCATGGGAGCATCTCACAGTACACATTGATCTCTCGCAGACGCCGAGTGATAAGGTGAGTCTGGGAAACAATAGAAGAAAAAAAGTCAATCACAAGATCTCTCTAGTGGGTTGCGTCTGGTTTATCCTCACGTATTGAGACCCAAAATCCAGGGTCAGGATAGTGTCGAACGTAGCCGAGGGAACTTCTTGGGTCTCCATTTCTGCGATTGAATTGGCTCTCGGTCCGTAAACAAATCAATATACTCAAATAGAAGAGTGAGGCCCAGCTGAACACTGCTGATACCCGAGAAGAGAAGAAGAGGGGATGACTCGTGATCTGACGGCAATAAAATTTTCTTGATCAGGCGGTGAGCAAGGTGGGATGAGCTCCAGCAGTCAGCCAATCAGCACCATGGAAAGACTACTTTATCGCCGTGTAATTCAATACTTTCTGGGGATTGTAACTCTTCTTACTTATATTCATCTACCAGACGGACAGTAGATGCTTTAACTATTGATTATACACCACAAGACAGCAGTAAAAGCTGGTCTGTGTACGAGAAATGAGACACAGCGCCGGATTCGCTCAAAGCGGTCGCTGAGGCGGTCTGGGCGAATCTGCAGAACTCTTTCCCTATCAGGTATCTTGGCATGAGCTTGATAAAATAGCCAACGAAGCAGTCGCCATTTATAAGGAACTGTGGCTCAAGATAGAGGTTTTCTGCTAGAAATTTTATATGTGATTCTTGGTAGGTCAATGTTTTTTTATATCTGACGAATTATATCAATTATATCGACACTCGAGGCCCACTGTCGATGCCATTGTACTGTGGTGGGGTGGTTTAAAGTGCTGAGACTGCAGTATACGGAGTACCATCTCCATTCCATTTCAAAAAAGAAAAATACATAGACCTAGTATAGACGATAATTCCTCTATTTCTGCTTGATGGGCCGTATACCTTACGTACCTAAGATTTTGTACCCCTTCTGATACTGATATGACGACGCACTTATTGCTCCCCGGCCAAACCCCACTCACTGTGCCCCGCTCGGTGCTATCTCACGCAGTTATGCAGGCGAAGGCTGATAACAACTCTCCAGACATCCAAGACTGACCTCCATCACCGAATACTCGAAGTCTGAAGAGGCGTCGGGCTGATACATCTTATGAGACATCGTCACGCAGCCCTGGTTGACACCATCACCAAGCATTGAGCGACTGGATTACTAGTTCTAGCTTGTTGGTTGAGCTTCTCCTCGAGTCACACCTCATCTTGATATGTACTTCTTGATCGAGATCTGAAAAATGGACGAGCAAGTAACGAGGCTGGTGAAGAAGGCTTGGGGTACGTTAGACGTCTCTCCTACACAACAATCCGAGTCGAAATATCTACGTTTGCACGCAACCCGCGTCCCTCCAAGTCTAGCACGTGCCAAATTGTACTCGCAAACTAATTGTCTTATCTGCAGCAAAACTCGACTCAATACCACCAAACGGCCGTCTACTGATTGCTATAAGCGGGATTCCGGGCTCAGGAAAAACAGGACTCTCCATCATTATGGCCGAACGTATCAATCGGATATGGGCCGCCTCCAGTCCCACCCTGCCGCCAGTCGCTGCCGCTATCCCCATGGACGGATACCATCTCACGCGTGCCCAACTAGCCCAGATGCCCGACCCGGTACATGCAGCCGCGCGGAGAGGTGCTGAGTTTACTTTCGACGGGGCCAAATTTCTGCAACTGGTGCAGAGATTACGAGAGGAAATCACAGACCATACGGGGAATATCTACGCACCGAGCTTCGACCATGCAATCAAAGATCCGGTGGAAGATGACATTACGATACCCTCGACAGCCAGGGCTATATTCTTCGAAGGGAACTATCTGAGCCTGAACAAGGAGCCGTGGAACGATGCTGCAGATCTTATGGACGAGCTCTGGTTCGTTGATGTTGATTTTGAAACAGCACGGAAGAGACTGGTCAAGAGGCATATCAAGGCGGGCATTGCCAAAGACGAGGCCGAAGCAGACAAACGAGCAATGGAGAATGACCTGGTCAATGGCAAGGAGATTGTGGATAATCGAATGGACGTACAGGAGGTGGTGCTCAGTCACTATGATCCAGCCTGGGAGGTCTAATTGAGATTCAACAAGCACAGAGGACTTTTTTTAATGAGCGTTTACCCTTGCATTTTGACCGTTGCCTTTGACTGCATGGAATACTGTACCTAGGTATAGACAGGCTAGTTGGTACCTAGCCACTTCATGAGAATGACTACAGTTTGAACTTGATATTAGATCAAGTCTATTTGCTTGAAATATCCGTCATGTACGGAGTAGCCAGCTAGCCATTAGCAATCCCTACCACCCAGACAGACTGTTCCCAAATAGGACCGATTGACGGTCAATCCCTGGGTTTGTAGGCTATTGCCGTCAGCCCTCGGCCATGTATACCATAACTGCCATCTGCCCCATTCATTTGTGTTTTGTCATACCTTACATCTAGATCCCTGATCTGTCATGCGTATTGACCCACTTTATTGATCACACCGGTCTGGATATGGAGTGTACGGAGTAGCTGGCTGTATCGAAATAAGAATAGATAGTGGAACAGTGGGTCTGAAGCATTTATTGAAACACTCTGGGGTCTGTAGACTGCATAGGTCCTCCTTACAGCCTTGATTATTCCCTCCATGTTTAGCCTGAGAGTTGTTATTTCGATTCGGCAATCGACTCCTAGCAGATTCGTTTTTATTGCATGGTTAAGAGATTTAAGCTCTGGGGTCTCGACTCCCCTTTGTATCTAGGTAGGTATTTGAGAATAGCGAGAAACATCAAGCCTGTAATATCGGTTCTGAATCATCACCATGTCTTCACAAGTAGTAGGTACTGTGTAGAGAATAAGAATCCCTTTCTGTTTGGCCTCGCGTCCTGCCCACCAATTATTATATAACCCACACGTGACACTACCATTGGCGCGTTCTTGGGCTCCCGTATATGCAAAGGGAGCCCATTTAACCCAAACACGAAAATTCGCGTCCCTTCTTATTACGCAATACGCGTTTTGCCGGGACGACATCAAATACCACAGGTTCTGCCCCTCCGATTTTCTTCTTCTTTCTTATCCTCCCTCCTCTCCTTGTCTCTATCCACCGACTTGATTCCTCTTGACGGGGTTCTGTCTCTTTTTTTATACAATCACTTTCCATAGACTGTGTTTCTAATCTTTAGATATTATCCCTGTCCACCATTTTGAAGACCCTGCTATCCCCATAGATTCAAGCACCGCCACTTATCACAATGTTCGTTTACAAGAGAGGTGAGCAGATAATTTTCTTATCTTTAACCCCTCCCTCCTGGTTGAGACACATTGAGAGGGGCTTGGATGTAATCATAGACTGACACCGACGTGCCATCCAGATGGACGCAAGGAACGCGTACAGTTCGACAAAATCACTGCACGCGTATCGAGGCTGTGCTATGGCCTCGATCCGGAGCACGTCGATGCTGCTGCCATTACCCAAAAGGTCATTTCTGGTGTCTACCAGGGTGTTACGACAGTGGAGCTGGACAATCTGGTAAGTCGTCACCGGGATGGTCGAGTAAACCTGCAGAGAGAAGAAAGTATGCTGATTTTCCTTCTTCTGTCTTAGGCTGCTGAGACCGCAGCATACATGACCGTCACGCACCCGGACTACGCCATTCTCGCTGCTCGTATCGCTGTCTCGAATCTCCACAAGCAAACGAAAAAGCAGTTTTCGCTGGTCATTCAGGACCTGTATGACTATGTCAACCCTAAGAACCAGAAGGCGGCCCCCATGATCTCTCAGGAAACATACGAGGCTGTCATGAAGCACGCAGAAGAACTCAATTCTGCCATTGTTTACGATCGTGATTTCAACTACAATTACTTTGGATTCAAGACCCTGGAGCGCTCGTACCTGCTCCGGATCAACGGGAAGGTTGCGGAGCGCCCTCAGCACTTGCTGATGCGTGTTTCCGTCGGAATTCACGGAAATGACATCGAGAGGGCTATTGAGACTTACCACTTGATGTCCCAGAAGTATTTCACGCATGCTTCGCCGACCCTCTTCAATGCTGGTACTCCCAACCCCCAGCTTGCCTCATGTTTCCTCGTGGATATGAAAGAGGATAGTATTGAGGGTATCTACGATACCTTGAAGACCTGCGCCATGATCTCTAAGAATGCCGGTGGTATTGGTCTGAACGTGCACCGCATCCGTTCCACTGGCTCTTACATTGCCGGAACCAATGGTTCCTCGAACGGGCTTGTGCCCATGCTGCAGGTGTTCAACAACACTGCCAGATATGTCGACCAAGGAGGAAACAAGCGCCCCGGTGCTTTCGCGATCTACCTTGAACCGTGGCACTCGGATATCTTTGAGTTCCTTGATCTGCGCAAGAACCACGGAAAGGAAGAGGTCAGAGCCCGTGACCTATTCTACGCTCTCTGGACTCCGGATCTGTTCATGAAGCGCGTCGAGGCCAACGGAGACTGGACGCTGTTCTGCCCTAATGAGGCCCCTGGCCTGGCTGACATCTATGGTGACGAGTTTGAAGCCCTTTACGAAAAGTGAGTTCCTCGCGTCTTTATTATTATTTTTTTTTCCCCATCGGCAACATACTAATCCGATTGTAGGTATGAGAAGGAAGGCCGAGGCCGCAAGACCATCAAAGCTCAGAAGCTTTGGTACGCTATCCTGGAGGCTCAGACCGAGACCGGAAACCCTTTCATGCTGTACAAGGATGCGTGTAACAAGAAGAGTAACCAGAAGAATCTGGGGACGATCCGCAGCTCTAACCTGTGCTGTGAAATCGTCGAGTACTGTGCTCCCGACGAGGTCGCTGTCTGCAACATTGCTTCAATTGCCCTTCCCACCTTTGTCGATGCGGCGCGGGGCGAGTATGACTTTGGCAAGCTCCATGAAGTCACCCGAGTGATGGTCCGTAACTTGAACCGGATCGTCGATATCAACTACTACCCTGTCCCCGAGGCTCGGAAGAGTAATATGCGCCACCGTCCCATCGGTCTTGGTGTCAATGGTCTCGCCGATGCTTTCCTTGCGCTGCGCTTGCCCTTCGACTCGGCCGAAGCGAAGCAGCTCAACATCCAGATTTTCGAGACCATCTACCACGCTGCCTTGACTGCTTCGGCTGATCTCGCCAAGGAGCTAGGAACCTACGAGACCTACGAGGGTTCTCCAGTCTCCCAGGGTATCCTCCAATACGACATGTGGGAGCGGACGCCGACTGACCTGTGGGATTGGGATTCCCTCAAGGCCAAGATTGCGCAGAACGGTGTGCGCAACAGTCTCTTGGTTGCGCCCATGCCGACTGCCAGTACCAGTCAAATCCTTGGCTTCAACGAATGCTTTGAGCCGTATACCTCGAACATCTACTCGCGCCGTGTCCTTGCGGGTGAGTTCCAGGTTGTCAACCCCTGGCTCCTCAAGGACCTGGTCGACCTCGGCCTGTGGTCCGACAACATGAAGAACCGCATCATTGCCGACGGCGGTTCGGTTCAGAACATCCCCAACATTCCTGCCGACATCAAGGCTCTGTACAAGACCGTGTGGGAGCTTTCACAGCGTACCATCTTACAGATGGCCGCGGACCGAGGCGCCTTCATCGATCAGTCCCAGTCTCTCAACATCCACATGAAGGAGCCCACCATGGGCAAGATCACGAGCATGCACTTTGCCGGCTGGAAGATGGGACTGAAGACTGGCATGTACTACCTCCGCACCATGGCTGCCTCTGCACCGATCCAGTTCACTGTGGACCAGGAGCAGCTCAAGGTCGCCGACACCAACGTGGCCCGCGCCAACGTGGCGGCTAAGAAACGGGTTGCAGGCGTCGCCTCCAACACCTATTCCGCCGTCCCGCGCTCGACGTACGACCCCGAGGCTGGGGCTGGGGCTAGCAACGGGGTGAATGGCCACGACAGCCCGCGCACCGTCACCGCTGCTCCGGGCGGGACCGAGGAAGCGGAAGCGGAGACCGAGCCGAGCGAGAGTGATATCTACTCGCAGCAAGTGCTTCAATGCAGCATTGAGAACAAGGAGGCCTGCCTGATGTGCCAGGGCTAGTTTATGCTTGCTTGCTCAAGATTGATTCCTTTTCTCCTTCGACCCCCCTGTATCTATATTCCTTATGAGATTGACGGATGATTCCTTTTGATGTCCTTTGTTCTGTTTTTGCCTATGCATTGCTCTTTTACTATATCGCCTGTCTGGCGCCGGGTTTTTGTGTTACCCTGTCTTTTCTATCATGTCGAATATGCCGAATATAAAGAATACCTTTTTTCCCCTTCAGAATACGAACCACCACAAAGACAGATGTCGGCCAGCCTAATGAGGCATTCTAAGCGAACCGTGTAGGCAACCATACGACCTTTCCTGATCCGGCGGTCTACCAGGTACTCCATACTTGGCTGGCGAACGGTGCGTATGTTAGGTACCTGTATAGGTATGTACTACCTAGAACCTAGGTACCTACAGATGGAACCTTGAACCCACTGATGGCGAATTTGATGGTCTAGACTGCTACTTTTAATTGAATGGAAATACTCCATCCCAGATATTGCAATGTCTTAATGATGGAAACAAATCGGCTCGGTCAAATCCACCCCAAAAATAAAGTATATCATAGACCATAATTAGAAACCAGACCGCAGCTGAAACCATTCAAAATTGAGTAGTCGATTGGACAGGTAGAATACAGGTACCTAAGGTACCTACCTACTACTAATTCTTAAGGTACTCCGTACGGCGTACGGCGTAAAATAAGTCCAACAAGAATCACCCCACTGCAGTAGTGGGTAGACCTGTAAGACTCCAGCTGAGATTTCACTGTACTCCGTACCTGCTCACTTCCACTGCCCAGTGCCCACTGCCAGTGCCACACGTCAGAATCGCAGGACGCGATTCGACCATCCGCCAGGGACAAGCGGGGGGGGAAGCTGTGGCGGATGGCATCCAATCAGCATGTCTGGCGGGACGCCTCCAGCCCTGAACCGGGGCTGAGTGAGGTTGGGCTGCGACACTGGCGCGAGAGTGGGTGGCCAATTGGGTGGGTTGGATGCGCTTTCATTCAGGTACGGCGTTGTTTCACAGGCGCAGGAACATGTAGGAGTAGAGGTCAGACCTACAGGTATTACCTTTGATTATACGGAGTATACCTATTACCTACACATATTCTATATACACAATAATAGAGATATTATTAAATAGAGAATTTCTAGGTCAATTAATTTTAAGATACTTTTTACCAAGGATACAGAGTAAATAATAACCAGTGCCAGTACCTGCAGTCCTAAAGCACTACACGAGGTGGGTCAGGGACTGACCCACAGGTTCGATCGTGGCCCTGGCACTGTGGACTGTATGGAGTAGGGTCAGCACAGGGTGCACTTAGTAGTACCTAATACTGTGGGAGTCTGTGGTAAGGTTGTATTTAACACTTGCTCCCTTCCTCCCTTCCTCCCTCTCTCCCTCTCCCTCTCCCTCTCCCTCTCTAACCTCCATCACCAACGACAGTCCTTTCTTGACAGACTTTCTGTCAGCCTTTCCTTCAACCCAGTCACTCTCTGCTGTGCAGTAGTTTCTGTTTATTGTCTCTCAAACCATCCTTCAAGGATATACTCTCTCTTTGAAACCACCAAAACAAAAAACCTACACCGTTGACCTTACGTCCAATCTTTGATACAATGACTCCCATTATCAAGTCTCTGGCCATCGCCAGCACCCTTCTGGCCGCTCTCGGCGTTGCTGCTCCCATCCAAAATAACAAGCGTGATGAGGTCATCGTCTGGGAGACCGTCACTGATGTGGTCTGGACCACCATCGACGTGACCACCACCGTCTACGCCGGCGAGCAGGCTACTACCGTGCCCGTCATCGTCACTACCACTGCCGCGGAGACTCCTGCTGTTACTACACCTGCTGCCGTCGAGACCTCTGCTGTCGAATCCTCTGCTACCCCCGTCGAGACCTCTGCTGCCGTCGAGACCCAGGCTGTTGCTGCCGCTGCTGCTCCGGAATCCCCTACTACCACGGAGCCTGCCACCACGTCGGTCACGGTCGCTGCTCAGCCGGAGATCACCACTAGCAGCTCTTCTACCACTAGCACCACCAGCGCTGCCCCCGCCGCTACCTCTGCCGCCAGCAGCAGCAGCAGCAGCAGCAGCAGCAGCGACTACTCCGGCTCGTGCGATGAGAGCTCCCCCTGCACCGGTGACGGCACTTACTACGACACCGCTACTTCGGCCAGCGCCCCCAGTGCCTGTGGCACCACCAACGATGGGGAGACGGAGAACGTGCTCGCGCTCCCAGTGGGGATCATGACCGACAGCGACTGCGGCAAGACGGTCACCATGACCTACAACGGCATCACCGCAACAGGTACTGTGGTTGACAAATGCATGGGCTGCGACGACTCCTCCATCGACCTGTCCCGTCACCTCTTCGGCGAGCTGGCGGATCTCTCCGTCGGTCGTATCACCGGTCTCACGTGGTACATTGAGTAGATGGGGTTCTTCTCCATCTCTTTGTTTTTTTTTTTTTTTCTTCTTCTTCCCACACGGCACTAGCCCTCAGATCTGCCTGTGGTCCTTTTCTACTTCTCATGACCATTCTGTTGTTATCTTCTTACTCTCTTTTTTTTTTGCCCTCATCCCCCCTACTACTAGGGGAACGAGTGTTGCATGTATAAACTTTCTCTGTCCTTTTTTTTTTCTTTCATAAGAAAGAATCTTGCATCATTGCATGGGTGTACAAATTAGACACCAGGGCATGGAACCCATCTCCCCGTTCGATCTTGATGATTAACGGGCGAGTCTCTTCTACGCTTTACTCTCAAAAAGATTTTCACGACGGACCGGGACGGTACAGGCGCAATATGATGGATCGGAATTAGGAATCAGGAATCAGGAATCAGCATTCCACCTATATTTTCTCTCAGTAACTTATTCTGTAGTACTATCTAGTATCTACCCCTATCCTGCTATTCCTCCTACTACCAGAACAAAAGCTTATTCAATTGTATTAGTATTTGGTGGTTCGTAGCGAGTCTAGCAACTCGCGAGTACGAATTGATTATGCTTTCGGTCCCTCCGAGGACCTCCGGACACGAGACATCCAAAATCACAACTCCCGCGAGTAATGACAGATCAAGGATGGAGTGGTATTTCTTGATGTTCCTACAAAGGACTCTGTAGAGTCCTACGGAGTACAAAGAAAATGATGATCATTGCCAGACCTGCGCCACCCCCTTTCTACGTACGGAGGAGTACGGAGGAGTACGGAGTATAATGAGTATACAGAGTAATGAGTGCAGTTGATGAAGTAGTAGGTAGTACTATGAACAGGAATAAGAAGGACAGCATTAACCAGAGAACTCCATACCTAGGAAGTAAAGAGGTTGATATTGTAGATACCTGGTTAGTAGTCCTAAACATACCAAGAATACCTAGCTACCACTACATAGGTAGTAAGTATATCACCTCACTACTCCGTACTCCGTACTTCTTAAGCTTATAATAGACGGTTCCTACCTACTTAGAGTACAGAGCATATGAATAGAGATATCAATTGATTGTAATGATTATGCGGTGTGCATGCAAGGCTTGGACCCACGTCTCTCCCACAACCGTCTTCGGCCTCTAAATCCAATAATAACTAATATAACTAAGAACCTCCTTCCAACCTCCACTATCTTGTCTAATCTCTCTCTTTCCTTTCCCTGCCTTTTCTACATTTATCTATTTATATTCCACCATATAACTAATCGTCTCTTCTCGCTAATACACCACCTTCAACCCCTGCCATTCCTTGTTTGTTTCTTTTCCGGTTCCTCGCAGCGAACGTCCAATCCGCCCTCTGCTCCCAGCCGAGCGCACGTCATCGGATCCATCCCCTTGGGTTCCCCAGACTTTCCACACACACACACACACACACACATAAAGAGAAAGAGAAGAGAACACCAGGAAACACGGAATGGCTATATCTTGAGAACATGGGCGATCGCAGAGCCGTTGTGCTAGGCGTCTCGTTGGCTGTCTTCGTTGTCGCCAGCCTGTTCGTCGCCCTGCGCTTCGTCTCGCGTATCTTTGTCGTCAGGCGGGTCGGGCTTCACGACTACTTGATGTTGATAGCTTGGGTAAATCAAATAAATCCTCTTCTCTCTCTCTATATATATATATATTAACTGTCTAGGTCATTGATCTCGGGTTTTCTCTGTCGCTCTTCTATGCTACCACAAAAGGACTGGGGTTACATGACCGTGATATTAGCCCGGCGGATAGACCAGGTTTGAACAGGTCCTATTATGCATTTACCGTGCTCTACGTGAGTTTCCTGTGTCTCCTTTCTCTCGATTCGATATTCGATATTTTCTGGAGTCTGGCGTCTCATGCTTATAGAACCCCGCGTTGATGGCGGTCAAAACGTCCATCCTCGTCTTCTACCTCACATTGACCAGCGGCGAAAAGGTCTTTCGACGCGCCAACTACGCGACGCTGTTCATCGTTAACGCCGCCGGATTGGCATTGACCTTTCTGAATGTCTTCCAGTGTAACCCCGTCCGCGCAGCGTACGAATATCCAAGCCCCACGGGTGCCCGCTGTACCGACATCGTCACCCTCTACCTCTCCTCCTCGCCCGTCAACATTAGCACCGACCTCGCCATCCTCTTCCTGCCCATGCCCATCTTGACCCAGATGCGCCTGCCCAAGAAGCAAAAGTACATCCTCGTCATCACCTTCAGTTTCGGCTTCTTCGTCGCCGTCGTCGACGTCATCCGTATCGTCTATCTACAGAATGCTGCCATCTCGCGCTCCCTCGCTATCAAGTCGCTTCACCTGCAGACCTCTTCGGGAGATGACTTATCTTGTAAGGCTTTTTTCTTTCTGATCACCTCTTCTACGGCTGTCCACTTTCTAACTTCATCAGGGTACGCTTCGTTATCCTTCATGTGGTCCGTCGTCGAGGTCAATGTGTCTGTGATCTGCGCTTGCGTGCCTAGTCTCAAGCCTCTTGTCTCTCGCATCCTACCCAAGCTCATCCGTGACTCGAATGACTCGTATACTCCTGAGAACTATCTCCCGCGCCAGCAATTGGACCCAGTAGCCCCCGTCGTCATCCCCGCGTTAGGCTCTGCAGTCGCCAGCGGGGCGGGACCTCTGGCCGACCATAGCGCCAACAAATCTGTCCCGGGCAGCGGCGGGAGCAGAGCTAGCGAGCCCACGGCCAGGACTTCCGAGGCCTCGCTCGATCTACAGGAGTTCCTGAATGCCCCGCCGCCGCCAGTGGCAGCCGCTCTTGCGGACACCGAGGCGGTGACCACCAACACGACGACGACCAACGACCCGGCGTATCCGAACATCACGTTTTTCGATTTCGTCAACATGCGCAAGCCGCAGAGCATGCTCAAGCTGAACAACCGGGAATCGATTGTGCCCAACGCGCTGGGCACGATCCTATTCTTCCTGTGGGGATTCGCGTATGGCCTGCTGGACGTGCTCAACGTGCAGTTCCAGGCCATCGAGCGGTTGGACGCCTGGCAATCACTGGGCCTGCACGCGGCCTACTTTGGCGGGTATCTGGTCGGCCCCGTGCTGGTCGGGCGGTACGTGCTGAAGAAATGGGGGTTCAAGTCGACCTTCATCACGGGGCTCTGCATCTACGCGATCGGCACCCTCGTCTTCTGGCCGTCGGCCGTGCTGACCTCCTTCTCGGCGTTTACCGTCTCCAACTTCCTCGTCGGGTTTGGCCTGGCCGTGCTCGAAACCGCCGCCAACCCTTTCATCGCCCTGTGCGGGCCCCTCGAGAACTCCGAGATCCGCCTCAACATCTCCCAGGGGGTCCAGGCCATCGGCAGCGTGCTCTCCCCTTTACTCGCCCAACAGGTCCTCTTCAAGGACGTCCGGGACGTCACCTCCCTCGTCGGCGTGCAGTGGACATACCTGGGTATCGCCCTGTTCGATGTCCTCCTCGCCCTCGCCTTTTATTACCTGCCCGTCCCCGAGGCCTCGGACGAAGACCTCGAGGAACTTGCTAACCGACGCCAAGCCGACAACCGTGCCACCGTCGCAGGCTTCCCCGTCGTCTGGGTCACGCTCGCCCTGGGAATCTTCTCCCAGTTCGTCTACGTCGGTGGGCAAGAAGTTCTCAGCACGAGCTTTGAGCGATTCCTCGGCGAAAACACCATAATGTACTTCTTTCCTC